TTTCGATCGAATGATGAACAATATTTCCTTTTCTCCTCTCTTTTTTTTTTTTTTGTTGTTTTTTTTTTGGGGGGGACGCGTGGGTATTCATTGTGCTCTGTATCGGTTGATAAAGAATAGCAGATAATCTTTTAACTTTACTGCAACATGTGTCTCATTCCTAAAAGTCTTTTCTTAAGGATCACTGAGGTTTAGGGACCCGGGTCACAACAGTAAAATACGACAAATGTCGCTTACGAATTATCTGACAATGACGAATCATTCCAAAGAAAATGTCCTATGTTCTTTGGAATGGTTCAAGGTCCAAACTAAATTAACTTTATTTCATTTTGAGCTAATGTACTCTATGTTTTAACACAGAAAATGTCCATCTTGCCTGCTGCTTCTACTGATGTGGAAGGGAAGACGTTTCGTGGAAAAATGAACGTTCAAAATAACTAGAAAAAAACTTAAACTCGAAGAAGTAAAAATGATGGGCTCAACAGAACGCTTAAACGTGACTTCTTTAAAAAACCTTTGCCTCCTTTAGAAGGCGGACTAGTATTTCAGTTTTCCGAATGTTTCCGTGCAATATCGAATCCTACTTTATCAGATAAAGGTAATGACGTTATTTCACTTAGCGAGGTAATCTATGAAGTTATTTCATTGAGTATAAATATAGAGAGGCAGACACTAAATCAAGCTGCACTGGTCATTGTACAGTTTACTCAACAGGCAGCCAGAAAGTTCGCTGAAATCCTAAGTTTTTATGGGAAAGAAAAAAGGCTCTTTTCATATGCTGAATTTTCGCAGAAATGATTTGTTTTAATGGCTCATAAGTGACTCTTTAACAGCTCCTAGAATCCAATGCGACCATTGAGGTTTCCAATTGAAAACTACTTGAGATAAGAAGGGAAGTTTTCAATGTATTGTACGAGGGCCAGGAGACTCTCCAGATCTGGATAACTCTAGATTATATAGGTATTACGAGCCTAAAGGAAAAATTAAATCAGCTACTTGGATGTCTTAAGTACTTCAGCGAGATCAAATTGATACGTACGGCAGAGTCCAAATGAGGTGTAAATACTTCATGCAGGGAAAAACTGGCTGTCCTTGAAATGAGGCTGTAATTTCTCCATAGTATCTCGACAGGTTTGAAAAGTGATTCTTAATTATCACCAGTTCATGGATGCCAAACCTGTGGAAGTTCACAAAGCCAGCCTGCCCTGACTTTAAAGTTGTGGGCTGGAAAATGAAGCTAATTACATGAAGGGAAGTATTAGAAATTGGGAACAGGTTGTAGTTTGTAAGATCGGTATAACTTAAACGCAGGACCTGAAAAAGCGGGCATACTGAGTTACACGTGTAACTAATCTAATTGAGAATCTTACTTGTATGGGAAAATGTTTTCATTTTTAGTTATCACGTTTAGCCTCTCACCGCAACTAACCTGATGCATATCAACCTGTAAAGTTATCCTGAAAATTACTGTTCATCTGAAGCCCGCAAAGCAATTACTACTACGTTACAGACTCACCAGCTTAACTTGATTGATACGTCTAGATGAATTAGTTCTCCACTGGAAGTGACTTACTCTTCAATCGTGCTCATCTACTGTTCGGGAACAAGATTAACAACCTTTAGAGTCGAGGTCGCCGCTTTTAACGAAAAATGATATCGAGTGTCATAGAGGCTCTTGGAAACTCCCTTAAAGAATGCTAATATACCACAAAAAACGTATTATCAAATCAATGTTTTCTGCCAAAGCTGCCACTCCAAAGTCAATAGCATTCGTGAGAAATGCACTTCAATCTCTCTTGGTTTTTTTGTTGGGTTGTAATGAAAAAACACTCCAAGCTCATGCTTCTCATTTTTATATCCTGGGGTCAACTAGATCGGTCGTGGATTACAGAAAGTTCAGTTTTATCTCGTCGGCTTAGAAGCATTTGATAGAAAGTGACTGGCTAAATGACATATCAACTTGTTTACCAGCAGTTGATCGGTCCTTTTACAGAATCTTTTGGCAAGGTGATCGGAGATGACATTTAATCGAACTTCTGGTCTCCGAATCCTGTTTTTACTTTGGCGTGAATTTTTTTGAGAGAAGAGAAGACTCAGAAAAGATTCTCAACGTAATGTTTTCATTCAAAGTCTAATTTTTAAAGTAAACTAAGAATTTCAGATATTCTTTAAACGGCAATAATATCCATTTCAAATTGACTCACTGGGTTAAAAGCGCCTTATTAATGAATAGTCTGTCAAGTTGATTAGCGTGAAAACCGAAAAATCTGTCAACTTGAACAAGCGGAACGTATACAATTAAAAAGATGCATAAATGAAAAGTTGCTCACGGATGGGTCCGACCTCATTACAGGAAAATATCACCGAAATAAAAAAATTATCTATATGGCATGAATTGAAATCAAGTGTTTTATTTATACCCGTCCGTGCTTTTTTTCATAGTACCTTCATTATGCTTAAACCACCTTATTTTGATAACCCGTAATTCATTTCAGCTAAGTTAAATGCTATTTTTTAAGAATGCAGGGCATTTACAACTAGCTGAATAAACCAGAATTATAACATCTTCCATATCAAAGTAGCACAACTCTATTAAAACGTCATTATTGAAAAAAGCCACTGATTAAAGTAGGTCTTTCCTTGGTTAAAACCATCCATATGCCGGATTTTTGACTTTGCAGTTTAATTATGGAAACATACTATGCCGACGGAAAGAAGACAAAATAAAACGAAAAAAAGGGCTGATTTGATATTTAATTTCATTGCGATCAATCTGCATCTAAGGTATCCCCTGCTGCGCTTGGAATTGAATCTCAAGACTAGCGACTTTTAATTACGTTAAAGAATAAATCACGAGAAACAAAACATTATTTTGTCATTGTCTATTTAAATTTCTATCTCTCGTTGAGAATTCCAAATTTCTCATCATTGTATAGAGACTTTCACAACGCCAAATGAACATCCTTTATCGACTTGTTGGAAAAGTTTCCCTTACATTCCTTGCTTCTTCCGAATTGCCTTTCGGCGTTTGATTTATTATGCACACTCTGTGTGGGTGTTTTATCGGTTCGATGCCTTTTTCACAAACAATATCTCCACAAATGATTGAAATTAACTTTCTATTTTTTTCTTAGAGATAACAAACAAAAAGATCGTAAATTTCCCTTTCATCGAAGTTTATTTGATTTTCGGAATAGACTATTTGTGTCATAAAAGTCACATAAATCGCTATCAACTTCGCGCACTATTTATTTCTTACTCCTATCATTTCAATAAGCGCTAAAAGGCGTGCTACAGACTTTAATCAATCTCTTAATTCAAGTGAGTTGTTAATGATCTTTCAAACGTTATCATAAGTATAACCTTTGGAGATAACATCGTTCTATAGTAGAATTTCTTCACGGTTGAACATAGAACATGATAAGTTGAAATGAGTGTAATCTTGGCTCCTAAACCCAGACTTGGGAAGTGGAAATTGCGCTAATGATCAAAAAAAAAATGGTGACTTGAATCATCTGTTCCTGAGGACTGATTTTTACTAAATTCTTCTTCGTCTTATTCGGTTTGATGATAGTAATATACTCTAACAGCGTGTGTTACTTACTGTTAACGGACACGAGATCAAAGTGGTATTAACAGACGAGCACAAAATCCCCTTGAATCATTTTGATTGAAGATCTGATCTGGTGTGATGTAATTACCATTTCTCTCCATAGAACAGCATGTGTACTTCACTGGGTTTCTTTCTAAACAACTATCTCTTGACTTAATTTCTTATTCTGGTGGAGCATGCAGAGAGCTTTCTAAGATATCAATGTCCAGTGTCTCAAATATCAAAGCCTCTATCCTCAAAACTCACGCAATTAAATACATTTATGAAATTCGGGCAAATGATTGCTTTTACGTAGAGAAAACAAGTTTTGAAGGGGCCCTGTATCCACCAAAGACTCAAGTAAAGGAAATATACTTTAAATGACCCACTCGCAGAGAAGATGATTTGCCTTACCGGGTTTAAAATCTTGGACAGAGTACTGCTGCACCTGTTAGAAACACAACGAAACGGTAAAACCACTGAGTAACCAATTGTTTGAAACGCAAAACATATTTCATTGAATAGTAAACACTACACACACCATTAAACATTGACAATCTCAGCCGAAAGGCATATTCATCAGTACCACTCACAACTCGCTTTTGCCTAAGTTCTCTTAAATTGCAGTTTTTGATTAATTTTTTAAAAGGATCGAAGACGAATTGTCATACACATAAATAAAAAAAAATTAAATATAATGAAATGAGAAATGAGGAAATTATCGCAACATATGAATTACTTGCAAGAGTTTCATTTCTTCCCTGCTCATGTTGATGGATATCAACATTCATAATTATACCAAAATATGATGAGTAGACTTTTGGTAATTTTTTTTGTCTTCAAAATGGAAATACATAGCTTCCAATGAACACAGTGTAAAAAACATTCCGTGATAATTTTGATATTTGACAGTTAATAGTCTGTATTGCAAGCGTGACTGTCATCAAAAGTTGAATTTAAGACGTAAGTTCCTGCTACATCAACCCGTAATTTCAGTGCCGGCATTTAAAAGAGCCTTCCAGCAGAAGTTCTTTGGGTGAAGCAACGAAATGGGCGATTTGAATAATCTTTGTATGATCATAATTGAGCCGTGAAGGACATTAGGCTGTTAGCAATGTTGGTCACAACACGACGTGGTACGAGGATTGAGGAACCTTAAAAAATATGTTTTCGTCTTTAAAAGTTAATAAATTTAAATAGAAATTGGACAGCGACGTTTAACCATTTTATAAATAAAACATTGCACAAATTTTTGTTTATGAACCGTTTACGAAATGAAGGTCAAAGGACAACTGAGTTTAATAGCTTTAATTGAACCTTGGGGCATGTTTAAAGTGAGTAAAATACTTCTAATTTTTCTTGGAGACTCGAAAAGCGATTGATGATACAATTGGAAGAGTTTTAAAGACTTCACAATATGTTACATGTACCTTTTATTGTTTGTCTGTGGAACTTGTCAACCCCATCGTTTTCCTCTAACTGATCGCTGCAGACCAGTTTCCCGCGCCTTATGACGCGTCTGTCTTAGCTTGGAAATGAGGCTAGATGCAGAAAACTTTCAACATGGCAGGAGTCATGGCGGACCTTGTATGGAGTTGCATAATTGCCATTTTAAGGCTAAACTGTGATCTATAAGAAGCGTACACAACTGTTACAGATGATGAACTGATATGATGGATGAAACGCCTGACGACTACACCAGGGAGTTTTACGCAGAGGGAAGAACTCGAGATACATGTTAGTACTGGCTATACTATATTTATTTTATTTATTTATTACAATCTATGGTCAAAAAGGCCAAAGGATAATCTGCAAAGGAGTCCGAAACCCTATATAAAAACAGATCACCTATGAACTGAAATAAATACATTAAGGATAATAAATGCAAGAAATGCATCTATGAAAAGGAAAAATACTTAAGAATCACTAATAAATTTCTTAACTCGACTTACAACTTTTAAATTATCAAAATAAAAACAGATCACCCATGGCTTAAATAAATACACTGAAGACAATAAATTCAAGAAATGCATTTATGAAAAGGAAAAGTACGTAAGAATCACTAATACATTTCTTAACTCTAGACTTAAAAATATTTACATCATCAGAATAACGAATATCGAAAGGTAATTGATTCCACATGTCAATTATTCGATGGAAGAAACTATACTGGTAAAGTTTCCGCACAGCCCCATACTATTGTAAAACAAATCTGTTTTCCCAATGGAAATGTGTTGTTTTTGTCATTGTTTTCTCTATTCAAGAACTTAATGTAGTATGGGGCTGTGCGGAAATTTTACCACTATACTTCAAGACATTAGTTCTATATTTTAGCCGTTGAATCTTCGATAATATGACATAAGAATTCAAGTCCATCAATAGAAATTTATGAGGAATTGAACAAATTGGAACGAAAAAAGTTGTTGTCAGAATGTAACTTCTAAGTAAACGGCGGCTTGAATGTGACATGGATAAAACCCGTCTCGTTTTCCTTTAGCGACTCTTTTAGCGTCTTTCTACGGACTCGTTTTTCGATTTTTATCGTGGTATCAAGTTTCCTCTCATGTGCTAGCGTGTGGTAGGAGATGGCAGACTCTCAACTGGAACTTTTTACAGATGGTAAACAAGTGAGCAACGATTACGAACTTAAAAAATAGTAAAAATTTGTTTTCATATCCCACGTGGTTCGCCAAATAATAGCAGACTTTATCAGGGAGTTGTTACAAGTGGGTTGATAAGCTTTGAATTGATGAATGAATGAATTGTAAATAAAATTTCTATTTATGATTTAGTTCTAAATCTGACCCCATGCATATCATGTACTCGTACATGTAACGTCTTAAATTGTCATGCATGTACTGCTTCCTGTTTGTGGTTAAGTTTCTTTTTGCTATTTTATTTGTTCAATAGCAAGCCTTCTTGAGCCAGAATCATCAGAACATATGAGCAATGGCTTGGTGGAGCAACTTCAGCTTGTTCAACCTCAGATCGTTGAAAGGTGAGTAAATCTTGCTTTTTTAACAACCATTTGTAGAATTGTTGAGTGATTATAACTTGAAACACCCTTCCTTGTAAAATTGTGCTACCAATGATAAATGGAGTGAAAAAAACTCTCTCCCCTCTCCCCTTTTCAGAATCACTGGTTGGAGTTAACCATTCACAGAAGGCAAAGGGAATATTGTTCAGTAATGCTTAAGAAAAAGTGAAGGGGATTATTCAACAATACTCACTGAGCCTGAAGTAAATAATTATTTTAGTAATTAGTTGCTTAGGTGCTTTCAAATTCTGCTGTGAATGTTGGTTTTGAAACCATTCTGTTTCAATTGTTTTAACTACCAATACCAATACAAAGAGCAAGTTTGCACTAGAATTTGATGACTGACAAAATGCAAGGTAACCATTTTTAAATGTATCACTCTTGCCATAACCACCTTGTGCAAGGTAATTATGGTGAGATATGATGCACTCCTCGACCAATCAGAACAACTGAATCTTGAATCTTTAGAGCAATTATACAAAGGTTCTTTTATCCCAGCAGTAATGTAAAGGGGTAAGAGGTGAGTGAGTTTAAATGGTCTATTAAAGTAGGCTGTCTTAACTATTTTCTACTGGTTGTGGTGTGAAAAAACAAGAGAAAAGCATTAAAATTCATGTAAATTTGCTCCTCAAATATTGCACAGCATTAAAGTCAAGGAAAGTGTATTTGATCACAGTCACTTTGCTTTCAAAGGATTCACTGTTTTCACACCATATCACAATTTGATGTATGTGTTTGTATTATTCATAGCTCCTGTTGTCCACAAAAGCCATTGTTATACCTTACAATGGCTGCATGTATGGCTGGACTGGGTGGAGTTCTGTTTGGTTATGATATAGGTATGTGAAGTTGAAACTCAGGAATTATGTGCAACATTTTTGAAGGGGATGTTTGTGTGAAAACTTTGTAATTATACGTGTAAATAAGAAGGATTGCCTGCTTTAGGTTGATTAGTCCTGAAAGGAATGTTGCTGGGAGACTTACTGACAATTTGGCAATCTAATTGGGAGTTATCATCAGAGTCAAAAATCTAGGCACTGATGCTGTTGATGACTGCAACAACTGACAACATTCATCTCACTTTCTACCATGACAATCACAAGAAGTTTTTCTTGGTGCAAATCACATCTTCAGGGACAATACCACAAGGATAGCTTGAGACCTGCGCTTTTCTGTACCTGCATGTTGACAAGTTACTCTGACACTGCAGCAAACTATAGTGGTCTTTCCCTTGTGTTGAACTGGTAGGCAGAAGAGTTGAGATTAGTAATAGTAATAGTTATTACATTTTTCTCAGGTGTGGTGTCTGGAGCAATTCTTCAACTGAGAGCTGAGTTCCATTTAGATTGCACTCAACAAGAGATGGTGGTGAGTTCCATGCTGATGGGAGCAGTTCTGGCATCACTGATAGGAGGTAACATTAATTATTATGAAGTATGAATGAAAGATAGAGCACTTCTCAGCTGGGAGTTGTGAAGCCAAAGCAAAAGGAATCACCCAATGAACTTGTAATTGCTGTTCAAAATGCTCTTAACTGTTGTTGAGATAACATCAACCAGTATGTCCTATTATCTGTAGTTGATAACATATACATTTTTCAGTACTGATGGTAACTCTTTTATGCAGGATTAATAGTGGATTTTATTGGAAGACGTCTGGCTATTGTCATTAATTCTGCAGTGTTTCTTATTGGAGCAGTCATTTTGGCATTTGCACCCTCATTTGCAATTCTGGTGGGTAGCATATCCCATATAATGTTCCTTTTATATTCTTATTCCACTCAAGTAAATTGCTTTGTACTAAATGTTTGCCACTAATGAAAAATGACTCACGATTCTAGATTATTGGTCGTTTTATTGTTGGGTTTGGAGTGTCCTTGTCTGCCATTGCTGAGTGCATCTACATCTCAGAGATAGCTCCTGCAGTAAGTTTCATAATTATGATTGAGTTGAGTGCTTACCTTCTAAGATCTTTTAACTGATTCTCCCTTCTAATAGCCATACATTTCCTTGTAAAAATGTTGAGAGATTTTGTCATCATATCAAAATAACTCTAACTGAGAATCAATGTATTCTAATCTTGTGTTTGCTAGATGATGTTTTGGTGTTGAGGTCTAGTTTGCTTGGCTCTCTTGTCGCTGATTATTAGTGAGACACTGTTGATTATCAGAACTTGATGATGTTAATGAGAATTTAATTGATGTTGCATTATATTTGCTTTCTTGAAGCAAAATACATTTTCTTAGTTGGTAAATTAAACTGAGATATTAAAAAGTGTTTATTTTGTTTCAGAATAAACGTGGCCTGTTGGTATCAATCAATGAGCTTGGTATATGTCTTGGTCTTTTGCTAGCTTACTTGGCCAATGTGATTTTCATTGATTTACCATCTGGCTGGTGAGTCATTTTCTGTGTAGTAACTAAGTTCCAATGTGAGAAATGGGCAAGGGGGAGCTCAAATAAAGCTTTCCAACATTTTGAGAATGCATAGCCTCAAGAAACAAACAAAGAATAGGAAAATTTTCAAAGGAAATATATATGAAATGACCAGATTAATGTATTGTCCATTGGTTTGTCTTCAAGGCGCTACATGTTTGGATTGTCAGGAATTCCAGCCTTTATCCAAGGTATAGGAATGTTCTTTTTACCATACAGTCCCAGATGGCTGATAGTAAATGGACAGGATGAAAAGGTACAATTACAGTTACTTTAATGGCTTAATATATGTTATCTGTAGGTTATTTGTATACTAGGAAAATTACAAACTTCTGTCAACTCTTGATGTTTGCTTTAGCTAAGTTTAATAAGAAACTAATGAGTGATTTCTTTCAGCAAAATAGAGCCAAAATTACCAACCTTTAGTCTGTATGTGATTGTTCATGGTGAACAACCTGCTCCTTTTCTATTTCTCAGGCTTGTAGAATGATTCAGAAGCTTCAATGGTCAGGTGACCCACATGAAGAGTTTACAAGGATCAAGTCTGGGCTCAAAGTGGAATATGTATGTACTTATGATTATGCCACTAGAAGTACATCTCTGCAACACCTGAACCCTAGCCCCTTCAGAACAAATATAAGGAAATTCTTTCCAACAATTATAGGGTGCTACTATTGGAATGATATTCCTATATCTATGCAGGAGAAGCCCATTAAAGAACTTTTTCCCTTTCTCAGTACTGATTAATGTCTTCCTCTGACCATGTTTTATTTACATATTTGTTGTTTAAGGTGTGATTCTTATTCCCTCTCTTGTATTTGAATCTTATATCTCATATCTTATTGTACCGCTTCTTTTTATTGTATGAAAAAATGTAATAATATTTAAGGTAAAGGGCATCTAATTAGCTTGCCATATTATGCCCTTCTCCATCCTCTTATCTTACTTGTAATTATTCACTAGACTCTAATCTGTTGAAATGGAGGAAAAAATAAATACCAAAATACCAAATATGTATTTACTTGAGGTGACTTACAGCTGTACAGAGGATTGAAGGTTATATGGGTTATTGCCCATTACATTTAAGGACAAATTATAGATACAAATGAATATCTTGCATTAAAACGCGCTGAAAGGTGATTGTCCATGTAGGTTTGAATGTCTTATTTGAAACTTTCTGGGAGAGTGTGACATGCTAATCTAAATCTTTCCATGGCTGTAGCTGAAGAGAGATGGTTGAGGTGGGTGGGAGGGTACTTCATTGAGGGAAGAATTTCTTACCATAAGCAAATAATCATGTATGTTTCAAATGCTCAAATGATGATGATGCCAGGTGCTAATGAGAGACCTTCTGACCTTAAAATTCTGTACACATGTTCATTCCTGCTGCTAGCAGATTTAGGCGCAATTTTTCATTTCATTCGTCATTCAGTTCAAGTTTTTGTGCTGCACTGTTGCCCCTCAGTTCAATTATTCTCAGTTAGACACTTTGCAAGCAGCACCCCTTCAAATATTTGTTGAAGTGTTTGTTAATATGTTGTTCACAGCGCTACAAGTTCACAGACCTGTTAAGCAGTATGGAAAACATGAGAAGCAGGATGCTTGTTGGTGGTGGAATTGTGTTTTTTCAACAGGTATGGACACTGAGCATTGTGATTAACAATCATTTAACTGTTTTTTGCCTTCTCTTTTATCCTGTGAATTCAGAAGATGTGTTCCATACAGCTATTTTTCTCTCCTAGCTGCTTTACATTCCCTTGTAAATCAATTGAGAGTATCTGTTCAGTCAGTTGTAAGTAGTTGGCCCTACCCCACTAGCGGATGATTTTGTCTGTTCTGTATGTGTGGATGATGAATTGATTATGAAAGGAGAAATTAATTGTTGATTACTTGAGAACTGCAGGGTTTAAAGATTAATATCAAATTAGTTTTGCCAATAGTCTAGGAAACTCCATAAAGACTTCTATCAGTATGAATTGTGCCATCTTTGGGGTATTGAAAATTTGAATTTTCAGGAATATACCTTCACCCAAGCCTTAATAAGAAAATAGGGATCAGAATTATATGAAACTAACACTACGTTTTAGTTTTTTGTAAATAATGCTCGTTATGATCTTGTTGGTGTTCAAACTGCAGTCAATAAATTGGCAGATTTAATAGGTATTGAGATAATCTGCAGAGCTCTGAAAAGCAGATCCACTATTGTAGGGGAGCGTAAAATATGAGTAGTTCTGTGTATAGTTTTGTGGAAGAAGATTTAGACCTGTTAGCCTGAATCTGCTCAAGGGAATATTTGAAGGGGAAGGTTAACAATAATATTTTAAGAAAGCTTCATGGGTGATTGTGGGCTTCATAGTTCACAGGTCAGCCAACTGTGGTGTATTACGCATCAACAATCTTCCAAGCGCTCGGCTTTCAAAGTGGTGAGAAGGCAACGTTAGCAAGTTTAGGCATCGGAATAGCAAAGGTGAGTTCTAAGCGTATAGAATACCGCGCCTGTTTCTCAGCTCAAGTTGCTTTTTAGCTAAGATAAGTATTTTCATTCCTTGTCTTTTCTTGTTTCAGCTTGTTGCTACTATAATATCTCTCAGTACTGTGGACAAAGGTGGTAAGGATTGCCTTTCCCCGTTCAAGTTACACCTTGAGTGAAACTTTCAATTTATAGTTGGAAGTAATCAGGGATTGTCTTGATTTTGTGCCCTTCTTTCTCTGATTGATCTTGGAAACTTATAGCAACTCCTCAAAAAATTAGGTGCAAAATTTAAAGTAATCGTGACTCAGTCACCTCACTTTTATTGCCCTCAAGGTTGGTGGTATGTTCTCACAAAAAATGTACTTTAAGTTTTATTCAGCCACTTGTGATGATTATCTGTGTTCTGACTGGCCATTGCGGGTAACTTAGCGGTAGTTCTGCGAGTTCTTAATTTTCTTTTTCCGCTGAAGGAACATTTTATATCATTTGCAGGTCGTCGTCGTTTTCTTCTCATAGGTGTATCAGTGATGGCTGTTAGCATACTCACGTTAGGGATCATTTCACATTACTCACCACTGGGTCTGCATCCAACCAGGAAATGCCACTTTGTTACGCAGACAAGGAACTTTACTGAACCAGCATCGAACCAAACACACATGGCAAACAAAGGATTGCGGTATTTGACCCTCAGTGCTCTGGTACTCTTTGTTGGTGCCTACTCATTCAGTTTTGGACCAGGTTTGTTTAAATAGTGAGAAAAGCGTTTGATTATAGTTGTTTAGAACAAGGAGTTTCGTCTGACATTTGAATTGTTGCGTGGAGTTGAATGTAGGAATGTTCAGTTTACAGTCCCTATCTTGCCTCTTGCAACACTGCACGCCGGTCGAGTGCGCTAATTTTCTCAAATTACACGCGCTTGGCACGCAAATTGCTTGTGTGAAACACGCAAATGCGCAAAGTGTTCTGCATTTGTGTAGAATGCGTGTACATCATACGCAAGTAGTCAGCTGTAACTCATGACGAATATATAGTAAGACAGACAGATAGACTTTCGTCTTTAAATTGTTGCTATATTGTTTCGGATCAAAATTGAAATTGATTGTTTTGCCCTTAAACTAAGCAACGACCCAACAACTGTTATATATACATAAAGGCAGTTTTCAAAACAAACCGAGAACGTGATGACCTTTTTTGTCGATTTTCTATCTGATGGTAAAGGAAATGTTATTTTTTTGATGAGGATAGAAAAAGGATCTGTTTAGAGAAATCTGTTAAGTAGGGGACCGAAATCTGCCTTAGTCTTAGTTCGACATGTAGACGAAGGTTTTTGCCCGGAGAATACGGTAACGATTTTCTATTCGGAAGACTATTTTTCAAATACATGTCTTGACAGCTACTCAAATTCTAGGTGTATAGGTTACTTTTTTTACGTAGCGTCAGCGGCCGATTCGAACCTTTGTGGAAGCAAATCGCTTAAGAATCCTAAATGGGTTGTATTTTTATGATCGAACCAAATTCATTGAATCCCTCAAGAATATATGTGGTGCCTTATCAGGCAGCAATAATGGCCAGAGAACCTTGGTGACTGATGCGAATGGTAAATACAGGAGAAGTGAAAGATTAGAAAGAATTATCGTAGAAGAAAAGATAAATAGGAGAAGAAGAAAAGAAAGACATAGTAGGCAGCAACGGGAAGGGAACATATATGACGCTTTCAACAACAACAGTTAGAGAGACAGAGAAAGTTGGTAAGAGATGTAGAGATTAAGTTGATGTGATGCAATGAACACTATTCAAACGTCATTCTTACTCTTGGTTTTTAAATGTTTAATCCATTTGCAAGACAATAGTGAGTTAGGGGAACAAAACATGAAGAATTTCCATGTGTCGACCTTTTCATTACGTCACATAAGGCCAGGAGCTAGAAACACTAACATCCCTTTTTTTCATCAACAGTGTCTTGGTTGGTGTTAAGTGAAATTTTTCCAGCTGGTATTAAAGGCAGAGCTTTTTCCATCACTACTGTAATCAACTGGGGCACAAATCTGTTTGTTTCTCTCACATTTCTTGACATGCTAAGTAAGTAAAATATTCGTTATATAAATACTTTCCTATCCAGTCTACTTGTATTGTATCTGCAACAGCCTGGTTGGCCTGAAGTATCTTTGGTTTTTCCTCACTAAGTTCTGTGATCAATCTAGGAAACTGGTGGCTCTCTCTTGGCTAGTCGATGCAAAACTTAACTTTCTCACGACTTGATCACTCAGGTTTTTCCGAGCACCAGGCACTGAGTTTGCTTGTTTTTACGTTGAAATACCTTTGGCTCCGCATGGAATTTGTCTCGTTTCTCATTGGCTAATATGATTACTTTCATTTTGATTTCAGTAGCACTCAGCGTTCGAACATTGTACAGTATACTATTGCTTAGGGTTAGATCCGAACGAGTACTGAAATGAACTTACAGAAAAATCAAGTTCTTTTTTTTTTTTCTCAGGTGGCATTGGAACGTCTTCAACCTTTATTTTCTATGCAGTTGTATGCATTCTAGCTCTACTATTTGTTTATAAATATGTCCCGGAAACGAAAGGCAGAACTTTGGAACAAATATCCGCAGAGTTGAATGCAAGGTAACCAATGGTGCTGCATATAGTTTTATGAATACACTATAATTCTCAACTCTTCAGATCCCAAGAAAATGAACAACCCGTTTTACAGAGTGACGAAGCACCGTACTCCATTTGCTCCGACGAAGGGCTAACACTCGAAAAGTTGCTCTAGATACTCTTTACAAAGGCAAATTTGCGTCATCAACACACTTGATAGAACCAAATTATCTTACTATTGACTAAAGTTTGTCAAGAAGCACATCTGGTTTTGGAGATAACTTGATAAGAAAACTTAAACTTGCCATGGGAACTAGTAAAGTGTTTAAAGGACGTTCAGCTCCTGCAAGTTTACCTCGACAGTTGTCTTTTACAACTTTCTTGACCAACTATATATAGAAAGCTAAAAACGTTTCCTCAATAGGTGCACCTGCTCAGTACAACTTGTCTTTCTAATGCAGTTGAAATGAATAGTCTCCAATAAAATATTTATCTATTTTCTCAGAAAACCACGAGAGATCCTGCCAAAGAAACTGACCTGTTGTAAGGGCAGAGGAAGACGAAGGTTAAGAGAGCTGGGGACAAGACCTTCGCCTACTGGGTCTGCCACTGATATGTTACTGGAGAATTCTTGCTGAAATTTGAGCCGTTTGGATAATTGCAGTAATTGACATGTGCAAGACAGTTCAAGGTCGTCTGATCGTCAATCTGAAAGTCTTTGCAGCCATCGATTGGTTACGCCACTTTAACGCTCGTGGATACGATGACTCTCTCAGAAGAGAAGGAGAAAGAATCGAAGGAAGAACTATTCGAAACTGCTGATAAAGAAATTGCGAAAAAGCGAAGGAGTCGATCAGACTGAACTCTTAAAGTATAGCCATTTTCAGCGGAACACCTCAAATGTTCAATTCCTGACAGATTTAGCTAGAATAGCAATGATGTGTTCGGTTTGTTGGGTTGTGAATCACGTTTTATATTTTTTTTGCACCGGTGTAAATAGCAAACGTTGAAATTGAGCTTCTCAAGATAATAGGGAAGCTACTTGAAATTACCTTTTCTATGTAAGAAATCAGATATGATTGCCTCATCGCCGGAAATTTTTGCGAAAAATATAAATTATTTCGGAAGCAGGTAGCTTGTCTAGTTTCTACTATATTCCCTATTCGTTTCGTTCCATGGCGCGGCGATAGCTCTTGCAAAACCGTTAGTGAAAGATAACCCCTAGCCCTACCCTGCTATATTTCGTAAAGTTCCACCAAACAATTTACGTATTTTTCTCGTTTGAAGTGTTATGGAAGGAGTTCTGTCGTACGTTTACACATGATTAACTCGCTACGATTTCAGTGACAACTTCATTTCTAGGGGCCACTCGAAAGAGCCGTCAATTTTAAAACTGAGGTGCCCTGGGCCGGAGGTCGATACACAAAGTTCTCATCTGGTCGCATCCTGGTTCCTGGGCGGGGTTCCTGTGGAGTCTTGTGGGGCTCACTGTGCTAATGCTAGCCAAAACCTTAACAAAGGCGCGCGCGAATGAGGCTATGGTCACCATGGTAATTTGGTTTTATCAACTGAGTTGATAACGTTAATTAGCCACCGTAAAGAGTTTCAAAGCTGACGTTTCGAGCGGTAGCCCTTCGTTAGTCCTTCGTCACCTTGCTTTTGTTTCAAACCTGAGTACGCTGGACCAATATTAATTAATACAAAAACAAAAACAAAAGAAAACAAAGAAAAGAAAAAACAGGTTTAATAACTCAGTTCATAAACGTCATTTGTCCAAGGGACTTAACATTCCTGTCACTTTGAATGTGTACATGATGCTTACTAAAAAGAAAAGGAGTGAATCCTTCAGTGAACAAACCAATGTTCAGTAACCTACACTGTTCACAAATAGAACAACCAGACAGACACCAGTTGGCATAACTGTATTCGATTGACAAATTTTAACTCGCGGTTAATTATTTATTGACCCACAGCGAAGAACCATCGATTTCCAATGTTTGAAAATAAGCTGGTCGACGACAAAACAGAGACAGATATAACAATCGTACTCAGACTTTTTGTTCAATTTTGATAAGCTTCTTGGCTGACTGCTACGCAGGTTTCTTAACTTGAGTAATTTGATATTTGGGCCACAAACCATTGGACTGGTGGTATCGCTGCTGCTGAGGAAAAAGGTCCTGTTCCGCACTGTTCTTGACTGGATGAGAATGGCTTAGGTTTTTTTTTCATGTAAATTCTTGCATAAAGGAAAAGGTAGGGAAAAGTACCGAACAATTTACCATGTTTAGTCTACGGTTAAAAGTACGCAAATATTTCAAGTAGAACAATCTTTATTGTTTAAATTGATTCTTCTAATTGTATTCTTTCCAGAAAGTTTGTGATCACTGAAAAGATAGAGAAGTATCAGAAACATTCTCATGTTCCGAGCGACCGCATTATTTGTAGCATTTGCTCTCTTGTCAAGTCTTTTTAACCTGTGTAAGTATTTTTGAGACATCAAAATTTCACTCGATGACCCTTGTTACTAAACAAACTGGTTGCTTGTGGGGTTCCATTTTTTTATGATAACCGTCAAACCTTCAGTGCAGTTTCTGTTATCCTACAGTATTACATCAATACTGCTCTACAGTTTTCTATCATAAAAGGCTCGTGCCTCTTGATAGAGTTATCCACGATGCCGGTTTCAAGTTCGTAATTAGCAATCCGTGATGGACCATCTATGCTCCCTTTTAGTTTCTCCTTCCCTCTTTTCCAGCCAAACTACCATTGAAAGGTTTTCCACCAATTAATCTCACTAAAAAGCCTTTACAAAATTGAAAATGAACTCGTATGTGGTTGATTGTCGAAAGTAATTCATTTATACAATTGGGTTCTACCTTGCTACGCTCTGATTGGTGTCAAAAACTTGAGTTTCCATTTGCTCCTTGTAACATTTTCCTTTGTTCTGATTGGCTGTTGTGGTTTTACGACACAGTCTAATAGCAAGCTATATTTTGTAACACTCTAGACATCACTTGCATTACAAATGTGACAAGACATCTTACTTTTTTGTCAGGGGTACAAGCGTTTAAAAATGTCCAACAGAGAGCACAAACAAGAGATCTGAACGGACTGTTAAAAAGTATGTAAATGATTAAGCTTCTGTCCTTATACTTCAGATCAGTTCAGTTTACTTGTTATAAACGACAAATCAGATCACAAATCTATGATCCTATACTTAGGATTTCTCAGCGTAAAAGATAAAGACCTAGTTCACGAATAATAGTTACATTACTAGAGGTGTGCACCCCTGATTTTGCGTCTTACTCTTTGACCTCCTTTTTTCACCTTTTAGGTAAATTCATTACATTCGCTCGCCATGGGTTTGAAGAACACAACAATTTCCGTACTCTTCATCATGTTGCACCCCTCAAATGGTCAGACAAGTTAGCCATACAGGCTCAAAAACTCGCCTACAAAATGGCGCTCAAAGGAACCATTCAGGTCCCGGGTATTGATTTGTTTGGCGAGAATAGAGCCAGGCTTTCCGCGGTTAATTTCGACTGCGAGACGGCTGGTGAAGAAGCCACCAAGATTTGGTATAATCAAGGTAGTAATTACAGCTTCGCTGATCCTAGGCTGAACAGCAATACTGATTCATTCACTCAAGTTATTTGGAAAGGAACCCGGGATGTTGGAATGGGTTGTGCACAGAGGAAAGGAACATTAAGCAATGATATATTTGTTGTTGCTTTGTACTACCCTCCTGGAAATAGTCCGCGCGCTCTTCGGGAAAATGTGGTCAGTCCTAATAAAAACGTTAACGATGCATATTCGTCGATATTCCGAAGACGAGATGAGTTATCTAAAACCAAACGAACACGAATTTTGACTCGGGGAGAAAGAAAGACAAAAGCGCAAGAGACGAAAACGAGCTTGAACTTTGATTCCCTTTTCCCTTCCCTCCGCCCCTGAAAAAGCTATGGTATGAAGAACGCCGTTTGCGCATGCGCACTGAGTGACTCCCTTATGAGAACACATCCCCGTATAGTACTGTATATGTCCGTTGTGAAATGGCTCTGAAGTGTTTCATTTCTTGATCAACCACGGTGATCAACACAGCATTTATTCACGCAGGCGAATACAAGATAACCCGTGAAACGAGGATGTGGAATTGGTCAGCAAGCAAGTTTTAGGAGTTAATAAAGGAAAATCAGTTCCTCGTTGGCAGATTTCTTAAATGTCTAGTGAACTTACCATTTCCAAGTTCCGATTGAATGGAATAATTGTCCTTTGTCGTGAATATACAGACAGTCATCACTGCTGCAATTATTACAAAACACCACGGCTTAAGTAGATAATCAATAATGTCTGCGGGAAATCTAATTGAAAGAAAGTGGATAATTGATGACGCTGACAAAATGATACGCCTACTTAATTCTTTCTCAAATTTAACAATTTTTTCTTGGCAATTTTTTTTTTGTCATGGAGGATGTATTTTTTATTTTTTCCCGCCTCCCCCTGTTCCTCACAAGGGTATACTTAAAAAAGCGTCACTGATTCTCAAAGTACCATTAAGAAGTATCTAGAGAACGCCTAAAGCAGTAGTTATGCATATAAACACTATTTAATGTCCAAAGAAAAAGGATAGTAGCAACATCTTGTAAAAAAAAAATTGTATTACGATGCTTGTATTTTTTCTCTGATTAATTACAATGATCGCAATTCAAGACTCTATGGAAATATTTTCTTCTTTTTCATCTTTCTACTGTTTTAAGTTTAGCAATGACGTGACGAAGTTCAATGAATGTAGTTGAGTGAAAGTTTTTTCGGTCGATAAATTTTTAATAATCAGCATAATGGCGAACACCTTGAATTTACTTCGCGGAGGTTTTTGAGTTATTTGTCATTCATTACTAACAAAGTGAATTGCCATTTCTTATAGGAGTAATGAGGTTAGTCTTTTGCATTCCTCTTAAAGTAACTGCCTAAAAAAGACGTCTAGTATGTTAACATTGTCTTAATCTTGAAGTTTGTCATTTGTTGATAACAGGTCACTGTTTAGACGTTATTTCGCTATTTTACTTTTAGAATGAAATTATTGAGATGATGTCAATGTTTGGAAAGAAATTGTTTGTTTCTTGGACAGTGACCGGAGAAAATCTGATGTTTGGGCTTAAGAATTCTAGTACTTTAAAAACAACGGTGGCTACAAGAGTTTGCTGTAGATCTGTACGAGAAACTGCCGAAAATCTATCTATTGTGGCACTTACATTATTCCATTTATGTAGGGAATGTTGCGCAGAAAAGCGATAGAATTACTTATGTTTGTGGTAAAGAGTCCCAAAACTTCCCATTATCGTCGACTCTTGTTTATCTCCGAGGAAAATTATTATCTTCAAACCAGGTTGCAACAACGCCTGACGTACTCTTCGTTCAACCGTAAAATTTGTCTTATTCCTCACCAACAGTTCCATTCTCCCCTTTTACGCATAGACCAGAAAACTACTCGAGAAGGTGAAATATTAGAGTACACCTATGCTCAAAAAGAAAAAAAAAACAGGAAGTAACAATCGCAAACATTTAAAGCGAGTGCAGAGGCTAACTGTTTACATATTCAGTTGGACATAGTAAAGTGGGTATGGTAAAAACGTAAGATTATCATTTAGTGCCTGCTACTTAACCGAAGGTTATCGATGACTCCTACCGCTGGTGAAGGAATTGTAGTCGCAACTATCTAATAGATAGGAAAGCACTAGTTAAGAGTTATTTCTTGGTGTAATCAAATCACATTCGTACTTTTCATTTCACTTGATGCCAGCAGATGTAAATCATTAAGTTAAGCAATGAAGATGATGGTAGTTACAAGTGTACTGATCTGTCAAGCTGCTTTGTGCCTTACGAGAGCCGAAGGTTAGTTTATTTTGTTAAACTACTAAAGATCTTGGATGTTCAAGTACTTGTTCAAATAAAGCTTGAAGTTTTCAATGGAGTGACATAAGTGATCACATGGTTTCGTGAAACAAAGAGGGAGAGAACACACACAAAGAAAGAGTGACGCGGAACAAACAAAGAATACAGTTACATTACAAATAACTTACTAAAGTGGATGACTCTCTTCACAAAAGGCGTTTTGCCTCATCGCTATAAGACTCCTTACCTTTTGCATTGCAGATGAAAGAAATGAATACCAGATGTCAAAAGCATTTAAGAAATCCATTGAATTACAAACTGCTTACGTTTACCGCAAAAATATGCCCAAGAGACATCATTACTCTGGTAAGGAATGAAGTAATGTAAAATTCAATGTTTTCCTGAAAACAAAGTTTTTCGGTTTTTTGATGAGACAGAGCATGATTATTTCTCTGTGTTCTCGTGACAGTGATCCTTGGAAGTAGTGGTAAAACTGTTATTGGGCCGCTCGTTCCTGAGTCTGACGATGAACAGATCCACAGAGTTCAGGGATTTGTGCTTAGACCGGACGCTATTAAGATCGGTTAGTGTTCAAAACACTGCTGTTAAGACCACTTTGCGATTAAAAGGCAAGTCAGAAAAACGTTAAGATCAAAGGGGATCACTAAGTACGTACAAGTATCTTACATGTGGCGCGAATAATAGTGAGAGACCAATTTAGAAGTGAATTTCGTTTGGTTTCTTATTGGCTCAGGGGATGGCGCAAGTTTTCAAAAACATTCACAGCGTGTTCTTAAACAAAAGCTATGCGACCCCAAGTTTTTCAGGTCTAGTTTTGTCTGAAAATTGCGTTATTCAGTATCCGGGCTAATGTATTCATGTATTTCGAAGACATCTTGGCGAAGTTAGTCCGTTCTGTCCTCCTTTCCCTGTTTCAAGGTAACCCCATAGAATTTGCAGGAACAGCTCTAAGCACCCATAATCGCTATCGCAAGTATCACCACGACCCTTCACTAAGGTGGTCTGACAGGCTGTCATCGCAGGCCAATAAGATAGCTTATCAAATGGTGCAGCAATTCAGTAAGGATAACTCCAAGAGATTTGAGGTGCCTGATGAGGAGAGTCTGGGAGAGAATGTGGAACGATTCCTCGGTGTACAATTTGGATGCGACTCGACTGCAGCCATGAAAGCAACCGATAACTGGTACCAGGTACGCTTCATGCGTGTTGAATAACAGCGCTACTGTACCTTCAGGGGACACCCTCGAGTTTGAGGAAAAGAAAAGTGTCCCCGCAATGAAGGTAACAGATATAAGGGATATTTCGGATTAGAGGAGAGTGCTCCAGATTGAAGAGCATGATAATACTTGAGTATAGCGAGATACAGATTGGTGCCTTAAAGTTCACCTAGGTGATCATTTCGGTTAAGTGACTCATCGGTTTTTTCTTTTTCTTCAGCAAAGCAAAAACTATAGTTATAACTACCCTCACATTCAAGATGGAACTAGCTCCTTCACTCAGTTGGTTTGGAAAGGCTCACAGTCCTTTGGAATGGGCTGTGCTCTACGTAAGGGACTCTTGGCCAATGACGTGTTTGTGGTGGCTCTGTACAGTCCCCCTGGGAACGTAGGAGACGGCGTGTCTCTGAATGTCTTGAGGCCTGGAATCAAAGAGGCGGCCAAGCCTGATGTCTACTCAAATATATTCCGTAGAAGCAAAATGGCTAAGAGTAGAGACAACATAAACCGTAAAAAACTAGATTAATTCTCATTTGAGTGTCGAAAATAATCCAGACCTGCATCAGTTTTACTTTGTTTTTGCTTTTTGACTGGTCTAGAAACTCACGCAAATCAATTAAAAAACTTACGCGAATCAAGATTCGGTCACTGAGGCTTTCCTGCTCTTCAGGCAGTTTGCATATTTTTACTTTGAGTTGCCGTTGATTTTTAACAATAATTTACTTTGTTTGATTGGCTGCTATGATTGATTTGGTTTTCAGTGTAAATTGAAGGAACATTTTCTTGCCTCGTGAGTACGATTTAGCTTCGAGATAATCTGGTTTGTTTGGGCTCAAGAGAAAGGCTTTTCCTTAATAATGATGAGTGTTTACAGATATCAATTTTTTTTACCAGAAAAAGTATCCAAATGAGTTCTTTCGTATGTTGTTTTTCAAATCTAAAATTGTCCGAAAAATAGGGTTGCTATAAATTTATATTGACTGCAGTTAGTTAAAGTATGTATTTACGCCATGCCTATCATGCCTGTTTGTGATTCTGTGGTAAAGAGTTGCGCTAAATCACAAAAGTTTCGTAATCACCCAACAAGTTAAGCTTGCCGTTAAAAATACTTTTTAAGGACAGTACTCAGCTAATTAAATGTACTTAAGAGCCTTACACGCGGATGATTACCCTATGCTGTTCTGTGACTAACTGGTTATTTAACATCTTCAAAGGACAATTTATGCCTGTCTATCGGGTCTGAGAGGGGATCATCATGTTGCTGAAAGGTGTGTGGGTGAACAGGAAAGACAAATAAAATTGTGTTATTGGTTCTATTAAATTAATCTATGCTACATTTCCATTGATTTATCTACGTTTCGGCAGGGTGGGGCTCCAGGCGAGTGTGATTGAGTACGCATGCGTCTCCAGCCCTTAGAATTAATACTAAACCGGAAGTAACTAAAGAAGGAACTAAACCGGAAAAAAAAGGCGTCATGAAAAACATTCAATGATTGGCGAATAATTTTCTTTTCATCCTAAAGAAAGTGTTTTCGTTTTAATGCAAGCAAGATATTTCGAAAATCTGATAAACAAGAGAGAAGAGAATTGCTTCTCCATGGCCGGCTATACTGTTCGACCAGCCGGCAAAACACCTGTTGGACACCAGTTGGGTAAGATGAATACAAAACCGTTTATGCTTCTCCTGGATGACATTAAGCCAAAGCATGCGAACAGATATGACTTTTATCTAGGCACAGGTCTTCTTGTGTCATGGAAAACTAAAGAGTGAATGTCAAGTGTGAGTTTGAGCGGGAAATTCTCTATTGATCTTTATCTCTCTGATTGCCTACGAATGGTCAAAGAGGCGATGAGGCCACAACATTCGTCACTTCTTAAAATAGCATCAGTGCTCATGGCTGACCCAAGAGAATATAATCCTAACATGGTAGAGAGTGTTGCATCGAGTATCCAAACTCAGACGAGCAGATGCTGATTCCACAACACCACTATTGTCGTCAAAGTAACATTTCAGCCAGCGGTGGTGATGGCCGCTCAGATCAACGCTATGATAACGAGTTTGATAGGACTGGTGATGTTTTGTTTATTTACTGCTGAGATATATCATTATTACGGTCATCATATTAAACTCATGATTTCGAGAAGATCATTGGGAAAGGGGAAAAAATTGACGCATTTGGAAGTCAAATTCCCTAAGAACTACCACGCTACCGGAAGGCTCTTTCTCCCTCATAGCAAGATCGTGGAGCCGTTTGAAATTTGGTTTACGTCAGAATTGAACAGAAGTCGAATTGACTACTATTATGGTATGTGACCAAGTAACATGCTCATATGGCACTTAAACTATCTACTCACTCTTCAGTTTAACTTCTGAGTCTAATAGGGAAACTGTTGATGAAAAGTGTATTGCTGTACATCTGCTTCATTTTTTTTTCTTCTTAGAGGGTAAGTTGGGCGGGCGCGGGTCCACGCCTGAAGTGAAGTTTTACCTCACCAGCCTATTCACAGGGATACCGGTCTGTACTCGTCCGTGCATCCAGAAATCTGCCTTTGATATTTTGGACGATCAGAGAGCTTTTGTGCCTTTCCCTGAACGTATCTCAGAGATAGCCTCAAATACAATGAACGAAAAATTGCGCGCTGAATTGTACCATTACACATCGACTTAAGTCACGTAAAGTTGACTTCATGCGTAAATGTTTCTTGGACAATATTTTATGTAGAACTAAAATTCCCAGGCCTTCCATACCAATAGACAGTGAATGGTACAAAAGAAGCAGCATAAACAACACCTTTAAAAGGAAAATCACTGCCTTCCATGAATCACTGTCAGCAGCAAAAGTGGGTTTTAGCTTCTGATATTGTTGATGTTGTTTTTATATCTTAAAGGTACGGACAAGACATACCAAAGGGCAGACCTTGGCGAGTATGGGGTGACATTCAAAGTAGTACCAATGTACACAGAGAAAGATGGTAATTATATCGGCTGCTGGAAACTTGAGGGACACAAAGGATGGCCTATTATACCACAGCCTATTGTGCCCAACATGACCTACTTTACGGTTAGACACTTCGACACCAATATTTAACAAATGCCATACCTGTTATTCAGCACTCGATTCTCTCATAGCTCGAACCTAAGGTTTCCTCGAACAATTTTGTAAATTATTCCTCAATGTAGAGGTTTAAATATGTTACTAGAGTCGTAATAGTGACGTGAAATATGTTATTCTTCGAAAGTTCACGCAAAAAGAGAACAGCTTAGATTTGACATCGCTACATTAAACTGAGCTCCTGGTTTGACTCCAATCGCCATACTGAACTATTTTACCTCGACATTTGGCTAATCTCTTTTCTCCCACAGTACGCAGGTGAGGAAGTATACATGGGCACGCCTGTCACAAAGTGGGAATACCGCTACCTTGTCTTTGACATGCTGAATACTCACACTCTCCTGGTCAGCAAGATCGGACCAGTCCATCCCGTGCGTTATGAGATGAAGGGTTATGACAGTCTTATGGCGAGTTATTATGATAGTTACGTGTTGGAATATATTTCATTTGAAGAATGGAAACCTGACTTGGACAAGTTTGAGTTACCAAAAGGTCAGTTGTCGTTTACATCCTGTAGTCCATGATGCAATTATTTCTATTTTACAAAACTCTTTTAAAGCTCATTTGTTCTTACCTTCTCTGTTTCCTTTTTTTCACTGTTTTGTGTTGTCGGTTAAGACACTTCAATCCCATAGCCCCTCTCTCCTCCTTGATAATAAACGGTTACCAGCGATGCTTTAAGAAAACAATGCGAAATACTGGGATGGGTAAAGGGGGGGTTAAGGGGAGAGACTGTTATTCTTAAAAGGATAACTACAAAGGAGAAGCAGTTTTCGGTAGCAGTGTGTTAGTGAGAGCGTAACTCAACCTCAACCTCAACCTACCCCAGCCATGTATTCCAACGCTATGCGTGAGTAGCTGTGTTTTACAGGGGTGTCCTTTTTTCAGATCAATGGTGCTACAACTGGTCACACTCTTTAGACTCTCATTTTGTATCAAATCCCATGGGTGAGTTTATGTCTTATGGAGAGGACCTGGTGGATGAGATGTACCACATTTACAACCAAAATCACGGCAAGGTCCATGATTCTAAACATGAACACGTGAAGAGAAAGCACATTTTCCGCCACAATATGAGGTAAGAGTGAGGGAAAAGCGAATTTTCAGGATCACTCACGAGGAGGAGTAAAGCAAAATCAAGTGAATCACAGATTACCATGTGAAATTTATATGTACTCACTATGTCACCTGTGTTTAATGGTACCTTTTTCCTTAAGCAGGAATGGCGGCGTGATAGTTTTGAAAGGCGATTGTCTCCGTCGTGCTTGTAATTCTTTGCTTTCCAGAGAACGACAAGATTCTGGCCTTCACTTAATGTCTATGCTAAGACATAGAACTTTACTTCCTTTAGGTACATCAGGTCAATCAACCGACAGAATCTTACTTACAAACTGGCTCCGAACCATTTGGTCGATCTTACCGACGAAGAATACGACGGTCATGGAGGTATGATAGAGGGCAGCTTGGTCAACTTATTAAATCATTATTGTGGTAAAGCTCAAATTAGGTTACTTCTACAGAAAAATAACACATCTGGTTGGTACAGTCCATATTTCAGCAGTTGGATTCAAGTTTCCAGTCTCGGATGAACTTAAGGTGTAAAATAATTTTGATATGCGTAAGGATATACCCATTCATTTGAAATATGTTAAAGTCAGGATGACGACAAATGCAATGAAATGTAACTAATTGGTGATTTGTGATGTGGAATATAAGGATATGGGAGATTAATGATGTTTACTTTGATTTTACTTCGTTTATTTGCAGGGGCTAACGAGGATAACAGTACGGAACATGAAGGAAGTGTTCATTTGGAGGAACATGAAGCCCATAGTAATATGATGTCGGCACCAAAGGCTATTGAGATTCCAGATGAGTTAGACTGGAGAGATTTCGGTAGGAGATGATTCATTCTAGGGTTCTTAGTCCATTTGTCAAGACGCTTACATATTTACATCCCAAATTAGCACCTTACACATATTGAGACTATTGTCAGATTTCAAACAAATCGTCTCATTTTGGGCGGTTTCGTCTAATTTGGGATGGTTCCTTTTTTTTCGCATGGTTGCGCCTCATTTACAAACAGAGGTGATCACTAAATGTATGATCTTGGCATACATAACGAACCCAACTCGATTTGCAATAATTTGTTTGCAGGGGAAGTAACACCAGTTCGAGGTCAGGGGATATGCGGTTCGTGTTACGCCTTAGGAGCCGTAGGAACCGTGGAGGGAGCATATTTCCTGAAGGTATGAATCATTCAGCTTAAATAATTTTGTCCTTGTCTTTTGTTCCTTCATATCAATCATAGCGCCTAACCCTTGGGTTTTGCGGTCGTTCTTAGACAGGTCGACTTGTTGAACTGTCTGCACAGCAGATAGTTGATTGCTCCTGGGGGTCTGGGAACCACGGCTGCAGGGGAGGCTGGTATAACAAAGCACTCAGCTGGATTTATCTGCATGGAGTAGCGAAGGCAAAGAATTATGGGCCCTACTTAGCTCAGGTAAGGGCTTTATTCGCGTGTTATTGCGCATTCTGTTTGAGTATCGTAAAAACAAATCCAAGTTAACTATCACTACTTATAGGCAAACTGAGTCACTCAAATCAACACAGAGCATTAATCATTATTGAAAAGATAAAAAAAGTACCAAACGTTGGAGAACGCTTTATTGTTCATTATAGGAAGGAACGTGTGAGACCATTGGACTCAAAGAGCGAATAAAAATCGACGCCTTTGCCTTTGTCCCTAAGTACAATAACAGTGCACTTAAAAGAGCCATTGCCAAGTATGGTCCCGTCTGTGTTTCTATCAATCAAAAGCCCCTCTCTCTGAAGTTCTACAGCTGGGGAGTCTACGATAACCCCGAGTGTGGTAGGTACCTGCTATATTTGTTTTTCAAACTCGTGCTTGTTGTTGAAAACAATCAAAACAAAACAACCATAACTAGCCTGATACTGAGCTCAATTTTTTTTTTGCATGTCGGCAATTGCATGCCACTCAGAATGACAAAAGAGAGTGGCAGGGTTCTCATGTTCATGCGCTTTTCTGATTGGCGCATGGCAGTCGTGTCTCATAGGTCTCACGCTGTCATAAATCGGCAGGTTACGTTATCTATGAAATCTGACTTTTCCTCGTCAATTTGCGCTTTAGATAACAGCTCTACACTCCACACGGTTCTGGTGGTTGGTTATGGCAAAGAGAATGGAGTTTCTTATTGGTTGGTAAAAAATTCGTGGTCCGCGACCTGGGGAATTGACGGTTACATCAAAATGGCATGGAAAGGCAACATTTGTGGAGTTACAAAGAACCCTGTGGTGGCCTTAATGAATCACACTACTTTTCAGTTTCCTGTCAAGGAGAAAATTAACAATGCTTATCCATTGAATCCAAAGTTTATGGGAAGGAAAATACATGCACAACATAGGCCAGGTAAAAACAGAAATGGATCTAAAAGCGAATCGATCTCGTCTGGTGATAGAAATAGTAAGGGAAGAGTTACTTCAATTTCAACTAAGGACTACTTGGGGCACTCAGACGGGAAAAACGGAGAAAAGTCTTTTGGAGTTAAGGAATCTACAAGAACTTCAAACAGAAATAAATCAAATAAAGTAATTTTAAATAAAGATGAGAAAGGAAAGGTCGAGATGAACCGAAAAATTTACTCAAGGAAGGAGGAATTAGCAACGGAAAGCGTCGATGAAAGCACAGGAAAGACTTCCAATATGGATATTCCACCACCTACCTCTAAGACTCTCGACCTTTATTTAAAAAGAGATGGAAATAATGCGGATAGAAAGCCACAGTTAAGTAAATCACCAGAAATTTTAGCAAATGATTTTTACGAGGGTTACAATGTTTACAGGAGCGAGAATTTTTCACCCTATGGTAATCGTGACTCAGCTTATAAATATCCAGAGGAGAATAATGCGTGGACTCAAGCGAGAACTTATACCGAGCCAAGATATTTCATCCCCTCATATGATTACACTGCCTATGATTCGTATCCTGTGGAGTTAGCGGCACCTTATGATAAAAATTATGAATTGAGGAGCGATAAAGATCCATGGTATCCTAGCGACAGGAATCAGTGGTATCTTAGCAACAACGCCGCTCCAGGAATTGATACTCAAAACAATAAAATACAAAATGATTTAGAGACTTTACCATCTCAAATGGTAGCTAAAACACATGAACCGGTAAATGCAAAAGATCATGGCATGATTAGAACAGAAGTACAATCAACTGATTCAACGAGAACTACAACAGTTACAGCAACAAAAGCAACGAAGAGAACGAAGCAGCTTAATAGCCGACCACGCCCAGCCAAACCTCCCAGACATTACACCGGTAAATTACAAGAAATTTATGATAATCTTGAAAGAGTCATTGCATCCAGCCTGAAGAAGAACACAAGACTTCGCGGTTAACAATAGTGTTTTTACGCCTGCTACGACAGATGAAATTAGGTTTTACGTATCCTGATAAATTCTACCCTCCTTTCTTTCCACGTGTTTCTTTTGCAGTATCTTTTAATCTTCTCCTTCGTCGCTCATCTCTTCTTCCTGTTGGGTTATTATTGGCTCTTTCATACTTTTTTTTTCTTACGGAGCTAATACTTCGAGTGCTTCTTCAAGTTAAAGATAGTTTCGCAAGTCACCACTTACGAAATAAAATGTTTTAAATTGCTCCTTTGGCAACAACATGAATGATAACAAACAAATCAGTCCAAAAAATAATGGCTGAAAATTATTAGATACTGATTGAGCAGTATATTGCTGCCTACACGTGGAAGAATTGACCAGGCTGCAAATGGCGGTTAGAAATACTCGATTTATTGTTGCCTCTCAAATATGTATAATAGAGGAAGAAATGGGAAAATAAAATTACTTAATTTTTGTTTATACAGTATTCTTCGTATTCTCATAGGTTACCTTTTTCAAGGGAACTTGCATCTTTCACGTATCGAGTTTAGTTCCTCTACATTCAGGCCGTCGTCATCCTCAATGCTGCCTCACGTTTGACCCTGATCAAAGTCGTGAACATGTTGGGGTAAAAAGCAAACGGTTTTCGGACAAAATAGCCCGAATGTTACCATCCGAATCAAAATAACCAAAAAAAATGAACAAACAAACAAGAAACAAAACGAAAAGAAAGTAAAGAACAAGTTAAATGTGTTATAACTACTAACGTAGGTTTGATGCGTAGTTGTCGGTCTAACCGGTGACTTGGTTAAAACATGAAGTAGAATGGCTTTGTTCCTTAATGAAGACAGTGATTGGCAGATTGGATTGGCTCATCGCCATGTGACCTGATCTTCAAAATTCAGTTGGTATCTGACTTAATCTGGCGTAAACTCCCTTTTTTTTTTTTAAAGAAACTGTGACGAATGTTACTGGGCACTGGTCTAGTACTCCCCTTCCGAAATGACATTCATATCACCGGTGCCTTACCATTTTACACCGACTATTTAGTAATTCTCCTTACTGTCTTCCGTACAATTCTTATAATGTTAGTTCCAAGTATTTGGTATTGGATCAACTAATAATCCCCTAATTTATGTTTGTCTTCATTCTCATCACTTGTCTGCTTGATATCGTGTTGATGTTGTAGGGAGAAATTCTGCTTTGGTCACTCTGGGAGTTAGAGGTTAATACTCTCCCAAGTCTTTTACTATTTAGAAAAAGACGCTCTTTAAGAAATATTAAAATATTTCTTCTATATGTGGATGTGTAGATGTGTTATTAAGACCGCGTGCAGTGTACATAGCTGAATTACAGGTCTGGCCAGCAAAGAATAATAAAGCAATAACAAAATATATAGCTAAGGAAAAATTGATGGTGTCAGGAACCAGCAAGCATATAACGGCAAAACAATATTTGACCAATTCAGGTCAGGTTGAGTAATCTAGCCGCTAAATTTGACGCTAAAAATATGTCAGGAATACTGTTCCGAGGCATTGTCAATTACATTATTGTGAAGTCCCCCGACACGTTTCAGTGTTTGCGTGTCAAGATGTTCCGTTCACAACTTCCGCAGAAGACTGGGGCTGCTACGTCAGCCTCGAGCTCTCACGTGACTACAACTCTTAGAGCAAAATGGCGGCTGAGATGACTTGATACCAACTTGTTTTGTTTGTTTCCAAAAAGCTATGGTCGTTTCTTTATTGTAAGAAATACAAAGAAACAGGATATCGCCTCCAAGGGTAGTTCTAAAACCACACCATGTACGAGAACGCTAAGACTCAAAATATGTTCCTGACACGGGCTCTGGAGAAGATACTAAACGACAAGGAGACGAAAAAATCCTATCACCAGCAGCTTAAAAAAGCGTGCGAGGTTGCGTTAGGTAAGGAATGACAGATGAAAATGCTGTCCAATTAGAAAGTCTTGTTTCAGCGTGAAGCTTACTTCGTAGATTCGACGTAACCTTGTCTGCGGAACAAGTTTACTAAACTTGTTTTCTAACGTGTGTGGTTAAATTTAAGTGCAAGAAATTCTTCTTTCGAAAACAAGTGTGAGTAGCGGATGCCACATCTGCAGTTGAATTTTTCTTGTCCCATGTCAATTTTCCAATTAATGAGAGATCTGTCGGGTAATCCTGTGTAAACTGACGTTTTCGTTAGACGTAAAGAGCGATCTTATCACCCTTGGTCGATCAACGTTCATTTAATGGTAGGAAGGTGAATTTCTCGTCACGCTCTGATCGTTCTTGGTTCTAGAAATACACATATTTTGCTTAAATATGTTTAGTCCACCTAACTTTGCAATTAATTTTCATATGAGAAAATTTTAAAATGAATTGCTTACTTTGGGGAGGCTAAATCTTTGCTAAAATGCAGACGGAACAGAAAAAGATCAATATCGATCGTAAAGGCTACCTATTACTGCTGTTTGAAATGTACTTGTCATCAATTTCAAAGCAAATAACGTTCAGTTCACTATTACCGTTTAATTTGAATCAGGTGAAATTATGTTATTGAAATTTGTGCGTATGGTCAGGTGGACATTCATGCAAATTATGATAGACGAAAAATATTTTCTTATAATTATTTTACACTGAGCATTAAACTCATGATTATGAAGTGAGATAATGGATGACAGAAAAAGCTTAATATGTTGAATCTTAACACCAATTTTAAAGATCATGAGTTGAAAAATTTTGGTTTTGGTGTTTTTCCAAAGGGGCTGTATATAAACTTAGCAACAAAGGAAGATGTTGATTGAATTACATGTTGCATTAGATGGTTTTCTATCCCTGTGTTGACAATTTCCTCTTCATGGCAAGTACAAGTGGAAAGGAATAAACAGCCAGAATCTTAATTTTCACAGATCTCTCTATGTTTGTACACAGTGTCTGTGGGAGATAATGAAAATGGTTTCTTGAGAAAATTAGAACTGGATACAACATTTCTGATATTTAGAGAGATATTTATGCCATTGATACTGATCTGTTGTGGTGTTGGTAAACCAGAGTTGATATTGAAAGCAAATGTATGTTCATTTTTAGAAGAGATTCACAAATCTCAAGGAGCTGTTATTGCTGATGAAAGGTAATATTTTTTTGTTATCATGGAGAAACAAGCAAATAACTTTTGATCAGGGAACTTAAAAGGTTTGGTTTATTAAAGTGCCAATAAGTTATTTAGAAAATATTGAGGGGAATGCTAAAGTTGAAAACAGCTGCTGTATGAATACAATATTGACCTTAAAAGTTAGAAGAAATATATTGTAATTATTAATCACTAATCACAAAGATACTTCTTGAAACTCCTAGACTATGCTTTAATTTTCTGCAGCTCTATGACTACTGAAAATTTTTCTTTATATGGAAAAGTCAATTCACACTATATTTACTGTATACAAATACTGCTGTGATCATACCAAAATAAGAAAAAACATTTATGTACAATGATATCATCACCACATCACAGTCTAACCAATTTCCAACAAGACATCTTAGGAAATAGGTTGACTCCAGGACAAAATCTGAGTATTTCAACAGACTCCAGTGCAGCAATAATTTGGCTACTGTACCTCTCACTTTGACTAGTGTGAGTTGTACCTAATTACCTGTTTAGTAATAAGCACAATTTTTTTTGTTTGTGTACTCAGTGATGGGAGTCCATCATCAGCTCTACCTCCTCCTAAAGGAAAGCAGCCTTTCATTGAAGCAGACAAATATTTCCTTCCGTTTGAACTTGCCTGTAAATCAAAGTGTCCTCGCATTATTGTTGCATCTCTTGACTGTCTACAGGTATTGTAACCTTTACAGTATTTTGTGCACATTGCCTGTTAGTGGTTACTTGTCATTTTTTTGCTATAATCATTGCATAGGTTGAAACTAGTTAAAATTGATTCTGACTCTTGTATTAAGGACACAATTCTATCACAAGCATACTGATTATCAAAATAAAAATAAATAGTCACCTAGAGCAAGGTTTTCCCGCATCATGAACCCTTTTCAGTGTGACAGCAATTTATCATCTAATGTGTTTTGGTCTCAATATGGAATATGTCAGGGATATATTATTTAAAAATAAACAGTCTTTTCTATATTCTTAATCTTTTTTTTTACCAGAAACTCATTGCCTATGGACATCTTGCTGGTGATATCCCAGACAGTACTGATCCTAACAAAAAGCTTTTGGACCGTATAGTGGAGACAATCTGTGGCTGTTTTGTTGGAGTTCAAACTGATGAAGGAGTCCAGCTTCAGATAATCAAGGTGAGAGTTGACTTACACACTTGTGTTTCATTCAAGATTTTTTGAAAACATTATTTTCTTGCAACTTAGATTAAGATACCTAGTTTTTATTGGCAAATCACAATCAAAGATATTCTGAAGTCAAAGTGTTCTTTGGAAGCCAAGTTTCTTGTGCTCACTATCTATAAGAATATTTGTATTAATTTGGGTATTTGCTATACAGCTATTCACTTATTGCTATGAAAACTGTGTTAAGCTTTAGCAGTGATTGGCCACTACATTCCATCTTGACTAACCTTCGACTAGAACAATTTTATGTTCTTGACAATGTACAAGTACTCTCATGCATATTATTTATTAATTTCCACTGTTAATTATGGAAACATGTGTTAACAAAAACTGTGTGCTATGTATTTTACCTGTAGGCTTTACTTACTGCTGTCACCTCCAACTCTTGTGAGGTTCACGAGGGCACCCTCCTTCTGGCTGTGAGAACTTGTTACAATATTTACTTGGCCAGCCGCAATCTTACGAACCAAAGAACAGCTCAGGCCACCCTTAGTCAGATGATAAGTGTAATCTTTCAAAGGATGGAGGCACAAGCGGTAAACAGAAATGATGAGTTGTTTACTGTGGAAGGAAACCAGCTATGAATACTAGCTATACATGTACCTTAAATTTTGAAACTGAGGATGAGTATTTCATTAAAATGTAAAGACTCAATGAAGAGTATAATCTGTGTTTAGGATGAGATGATAGTGATTGGTATACATACATGTATGGTGCTGGATGCAGAAAGTCAGTTTTAGAGGTAGTTCATCCTCTTGGCTAGAATCACACTTACTTGTACTGTAGTAAATAATCTTAGTCAATAGATCCAAGAGGGTTGGCAGGAATTAACAGTTAATTTTTTTGTGTGATTCCCCAGGCTTTATGGTCAAGGTTACCAGCAAATTTTTTTGGCTCAATTATTGATGAAGTATCTGGATTGGGACTGATTAGGGTTTAAATCTTTACCTTGAACTCATTAAATGTGTTACAAATAGTGTGTAATATCTCTTTATTTTTTTTAAATTTTAGGCTGCTGAAGAAGAATTGAAAAATTCTCAGCCTGAAGAAGAGGGTGTTCAAACAGCTTCAACACCTACACCAACTGAAACAACAGATGAAAAAGAACTTGATAGACCCTCCACTGAGGCATCAAACTCACATGAGCATGAAACAGACTCTGTGGTGGAAGGTCAGGAACCAAAGAGTGCACACAGTGACATTAGTAGGATAGAGGGAGGGGTGGATAGACCTGACATTGATGTGGATGAAGGTGTTGATCTGCAGGGTAAGTAAATATGTTACGTTTTTAGTCAAATGACATTATACACTTTGTCAATGGCTGTGATCTATTAGAATTTTTTTTATGACATTATAAGGGACAATGTTCGAGAGGAGTTTTTTATTACAACATTCAAGCAATGATGTTTGAGAGGTGTGTTTTCTGTTTTCTGTTTTCTGTTTTCTGACTGTAATAAATTTTTTACTCTTCAGCTGATGATCAACTTGATGACAGTACTAAAGAATCTTCACCAGAGGGAAAAGAAGAGACAGAAGCATCCTCTAATCCTGAGGGGGGAGATGACAGTATAGTTGAGTCCACTGAGCAGCCAGGGGAGAGTAAAGAAGGAACAACGTTTGAAATGTTTGCTGGAAATGTCCCTCTGAACGGTATAGATGACCACACAGCAGAAGAAAAGCAGGATGAAAAAAGTGCTGATAATACACCTGGTGATAGAGATGGAGATTCTGTTAAGGTACTGTGCATGTATGGAATGAAATGACATATCTTCATAGTGACTTACAAGGAGTAATAATTTGTTTACTTTTTGCCACTGAAAGAATTTATTTACTTTGCCTTTGTCAGGTTGAGGAACCAAGTCAGGTTGAGTCAGAAAATCCATCAGGTATTTGAATTATTTATTGATTGGATAACTTTGTAATGTGTAGGGCAATATCAGAGAAGTTCAGAGCAGTTTGGTTCTTTAAGAACATTATTTTGTCATTTTGTTTGTCTGTTTTTTTTTTTAATACCTCCTGTACATGTCGTAAAAACATTTTGCTTGGTTTTGATACTAGATCAGAGCATTCTATCAAATGGAGAAATCAGCGAAAGCAGTCCAGAAAAAACAAATCCAAATGGAATTTCACATGATGACCTTAATCCACCTCCCACACCAACTGAAACATCATCAACCATGTCAGATGAGCTGGGTGACACCCACAGTGAGTCAGGAACTGAGGCAGAAGGAAGTGCATCATCAACGTCTCTTAACAGTCAAGCTGGTGGCCCTGTCAAGTTCTCCCATGTCTCTCAGAAAGATGCATTTCTGGTGTTCAGGTCACTGTGTAAGCTTTCAATGAAACCGTTGTCAGATGCACCTTTAGATCCTAAGTAAGTGGTCATGGGCTTTTGTTGTTTTATTACTTTGTCCCTTATAAAGACATTTATTTATGACAAGTAGGGCATTACTGCTGCACATGTATATGTAGCTTGTCTTGGTTTCTGTACTCTTCCTAGAAGGGGATGTTTGTCTTACTCAGATAATTTTCTTTCCCCCCCTCCTTCTTCCTAAGCAATTTTTCAAGTCTTCCTTGGAGTTTTCTGGTACCCATATTATACATGTACTCCTGCCCTGTAGGTTATTTGTCCACACCATTAGAAAACAGTAAGGAAGGTTTAAAGCTGGACTAAAACATCTTAAAAGTGGTTGCCAAGAGGCTGGTAGGGTGTACTTCACAACAGGAGACCCTGCTCTTGGTAGGACACTTAACTCTCCCAGTGGTGCCTCTGTGATGTATTTTTTAAGTATTCTTAATCTATTTTGTCTTTCTTGTGTGTGTCTTTAGGTCTCACGAGCTACGATCCAAGATTCTGTCCCTAGAGTTGATGTTGTCTTGTCTTCAGAATGCAGGCCCTGTGTTCTGTTCTCATGAGATGTTTGTAACAGCCATCAAACAATACCTTTGTGTAGCTTTGTCCAAAAATGGTGTTTCTTCTGTTCCTGCTGTATTTGAACTTTCGCTTGCCATCTTCTTAACTTTGCTGTCATCATTCAAGACACATCTCAAGATGCAAATAGAGGTTAAACTACTTTGAGTTTCTAAATATTAAATGAAGTTGTTAGAGTCTTTCTTCTCTTACATTTCAAGGGATTTTCCATAGGGGAGGGGGGGGTTTCTGTACTCGAGCATCTTACCAGTATTTGAGGATGAGTATGCCAGGCAGATTAGATTAGGCATTATTTTAGATTCATACTAATTTTGTTAAGATTTGATAAGTGTTGGCTGGTTCTTTCATCAGTCCTACACTCTATCCATTTATCTAGTCTATACTTGTTGCATTCTTTTGTTTTTTTGAACTATTCTTTTTTCTTTAAAATTGCTTGAGTTGCAATCAGTAATGTACTCTCTGTCTGTCTTAATTGAAGGTGTTCTTTAAAGAAATCTTTCTGAATATCTTGGAGACATCAACAAGTTCATTTCAACACAAATGGATGGTGATGCAGGCTTTGACACGAATATGTTCAGGTGGGAATAAATTTGTTGCAGTGTGATGAAAGATTCAAGTCAAAATGATTTTAAACCAGTAAATCATTCTCATCTGGTTTTATTTGTATTTTTCTTTGTTCTAGAGATTTTATCATAATTTGTAAATGAAAGAAAAATACTATTAAACTTTTTGTGAAATAATTTTTAAATCCTATTTATCTTTTAGATGCTCAGTGTGTTGTTGATATTTACCTGAACTATGACTGTGACCTTTCATTGTCAAACATCTTTGAACGACTTACAAGTGACTTAGCCAAGATTGCTCAAGGAAGACAGGCTATAGCGTTAGCTGCTACTCCAGTAAGTTGGCTGCAAATATGACACACATTTTCGTTAGCTGCTAACCTTAATTGACTTTGATATCTATTCTTGTTTATTCATAACTGATTGAACCTTTTGTGGGAATACTTGGACAATAACTTGTGGATATTATGGTCACTGTCTCACAAGTGATATCCTTCAAATATCTATGGATACTCCAAGGGTTACTTACACTAAGCTTGCTGATATATTATCAGTGCGGTTTTCCTCGAAAGAAAATAATCAATTGGAAAGGGGAAAAGGAAATTTTGGGCTGACTGTAACATATTATCATAGGGGTGTAGTTAAGAGCCCAGGTACATTACAACTGTTGAGTCTGTCTCCATAATTCCCAGGTATATTTCACCTCTCAAATTTTGATGCTCAACTACTGTATAGGAGAGATAAATGTGGCACAAATACCTTTTTGTACAACAGGTTGAGACACATGGAAAATGATAAGCACTTATTGAATAAAACACATGACAGCTGAATATGACCAACTTGGTGACCAATTTTTTTATAAAAGTTATTTGAACAATGGTGGTGATAGACAAGTGGTTTTTTTTTTATATATTATCATTCTGTCTTAATTTTTTGCCATTGTTGTTTGCTATGCCCAGGTGCAAGAGAAAAGTATACGCCTGAAAGGTCTTGAATGTTTGGTGTCCATACTGAAGTGTATGGTGGAGTGGAGTAGAGAACTTTATCTCAACCCTCATTCTCATGTAGCTAACTCCTCAGGTGAATCCTTTATTCTTTAGTGATCAGGATTTTATTTGCTAAACATTAGCAGTGGTTACATCTGAGAAAAGATCTGGTCCAAAATATCAACTACAGATGTAGATGCAGCCTCTCTTCTTGGAGAAATAAAACCCTGTTAATAGACAAGTGGTGCTCATAGTTATTCACAGACAGTTGTTTGAGTAGGATTATACTGTAGCACAAACCCAAAGTATACAACTCCATTGTGTGTGATTTTGTAATCAAAATTCAAAATTACCTTTTGTACACCCAAGCAACTCCTGGCAAGGGGAGATTTTATGAGATTACTATTTAGAGGTTGTTGGTGTAATTAATTTTGATATTTAATTTTTATTAGTGTCATTTGTTATCTCAAAAGCAGACAGGTGTATTATTGTCTTTTTAATCTATCACAATAAAGTAGAAAATTCATTATTATGGTGGCTTCTTCTTCTTAATTTGTGCCCCTTCACTCTTTTTATAACAGATACACCAACCCCAGGGGTGAAGAGAAAAGTTAGCATGACTGAAGCTGACTCTGAGGAGGCTGGAGGAGATCGCAGCAGTTTAGCAGAAGATCGCATCAGCCTTGGTTCAGAGCTCAAATCCTTTGGTGGAAGTCAGGGTTCTCTGAACTCCACATCAACAACTTCAACTGTAGCACCAGACAATCCTGAACAGTTTGAGTCTCTGAAACAAATGAAAGGGCTGATGGAGCAAGGAATTGAAAAGTAAATAACTATAATGCTAGAGTTATGAGATGTGGTTTAGAAAAAGTACTTGTGTCCTTTTGACCTCAGTTTTAGGTTACAGTGCAAACGCAACAGGAGAACTCCATTCATTAACAGATAGTATTAAAATTGCAACCATGTTACATTCTTACAGGTCAAACCTTGCTCAGCATGTGTTTGTTTGTTTGTGTTTTTCGCACCAGATTTAATAAGAATCCCAAAAAAGGAGTAAAATATCTCCAAGAAAATGGTCTCCTCGGAGGCACACCAGAGGAGGTTGCTGAGTTTTTACACACTGATGAAAGATTAGACAAAGTATGTGGAAATAATTTTTTGCTGTAATGAGTGACTGTTGATTTTTTTAAAATTTTTATTTTTTTTTTCATGTCATACTATTATTGGTGAAAAAAGGAAGCAAAAAAACTTTCACTAACAAAAATTTATTGTTTTTTTTTTTTCAGACACAAGTAGGAGAACTCATTGGAGACAATGATCTGTATGTTCTATGTGTTTATTCATTCATACCGTGTTTTATTTTTGTTATGATTCTGTGGGTTCTCTTGTATCTAGTTTTGCTATTCTAACAGGTTCTTCCGTCAGTTTTATGAAGTTTACAATTTTTTTGATAGTGCCTTTTGTGTTGGTGTATTGCAATCTCTATATTGATACTTTTTATTTTCTTAGTTTTAGCAGAGAAGTGATGTACAGTTACATCGACAAGTTAGATTTTACAGACCTGGACTTTGTATCAGCGCTACGCTTGTTTCTTAATAATTTCCGACTTCCAGGAGAAGCTCAGAAAATTGATCGTCTCATGGAGAAGTTTGCCAGTAGATATCTAGAAACAAACCCAACGTAAGGACATGTATTGCATGTTCTTATTCCATTTTCTCAGTGTTCATTGAGTAACATGAATGTAGAGATAAACAGTCTCACTTACAGTAGGCATCCCATTTTCTGCTGAGTTAAATTGGCAGAGCATGGAACTGTTGTGAGGAAGGGCAGGGGTTTAGCAACGTAGCGAACCAATCTTAGACACTGAATTCTTCTTTGATAAGGACAATAAACTTTAGGCCTCATTTTCTGCATCTTGAAGGTTGTATGGTCTGCAAAGGATGTTAATCCTTTTACTCCCAAGATGTCATTAGTAATTACTTCCTACTGTCTCCCTTACAATTCTTACGATCTTACTTCAGAGAATTGGTTATTAAATCAACTAATAATCTACTAAGTGATATTTTTCATTCTCATCACTTGTTTGCTTGACATCATATTGATGTCATTATGAGAAATTCTGTCTTGGTCACTCATGGGGGTTGCGGGTAAAGGGTTAAGGAACCCATGCAATAATCACAAATAGTAGGGCATAGAGTTGCTGGTGGTCTGCCCTTTTTGTCACACTGGGTGGGGTAGGGGGAAGTAAATACCTGCAGATATTGTGTCACAAAGGTACTCAAAAATCCATTGGTAAATAAGGTATTCAGAAAAGTATTTAAAATCTAGTCAATAGAAGAATCAGTACTGGCTTTTCCTTTGTCTTCTAACATAAAATTTTATTTTTTCTTTAGAAACACAGTATTTGCAAGTGCAGATGCAGCCTATGTTTTGGCATACTCCATCATAATGTTAACAACGGATCTCCATAATTCCCAGGTATATGCCATAAGTGCTTATTAATTGTTTCACAATGCATTGGGAAAAAAGGTTTCCAATTTTTTTTTCAGGTTATATCCAAAAACAGCCAGATATGGAGGGAAGATTTCCAGGGAGGGGGGAGGGAGGGTGTCCAAAAAAATATTTATAATAAATATTTATAACCGTAGGGCTGGGGGCCAGGGGCCAAAGCCTTAGAAAAAAACTGTGTCCCAATTAGCATAACAGGGATAAGAGAGGCAAAAAGGATCATCTCTGTTGGAGACACAGCCATAGTACATCTAGATGTAAAAATGAGGCTGAAAAGAAACTAGATCTGCTTGTGTTTCAAACTCTTGGTGGTCTTGCAAATAGCTGTGGAGCCTGCAGAATAGGTGTAATTTTCTCTTTTTGCATATTTTGAGCGAACAGAGATGAGCACAAGGCTTGTACTTTGCGCTTACCTCATGCTTGCCTCTGTTTACCTCAAATATGCTAAAACAATTTTTGCCTGTTCTGCAGATTAATGGCTATGTAGCAATTTAGCCAACAGAGTTCATAATATGTCTGTAAAGGATGAATACTCCACAGTTCAATTATATTTTTTCCATGTATGTTCTGGTATGAGATCATCCTTCACAGTGCTATTGAGAACTCATCCAGTCACCACCTACAGGAAAGTTTTATACCAAAGTTGGTTTTATTAATCAATGTAACTGTTTACCTTTGATTAACAGGTTAAAAGGAAAATAACTAAAGAACAGTACATCACAATGAACAAAGGAATCAATGATAGCAAGGACCTACCACAAGAATATCTGGAGTCAATTTTTGATGAGATATCTCAGAATGAAATAAAAATGAGAAATGCACCCAAGACTGTCAATAAATATAGCACCATCTGTAAGTAATACTCCTCTTTGATTTACAAGGAATAAGTAGTTAAGATTTATAAGAGAGAGTGCCAAATTTACTCGATTGATCATCAACATATATGTGTAGATTTAAATTGTTTTTATGCTTGTCAGGTTTGGACTTAATCAATCAATGTCAATGATTAGTCCCTGGCCCGTATCAAGGGTTTGCTAATACCTTTTTAACTGTCATAAATTGTTGTTACTTAGATCTTCAAAACGAAAAGCAAAGACGACTTTTGTACTATCAAGAAATGGAACAAATGGCTCAAACAGCCAAGATTCTGATTGAAGGAGTCAGTCAAATTCAAACAACATTCACATCTGCAACTCATGTAGAACACATTAGACCAATGTTCAAGGTATGTGCAAGGCTCCACATTCGTTAAACTTAATTCTGTGTTGTCTCTCACTTTTGATAGATATTTGAGAACTTTCATTGTATTAGTACAATGTATATATGTTTATGAGTAGGCTTTTGCTACACTCTCTTTTATAGGTTACTTGGAGTCCTTTCTTAGCAGCCTTTAGCGTGAACTTGCAGCATTCCGATGACCAGCAAGTTGCATCACTGTGTCTGGATGGCATACGCTGTGCAATCAGGATTGCATGCATATTTGGAATGCAGGTAATTATTGGTCCAGGTAGTTAGTATGTTTAGTTTCGTGCACCTGCGTTTTTGAGATATTCGTTAGTTTTTGGGAATTCTCTGAAACTCATTTGTTCAAATGTAAATTTTGCTTAACCCGTTTTATGGCTCCTCATGTCTGTTTGAAATTTCAAATATTTACTATATTTTTCAAATTACAGCTTGAACGAGACAGTTTTGTCCAGGCTCTGTCACGGTTCACACTGCTCACGGCAACAGCTGGATTACATGAAATAAAAACAAAGAACATTGACACAATCAAGACACTTATAACTGTGGCACAGACAGATGGCAACTACCTTGGACGGGCGTGGCATGAGGTAGACGTAGTGTATTTAGCTCAAGATTACACCTCTAGTGCAACCCCACAGGACGATTTAATTTCAGTTTTTTGGTCTAATCACAGAGCGTAGAGAAGTAAATCAAATTCAATTCCAAAGTTATCTCTATACCTTACATATGTTCCTCAATTGGATTTTCAGTGTGATTTTGTTTCAGCAATTCTGCCTAAACAGGTTCCATTAAGAACAAATCTGAAAAGTGCACCATACTCACCTGGCTCTAAAACATTTGTTTACAGATACTGAAGTGTATATCTCAACTGGAGCTGGCTCAATTGATTGGAACGGGAGTGAAAACAATGGGACCAGGCACAGGACCAGGGCAGGGAAGCTCTACTCCTGTGTCAATACGCTCTACTGGACTTGTTCCCTCAAACGGTTAGCACACGTCTTTAAATATCATTCAACCTCAGAGGGATGTTGCACTACGAAAAATCTTCTTACCTTCGTGTTTCCAAGTGCAAATACTGTGTATATCAATTTTCGTTTTTTTTTTCTTATAATTTCATTGTGCAATACATTTACGTCTTTGTTTTTGCAGATCCTAAGAAAATCGCGTACATCCAGGAAACAGTTGGAGAGACAAGTTCGCAGAGTGTTGTTGTTGCAGTGGACAGGTGATTACCAGTGCACGCTTTCTTATATTGCAGATCCGATTTTCTTGTTAATCATTTTTAATTTTATTTATTTTTCCAATGGCTGTGTAGAATATTCACTGGATCAACAAAATTAGATGGAGATGCGATTGGTAAGTGGGATGTTCTTCAACAAATGACATTACGGTTTCTACTTAACTTTTCAAGTTCTTCGTTTTTGAATGACAACTTAAGGTACTGCTTCCACTGCACCAAGAAAAGCAAACAAATAAATAAACTGAAACAAATAACTTACTTAAATTTTAGTTATAACTGGACCACGATAAAAGAAAATTACTGTTCAACTTGAGTGCTAAAGATATGTCATGCAGGTCTTTACACTTGCTTTTAAAAGACAGTAAAAACAATTCTATATTTTCTACCTGTTTCGACTGTTCTACGAGTGTGATTTTATCAAGTTAGAGAAATGTAAGGTGTTTACACTTACGGCTACGTGTTTATTGTCCACAGTCGACTTTGTTCAAGCGTTAGGAACCATTTCATCTGAGGAACTCGCGAATCCAACCCATCCAAGAATGTTCAGTTTACAGAAAATTGTTGAAATTTCCTATTACAACATGAACAGGATTAGGCTGGAGTGGTCCAGGATCTGGGCCGTGCTTGGGGATCATTTTAACAAGGTTACAATCATTACCCAGTGTTGAGTTAAATTATGTCTTTTATCTTTTTCGATGGGCTGGTTAGGGCGGAAGATTTGGTTTTAGAAGATCTGATTTGAAAGCGATACGTGACGAAAAACAATAGCCATGTTAATGAGCGTGGTGCACTGTATTGGGAAAGTTTAAGTTGTACGGATGACTTAACTTGAAAATTATCACCATCTTGTTTATGCTTTTGAATTATTGCAGCAATTTTACTGACTGAGAGTGGTGAACTGTAACCATTTGCGTCTTCCTGGTTGGCTTATTCTTGGTTATTACCAATAAGGATTTTTATCTCCTGAGTAGTGCTGGAGTTTAAGGGAGGTTTACCTTTTAACATTCAAGTTCACTTGTTTTTATTCCAGTGTGGGTGTAATCCAAATGAGGATGTAGCATTTTTCTGTGTGGACTCTTTACGGCAACTTGCTATGAAGTTCTTGGAGAAAGGCGAGTTACCTAACTTCCGGTTTCAGAAGGATTTCCTCAGACCCTTCGAATATATCGTCAAGAAAAATAGGTTGGTATACGAGTCTTCTTAACCTCTCCGTTTTCCAACGACTTACTTTCTTCATTTAGTGTTTTGCCTTAGTCTGTGCCATTTCCAAAAACACGTTTATTAATTTCTTTTCTATCAATCACAGATCAGCAACTATACGCGACATGGTCGTCCGCTGTGTGGCGCAAATGGTGCACTCGCAGGCTCACAATATTAAGTCTGGATGGAAGAATGTTTTCTCCGTCTTCCACCTGGCTGCTTCCGATGAAGATGAAGGAATTGTAGAACTTGCTTTTCAAACGACTGGTATGTTGATATTTGCGGGCATCCTTTGTTGTTGTTTTTGTAACTCTTTGACGTAATGGGCCACAGGTAATGGGCAATCACAAAGTGCAAATTATTCGTTTTAGTGTTTCATATTCAGCAACAGTTTTCCGTCAGCTTCTCCTATCTGCTTGCTTCTTTCAGCCACTATATTCGAGAAATACTTTTCCGCCACCATCGATTCCTTTCAAGACGCTGTCAAGTGTTTATCAGAGTTTGCTTGTAATGCTTCGTTTCCTGACACCAGCATGGAGGCCATTAGACTCATTAGAAACTGCGCTAAACATGTTTATGAGAATCCAGAGGTGAGGCTGACTCTGTTATTTTGAAAATTATTTGCAGTTCGTTTCTTTCTCCATCCTTAACGTTTCTTATTGTGTTTCTCTTTCTTAATGAGCTAATTTTTTTGTAGTTTCTCTCAACTTAAAGGTAGTTTGCTCATCACAAGAATTACTCAAAACATTATGATTCAACCTCTATATTTATGCTAAAGTAGCTCTCCTGAGTCATTTATAATATTTAACGCTCGCTAAGATTTCTATGACGGAATTGTGTGATAGGGTTATATAAGCTTATATTGGCTAGTTGGTAAGCTCTACAGACAAGATGCATGCTTTGTAACGCTCATTAAGACGATTACTTTGTGTGACATCGTCCCAGATGTTCAGAGAACACAGTGGTGAGGATGGTGGAGTCCCGGAGGCCGATAAGGTGTGGGTCAAAGGCTGGTTCCCAGTGCTCTTTGAGCTGTCGTGTATCATCAACAGATGTAAGCTGGATGTACGAACAAGGTTAGTTCCACGTTGACCTTTTTTGCCGCTAATCTCTGTGATACTCTTACGGTTTTTACCTTTTCTGACTCCGAGAGATTGTATGCAGTTACGTTGCGTTCTCATTAGTCAGTGTGATGTTTACTTTTGCTCGAACTAGTCTTTGCTCACTCGTAATAAACTCTCCCACATAGAGATGCCCTTCAAACCCTTCACATTTCCTTGCAGGGGTTTAACTGTGATGTTTGAGATAATGAAGAGTTATGGTCACACCTTCCAGCGGCACTGGTGGAGAGATGAGTTCAGAGTTGTGTTCAGGATTTTTGATAACATGAAGTTACCAGATCAACAAGTAGACTGGTCGGAGGTATGCAGACAAATTCGTTATCAAGCTCAGTGGGAATATTTATTACCTTTGACGTGGCTTGTGTGCAGACTTTGCACTTACCTAACCTTTTAGATCAAGGTTATGATATTGTTGGTATTGCTTCAATTAGAAATGATGCAGATCATGAGCTATTTATTTGTTGTTAATACAGAAATCAGAGTGGATGACCACAACTTGTAATCACGCTCTGTACGCTGTAGTTGATGTGTTTACACAGTACTTTCCGGTGTTGTCTGATGTTCTTTTGGAGGACATGTTCTCTCATCTGCTGTGGTGCGTCCAACAAGGTCAGTTTCAATTGTCTGCATTGTTTTCTTAATTGTAACATTCAAAGCTGCTCTCAGACTCATCAATCCCGCGAAAATCAGGACAAATCAAGTGATACCAATGAGAAAGAGGAGGTCAACTGTACGTGTTACTTACCAGGTTGTTTTGATCGGATAACTGGATATTAGTGACGGTCTTTTTGTATCAGTGAGGGCAAAAGGTCAATGTCAAGAAATGATTCGCTTTTTCAGTTTCACTTGACTTGCCCTTTGTTTTCTTTTTATGTCTATAAGATCTCGAGCCCTTACTTCCTACTTGGATATCAGAACAATCAGAACAAAGGATTTCCCCCATCACTTCATTCTCTCAGATCTTTCCATTTAATGACTAATCATATACTTTGCCCTCTCAGATAACGAGCAGCTGGCGAGGTCTGGTACCAACTGCCTTGAGAATCTTGTAGTCTCCAACGGTTCCCAGTTCTCCTCTGAGATGTGGGAAAGGGCGTGTCGCTGTATTCAGGATATCTTTACCTCCACTGTACCCAGTGAGCTTCTCACATGGCGACCGGAAGTGCCAGCTGTAGGGGTATCCACCCCAGATTCCACACCTGCTCAAAGTCCTACACTGACTCCAGACAAAGGGCATGCAAGTGACAATGTAAGATTCAACCCAGAAAGTAATAACATGATATAATGGTAAAACTGCAGAGCATTGATATTGTTCCTTTTAACGACCTCTTTACTTGAATGCAGTTATTTAAAAAATTGCAGATTTTGTGCTTTTTTTAAGAAAATTTGATCACAACTGCTGAACAGAAAATTATTTTTATTTTTTTGATCGTGTCGTCAGTCGTTTCTGTTTAATTTTCTCGCCAGAAATCAGTGGACATGGAAGTTAACCCGGAGCACGACATTGTACCTCGCCTAGAAGAAGGTTTGTGTGTCTCCATTGTAAACTAACTTACTAATCCAATCATATGTTTAGAGAAACGTTGGCTGAGTTATTTGCTGAACTCAGAACCTCACAGTTCCTCTACCCACCCAGGAGTTTAAATGAGCACCAGTTAACTTTGTTAGGGAGTTTTCTTCGATGGACCAGCGTCCCGTGGAGGAGGATTAGCAGCACTCTTAGGAACATAGAAGTCGGGGCAAGCTTCAGTAGTACTTCGCCACTAGGCTCATGAGACATAGACAACTTTTTGCGACACGTGGGTCGTCACTACTTCGGAACAAATCATAGCAAACAACATAAAGCAAGTTTACCTGTACTGCGCACCGGATAAAATGAACGAGAGAGACTCTGAGTGCTATTTTTTCTCTTTTGAATCATTGGTTTGATCTTTGTACCTTAGACGAAGATGAATGGGGAGTGGACACACTTAAAGACGAGAAGCCTGTTGACACTGCTGAAGATGCCCTGCAGGCTCAAGAATCAAGAACCTCGGAAGAGGACACACGTCCTGTAGTTGAGGTGGAGCATTCAGATGAATCTTTCCGCCACTGTGAGTACTGCGTGTTCGTTTAACCAATTATATGCTGAGAACAACTCTCTCCTGTATGTTGAAACTAAACTGCAATTTCATTAGTGTTTTTAAACCAGCTCCGCTAGTCATGAAAACTCGCGCCATCATCTTAAGCCATCTGTTACGCAAAACATGAATTGATGGCGACTTGGTTACTAGAGTTTTCCCGCGCATCAGATAGTTTACCTGCTTGTCTATTATTTGAATTCTTATGGAATCGTACTGCTATTCTCTTAACGTTGGTTTGGTGATTTGTTTTACCACGCTGCTTAGAAATCCGCTCTATGGTTCCTGTTGAAAACGGACCACAAAACGAGCTACGTCTTCCTTCACCTCCGACTAAGCGCAAAATTTATCATTGGTCTTGTTCTATTTGCTCAAACGAAGTTTTTGACCTTGCGGATCCTAGCAGTATGCAGGAAGCTTGATAGAGATGAATCTAATAATAGCATGGCTCATTATTAGAGACGTTCTCTGTAGTTTAGTGCCGGGTTAGGGCACTGGTGTGTACATCTGAAGGTGTAAGGTCTAACATCTCTTTTTTCACCTTGTTACTTTTTCAGATGATACTCCAGAGCAGTTGTTCACATCGCTGTTGATTCGTTGTGTTGTCCAACTCGAACTTATTCAAACTATTGACAATATTGTGTTTTTTCCTGCAACAAGTCGAAGAGAAGACGCTGAAAATCTAGCTTTTGCTAAGGTGGGGATTACAGTAAATAATATTTTTTGTTAACAATGTATGGAATTTAGGCTATTAATAATTGTGAGAAGCAGTAACGATTGCTTGATTAGCGAGAAATGGCACAGGGTAAAGTTCCTTCAGTTCAAGTGGGCTGACCCATGGAAAAATCGTCCTCACAGTTTTGTCCGACATGCACACAGTTTTTAAAATGATTAAGGAAGCCAAGGAACCTTTTAACTAAGAAACAACAAGATAAAGAGAAGGCGTTGTTGGGGCAACTAGCAGGAAGAAGTCTGTTCTTTTACCTTTTTTATATTTCATTTTGCCTTGGGTTCTACATATATGGATCACAGCAAACGTCAAAATGTGATCTGAAACTACGCAGATTCATGCGAAGTAAATCTGCTCGAAAAACTTACACCAATAGATTTACAGAATGATAATTGTTGTCTTTTGCAGTCTGGGGATGTGTCCCGTGAGCGTGTTGGTAGTACAACCAGTGCAGTTAGCGAGTCGCCCTTCGGTGAAGGGATGTACCCATTTCTTAGTTCCCCTCAGTTGCTGCTCTTTGTTGATTGTTTAGAACAATCACACAAGTTTGCCAAGTCCTTCAACGCCAATAACGAGCAGAGAACCTTTCTTATGAAGGCCGGTAAGTTCAGGAAAGCCACATCTGTTTACTGTTCAACCCTCAAACTCCTATAACTGATATAAATGTACTTTGTCCTTGCACTTTCAATACACTATCCATCAAACAGGTGACGAAAATAAACACTCATTAAGCAGAGGGTGTTACGTTACTTTTGTCAACAAACTTCGGGCGCTCTTCGAAATTCCAGTCTCATTAGTCTGCACAAGTGTGTTAGTGGCTAAAATACGCACGACTTCCATTCCGCGTAGTCTGTAAGTTCCTCGTTTAGACAACGGTTAGTGCAAGCATTTGTTGGCTGCCAAACCACTCGAACCAGTCTGTAACTCTCACTTAACATTAACATCTCTGAAGCAATTGAGAGGGAAGTGCATGGTAGCTAGAAGGAAGAATTACTGCTCTGATCTTGGGAGCTAAAGAGCGAACTGCATACATGTCTCAATGTAAGTCTTTCCTCTCTAATCTCATTTCTGAGTGACATGTCTTACGAGTGACGAGGACAATTTTTATTGGCAGGTTTCAAAGGTAAATCAAAGCCCAACCTGTTGAAACAGGAGACCTCTAGTTTGGCTTGTATGCTCAGGATTCTGTTCAAAATGTACGCAGACGAAGAAAGAAGAGATTCCTGGCCAGAAATTGAAAACCGATCAGCCAGGTAAGAAATTCAGTGTGTCTTTGTTTGCCACTAATTAACATTGTCTGAAATCATGTTAAGTAAAAGTTACATTTTCTCTGCGGAACGAAGAAAACCATGGTAGCCTAAACTTTGTAATTTTGCCACTTAACGGATGCTAAATTCGGTGCTCTTTTTTATTTCTTTGTGTAAGTAGATGTTAAGTTTTTCAATTGTTAGTCGCCAGGTTGAAGAAGAGTCTATTTATGTGTCATATCTATTTTCTTTCAGAATATGTAAAGATGCGTTGCAGTATTTTGTTTCGCTGGAATCCTCCAGTCATCGTGATGCTTGGACATCCCTGCTACTGCTACTATTGAATAGGCTTCTCAAGCTTGATGACAACAGGGTAAGATACAGCAGAACTTTTCTCTTTATACAAAACCCATAGTCAATGTGAAATCAAACGGTCTGGTCGCAAGTCCTCCTCTAATACCTTCTCACTTCAGCTTCTATTCACGTGCGTGTTCCTTTTGTGGGAGTTAATAGAATTAAAAGCAGTTTGACAGGTTTTTTGAATAGCGGTCACAAAGGTTTCGGACAAATGGCGTTACAGGCGCCCTCTGTCATGCTTGTTTAGAATTCGAAGGGAACAGTAATACCAACTACCGACGGCTTCAACGATGCAGCACAGTAATATTCTCTATTTAAAAATCCTCCTGATACCTTAAAAGGAAAACAGTCCATCTAATTACTATGAAAGAGATAAACTGAACCACTAACTACAGCTATTTTTTTTTTGTTTATAATTCCTTGTATCCATTTTTGTTGTTTCGTATTTTGGCAGTTCAAGGTGCATATTTCTAATTATTATCATACCCTGTGCGACATGCTGTTGGTGGATAATAAACTGGAGTTGCGCTCTGTGCTCAGACGAGTGTTTCAGCGAGTGGGTACCACGTTTGGAAGCTTTGCAAAAAGCACCTCATCAAGCTGACAAGTTTCTTTTTTTGTTTGTTTTTTAGTCCCCTCCTTAGTGAGCCATCCATACGTAGATATTTAATTCTGAGTCATTGTCAATGATTGGTTTTAGAATAACCATGCAAATACCTGGGAAACTGTATCCATTGTAATAGGTAATTTTTAAGAACTGGTTATTTTTTTTGTCTGTAGACGAATTTTCGCGCACGATTTGAGAGTAACTCCGAATCTCGAGTACTCCAAATCGAGAGCTTTGTAAGAGGTTTGTCCCAAGTTTTTTGCGAAATTTGCGCGGCTTGACAGCAGCAAAGTAAGCATTTATGAGAGCGGGTACTACATGTATGTGAGTATGCAACTATATAGGAAGGAAAGAGGAAAAGCAACCAATGATCAAACCTGTCGTGTACCTGTCACAATGTGTTTTACTAACGGTGATTCATAGGTGATGTAGACACTCAAGTTTTTAAAGGTGAATGTGGGAATTACTGTCAAGCGATATTTAATGTTGGTAGATATACAAAAGAATTCTTCTTACCTAGATCGTAACTTAGCGAATTTCGAATTTTCTTTAGTGGAAATTAACACCTACTAGATTTGCAGCTGTTAATTTTTTGTCGTTTGATCTCCGATCATTTTTTGTTTGTGGTTTTTGATGAATATCTCAGCAACAGTTCATCTTTAAGGTGGAATTTTGTGACTTGGCATTTTCGTTTTGTATGATAATTTCAGATTCTCATTAATAGAGTAATGACAGAAGTGAAAATGTGAAGCTCTAAACAGTTAAATGACTTGTAAAGGAAGTGAAATGAAGAGAAACTGAAATGACAAATTTCGTAATAAAAGAAAATATTATAAAACGATTCTCGTATTGTGTTTAATCTCTTTAGGATGGCCCTCTCATATCCTCTTTACCAAGAGATATTTATTGGACATTGAAAATATTATTATTTTTATAAGCTAATTAATCCTTTCGCAAAAAGACATGGCTCCGTCCCTCTAAAACCTCAAAAACAAATTCAGGAATAATTTATAGCGTATCAAAAAGCGTCTAATTAGCTTTCTGTTTGGTGCTAATTCACAGTCCTTATGGGTCGCGAAAAATCCCTCCTGAATATTAAAACTGAAAAAAATTGTGCGTGAACAAATCGAACCGTACAGATAAATCAACAGCGCATCGACGAATAACGTCTGATAGATTTGATTTCCTTACACTAATTACTTAATTGGGGTCTAGGAGAAGGGGAGAGTCTCGGATTTGTCCAAACCCAGGGATGTTCAAGAATGTGCCAGTTTCTCTCTTTCCTCGAAATTTTTGGTCAGAATTGGTCCGCTACTGCGATAGCGAATTGTCGCGTACGCAGAGTTTGCTGGCCTATAAGCTACTTCTACTAAACTGTTGAACTTTTTCATCGGAACAAAGGTTAGTTGAAGATATTTCATTCTTTATCTTCAGTTTTTGAACTTAATTGCTAACTCTAAAAAGACTTCCTACACGATGTATTTCGTTAGAAGCGTTTCTGCATCTCTTTCGCTCCCTCTCCATGAGAGTCAGTTTTATTCTCAAATTTATAAAGTAAAATTCCGTTAAATGGAAGTGAGAAATATCAACAATGAAAAAGCCTCGATACATTCAAACTCATCTCTAATAGCCTCTTATGCAAATTTCCTTTGAACCTCGTTTTCGAGATTTCCTCAGTTAGACACAACTTTATGGCACGTGGAAATTTAGCTGCTTTTTTTACATTTTACGATTCTTCGTTGTCTGAACTGCTTCACCTCTCAGGATATTGAACGTCTAAATGGAGACAGAGGCATTATTAGGAGACCTCCCATGGACTGACAACCCACTACAAAGTTATTTTTTTAGAACAAAACACAAGGTAAGACCGAGAAGTTGTTGAAACTTGCGCTGTATGAAGTTGAGAGTTTGAGACATTGCGCTTGGCGGCACTTTCAAACCAAGTCAAACCATGCAAGGTAGATCAAGATCAATTCTTGGTCAAAGATTTAAAGTTGTAGAGCAGAAAACGCCCGTATGGATTTGGTTTGTTGGGTTTTTTCCTATCGATTTAGAGATTAACGCTTAAATTCTCAAACCGGAAGAATTAAGAATCTTAAACTGTTATTTTGGTCTTAGATGCACCGCCGTAAAGATGGATGAATACAAAGGACATGAGTCGACAGAAAGGAACTGCGCTATGGTAAGCGACACTTTCCATTTTCTCAGGCTCTTAATGTGTACATGTGGCTGCTTTTTGTAAGACAGTGTATTGATATTTGCGCAAAATACAAATGGATCTAACATGCCAAAAATATCTTGTCAAGGTGACGGGTTTCCTTTGTAAGCCATTTGAAAGATTTCAAAGTAGTGTAGAAAGAATTTGAAAATCCTGCACAGGAAAATGTTTTCAAAAGGCCACGATCACTTTTGTAACTGTTCTGTCATTTGGGAAAATCGCAAAAATAAAGTATGTTAAGGAAGCATTTCTATATTTGAAATTTTTCTCTCGATCGTCAACCAGCCCTGAATCTTAACTGTTCAAGCTTATGATTTGTTGTTTGGGAATAAAAGGAAAATACCGGTGAGTCATAAAAATGTTTTAGCCGTTTCGAGCTTTTTTGACGAATCTTAGATATTCTGTGCTATTTCTCTAATCCAAGGAGTAATCATATCATTCATGTGAAAGAAAACAATGAGAGAAGATTTCTTCATTTACATAAGATGAGATTACGCCAGAAAAATGCGCCACCGATAAAGAATGATCGGAATGTTAACAAAGGTTTTGGTGAGATTAAAGAATTTTGTTTAAAACTAGTGGTACGTCTCTGAGACTTCCATTTTTTCCCCAAAAAATATGAAATTATCTTCCTTGTTGGATGTCAATAAGAGTAAAAATTTTGGAGGAAGTTTGTGACAGTGAAGCGTAGGAGTAAGTGTGTGCCATCCACTCTCGTTGATATACAACTTCGAATATTCGTAGTACACGCTTTGTTCGTACATTTTGGTTCGAGGTGAAGACCGATTTTTATGGCATTTTGAGCGACGTCATTAATTACCTTTAAATTTTTAAAACTCGTAAGTTTCAGTGTTATGAATGTTTGCAGTTATTACACGTACGAATTTTCATCGACGAAAAACGATCTCTTGTAGAAGTCAGTAGATTTCAATTTTAAACACTGGAAATTCAGAGTGTTGGAAACTGTACGATACGTTTATTATTCTAAATTTGATTGAAATTTATAAGCGATTTCGTTTATCTATACATAAGTAGAGCGATGTATATATTGTGGGAGGAAAAAGACAAATAAACTACCAGTTCATCCCATCCTGAGTGGTTGCCCACTCATCAGGGATCCCCTGAAGAGTGGGCAACCACGAAACAGGTCTGTAAGGATGAACTGGTAGTTTATTTGTCTTTTTCCTCCCTCGATATTTACATCTCTCTACTCCGATGTATTGAGCGCTGTTTTACGTAAGTCAAAATTTTACACTGTAACTAAACAAATATGTATGCGGCACGTGTCTTATCGCCCCAAATATGGCATTGTTCCACGTGCTTCAGTACAACGGGACGTTTAGTGTGTTTCCTTAGAATAAGCCGAGAGTTGTGAGTGGGAGTTAACCGAAGCGTTGTGGTAAAATCGTTAAATCGAGTTAATAAACCGTGAGTTAATAAGGAGGCATGGTACAGCTTTTTCACGTTTTCGACTCAGAATTTTTTCAATTCATTCGCGGAATTTTTGTCGAACACACTGAAATATTCTAAACAACAATGTTTTTTTTGCGCAAACATGAATACATTGCCCTTTTATTTTGTGAATATAACAAGTCTAGAAAACATTAGTGAGTAAGACGTTTTCAATCCTGCTATATCATTGAAATCTCAAATTTGAAATAGAATCTTTGAATTCATAAGGGAGATAATTATAATGACCTTAGGCAGGTTGGGTTAAATGTCATGAACTCTTGGCTTTGCTTAAACCTAAGAAAAGTAACACGGGAAGAAATAAGACTTGAATATATCACGCTTAACGAAAGTGTTTTCTTTTAGTGACCATCAACTCTGAACAAAACCAATTTTTCGTATCACCTAAATCGCTTTTATATCACGCATTTTGGAATATTTTCTTACTATTCCCTGAAGATGCCGTAGACCAGCGAAGGCTCAGAATAAAAAGGAAATACAGAAGCTCAAGGTCTCAATCGATAAGTCCATTTAATCAACATGCTACTGAGGAACAACTAGCTTCAAACATTTTCTAAACAAAACATTCAGAAAGGCAGAGAAATGTTGACATTTGTAACAGTTTTGTTGTAAGTTTAGTTTTTTCGTATTTTAACAACTACGTTTGTATTCTCTTGCAGTTCATTTAACACCTTGCTGAAGCCGATCACCAGCAAGGAGAGAAAGACGAAAAGATCGAAACGGTTGAACAAGAAAGACAGTTGAAGATTAATTTTAGAGGTAAAACATGTAACTAAGCAAAGCCAAGGTCGTTTTAAGGCTAGTTTATTTTCTGCTTTCGAGACAGATTCACAATTTCGTACTGAATTTCAAAAGAAAGAAGTTTTGGATTTTAGAAACTGATTTCGTGAGTAGATTAGAAATCATTTGGCAAGAAACAAAACATTCTAATGCAACAGTTTCGGCTGAGTTTAATAGAGAGAACAAAATCGTAGCTCGATATTTTTTCTACAGCTTATAAGGACATTTTAGAGTTAACATTTATTTATGGTCATAAGTATTTTTTTGAATTTCTTGTTTGATATTTTCTCTTCGAAATTTTCACTGCAAAATTCCAGAATTTCTTAGAGGTTGATGAATTTATCAGGCTTATTATATTATTGCTCAGTTAAGTTCAGCAATTTGCTTGTGACAGTCTTTTGGTGCGAATTTTCCACTTGAAATTTAAATTTTCCAACTTGTGAAATGTCATGAAATTTCATTTATTTCTGTGATCAGACAGAATAATGTTATATATGCTTATCAACTGTTGTAAACACTTTCACTAATTATTTAAGAGTTGTATCAATAAAAAAACTTACAAACAAATAAAAGTTGTATTTCCACTTTATTGTCTTATTTTGACTGTACAAATGGTAAAAAAATAACTCCGCTTTTAAAAGGGCCTGGAAACTAGTCAGAATATAGGCTATCTCTTTTATTTTTTTTTGCATATGGAGGGTTGCCGAGAGGAAAAAAAGTTCTGCGAATTTGAACAGCCTCTGGTGTAAAATAAAAGAGCCATTTCCCCATCAAAAGACTTAGTATATTTTTTAATCAACATCAGAATCATTCAAAAGAGCAGACTTTTTTTTCCATGAACAAAAATTTCCCGCCATCGGATATTTATTTAGTTGGCCCTTTTAAAAGCACGAATTACGTACTCGATGCTTTCAAACGAAACATTTGCTCTCATGCACGCGATTTCTTCTGTAACCGGTTTATCCAAGGAGAGGGTCCGAAATACTTTATTTCAATCAACAGATTTGTTTAATCTTCTGGCATCATCTTTAAGTTCAAACCTGAAAGATAAAGAAATGTTTTAAAGACATATTTTCCGGCCTTGTCTATAAGCTAAGTGCTCTTGTAGAATACATCCATTTACTTCCTACTTGCAGTGCACAACCGGCTGAATTATCTATAACCTAAATTAAGTGTATCAGGGGCTCGTTTTAGGAGAAATAAATGTTTTAAAAATCAAAGAGATCATAAACAAAGCTTTTAACACCACGGCGTAGAGACTTAAGTCCTAAAAGTGTGAGCAGTTTCAAAGCTATTTTCCCTGAAGTACAAAATGTTTCTGCGATGGGTAAGGCTTTGTTGAAGTTCAAAAATACCTATATTTAGCAGTTTTGAAAATCAAAATCAAATTTCATCTCCTCACAAGAAACTAGTGACGAGATGACACAACCATAGCATGTCCTTACATTTATTTTTTCTCACATTTCAGTCGGAAATAATTATAACTACACCAAAAATTGCTTCTCTCTAATTTCTCTGATCCATAAAATGGTATTTCATCCAACGTTTGCTTCAGTGAATTACAAATATCTCACTACTGACCGTGACCTTCTCAACATTTTGGTAGAGCCGAAGATGTTTCTTCGAAGCACTTTTCAAGGGAGTCTCGTGAAACCAAAACCAAAATAATCAGCCAATAAACGGTCACTCAGAGAAAAGAGATTATCACAAGGAGCCAATGAGAGTTCAAAGTGAAAATGAGTAAACTGCCTGAAGCGTGTGCAACCAGGGCGTGGTTTGTTTGAGGTTTGCGTCTTATTGATTGAGAGGGTAATGCGAGTTTTTTTTTCTTGACCAAATCACAGATCGTTTAATAGCACAACCATTACAATCCCGGATTTTCTTTTAATGCCTAGTACAAAATTACGGTATCCTAAGTAAGGTTTGCGCGCAGGCCCATACTGACCCACACTATCGTTAAACAAAGCCGTAGTCCAAAAGGCAATCTATTGTTTCGCTATTGTTTTTTTTATTCAGTTTTCTTTTATCCAGTATACTGTATGCTTGATAAACTTGGGGCTGTGTGGAAATCTTACCTTAATCTATCGTAAAATATTAAGGTGGCTAGTCATAGTCTAAACCTTTCTGTGTCTTACCTCCTGAATCATGTGTACGCCGAGTTGATTAATAATTGTTACTGTCACTTTAGATCGCTTTAGATTCGAGATGCACATGAGGTCAAAGATCGTCACCTTTTCATTTGTTTTGTCGTGACAAAATCATAAAAATATAAAAGTGGATTGGATTCATCAACATCTTAAGATGTCTTTGGACTTCTGGATTTTTCGTTGTCGAGTGAAAATGAATATATTAGGGAGAAATTAATACAATAATTGGTGTTTAAGTTAATAAGCTAAACAGGTCAACAGTGAGACCTGTAAACCAACTTTTCACTTTCAACGAAGAAAGATTTTAGCACAGTTCTGTTCACTGATGATTGAGTTCATCCAGAACGTTTTTCATTTCCTTAGACTAACGCGTTTTTTATAATTTTTACCTTATTTACGTATTGCCTTGTAACAAGTGTCCAATTCAGAGATTAGTTCCTGACCTCACGAGTATCGCTAATTGCTCAAGATGGAATCATGGCGTCATCGTGGTACTTCCCCCCCCCTCCCCCCTTCAGCTTTTCTATCACCCACTCACAGTTTAGTATTGCCCGGCTTTCATAAACCTGGACACACAAATTAATAAGTAATCTTAATACTGAATTTTTCTGCAATAACCCATAAGCAAAAATTTAATTTAGATAAGAAATAAATATTTCACAGAACTGAGATGAAATATGACGGCGATTCATTACTGCAGTAGCTAATGGCGCCCTGTTTTGCCTTTTTTAAGTAGACGAGACAGAGGGACGAGTTCACAAGATTGTCATAAACTTACTTTAATGATATTAACGAGCAAAAGTGGAAAACCTAATATCTTACTTGAGCTCACGGATGTCCAGACTTTGGCCAGTTTGCAACTTGACTCAGTTGTCTTGTCGTTGCTGGTTGTAACCTTTGTGCGGGGATAGTTACACACCAAACATAGAATCTTCTCTTTCCAGCAACATTTGAACTTCATCTGTCAGACATTATAACGTCTGGGATATGTTAGAAGACGATTTTTGTGACCAAAACTTTGATTTACGAAGAGCAACTTTAAAACCAAGCAGCCAAGCAAAGTTCTGCGCTCCGCGTGTGAATATCCCGAGTCGTCAATATGTGTAAAAATATATATTTGCAATTTAAATCAAACATTCCGCGGGCCTCGCCAATAGTATTCAAAATGATAATGTGGGGAGGGGTGAGATTCATGCGGGTGAAAGTTTTTTTCTTATTGTCTTTTTCCTCTAAAGTTGATGAATTCTCAAAGAAAACTACTTCATCTTTCAAATACATAACCAGCCACGGTTTTCATCCTCTTCCTCTCTCCAACTGATTTGATCAATACTTTATTGGAGAAAAATTTGCTCACCTGGTACTGATGACTAAGAAACCATTGAGTTTCTGGGAAATTACATAAGGGATTTACAGCTTTCTTTTCGTTTACTGATCATTTGCTGGTCTGGACTATTTTTATGGGCTTTAGGAAGATTTAGAAAGATTTCAATTCAAATTGCCTTTTGAATTTGGCAAGCCGTGGAGTGAAATACGGCCCGTGAAATTGACCAATCATAACGCCCGAACTGAGAGACACAATATATCAACATTTATTTTTATTACCAAATACTGGAATTTTCACTGACAAAAATGTCCTTCATGATCAACAGGATCAAAAGTAGTAGTTTGTGCCATTTACTGAATTCACTCAATCCAGAAGACATTATGGAAAAATACAATTTATTAACAAAATTTGAAACATGAATGTCTATAAAAAAGGTATAAAAAAACATATCAAACAAGCCTAATCAAATATACAACTAGGTTTGAAAACAGTGCATTTTCAAAGCATAATATCAAAAATTATGTACAATTGAACTTGCACTAACTTATTTTTAAATTTTATCACTACAACCACTTAAGAAACAGAACTTTAAAATATGCTGAGAAAAAGGATCTCATAAAATAAAAGATCAGAGCTCTTACATATAAAAGTGAAGAAGCTGTGGAAATAAAGCTAAAAAAATAACCCATGCTTCAGGAGTATAAAAAAGAGGAAAAAACTATTAAATACAAATCAATCATCAAATAAATAGCAATAAATAAAAAATCATTATACAAAAGGGTCATTCAATAGTTATGGTTTAATGTTTTGTTATACTTGAGGTATATAGTGCTGGTTTGGTACATGAAACTGAAACTATAGATACAACTTAGGGTTTCCACACAGGAGTAACAATGGACCCTCAAGTTTCATCACCAGGGTTAGAGGTTAAGGTTGCCTTGAAAAGGACTGTCATCAGTGGTTGTGACTGTATTGGAGTCATAAGAAGAGAGTGCAAGTGACTCTAATAACTATCCTGGTTTGGGTTTTTGAAACAATGGGTGACAACATTCCATTACTGGCAACCAAAGTGTATAATACATAGTGGACTGAAAAGTTAGAGGCCCATCAGAACACACTAATCATACTGCACTAGCTATCACAGTTTTCTCCTCCATATCCTGGGAGGCAGACACAGCTTCCATTAAAGCAACTACCACCAACATAACTGCAATTGGTACAAGCAGGATTGTCTTCAACTTTAACAGCAAAGCTTAGTTCTATTGCTGGTGAATAGTTAATCCACAGCTCATCTCCTACATCTTCATTCATAATCATGAACAATGGAATATCTTCAATGTCTCGTCCAATAGGAAGTTCCACCTCAGCATTGTGGTCCACACGAGAGAAAGTAATCTTCCTTTGGAACAGAATTCGCATGGACTGATAAGTATATAACAACTTACTCTGGCTGTTTTGGGCAAAAACTTCAAAAGCATCTGGTTCAACTTTCTTCGGTGCTCCTTGAAAATATGTTCCAGGAAACAAGATAAGAGGGTATTGAATTGATGGAAACTTCTCAAGATCAGTAGGTCCTATGAGAAAAAAAAATGACAACAATAACGTTATGAAACTGACAATGAAACTTTCAAAATCTTGTTGTTTTTAGTATACCTCCACTTTTGGTCTAAGGTAAAAATTAGACAACCGCGTTTGTTACCCTAATGTAGCACAGAATGGCAACCAAACTGAATTCATTGTTAAGATTAGAGACTGTGAATCAACATGGCACTAAAGAAAGTAGTCAAACTGGTAAGTGCTCCAATAGTTCCTATTCAGTCTAATATAAATCACCATCAAACAGCCTGAAACTATTCACATCAATAGAGTTGTCTCACAGTAAAAGACATACCCTGCAAGTTCCCTTACAAAAGTCTTTGATTTTTCAATTTTTCATGCTGAAGCAACACCTGGCCACATTAAACTTTGTACCATTATTACAACAAATGATGCTTGTTTTCACTAGGTGCTGCATAAAATGTCTTATTTGGTGTGATATTACATGTAAGTGAGTCTAATTTTCAGAGAAGGAGTCAATAAACATACTTGTAGTACAGTTTTCTCCTGAATAGCCAGTGATGCACTGACATTCTCCACTTATTCCACATGTACCAAAATAGCAGGTTTTGCTGCCACAGTCTGGACGTGAACAGTTAGGACATGGCTCTAACTTAAGGGCAAAGTTCATCTCCCAGTGAGGCCACTGTGTGTACCAGATCCCGGAGGAGCCACCGACATCTTGGTTATCAAACATCCACAGGTGGATATTTGAAATGTTTGTGATGTTATAGATGGAGGATGTAAATTTGTTTCCACTCAGAAAGCCAGCTGCAATTATGAAAAAGTCGGCAATTGACCATTTAACTCCAAGATTAAATTTGTAATTCTCCTCACTGTCAACCATACAATTCTTATGTTACTCAGAGAATTTAGTATTGGATCAATTAATTAACCCTCAATTGCTAGTTTTCTTTATTCTCATCACTTATCTGGTTGATATTGTATTGATATTGTGAGGAGAAATTCTGTCTTGGTCACTCATGGGAGTTAAAGGGTTAACAGTTATATCTAGAGTTCTAACCATGCATCAAATAATTATTTCTGTGACTCAATGGAGTTGGTTCAAAATCTCTACCTCTTTCCACCCTAACATCATTATGTTTATTTGCCTTGGTGTTCCCTGTGCAGTTCCTAAGGTGCTGACAAGGAGAATTTTTTAAAGCAATCAAGAGCTTGTTTAGTTGGTGATCATTTCCTTTATTCTTGTAACCTTAATGTATAATTCTAGGGTGATACTGTAAGGAGAAATAACATACTTTGTTCTGGATATAGCGATCATTATAGTGGTCTATAGAAGTGAGTATCCTAAAACTTACAAAACATCAAGTTATCATAAAATATCGTCTATGAGTAATTCATATACACAAAGTTATTTACCTTTAAATGTGAGTGTCCTTCCTGGCATCACTATTACTGATCGATAGCGGAATTCTCTTTTCTCATCCCCAACTGTTTGACCCCATACATGGTATTCTTCTTCTTTAAGCCGAGTGTAATCATTTTGAGAGGAAGTTTGATAATCTAGTTCATTAAAGAGTACAATGGGGAATTCTGCAGATGGCTGAGGAATGTCTGCAAAAATCATCATCAGATAATTAGGGAACTTGCTGATGTCTATCAATATCTTTGATATTCTTCCAGTTTGGTATCAATTCCTTTAACACCAAATAACATTGTAATAAGAAGTACTGCTTCCCACTACCTGGACTGGATATTGATCTAGTGGAACTCATTTTATAATAAACCTGACTGGAGTGAGGTCTGTGTTGTAAACATAAAATATTGATCAGTGTTTGGTGAATCATAAGACAAAACAATTAAAGGACGTCCCGTTAAGTTGCGCACAGATATGACGCCATATTACAACAAACATGTGACATCTTTTGGATAGTAAATGCTAAAAAAAATAATGGAACTAAGACTTTCAGCAAAGTTTTAATAAACCAAACATGCTAAAAGTTAGTACCCGTTGGGAAGCAGAAAATTACTGATGAGTACAGAAGACAACTGCTCAATGGATTGCGTGATGAATGTGAATCAAAGTACTTAGTAATATATATATTGCAAGAGAACTTTACACTAGCTACAGCTCAGAAGATGGGGATTACGTGTATTACTGCATGAAAATGGAAAATCTTCCACTTACTGGACATGGAATATATATCATTTCCCTAAAATGAAGAATATAGAAAGAACATTTCAGTTTGTTTCCACATATATCAATGTGGGTAGTTGCAAAACTGTGAGAGTGAGTTCTGATTCCGCACCCACGCACCCAAGTTAATATAATGTAACATCATCATAACAAGTTAAATTCGCTGAATCAAAGGTGTTTTAGCCATCAGATATGAGGTTGCGTTTCTTGATGTGTCTCGTCTGAGTGTAATCTAAAATGGAGTATCTGCATCGTCCTCAGCTGATCTGATATAGATCACAGGGGCAAGGAGCGATGATTTGATCTATCACCTCTAAGGTGAGACAGGGAAAGTGAAATGTATACCAAAAGAACCTTGGACGTACACAAATCAAAGGAAAGAGCGCTTTATACTCTGAAATGCAAGCTATTCGACAAATTTTAATTTTAATTAATGACAACTTTAAAAAGTTGTAGTGCAGTGTAATGGCACGTATAGAAATTTGTGATCGTTTGCAAAACAAATACAACCAAGAAAAACAGTCATAATAAAACATACCATAATATGAAGGCAAAATATCTCGAAGATGAACAGCACTAATATGAAAACAAGCCAGTTTTCACCCCTCATCTTTCACAGATACAGATTTCCCGCTGTTGTTTGGAAGATGATATGGCAACTACGGTATTTTTTCCTGACTGTCTTTGTCCGAGTAGTACTGGGATCAAGTCAGACGGCTATCCTGAGGTGGGGACAGTGATTTACGGTTACTTTCCTCCTATGAAAACAACCAGACCTTTCGGAATCGCTTGGAATGACAGCAGAAAATTACAAACGAGCATACCTTTCGTAATAAATTATAAGGGTGCTTGGAACAAGCTGGAATTGGTGGGTCAGTGTAGCGGAAAGGGAGGGGAGATAGGGGAAGGCGACTGAAATTTAAAAATTTATTACTTTTTACAACTTTCATTGACATTCTAAGATCTTATTATCTTAGCTCTCCAATGTGCTTTTTTTCTTCTCCACGTTGATGATGTAAACGAAGATGTGAATTTTTTTGGGTCTGCTTGTGTTTAAGTGAAAAAAGAAGTTATTCAGTGAAGGAGACAGGCATACTAACTTGGATAAAGAGAACTCCGAGTGCTCTCCACAGGAGTCGCACCTACGACCTTAGTAAGGTTATTATAACCAATGTAACAAAATACAGCTTCTAGCGATTTTATCATCATAGAAATTTTCCAGGAAAACTGCCAGGGGATAAAACGCCCGTCTAAAGAGTATATTCTGATAACGATAAGATTGTTATCTCTGACATTGAAGAGAATATCTGGAATCAAGACACTGACCATGTTGTCTCTACTTGGGCAGAGGTCAATTTTAACTGAAACATATCTCGCATTAGCATGTCCCGGATTATTCTTACTTTTGGGTGATTAATTCAAACTCTGGTTTCTAATGTATTTAATATTGTTTTTATTCTTACTTACAAAAGATAACAGGTTCTTGTTGTAGTGTAACTAACTCTCACCACCAATTACAAAGTTGTAAAGATCCACTGACTGTACATACAAACCTATGCCAAGAAAAGGTGGTCGCCCGGTTTCGAGCACATGTTACGTTACGTCTAACTGGAACGACGCTGGTTCAGAAAAAAGGGAGAATTAAAGGTAAAGGCCCAATAGGAAGAAATCAGAATATGAAATTACACTGTGGCTGTATACTCGGCAGCCGGAAAATTTTCGTAGAATTTCGATTAAAAGGTTCTTTCAAACTTCTTGAGAATATCAGATGTTTGTATAGAAATTTCAACAGATTCCAAAGTCTATCTTGGTGTTTAAAATGCTGAAACATCCAAACTTAGTTATGCTCTTCTCTCGACACAGTGTTTCTTTATCCGATGATAACGATATTGTAACTGAGTTACTATTAGATAACTTAAAAAAGTCAATCAGCAACGTTGAACGACTTTAAATCTTAGTTTACAACTGTCATTTGTCCACAGATGAACAGTTTCTTCTCGAGTGTAGAAAGTATGATTGCCATGGGTTTCCACCACAACCTGACAAATCAGATGAAAACTAAAAGCAATGGCGACTTCATCATTTTCCGAACTTACAGAGGGTTACTAGAGTCTACTATGAGTTTTCAGTGACTCCTCATAATTACTTAACTAATTCTTAGTTCCAGACCTAAGCTCCCTTTCATTTAAATCCTAAGGGAGACTGGCGTCGAACATCAGTGGTGAGTCGTAGTTACTGCTACTCGTGCTCAATTTCCTTTTTTCTCGCTCGTCTTTAATTTTGTGTTTCTTTTTCTTCTTCTTGTGTTTCTTGTGAGTTGGGGCACCAGGCTCAAGGGCTGGTTTCACTCGAGTCTCTCCTCCACTTTCAGTGCCGCTCTCCTCTCCTCCAATCTATAATCAAAAAGGATGTAACACAAAACTACCTCATGAACTGGTAAGTAAAAAGGCAAAGTAAGCATTCTTTCCAAAGAGGATCCTGGGTACTCCTCCCGAAGTGCTTGACTATTAGCTACATACCTTAATCTTCAAACGAAGTTTGCTGGCCTCAGAATTAGCAGACTCAACACTCACAGGTGTACCAGGCTGGGAGTCAAGATGACTTAACTCTAGTGAAAAAGATGGAAACCGTTTCAATTTCGAGGACAGGTTAACCGTTCCCTTCCCTTTCCTTCTAGCTGCTGCACACTTCCTTGTAAATTCCCACAAAGAGAATATATTGTTATGTCAAGATATTACTCTTCCGCTGTAAGGTTTGTATTTTCTCAACCCTTGTTTGCTGATCGATGTAAAGAAATTACTAAGAGGAAACACGGTAATCAATTTTAGATTAAATATTCAAGTGTGTGTTTTTTTTTACCTGCAGGCGACGTTGCTCTGGAAGCTTTTCTCTTCTGACCTTTCTTTGATGTTGTTGATTCTTCACCGCTGACAGATCCCTGCATCACGGATGATGACATAAAAACGTAAACATGAACTGATTTGTTGGCGAAATTCCTCACTGGAACTCAAGTTTCATAACGTAAGTCTATTTAATACAGTGCTTCTCTCGAGACGTTTTAAAAGTCATCTAATAAAAAAAATGGCACAGGCAGAAAACACGATGACCTTTAAAAGAGAAGAAACTAAAACTGTTGTTTACTTTAAAGTAGAGGTGAAAAACTAGAGTCAGTGAGTCAATTGTGACGATTGTTTATAACTCACCGGGGATGCTGGTGGTGGAAGAGGAGACAGGCTCATTATTTTCCTTTCCTTCAGATCTATCACGATGCCCATCTACAAGATAAACCATTAAAAAAAAACGTTATTGAGATAATAAATGAAAAGTTGACACCCCAGAAGACTTTACCCGATGCCTTTAACTAGTCGCCAAACCGTCTACTTCACATTCTATTCGCTTCTTTACTTACAGTTACCTTACACTCACCCCCTGAGGAGGAACACAGCCAGGTGTCAGCCGGCCCCACAATGCATTATACAGCTCCACTCCATCTCGTCTGAGTCGAGCATCAACTGAGGAACTGGTACTAAGAAGAGAAATAAACCAAAAATAATTAAAGATGAAAAAGGAAGAGTTGTACAGAGAAGCAATCGCAGGAGAAAGAAAAAATACCAAAAAATCATATTGTGAATTTAGAAATTATACCACCCGTCCATCATTGAACGGAACCACCCGAAATCGGACAAAGCCACCCGATGTTGGACGGAACCGTCTAAATTATGAAGGAAATGTGTAATAACAAATAAATGAGTGGTAACCCGAGATTCATGGTTAGCGCTTGGCAACACTCACTTGATTAACCGCCACAAGGATTCCACAAGATCCAGATTGTTCAGAGAAGATTCTGATTTGCGTGAGAATGGAGGATTCTTTGTGAGTGAACAAAGAGTGTAGTGTCTGTAAACAAACAAGGTTGTGCACAATCAATTTACCCAATTGACACTCAAGATCTGATTGGCTATTCCACTTTCCAACTGCAACTTATTAGTTGGTAAATTAAAGGAGCATTTAGAGTCAGTTCCATGAAGATAACAACCTCTGGCTGATACGCTTGTCTATGATCATCAATTGTTTGCAATATAATGAACTGAAACTGTGAGGAGAAGTTACACGTCAATCACAAAGTCTCAAAGGCGAATCCAGATTCAACATCTCTCACTGCAGATGCACGAGCTTACACAACAATAGAGAATTGAAGAGGAGATTTTTTCACGTAAAGCGTGTGGCCGGTAAAAGGAATAATTAGGTTTGAAGATTTTGCTTCAGACCAACAATCAAAGTTGATAAAAACCTGATAAATGGAACCGGGTCTCTCTCAATAAGACCAATCAAGTAAATCATTCCTCTTTCAAGGTTCTCGGCTGAAAAATCAAGAATAAAAGAATATTCTCGCGACGTTTAACACCATCTTTTGGGCAGATGGAATGTTGGTAAAATCGTTTCCAAATACAAACAAACCAAAAGCAACTAATTTTAAACTAAACATTAGAGGAGCAGTCAGCCTTCTTTTGAAATGTTTTGAGTCGTTGGAAAGTGTTGTTAATTGGAAAGAAACTTTTAAACTAACAATTTTTCAAGGAAAAAGGTTTAGATGAAAAATCAGCCGGAGGGGAACAAAGATGGTTGGGTATGGCAACTCACATTTGGAGAGATCCACAAGGCACTCAATAGCTGCCAGTCGAATATCCTCAAAATGACCATAGCTGGACAAGGAATAGAAACAGAATATGTGAAAATAGAAAAACGTTCAAACTATAATTTTGGACAAACCAATTTCAACTACTAATTGAATACACTTGCTTTGAAAAAACCCACCTGGCATAGTATTCAAATGCAGCAGGGTCAGACGGGATTTGACCATTGACTTGAAGAACTCTTAGCGCCTTTAGACAGCTGCGAGAGAGATAACATTTAACTTATAACAGTGACCTTAGAGCAAGTTTCGACTGAGTGTCAAAAGTCATCCGAAGAAACATTGGCTTTGAATGCGCTTTGTGATTGGTCTAGTAAACTCGTGGCAACCTCTCAACCAATCAGATGCAAAAGTAAAACCAATCACTTGGTCATGGTTTCCTCTGCCTTTAATTTAATCAACAACCACAATGTAACTGGTGCGCATGAACGGAAAAGCTGCAATGTATGCTCAATTCTCACACACACAGCCTCCAGAATTTGATTGTTTGGCCTTTGGAGCATGTCCTCTCTAAAACTATGTGTTACTAGCGGGTTTTTTATATCTTTTAAGAAATGCCCACACTCACCTTACAGACACAACGTATCTGTAAGTTGGAAGTAACTTTTCTAAATTCAGCTGGCGAGTCACCTCGCCTAGGATTAGTTGTGTTTCTTCTGTTAACTTGACCACTGTACTGCCATCACTAGTAAACAATGAAAACGTTATAATAACGAACAATCAAAGAAAACATACGCAAAAATAAAAAACAACAATTAATGTAAATTTTATTTGTCCTTATCGGAACGAAATGAAGTTTCTGACAGAGATAGAAGTGGCCTACTCTATCGGTGTCTTGTTATATTTCCAAGGGGTGATCAACGTGTACTATCGCTTCGTAATTGTAACACATTATGCAACATACATATGATGAGATATGAAGAACGTGTCAGCTGAAAGGTACACTCTTGATATGACTTGTAATAGTGTAACCCTGCACCATTTATAGCAGTTGGTTCTCTACAATCAACAGTGAAATTATACTAAGTTTTGGAATTGCAGTAATCTTGTGGATTGTGGAAAGTGTGTCAGGTAAAAGAAAAGAATTGAGAATTCTTTATTCTTTTTTGTTGTAGAGAAAATAACTTTCATAGCAGTAAATCTAGAAAGAACTTAAGGGAGATGTGTACATGCCTATTTGTGGTAACTATGGAGACACCAGGAGTAACGGTACTGGCCAGTGCATCAATGAGGGCACTTCTGTAATGGCTATCTGTGTACTATAAAAATAGCAAACAATAAAAAATACTTTTTTTACAGTGATTCTATACAAATCATTTATTTTTGGATTAGCATGTCCAAGTGATGGGTTGGTGCAGGGAGCTGCATGCACAGTGAGAAAAAGTGGGGAAGGCTTGAGACAGGTCCAAAACTCTTCGACCTTTTTCCTGTGGGGTACAGAACTGCAACACCCTGTTTCCTAACTGAAATACCTATAAGAGGTTATTTCAAAATGAACTGCATCATGGAGAAGAACATCAACAGATTTCTAAATTGTGACTTTTACAAGGTTCTTGTTGATCAACATGCTAGTATCTAAGTTAATATGAAAGTGATCTTTGCAGTGATGAACACTACTTGAGCAGTGGTGAAGATGAAAAAACTGCTTAAGTGCGATGAAAAAAACATAAAATGCTGAAAAAAATAACTATTTTTTCTCAGTGAGAACTGAAGTCAAAACAAGATACCTTGTTCAGTCTATTGTCATTGTATTTAATCAAATCCAGTATAAACTGTAAAACTTCACGTGGACACTGGGAATGAACATTTCTCACAGAGGCAGTAGCAACTGGCAGAGCCTGGACATAACAAGAAATGTAGTTAGAAACTTGATTCACAGAATAACAATGCATTGTTTGTACTTCTTATCTTAAAAGAGTCCTTTACAACTCCCTAACTCCTCAACAAAATCTACCCAACACCCTTCATTATACTGTTAAGAACATAACACCAAACCTTTTGTATGAAGTAAGAGATGAAATTTGTGAAGTCATTGTACTTCACGATGTGAGGGCATGACTGTGAACCAAACATGTCTCGGAAAATTCCAATCATGGTTGTGTGTCCATGCCAACTTGAACTTGAACTGGAAGCACAAGCAGTTGCAACCTGTTTTGGATGGAGAGGGAAGGAAAAAATGATGTTTTTTTTTCTTTTTAAAGGAGTAGGAAATATAAACCATGGGGATCAAGACAGTGTGCTGTATTCTTGGGGAAGACACTCTACAATACAATACAATATTTATTTGCCATATACGACATTTACACATGGAAAAAAAAAAAAAAATGAAGAAAATTGATGACAGAAAATAAATGGCGAGAAAACCTGAAAGAAACCACGAGGCTTATAACAAGTCAGGCTTTCTCACTTAAAATAACTAATCTTATATTAGAATTACAATATGGACTTATGGTAATTAACTTTGACCGCGCACACGTACACACACACACACACGCACACACATATTAACTAAGTTAGTTAAGAATTACTGCCTTACAGAAGCTAATACTTAGAGAGAAGAAATTCCTTAAGCTTTCTTTTAAAAGAAGCGGAGGAGGGAGAACTAGTTATGTCAGAATTTAACGAATTATAAAAGTTTGGACCTTGAAAGTAAATTGAAAACTTCCTGGTGTTCGTTCTGCACAGTGGCAAACGGAAGGACTGAGCATTCCTAGTATTACAATTGTGGATTTGACTATTCAGTAAAGAAAAGTTATTGAATTTGGAAGGGAGTGTAGAGTTCTTGAATGAAAACATAAAAGTACCTAATTGAAACGAATGGATATCATGAAATTTTAAGAGTTTAAGTTCCTTTAAAATAGGGCCAGTATGGGCAATGTATGTAGAATTGCTTACTATTCTTAACGCACGTTTCTGTAAGGTTACAATTCTTTGAAGGTTTGACTTATAGGTACCAGCCCAAGCTAAATTGCAATAATACAAATATGGAAGGATCATAGAATTGTATAAAGTAATTAAGGGAGTGAGTAGAGAGAAAAAACCTAGATTTATGAATAATACCTATAGATTTGGATAATTTATTTGCTGTTAAGGATATATGCGATTTCCAGGTCAAATTGTCATCTAATAAAACACCCAAAAACATGGTCTCAGAAACACGAAGAATAGGCTGCTCATTTATGAAAACTTGAAATTCAAAGGATTGCTTCTTTTGCCAAGGCTTGAATACCATAAAATTAGTCTTGGCTAAATTCAAGGAGAGCCGGTTTGCTGCAAACCAGGTTGACAATTTGTTTAATTCTCTATTTAATGTGTTAATTAGGTAAACAGGGTCATTATGGGAGATAAATAAGTTTGTATCATCAGCAAACAAGATTGCATCAAGCAGGGAAGCATTGTTCAAATCATTAACATACAGGATAAAAAATAAGGGACCAAGAATAGAACCTTGAGGCACCTCTACTCTCACAGTGCCTCTCTTCACCCTGAAAACTGTGAGAAAATACTGACAAGGGGACTACTTGTAATTGCAATGAACTGTAAATCAATGCATGATGAGTAACAATCTTCCTGGTTAAATCAAGCTACAGAAACCACAGTGGGTCCCTGGCAGTACTGGGCCAGTAGGCTTTTGAATATGACACTGTTGAGCTAATGAGCTCAGTGAGATGAGCAGAATTATGAAAGAGCCCTTGAGCTGCCTACAGAGCTTTAGCTAAATGTGGGTAAAAACTGAAAATTCTTCTTTTCCTGAGTTTTAAATCATTGAGCTGATTAACTATACATTACATGGATAGGGTTTTAGAGAGAAACTTAAATAAATGGAAATACTTTCTAATAAACAGATTCAAATTTTTGCTATCTTTCCATACCTTAGCAAGACAAAAGCAAGCTTCAAGTCTGACTTTATAAAAGCATCCATTTTGGTTTATTATATCTATCAGTGTTTGCCTTGTTGCTTGTGTTGCAAATTGCTCCAAAGCCTTAATTGCCTAAAAGTACATATTGAATGTCATTATTTAGTACATTAAGATAGCTGAGGAACATATTTGTCAAGAGAGCATCCAATAGCCAGTGCATGCTTGTAACACACTAACAGTTAAACAACAACAGAAGAAATAAATTGGTCTAAACTTGGTTAGAGGCTGTTTATTCTAGTGACTATTTTCTTGTTATATCTCCCATAACAAAACAAAACAAAAAAACAGATATATGTGTTGAATGCTCAGGTTGCCCACCATTACATCTGCCTCTGTTCTAAAGTATATGACTTTGGCAGTTCTTTATTCATTACTCATTCAAAGGAGATAAAAAGTCTGTGCATTCAACATGTTCCTTGTTAGCCAGAGGCTGATAATTTCAAATCTTGTATTCCAAGTGTCTCAAGATGATGACAATCATTGCTGTTAAAAAACATATTGAGAAAATTTAACAAAAAAAGGTGCTTTTAGATTGAAATGTTATTTGTTAACACATACCTCACTCTGAGCAATAACATCTCTCTCATGCCGCAGTTGATATTGCCACATGTAGTCAGGCTGTTCAAATGAAACATACCGCAACCAACTAACCTCTGGATCAATACGAACCCACAGCACAGGTGAATCAGAGCTGTTTCCAGTTTAAAGAGAAATAAAGTTAAGTTTTTGTCAACAGTGGTTTTATTCTAGGCTGGGAAAAACTTCCCATTCTCTACTTTTCTGTTTTTAACCAAAAATGAAAATTTTTTAACAGGAAACTTGTCAAAGGCATCTTGTTACAATGCAGCATAACCCTATCACTCTTAGGAGAAGGCAAGAAATAATTTCTGCTTTCAGTACCAATACAGGTGCTGAGAATAAGAAAAATATCAACTAAGGGTTATCTTTTAGCACTGAATTCTGAGAATCAACTAAACAGAAAATGTATAGAGGACAGTAAGGAGTATAACTACTGAGATGTCAAGAGTGATAGGGTCAATGTTCCTGTCTGCTCAAGACATTCCTGAAGCTGAAGTCTACCAACTGTTAGGGTAAATGAAGGAAAGTATGTATGGTGCTGGCTTAGACTATGAAATTAAGCAAGAAAATATTTGCTCACTCCATGGCATCAAGATTCATGTCAACCTCCTCCCCTGTCATCAGTGGAATCTTCTTCTTCTTGTTTCTGCGACTTTTTGAATGACAAGGTATTTCATGGCGGCTATAAACATCTTCTATCTGGACAGTGTGATTGAATGATCCATCCAGTTCCTGAATGCACACTGTCAAAGGTCCCTGTGGGTAACACACAATCTCCAAGATTTATATTTGTTGAAAAAAGTGTAGGAATATCATTCCTTAATAAATTCATGTTTCCTTATTTTACCATGGAAATAGGTCTGTATTAATTTTACAATAGGAAAGATGAAGTGCAAACCAACACTATATAATAATTACAAATCTGCAATAGAGCTAAAAGTTTAAGTGTTTCTCTTACCAAATATTTTACTGTTCCTCTGGACATATCCTGTTTGATTTGAAGCTCTACAATATTACGTTTTCTGTTGAACACAAAGCTTCCATGGAATTTAGCCACACCACTGTGACAACTATAGCATTATTAAAGGAAAAGACTAAAAACTTTGCCGATGAAAACATTTCTCTCTCAGTTTCTGAGGATACCATGACCATGAGTGTCTTGATAGAAATTGCTGCACTGAATGATGCAGACAGGGTGATTATTTTTAATCAATTCTTATCTATTAGGATACATCCACTGGTCCACAAAAACATTGATATCTTTACCAGAAACTGTGGATATTGACTTGAGGAACTGTTAAAATACAATAAAATAATCCACTTTAAAATAAATATAACTACTTAACTTAAATATACATTTTTTGCAATAAATTTAAAATACATTTTAACATTAATCCCATTTTCATAAACATCATTATCATCACTTCCTTTACCTTTCTACCTGTCACCATCACTGCTTGAAAGAGTTATGCAACTTTTAGGTTTTATCAAATTGCAACTTATATTCTGACTTATAACTTGCACTACCACTGACATTAGATGTTAGACAGTTATACATTCATGTTTAGCATTACCCCACTGGTGGAGAGTAGGAGGTTAGACCAAAGACTATAGTCTGCCCTAGGCTGCGCTGCACTGTTAGCAAGTGACAGAAGCTTGTTGAAGACCTGTAAGACAAAATTTAACATCATAACTTAAATTCTTTGCTGTACATCATGATTACCCAAACAACACTGTTTTTTTTTGAAAAATATCCATATCTCCTCCTCCACATAAGGTTTTAAAATTTTTACTTTGAGCCCTTTCCAGATCACTTGAGAAAATATAGTTCTGCATAATATTTTCCTTTTGAGAGACATACTGGCTTGCTTATTAACAGATTTGACTATAAATAGAGAAAACACTTAAGTCACACCTTACCTCTCTCCACCCACCCACCCACACAAATGGGTACAAGGAAACTGTGTCAGACATTAACAAAATGTGCAAAGGTAACCTACAATGGACTAACATGCCATTCAGGAAAGGAAACCAGGAAAAAATAAAGCACCAAAAGCCACTTGGCTTCTGCGCACTCTTGTTAGCTACCTACCTACCACATACATTCCTTAACAAAACGACATCCTTCACTAAGAGTTTTGTGTGTATATCATTTTAAGGTGCAAAATAAGATTCTCTTAATTAAACTACAAAAGTAACCATAAAGCACCTGCAGTAACGGCTCCTGACCAATTCGCATCTCAATCATTCTCATAACAAGATGTGACTTGCTCCAAACAATCTCCAGGTTCTTCCCTGAAGTCAGATGAGGATGCATATGAGGGGACCCTCCACCTGGGGACTCTGGTGCTTGACCTGAGGAGGAGCCTTGTACACTGGATGACGATAATGTTCCTGCACTGTGAAGAGGAGGTAATCCTGGGCCCTGCATTTCATACTGGCAAACTTGTTTGGATTCCTGTGCACAACATATTCAATTTTCACATTGTTATTTTCAAACCTATCTTTCAAATGGTTGCTGGCAGTTAACACAACTTGATATTGAAGTATAAGGCACAGGCTCCAAACGGGCTCTATGACAGACTGACTTACCTCTCTTATCCAATGTCTGTACTCATTTTTACCAAACATCTTTTTCATAAATAAACCAAACAAGTAACCAGATATACCTCTTGAAAGCCAAAAATCTGACCTAAAGAAAAACAACAAATTCTCATTCAAAAGTGCTATATTATGGTTTCTGCATCTAGAAAAATTTGGAATTTAATTTTGTCCCATGTAACCAGGTCTATATCTGCCATACTTGACTGTCCTTGTCTCTGTCTGGTTGATTCTTGCACTCTGGTATTTGCTTAACCCAATAACTTATGAAAAGTTCCTCACAACACAAACTACAATGATAATACAGCCACAGCATAAGCTGGACACATAAGTTTCATTATATCAAATTCTTCTGTAATTAAAAAAAGGGGAACATGTTAATAATTATTTGAAGTTAACCAATTAGTGTCTAATTACCACGTTTGTATGCATAGATAACATCCAAAGAACTGCTCAGCTAATGCCTGTGATAAATACTTCCTAGTCTCAAATCCCTGATCAATAACTCTTGAGGAGTGAAGAAGACTAGTACTGGAATGAAAAAAAGAATTTTTTTGATGAGGCACAACAATAAATCATCTCTTTTTCTCTTAACTTGCAACAGGTTACAGTACTGTAATGGCAGCACTCACTTAAATATTGTCATGGATGCATATGGTGACAGGATGTCATAGGCTTGATCTACAAAGACCTGCTTGTAATAAGTGTATGGATAACGGCAGCTTAAATATTCTTCATAGAACTCAAATGCCTCATGGAGAAATGCTGTGGCATTTTTGAGAACTGGGCGTAGACCAGGAAGACAAAAGTGGGTTACTTCTGGCATAACAGGGTCCACATGGATCTCAAATGGTCTGCAAGAGACAGGGTTTTCCAGCATTACATACTATAAACATTTCTCTTGAATAGTCTTTTCACAAAACATTATTTTTATGTACAGGACTAAGGGTTTTGACTGAAATCACAGACCAGTAGTTTTTAAAACACTTAAATTCAGTTGTGAGATCCATTCAACAATTAAGTTGTTGTGTCTCAGAAAACAGTCCAGACTATTAAAAGCAATTTATCTCTATTTTTCAAGTACTTCAACATTCAGCTCTAAATTTCTGTTACTTCTCAAGAATGTAAGACACTGTACAAGCTCTGTATCTACCTTTACACTACAAAATCAAGTTATTAAAACCGAAGCCTTGGAAGCTTGTTTAAAGAAACTTAACACCTAAAATAACAAAAACTGTTTTGTTGGGGGAAGTATACATTGTTCCAGAAAGACAAAGTAAAATGAATTGTGACTTACCCAACAGCCAAAGCAATATTAGGAGCAGAGGTAGGAATAGAGAGGGTGTAATGATAGGTTTTCTTCTTTTCATCAGGAGTCAACACCTATAAAGAATTACCATCATTCTGATTCAATAACCAATAAATACCCAGAATTCAACACAGCAGTATACATTTTCATAAGAATGATGGCTTATATGAAGTCCAAGATTTACATCAAACAGGAATGACACCACTACATAGAAATAAAGAAATCTATTCAACGAGCAAATCACAGCACAATTACTTTTTCCAGTGAGTCACCAAGAACACATTTTGTCTCCTTTAGCCAACACAGAATTCCTGCTAAACATTTTCTCGATACCTTCCCTTCTTAATGACATAAATTATGACATCAAACCTGTTCTTTAAGATCACCACAGCTTACAGCAACCATGTCTTTATCAACAGTGATGTCAATGTTCCATGTGCACAGTTCAGAGTAACAATCCACACAAGGAAACCACAGCCTACAAATGATCACAGATCAATATTTGTCAACTCAATGTACAAAGGAGAATGTTACAAAGGATTTCGCACCATAAATTTCCACTAAGCAAAAAATACAGTCATTATTTTGTCAAGGATGTTTTAGCCTGTAACAATTCCAGCCTTTTCTGATGTCCATTATAGTATTGTACATTATTGAGAGACTTCAATTAACTCTTCCACTGTTTCCTAACTGAATAGTTAATTCATAGCCAAAATTGTTGCAGGATCACTTCTATCTCAGGTGGTCAAATTCACCAAAAGCTACACAGCATCCAAAGTTGTACACTACTCAGTGAGAGCAATAGAAGTAGCATAATCTATGATTAAGTCAAGCTTACCTTGAAGAATTTGCACAACCATAGCTGAACAAGTGAGCTGACCGCTGCAACAACGTATATAGAAATAGTTCAAATTGGTGGATATCAATTCCATGAATAGCCAGAACAAACCAATAGAGATCTCCCTCAATTCAATGTTTTTTATGGCTGATATACATTTACAACCAAAACATGTATACAAATTTAAAAAACTGTGTATTTAAATGAAAAACTAATGCTACAGTTCTAACAAGTGTGGTTTTTTTTTTTGTTCCAAAGTGAACATGCACACAGACTGAAAAAATACCGCCACAAATATTCAAGGTGAGGTGAGGGTGATTTAACACGATCAAAATTACACATCCTTTGTTATCACAGTACTTGAATGTCCTCAGAAATTTAAATCAATAGAAGGGGCAATTGTTCAAAGGAGGATTCATTCCAGGGGAGGCAGTGAATCAGGGATTTACACTGAAAAAACATTTATAGGTTAACAACAATTTTTTGGATGCATATTGGTTGAGCATCTGAATAAAAGAGGGTAGCTGGCAGCATTTATGTAATACCCTAAACAGATTAAAACTACTTCATACCTGAGACATGGTACCTTCACCTTTGGGAATAACAAATTGTATTCCTCCTAAAGGATGCTCCAGTGAAAACTCAATGCTCACACGGAACTGTTTACCTTCTTCATTAAACAATAAGTAAAGAATAAAAATAACAAATAGTTAGTACAATTAGACATATTCCACCAGAATATGATAAACTGAAGTATATCTTCTTAGGAGTGAGAGAGATAAGGAGTGAGCTAGTGGTTAGCTCACTGGATTCTTGCTAGAGAGGTCTACATTCAAGCCCTGACTGAGTCACTGTGCTGTGTTCTCCACCAAGGCAGTAACTACATTTAACCCTTCAGTGCTCCTCACCTGCCCAAAAGTATACCTGGGTACTAGCAGAAGATTTCCATATCATTATTCTTACCATGTGCACAAGACAACACTTCTTTTGGAATTCTAACAGTTAGTTCCCCTCCACCAGTCTCAGGATCCACAGCATTTACAGAACTCTGCATGCATGCCAAGAAATGATCCAGGTTTCTCCTATCATAATAAAATGTTTTTAATAAAAAGAAATGCAAAGAATGGATGAAAGACTAGTAGCACATGATTTCAGTGTCTTCATCTCACTTTTATCAAGAGTGTAGAGAATAGACTGAAAATTCTGTGGGAGCTCTAATTTACATTCTTTCATGATGGGACCATTCATTTCCTCTGCAACACACAGTTTGTTGAGAGTTATCTTTGTTACAATAATTTTGTGACAACTGCAAAGACATTACTTTTGGTACAGTTAAACCTTGTTGTTAAACCAGTTCACTCCTTCATCTATGTTCTAATTCATTTTAACTGAACCAGTGAGTTAACAACATATTCTTAGGGTCACTTATTAACTGAATTGTACAGAACCTTTAGCTTTGTTTACTGTTAGCCTACTTTTTGTTATCTGGGCAGACAACTTTTCCTGGATCATCCAGTTGAAAACCAGCATCATACCAGTCATGTTCCCCTGATCTCCTTTCATCCCGGACACAGACTCGCATGATTCATTCACCAAGTCAAGGTACAAAACACGACCTTTGTTACACTCACTCTCCTTACCTGTTTAATTTAAGAATAACCTGTTTCATCAGGCCAGCAAGAAGATAATACGCTCAAGAAAAATATTAAAAGGATATTGCATTGCTTTGAGTTCAGCTTTACTCTTGTTAGGTTGCTTGTAAGAGGTAGGATTCTCAGCTCTACGTAACCCTACAACAAGCAAAACAAGTAATTCTAAGTCAAATGTATTTTGTTGCGAACATTCTGTTTGGATAAGTCTCAGACTCTGATCTGTGAAAATGTGTAATTTAATTAGCTTTTTACTTACAAACAGACATTTTCGCTTGAAATCTATCGACGTTATGCACAGCGTCTGGTGAATCGTATATAAAAGACAATTGCAAATAACAAGTAAATATTAAGCATTCGACAAAACACCATCTGCCATGCCAAACACGTGTGGCAGTCGAAAAGATAAGAGAGTCATATAATAAGACACTTATAATTTAAAATTCCTCGGCGACTCGCTTCCTTTTCTCATCTTTGCTGGCTGAAAAAAATCAAGTCAAGCCAAGCTTTCTTTCTAGCTGTCCACTGATTTGGCCGCCATTTTGAAACAACTAGTCACCATGCTTTTGGATACAAAAGGTGGAGGACTGGGAAGACAACAATGCTAATCGATTTTTCATGTGAGAGAAAATCCCCAAGCGTTCTATTCACAAATGCAGCACTCTGATGGGCTATACTACTCACTCATCATTCGATGGCAGAAGGCAAGTAATGAGAATGGTCTAAAATGGATGGTTGATAAAACAAAAATATAGCAAAAACATAGGCCTGTCTTTTTGGTTAGTTTTGGACATCTAGAAGATTTAAACTGAAACAATTAGATAATCTGCTCTTTATTTCTGTACATGACACTAGATGGAGTTGCATTTTTAATAGAGTCACTAGAATGAGGGTCACATACCCTTGGGTAAGAAAATTCTGAGAATCGAAAAATGGGAAGAATCTTGGATAAAAAGTTGTTTCAGTTGCCTAAAAGTGGTCTATGATTGGCTGCAAACAAGATTGTAATGGAGTAAGGATTCTGAGAGGCCAGTGGCACATGCCCAGCAAAAATTTACTCGTAAACCCCTCCCCTTCCTGGGATGTTAGGTACAGAAATCATACTCGCAGGTGAGTTGCAATAATAGGAACTTAAAAATTCAGGCTTTAAAGGGATTCTGTCACAGTCTGAATGTTTTTTTCCTTGACTTCTGCAGTTTCTTTTATTGCAACTGTAATATTGCCTGTAATGATCAGTTGTTTACTTCTTTATCAACATGATTCATTACATTTTATTGTGATCAGAGTTTCTTGTATTTGCCTTGCAAGTTTCCATCTGACATTTCATCTTAGCAGAGGTCCAGGCCAGATTTTGAAACAGTGTTGGTAATTCTACTAAAAGTGGCTCTTTAAAATAAAATGTGTGCACAAGAATTTCTACAGTTACAGTGACACATGATTTATGAATGACAAGGAAAATGAGATTTTAACTAGGGATGAAAGATAGTATGTATGTACAAGTGTACTAAACATGTACAACCACTTTTGTGCAAAGTTGTCTCTGCAGAGGTACAGAAATATAACACATTAAACTAACAACAGTTTATAAAATAAATAACATTTGTGATAAGTTGAAAAATGACACAGATTTTTTAGTCAGAGACAGCATCATTTATTTCTGTAGTTGTGTGAACAAGCCTATGTGTTCTCAAGTTGCTGAAATACTTAAAGTTCCTGAAGCAAACTTCACACTGAAATAATTGTCCATTTGCATGATGTGGTGTCTTGCTATCAATATTAGATTGTGCAATTGTTTTCTTGTGCACTATGTTCATGTGGGATTTCAAATTACTAAAATACTTGAATTGTTTAATACACAAGTGACACTGGTAAGGTTTCTCAGCTCGAGGAGAAAGTATAAATCCAGTAGCAGAATCTGTAAATTCTGTGTTTTCATTAAAGCTTCCCAGAGGAGGTACCATAGGCTTTTTCTTGTCTTTACTTCTTCTGCGAACTTTTGTTAGAATATATTTAGGTGACTCCCACAAAGAGACAAGAGAATTTTCCTTCATGTTGCCTTTGGCCATGCTTTCTGCTCCACGTTGCTTATCATCACTTGAAGGATTAATCTTTCTCATTTTGGAGCTCAGTCTTGCCCTTCACAAAAAATGAAAAAAGAAAAAAAATTAAATACCTGATCAGCTTTTACTTTCTATAATTCTCAAATAATTATTTAACTTCACCAGTGCAGGTCAATTCAAAAGAGCCAAAATTTTTTTCTCAAGGTTTCTTTCTGAAATTTCTCTGATTGTAGTTTGAATGCAAGGATCAATTTGTCTCTCAATTATTTAAGTTTACATCAACTCGGCTACTGATGATGATTACACTCCAAATTTTTTTTTCAGGCCTTATTTTCACTACTTCTTAAGTAGTGTTCATTACTGTGAAAATCGCTTTCATATTCATTTCTAAATCTGCCGTTCACATAAATGTTTTGCATATCTTTCCAGTCATTTATAATTACACCCAAAGGAAATATAATGCAAGTGTTTCAAATCATTTTTGAGTTATGCCAAACTGTTTCCATCACTAGTTCTGTTACCTGTCATGGTCTTGCGAATTTTCCTTGTGGCTGCCACTGGTTATTAAGTCCTCCTAAAATAAAGAATAATGTGAGGAGAGCACAGTTCTGCAATTTTTTTATTTATTTGTCTCTTGTTTATATAAAACTCAAAATTACACCGTAAATATGCTTCAGCATTGTAGTCAACTTTTTTAGGGCGATTATAAAAATATTTGATATTTTCTTTTTGTTATTTCCATAGCCCCCTGAGTTAATCTACAATTCACAATTAAGCCTACACGGCATGAGATCGGGTAAACAACCACTTTGTGTCCAAAAATCTCAGCACAGGTAAAATCTGAAAGTATTACCTCACTCTTTCTCTTTAATCTTCTTGATTTTAAGACTGTTTTATCTTCCATGTTTTCCACTTCTCCTACTGAAACGACTATGGATATGATAAAGGGCGTCAAGTGCTACAATTCATTTTTCATACACAGAAGTCAGCATAAGTACAATACGCTGCCATCGATGTCAAAGCATAAACAATGAATTTGCCTATATATAATCTGGTATGGAATTCATCCATACCTTGAATCTCCTCCTTGATCACAGGGACATATGCTCCAATAGAACACGTTATTCTTTCAAGCTTTTAATACTTGTCTAAAGATGGGCTAAAGGTTAAGGGTTGAAAAGTTTAAATTATTTTTGACAGAGAACACAACGAACTTCAAAATGGCCGCCAATAGTTTTAAAAGACCACAATGCAATTGGAGTAAACTTGGAGAGGAACTCGGAACTAGTGTATTCTTGGTTGCATTTCGGCGCGAAATAATAATCGATTAGATCGCAAACTTTTACAGATCGACGCAAATTTCGAAGGAAATATGCAATTCAGTAGTGGCAGGAAACGGAGAAGCAGAATTCCAACGTTAGAAGGCACCAAAAATGGCTGGAAGTATCCATACGGTCTGCAAATGTATAAGATTCCTCCTACAGACAACATAACATTGGAAGACTTTGAGGAGTTTGCAATTGACCGATTGAAAGGTATTTGCTGCATCTAACGTTTGCGACGTTGAAATTCATTTTTTCTAAAGTAATTGTCAACTGTAGCTCTCCCATTTGTCTGAATCTTGATCATTTTATGAAAATTTGTCGATAAGATACTTCAGGGTAGGTTGACAGATATGCTTTACGCCTTTTGCTCTAAGGCAAACCACAAAGGAACCTCATTCACATGAGATGTACATTTCGATATTAACATTAACAGTGATAATAACATTTTAAAAGATGTGAATAATTTTGTTTCTACTGTTGGTGCTGAATATGTTATTATTAATCGTTTTAGTAATTATTATTACTACAATGATTTTGAAGATGATGACAGTGGTGATAATAATAATAATACTAATAATAATAATACAAAAGTTTATCACAATAGTAATGGTATTAATAGTAATAATGATTGCAATGATAATAATGGTGATATAACTGATCTTATTCTAGAAAATTACATAATCTGTGCATTTATAATGAGTCTTAATTAAAAGCAAGTTGATGAAGTCATTTTAACTCATTTTGTTTTGCTTGTGAGCATATGGAAATATCATTCAAATTTTTTCATAAAGTTCTTAGAGAAGTTGAAACATTGGGGATACGTCACAAAAGAGGTTCACAGCAATATAATACTGCCATGAAGGAAAGCCTTAAAAAGTTCTTACCACAGGAGCAAAAAGCTCACAAGGTAACTGAAACACTCTACTTTCCAGTGGTGTTTGTTCATCATTAACATTACTTGAGAACCTATTCCTTACAAACAATAATCTTTTTCCAATTTTTTTCTTTTCATAGAATCGAGAGGCTCAGGCAACTGTTGCCGAGAGAAGGAAAGATCACATTTCTCATTTTATTCTACGCCTTGCATATTGCAGATCGTAAGTACTTCTGTGATACAATGCAATTGGAAGTAAATCTTAATTTTTGGAATTTAAACAAACTCAAATATATATCGATTTTATTTCCAGGGAAGAACTTAGACGGTGGTTCTTGTCACAAGAGGTTGAGCTATTTAGGTAGGTATCTGAGCTGTACCAATTATGCCCAGAAATTGCTCACAGTAATGAAAATGGTAGATTTGGAAAAATTTTGTCAAAGTTAAATCAGCTTGGCTTATTTTTTGCCATTTTTGTTAGACATACAATGCAATGACATTTTCTGGACATACCTAAAAAAATTTATATCAACCTTTTTTTCTATGTCAGATCTCGTTTCATAGAAATGGCAAAATTTGATCCAAAGGTGGCAGATGCTTTCCTTCTGGCCAATGGACTTAAGTATGAAACTGTATGTATTCTGACATTAAAACTCTTTAGAGTTGTGGTAAATAATCTACATATTTGTTCTTCTATTCTGAAAGACAAGTCTTTAGAAAATTGATGATGCGGAAACTTTGGATCACAAGCAGAAGATTTGCAATCATGAACATACCTTATTACAGTTTTTATACAGTCCTCTTGTCCTCTCGCATGGTTCCTCAAAACAAAACCTTTAATTCAGAAGACATCACATTAATCTTATATGAGGGTGGTAACTCACTTGTGATCATTAGTGCCTCATTGTTGTTGCCATTGAGGGAATTTCAATATTTTGATTCCTTTACATTGATCATCAACTTATACTCTTCTTTTCTACAGATTGATGAAGAAGAGAAAAATCAAAAGAAAGTAGAGTTGATGAATTCAGGTTTCCATCTTACCATTGACAAAGTCTTGGCTACTGAATACTTTAAGGTGAACTTTCTACTCACTCTTTAACAGTTTACCTGCCATAAATGACTATCTTGTTTACAATTTCTTCTTAAACTGTACATATGATGTGTAATAAACAGGTGAAAAAAATCCTCATACAAAATTATTAAGGAAATCTTTGGAACTTCCTGTGAAAATTTCTCCACAAGATATCTATCCAATTGGTAATGAGATCGTCTCAACTGATCACTAAGTAAATAAAGTAGTAATCTATCTTCATTACTTCCACCTTAATAAATTCTCCATTGATAAGTGTAGTTTCTTTATTTCAGGTTCCTTTTACTGATGCCCTTGACCTTGTGAGATCTAGGAAGGTTTACTTGGAAAATGTAAATATTCTTTACAATCAAGATGCTTAGCAGTAATTATCAGGCGATATTTTTATCTGACTTTTTGATAGTTTTGTGGCCATTAAAACTTGAAAAGTGTAGGCTGATATTCATTCTCAGATCTACATGTGATATGAATGATAATGAATCAGATGCAAACATTGCATCATTTTCAATATTTCTGGAAATTGGTGGCCAACTTTTGACCAATATGTTTATTGGATAAGAATTGTTACTTTTATGTGTATTGTGTGACTAAGCCATTGAAAAGGCTCTAAGAACCCTTTTGGAGGGGTTCTTAGAGCCTTTTCATGATCCAAGAAAAAAGGAAGATGATATGAAAAATAGGAAAAGATCTTTAAAACTTCCTTGTAGCATTCAATTAACTTGGTATACTGTTTATGTAATAAGTCTGAAGAAAATGCTACATTTTGAAGGAGTCACACGACAATAACAGACCAAATTACATTACATTTGTATCTTTCTTGCAGGGCAAAGCTTTTATCCCCAGAGATGACCTTGTCTCTCTTGTCGCAAATGAATTTCGGATGCAGCTGTCTCGTGCATTGGCTGTGAGTAGTAAATTATTACAGTTGTTTTTCTCAGTAGTTGTGATAGTCTTACTAGTGATAGGCATACTGGACTGCTAAACAATGTCTCAGTTTGAGAAAGTAAGATACAGTGACTGACTGAAAATTAATCTTTTAAATATTTCCACTTAAGATGACTGCAAGAGCATTACCATATCTGGAAGAAGATGAGAGATTGTTACCAAAGTTAACAAACCTCAGGTACATTTTTAAACGAACATGATAAAATACTCTCTGTTCTGCATTTGCAAGACTCTTGCATTATCCATGAAACTGAGTGGAAGCAAAACACAACTTTTTTTCTTATCCAAGTGCTTTGGATGGTTCAGGGGGTTTACATCAGGTTTCGTAAGATAAAAACCACTTAAATGCCACAGTAAATCAACAGGTAGTAACATACTTTCTTGTTCAGCCGACAGTATGTGGGGCAAGATTACAGCCTCAAGAAAATAGCAGGAGGCAAAGTTACTTTGGATCAGATTGATGGAGTGAGTTGTGATTGTATTTTTGTTTGAACAGACATTTAAATTCATCTGCCATGACAACACATAATACTTGAAAACAGTGAAAAGAAAGACAATGCCAGAATATTTTTTAGATGAAGTGTAATACAAACATGTATAACTGAAACCAGAGTGATGATGACAGCTTATCAGACTAAAGCTTAACATTGCCAGGAGCCAATCAGTACTCAAAGGAAATATACATTACCAAACTCAAGCATGACAAGGCATGAGTGACTATGTCCCAATTAGTTTTAATTTTGCATCTGATCACTTGAGAAGGTGGCACAGGTTTTAAAGATAAATTGCAAAGTGAAGACAGGTAAAAGAGAATCAAAGCAATCAAGGTTTACTTATCACACACCCAAACATTTCTCTTCACTCTTCCTTTTGACTGAAGCTTGTATTTCTCAAATATCAAGCAACAGGGATTTACCAATGCCACTCAACTGCTACAATGTTCTACAGAATTGATCCCAACGTTTTTCTTTTTTCTTTTTTTTTTCGCAGTTGTCAAGGACTTCATACCCTTTGTGTATGCGCCAACTTCATACAGCTCTTAAAGAAAATCACCATTTGAAGCATGGCGGTCGTCTGCAGTATGGCCTGTTTCTCAAGGTCAGTTGTAAACATTTACCTTTGTGTTTAAGGCTTAAGACAAATTTGACTCCTTCACAAGCTGGTTGGGATATTAAATATTTTTGAGGGTGACATATTTAACTTTCTTGGATGTTTCTTTTCAGGGCATTGGTCTGAGTTTGGAAGAAGCACTCATCTTCTGGAGGGCAGAGTTCACAAAACTAATGGATGTGGACAAGGTACGAGTGCTAGTTGGAGAACATTTTGTGACTTGTTCAACTGTTGAGTCATCATCTTGTTTTTTTTCTATCTGGCAACCCCTTTCAATGTACCTGTGTTTGGGTTAGGAACAGGTTAATTGGTCATAAGAGTTAGTTGTTTTTTCATTGTAGTTTGACAAGCAATATGCATACAACATCCGTCATAACTATGGAAAAGAAGGTAAAAGAGCTGACTACACACCATACAGCTGCATGAAGATTATCATGTCCAACCCACCAGGACCTGGAGATCATCATGGTATGTGTAACTAACTGGTCTGGTTGATTGATAGACTGACTCACTCAATCACTGCTCACTGCCTTGCTTACTTCATTAAAAAATTCAGTGATTAACTGATTGACTGATTTGATAGATCTAATGAGGGCTTAATGAGGAATTGCTTGTATTGATTGTTGAATTGATCAAGTTCCTGACTGATTGACTGTCTGACTAATTGACTGACTAAAGAGGACACGTTTCTAAAGAAACTGTAGTCCTGTTTCAGTGGGGGAGTATAACAAGATAATTTCGGTATTACCAATTGAATTGGTAATGTAAATTGGCCACCATAAAGAATTTCAAAGCTGACATTTTGAGCATTGGCCCTTTGCCAGAGTAATTGAGTGACTGACTGATTGATATTTTATTGGTAATGTAAATTGGCCACCATAAAGAGTTTCAAAGCTGACATTTTGAGCATTGGCCCCTGCCAGAGCAATTGAGTGACTGATTGATTGATATTTTATTTCAATAATCCATCATTGGAGATAAGCTGATTCTATCCTTTGCTGACAGGGTGCCCATTCAGACACTCAGATGCTGATCTGTTGCGTCAGCGGCTAGCAGCATACAGGGTGCCCAAGAAAGGAGTTGATGAGGTAACTCAGAATATTCTTTGTCACACTGAGAGCAATGTTTGATCAGCCCTCTGTACTCAATTAGCCAATACTATTCTAGTCAAGTAACATTAAGTAACATTAGGTAACATCAAGTAACAGTCAGACAAACTTGTGACACGTTTCAGTAGTAATTTAGCAACTTGAGTTTGTAAACTCTTTTTGCAGTATGTAAACTTTCTTTGCAGATAATGGCATTTGTGAAAGAGTCTCATTATCAACTGGCCTGTACAAGATATTATGAACTGACTCATGGGGTAGGATAAACAACTGTTTTCATATAATATCACATTGTTACATTGTAAATAGTCATGTTACCAAATCTAAGATTAACAGTGTTTTAAGCAAGTGATATTTGTACATGATAGTGGGATTGGATTAAAAGTATTACAGGTATCACAAGTACTACAGGTAATTTGCATCACACATTCATGTTCTCTTGTTACAAATGAGATCCTAATCAGCATTAGAAGAGTTTTTCTGCAAAACTGCCCTGTGTGTGATGTAAACTTTACAAATACTGAAAATGACCAATTTAACTGGTAAGAGGGTTTAAATTGTTGTTTTCCTATCAATTGGATGACCAGGTTATGGCCGATTCAGCTATCAATCATCCAAACCAATACTTTGATGAGAGCCATCAGGTCACCCAGAAGGAAAAGGGTGGGGCATCCAGAATGGGAAGTGCCACACCTAGTGGAATACAACATGGGAGGGTTGCTGTCAAGAAAGAGATCAACCCTGGTAACATAGTAAACATCCCAAACAATGACCTAGGCGATTTTCACATGGATGATAACGATGATGACATTCTAGGAGAGATAGAAAGAATGGATACCATAGCATAACTGTCAGAATGAATCACTGCTGCAAAACAATATGACTGTCATTTAACCAACATGTGATCAATGACCAATGACCAATGTGTCAGATCAAAAAATAAAAATAAATACCTCAGCCTTACATTGTTGTTTAATTTAATTGTTTTTCTCACAATGAATATTTTGGTGTTATGTAATAAATCTACTGTACAAAAGTTTTAACTTACTACATTGTGTCATTTCAAATCTTTGCTTCATTTAATAGCTGTAGGCTTTAACAGGTTTCTTGGCAGTTTTGTTTGTTTTTTGTTGTTAATGCTAAACTCAGCCAACTGAGTGCTTAATAAATTTTCTAATTTAAGAGAGCATCATTTCAGCATACAAGTATGTACACACAGCTGTGCCTATGGCAACTTGGGTTATTGGCACAGATGTAACACATGCAAGCATTAAGTTTCTCAACAAATCAGGAGTGGAACCAAGTTATCACATTTGACTATCCCCTTTACCAAACAACTATGAAGAGACTCAAAATTACTCTCCATTTAAGATTTGAAATCTAAAGAAATTCAACTCAAACTTGTGACTTGTGTCTTCTAAGTACTAATCAACTCTTCATCTGAGTCATCATCACTGGAATCCAGTTCCTCATCTACCACTGACTTGCGTTTCTTTGCTATGGATACTCCTAACCCAATCACATAAATCTGTCACAAAAAAATGGGTATTCAATTAATGGCATTATATTAATACCATGGCTGCACCTTAAAACAATTTTTATAAACATCAAGTTTTACAAGTCTAACAGGCCTATTACATGAAGCATATCATGGTTATTTTGACATAAAGCCCCTCCTGGCAGTTCTGCCACTCTCCTGGATTGATTGTAAGTCAGTTGCCAGTTTACACCCCCCCTCCCCTCTCCTCCAACCGTTTCAACAGGTTTAACCAAACGTTTTTGGTAGCCATTTATACTCAGAGGTGGGGAAGGCTACAGCCGGAGTGAAGCCTCTTGCTCAACAACATCACAATATCTTAGGCTGGTTTCAGACCTGGACCTCTTGATCCTGAGTCAAAGACACAAGCCAACAAGCCACTGGTCAACAGTGAATGCACAAAAACAAACAGTATCTAACTTACTCCCAAGAACAGCCATGTGCCCCAGTAATAGCAAGCCCCAAAGAACCAAACTTTGTAGAAAAATCTGTTTACAAATACAGCAGCTCTTGTCATCAGGCATTTATCTGTATAGAAACAGGAAAAAACATTTAAGTTTTGGGAAAAGATAATTATGTATGAACTACATCAGTAATACCCCTAATATAAAAGCCCACTTGTAAGACAAAGTACCCCTAGTTATAAGCTGTTAAGTCCCATTGATTATAGGCCATTTGCATCCAGCAAAAGGTATTCCTTGACAAGCATCCTCCCCTATGTGCTTCTATCCCTATTTGACATGTATCTCTCTTAAGAGCACCCTCAGGTAAATAGACATAAGACAGAAGAGTACCCAGGTAACCTCTTAAGTGTTTTTTTAATACTTGCACACTATGTAACATAGAAAGTTGATAAACCTTGTACAAGAGACTTGAAATCATCAAAAAATCTACACAAACCTTCAGGAACATCAGTGGAGCAGACTTTGGTTTCAGTAGTTACAGATGTGGTATTTGTTAGATGGGTGACATTACCATGAGTACCATTGATGTAAACTGTATGATAGGTCTTCACCTGAGAAATACAAAATTGATATTAAAAAAATTAAAATGGTTGGGTATATTATTTCACAGCACCAAATCTTTCAAGGATTGTACCTTCCACACTTTTTTAGTTTTTTTTCTAGAAATTGATTGTGAAAACTTCAATTTTTTTTTTTAACATAAAAGGTTACCATAGTAACACAGCACCCTCTTAGAAGCACATTTTAAATTTTAGCTTTTCATGCCTCTAATACAAAAAGTGACAAAATGACTCCAATTTTTATCAATAAACCACAATCAGTAAGTTAAGAATCAACTTTCTGCAAAGTTTGAAAAGATGTGTCCAGAAACTCAGGGCCATCTTAATTTCATTTTTTGTTTAAGTTTCAAACAACTTCCAAGAGAGGGTAGTCCTGTTGCTCTTCTCACAATTTCAAGGCCTGCCTCTCTGAAGAAAATGGTATGAGGGCCTATTTCAAAGTCATCCAAGTCTCCTTGTGTTTATGTTGGCAATGCAAAAAAAACAGAGTGCAATTGAAGGGGTCACTGACCATGTAATGTTGACTCCCATACATGACATACTGAGGAGCCAATGTAAACAACATAATGTTGAGGAACAGCATGGTCAGTATCAACATCAGAATCAAAAACAGCAGAGCTTGAGGCATAGTTTTGCGAGGACGGATTTTATAAAGCTATGTTTTGTGAGTAAAGGAATCTCAATGATCATAACCAAAACTATCCAGACATTCTTTTGGAAGTAAATTCTCAAAGTGTCTCAGCTGGTTCCCTCCGTGATTCCATTCTTTTCAAAAGACATTACATAACACAATGCTTAAATGCTGTTTGTTATAGGACCACAAAATATCTCTAGTTTCTTCTTTACCCACCCCCCTCCCCACTACTCTGTACATCCTATTTAATTGCTATATCTATTGAGGCTAAGGTGTTAAACCATATCTTTGGAACCATACATGATAAAGAATCCATATAAATGTCATATTTAAATAATTCTACTTTAAGTAATTCAATGCTTAGCACTCTACTGCCACTGGAGCTTATTCAGATTCTGTAACATGACTTTTTTAAGGAGCACTGTTTTTCCTGAAAAATGGAAAGCCAGTTCATCTCCATCCTCTAGGCCATCCTATCTTCAAAACTATAGGAAAGGGATGAAAGAAATCACCAGAGTCTTCTTGAATATTTGAAATTCAGTCAAACTGTAAGGATACTTTGATCCAGCAGCAACGTATGCTGATTGCTCTGATTCCTGCCATGGTGCAATAGAGGAAGTAAAGGACAATAGCCACAAACAAGCAGTAGTCCAGAGGAAAAACCTATAATGTTACAAAAATCTGAGACTGCAAGTTATGATACATTGCAATTTTTCCTTGCCCCATTCCCAAGACAAAATCAATGTTTAAAATTTTCCTTTCTCTTATAGCCCAAACTAACCTTTACCACATGTCCTACTCTACATATTTACAGGATACTTCCAACATTTTGATCTTAACATTGTAAAGGATGCTCTCCACACATGAACTTTAAGTTTAGCCTGACTTGCCTAAAATTTTCTGTTTAGCTCATTTACTATAGTATCCAGCTGCAAAATCAGAAGCAACTGGGGTTTGAACTGTTATAGGGGACTCAGATATTTCCTTTGCCCTATACTCCTGGTAAGTGTTCAACATATCTCTCCTCAGAGTTAACCTTAAAGACAAAATTAAAAGTGTTACCTTCTGTGCATACACCATAATGATATTGATAGGATTTGGAAGCTGGGGTTTGGAAAGTGCATAACCAGCTTTGTAGCCCAATGAATGCAGGGCCTTGTCCAAGCTGGAAAAGTAGTGTTTTAAACAAATTAACACTTAAATCTCATTTTAAGGGTTTTGTTCAGTAAATCAATGACAGAGGACTTGACAATCAAAACTTGCCTGGTAAGAAACAGGGATACAATGATCAGAAGGCCAAACAACAGAAAGAAAATTCCAAATACAACTTCAAAAGGACGACAGCACTTCAGGCACTTGTTAAGCCAGCCAAGGTTTGCTGCCTGAAGATGTCTCTCTCTTCTGACAAGAAGTTTTTCCTCCCCTTCCAGCCTTGCTAGAGTCCTCCTATCATGACTGCTCATTGCACGACCATCCATATACTTGGCACGGATCATTCGAGCACGCTCCTCTACTGATTCACGTTCCTGGCTAACTTCCAAATGCTCTTTCTGAAAACAACCATTTAAATTTACAAAATGTAGCTCTTAATCACTGAAAGTGTGGGGAAGAATACAAGCATTGAACACAGGTCCGGGAAAATATAACACAAGAATGCAAGCCCTAGTTAAATAGTGAAAAGAAAAAAGGGATGGAGAATGAGACAAATAAAGGGCTAAAGTCAGATGCAGACACGTCTGGTGTCAGACAGCATAGAGCATTGTTAAGTATTAGAACATCAATTACTTTGGAGTTCTTGAATCCTTTCAGCATTGAAAAAGGCAAAGAAGTCATGCCATAAGCCTGAAAAATAACAAAAAAGAGACGTTACTACTGAATTACCCCACCTACTCCATACATTTTTTAATAAATGTTAATTCTTCTTGTTCCAAATTCAAATTCATAAAGTTTGGGTGAAGGTAAGCATAAAATACGTACAGTGTATGTGATCATAATAACCATGCCGATGAAGGAGAGAAAGCCCATGACCAGGGCCAAAGAAGTTTCTCCATCTAAAGGAAAAACAAATAACATTTAGTAGCCTTTGTACTGCTGATTTGTGTCAATATCATACCACAATCATATTTTGTTATAACAGAATTATGTCCTCTACAAAGCAACATCAAAGTTAGCTCATAAATCCCCTCCTGAATTAAGATCATACATATGATCAAATCTTCTTACGGTGAGTGTGCAATAATTCATCCTTCATATACAAAAGCTTCTTGTCCCAATGCGTCACATTTTTTGAAGGTTGCTTCAGGGGTGCAAAGGCTCTGCAAATCAAAATGCTTTGTCAATATTGTTACCATTTTACAAGCTGTAATCGAAACATAAAAACTTGAAAGAAAATGCCAAGCTTGCAATGGAAAACTCTGAGTAATATCCCATATGTTACATCAAATATGAAGCAACATTTACAAATAAATTCACAAATCTGACCCTTACCCAACAAGGAGAAGGACGATGCCAACTATCAAAAACCCTATGGTGTACTTGAGGGCACCACACATCCTCTGAAACAAAACAAAGTGGAAACATCTTCCATTAGAGTTTTGATCAAGCAAGCATACAAAGTATTGTTTAACTTCTCATACCTGTCGGGTAGTGGCATCTTCATCTTTCTCTTCATAGTAGAAATACATGAAAGGCATTACTGCAAATGCTAAGAAAGCCACCATGGAATACAGCACTATGAAATAAAATCACAAATTTAAGACAAGAAATACAAGCAATTCACAAGCATCTCCATGTAGTTGCATTCAAGGCAAAACAATAGCATAAAACATCTTAACTTCTCACAGCTGCATGTACAAAGAAGACTGGTGAATGGTTAGCTTTATATTGGACTGCAAGGTCTGGGTTCATTAGCCCTAACAGGTTGTTCTTCTTTAACTTCACTTGTTTTCATAACTTCCATTCTAAGTTAAACATATTATCTAATGGTACAAAGACTAATAATCAACTTTAACATCACTCTTCTATTCTCTGTTTTCACAAATACACATCACCACTTAATCCAAATTGACTTTTTTAATGTCATTAATATTTAATAGTATAATTCACCATAATATCCTACAGCAGTTGTCTGCTTGAAGTCATTTCTCAAAGCCTCATTGTCACTCCACTCCTACAAATAAAGGAGCAACTGAATTTCAGATTGCCTATGTAATTAGAATTAATTATCTAATAAATGACTTTGACTTTTGTCTACAGTATAGAAACATGATATGAAAAAGAGCTAGTTGAGAATGCATCAGATTGAACCTGTTTTAACATGATTTTGGAATATCATAAAAGCTCAAACACTATAATATATATAATATGTAACTATGGTTTACTTATCAGTGTATTCTAATGTATAAGTTTTGGCAGCACTGGCTTTTTTTATCATCAGTTTTCCTTTGTCCAAGCAGACCTTAGTAACAACATATTCAATATCTGGTGGTTTTGATTTTTATATGTTTTACATTTTATATACCTTCCAGCTTCCATCATCATTTTTCATGTAGGAAACCAAGAAAATGTCCACAGGAACCAGGGCAACAGTGAGAAGACAAACACTGAGGGCCAAAATAGCTGTGAGTGTAGAGGACACCTCAGACTGAGCATGGTCTTGATAGTAACGGATGTAGAACCATGAAAAAATCAAGATTAACTGCAAATAATACAACAGTAAGTGTTAATCATTCCTATAAATGTATGAGGAAAGGATGTAGGCTACAGTAAAGATATTGGATTAGCAATTTAAAGGGATTTTTGTTTATGTAGAACAACTAGCCACAAAGAATAATCATCTGCAGACTCAGAGTCCTGTATGCAGAGTACTGCAGATGCCCATGCAAGTTTTTCCTTTTTAACCATACATTTCGCAAGACACTATTGCCTATGCCTGCACAAGATCTTGTCAAGTTCTGCCATAGTCTGCCAACTAGCTGAGAGTTGGGCAATTTTTCAGAATTGTTGAGGAAAAATTGAAACACACTCAAAATTAAGGCACTCATTTCCATTGGGTAAAAAAATTTAATGAAGTTAGTGGTAAATGTCCCTTGGAGAACTCAGACAAAAGCATGATCACGTTTAAAACAAGCAGCGAACAGAGAAGTCCACCTTGTTTCCTATTAGGGAATCTGATGGCATTTCAAGGAATACCTTGGGTAAGACTCTTATAACCCAATACTTCATTATGCATACAATTGATTGATAAAATAACACCATTGCGGAAGCAATTGTTTGTCTTTGATACTGATGCTTTGCTCTAAAATACAATGGCGTTATACATAAAACATCCCATAACTTGCATCCTCAGCAATGTGCAGCTAGATGAAGATATTCGCAACACTAAATGTTACAGATTTCGATACAAAAAGATGCAGATGTCATGTGACCAAAACAGTGAGTATATACGCCATGGCTGAACCTTAAGTAACGATAAACTTACAACAACGACCACTGTGAATGGTATCCAACCGTACGCCAGCACTTCGTGTGGGATGGCCATTCCTGATCCTATCAAAGCGTTTGATTTTTGGTTCGTCGTTAGGTTTTCATGGACGTTTTTGAGACAAGCAAAAGGCTGAATATTCCTCACGAAAGAAAACGAAAGTTTATTTGTCTAGTGATGCACTATGGGTAATTTTGACTCAACCCCAGTCCTTCTGAAGTGGCCCTTTGGTTGTTTCACGCAACCCGCCTGTCACGCAATCGGTCTCTCGCGTCCAGTGACATGAGCAACTACAGTTGCTTGTCATGGAAAATAAAGTCGTAAAGAAATGGTAAAGGCTCACAAAAAAAAAGGGCTAAAAACCTGTTTTCTAGATAAAACTTTACCTTACAAAGGACCTTCTTTTAGGCTCGTTATAACCACCATACATCAATGCCACTGAAATGCTGTCACGCTCGAAAGAATTGATCCCATAATTCCAACTCAGATTCTCCATTTCAGTTTTAAGTTAGAAATATTTTATGATCATAAAGACAATGAGCCAAAAACTATTTACATTCTACCTGATATCAAGAATTCTAAAAATACTCCATTTGAGCATTTTAACAAAAAACAATAAACTTCTTAATTGGGTTTATGAATTGTTCTCCAAGATACAAAGAGAATCAAGACACGACTTCACCTGTGACTGATTCAAGGATTCACTTGTTGAGAGACACTGAAAAACTAAACCAACAATAGAATGAGAGAGGTGTCCACCCACGTGAATTCTAAAAAGCAGAACTCATGATCACGCGTGTCTAGACGTGATTAAGCGTGTTTACACAAATTCTTCTCATAAATTCTCGTATTTGCAGAGCTGCGAAGCATTTTAACCTAATAACCCAAAGAGCTGGTGGCGACACGGATTGTTATGGCGGTGCAAATTAGCACTAAACCAAGAACAAAGGAATAAATCAAGCGTAAAGTTGAACTCCTTTGATAAATTTTTTATACAACCTGGTACTATGTTCATTATATCATTTTTGTCAGGCTTTGTTTATTATGGACACGAATAAGTGATTTCTGGCTGTTCGCACCTCTAAAAACATTTATCTTTTTTCTTTCTTTCTTCTCGAAAGAAAGAAAGATGCGAACAGACTGGAAGATTGTTTCAGTCGTCTTCCTGGCAGCGGTTTTAAGTCTCCAATGTAAGTATTCGCCCACTACGTCTTGTAACAGTACACGGAGTGTTTTTCAGATCTTGTGGCTCGTCATTCCCTGGAGGTGGGACCAGCCAGTGTCTTCCACGGGTAGCCAACATTCTTTATCAATACAAGTCATGGGTGTTTTCGTTCTTGATATTCTATTTACGTTGCTGACCCAACCATCAATCATCGTTCGATTAATTCAAGTTACAAGCAAATCCCACGTTAAGAATATGGGTCTTTTCCTAATCATATCTGCAGCGTCAGTTGCTAACATTTTGTTACATTGAAATGGCAATCGCGTAAAGCTGTTAAAAGCGCAAACCAGGAGCAGATGCAGCTGTTAAGGAATTACTCTAAACAATCTTTAATAACCCTCTCTTCTTGTAAAACACCGCATTTAGGTTAGAAGTCTTAATTAGATGTTCTGATCGGCTGACAAAGCTTTGCTTGTTTTCTAAGTATGATTAATGACCAGTCAAACATGACAAATAGTTGATTTGCGACTTTTCAGGGTCTACAGTTTTTTCTTTTCATAGGCGTGGATTCTAAAAAGGCTACGAAAACGAAGTTACTGAAGAAGTTACGGCATAATGGACACATGAAAGGTTGATCATCTTGAAAAATTTGTACGCATTGTATTTATAATTGTATTTATATCTTGTTTTTAAAATTTTGGTCGTTATATCCCTCTTACATCATCTCTTTGTTTAACTCTGTTAGCCCATGCTGCTCATCAAAGGAGTCTCACTGGCGAAAAGAAAAACGCAGTGCAGCCTACAAATGATCAAGTTGCGGGTAAAAAGAATTGTTACCTGTACTGTTCAAACATCCATATCGCGTGGCTTAGATATCAAGTTCTTTACTGAAATGTATGCACCAAATTTTCTCCGCTTTATCCACAGTTTTCTATCCCTTTTTTGGTCTGATAAGTTTACCGATTTCATTTTAATGAGTTGACAACCATTTAACGAGGAAACTGAATTTAACTTCCCCTTTAGAGCGCATTTTGAAATAAATCACAACTACCAGTCAGTACATTGAGCCAATGAGGACTCGGAGTCAAAACAAGCAAACTGCAAACTGCGGAGAAACGCGAGTGACAAATCGTAATGGGTTTTAATGTTGTGTCTGATCGGTTGAGAGGGTGGCGCGAGTTTTCTGGACTGACCGTAAAGCGAAAGAAAAGAAAACCAATGAAATACCGTTATGTTATCGTAGCCTTATTTTGACAAATTTACAGCGATGCAAAACCCGGAGAGTTTACAACCCAGTGAAACGGAAGAACTAAACCAGCTGCAGAACTATAACAAGCAGTATATCAACAACGAAATGGCAGCCGAGACGGGTAATATACAACAAACTGCTTTTTTTTTTCCTAATTTGAGAAGAAGAATCTTGAAATCGAAAGTGAATGAAGTTCACACCCTTAGTTTGACTTAAACTTCCAAGATCTTTTTAGTACTTCTCCTTTGTCGTTGCTTCTCTTTTCCTTAAAAAACTACTCAGGAGAATTTGGTGTCATATCGAGATGAAACATCACCTGTTTGGTAGATAATGTATGTATGTTATGAGGGAAAATTTCAAGTTAATCAAAACTATGACAAAATTCTCGAACGTGATTATTTATCACCAGCCTGATTTGAGCACTAATAGGGCAGTGTACACATCATGCTTGTAATTGGACGGTGTAATAGGACAGTTAAAGGCACAGTTAACACGTCATGCCTGTGTAAGTGGAAAGAACGCGTCATTTGTGCGCGCTGTTGTCTCGCATTTCGCCGAGTTGGCTGTTGATTTTTTATGAAAACGTACAACCGACGTCTAGTTTCTTTCTCAAATTTTGTCATCGTTTTGATTAATCCGATTTTGTTAATCACTTATATGATTACGGACCGAACTGGGCTCCACTCGGCCCTATCACCATTACTAATCACGTCTTCCAATCGAAGAGTCCGTCATCAACTCCAGGGGCAACAAAATTAATCTTCTTGAAGGATTCAGAGATCACATAATTTTTTCTTTTTAATCTTATGATGTGGCAAACATGTTGTATGACACCTTTTCACCCCTAATTCGTTACTGACGTCAGAGTTCTTAGGTACTGGGTAAAGTAAGGTTGCATACAGAGCATATTGGGTCCTGTTAGATGAGTTCTTAGATAGTCAGTTCACTCTGGCAAACTAAGTGAAGTTTAATTTATTAATCTGATATGGAAAAGAGGCGTCAGTTATGGCACAGATTCTGTGTTGTTATTTTCAGCTCTACTAGCAGATCAAGGAATTGATGATGACTCAGCATTAAAGATCTCCAACATGGCAGCTTTACCCAATGGAATGCCTCCAGGAGCTAATGCTGCTATTAAAGCCAAGATCAGTAGTAGCAGTGCGCATACTCCCCAGGATCAGTCAGCTGGACAACCGCAGAACTTAAACACTGGCTATGATCCAAATGCTTACTTGTATGACGCAAACTCTTGGCCAGAGTACACCATACACGATTCAGATTACAGTCACTTCCGGTCAGTGGAAATGAACAACATGAATGGTGAGAACACAGATATGCCGCCACAGTACAACAAGCCTGACGGACATCCTGACTTCCAGAATATGGCGAATGATGAAAAAATAGAATTTCAGGGACAGAAATTCCAGCAAGAAAAAGGTGAAGATTCTGAATCGCTCAATGACGAAATGAAGCAAGAGGATGGGGAGGAGTTTCAGAAGAAACCGTCAAGCGAGGGAAGCCCGGCAACGCATAAAGTTAGTAGTGAGGGAGATGTAAATGACGCGAAACCTGCTGTTAACAGCGGTGCCACTGAAGGGAGCAAATCTGAGAGTAGCCCAAAGCCACAAGTCACTCCGTCTCAACAGAAACCGCAAGTGGTAGTGCATAAGGCTGAAGATGACGCTGCTCCCGCGAAAGATGCACCTTCGCAAAAGCAGCTACAACAACAACAGCAGCAGCAGCAGCAAACTCAAAAACAGCTGCAAGTGAAGACTTCTCCTGCAAAGATTGCTGCATCTGTGGCAGAGGCAGCGGCCTCACTGCCTCCCAAGGCCATTGCTTCTTTAGTGAGTAGTCTGGTCGGTGGCGGGAAAATTGTTACATCAGGTCAAGTCCAGGAACAAAGTCAAGCGAAAGGTCAAGGTCAGGGTCAAAGTAAAGGTCAAGGTCAAGGTCAAGCTAGGAGTGCAGCTCAGTCCCTCATACCTCAAGACATTAATCCGGCGCAAGAACAAACCACAATAGCTACGCAGTTACACGTTGTTGCGAAGCCAAAGAGACGATTATAAGATTACTATCTAGCTAATTATTTCGTAGTCTCTAGTGAAACAGTGGGAGTGTCAGCAAATAAAAAGATCTTTGTTCACTTGGAAGTCAAATACCAGATAACCTCACCTTCTCCAGACGGGGCCGAATGACCAATCTTTTCAATTGGCAAGCTGAACTCAATGTTGCAGAACAATAATTTGTACATTAACTCCATACATCATGAAGATAAGTCTAGTATCATTTAACTTCGTACATAACTTAATTTGTAGCAGCTGTTTCAATTACACATGTGTAATAACCAACGTTCAGTTTGCCTTGTCAAACAACACTACTTGTCAGAGCACGGTATCATTAATTTGCCATAAGGAAGCTCAAGGCTAATATACATAGGGCTAAAACTTGTTATGAGAGAAAACACGTTTTATTATTGTATCCAAATCTGAATTCTTCTGACGGCGTTGATTGGTAAATAAAAGAGTATTGGTGGACAACGATCGTTTTCATTTGTCTAAAGAATAATAAATCTAGCATCACTTAAAAGACTAAAATTCAAATTTAACATCTTGACTGATTTTACTTCAATTCCAACTCAGTCTAGTTTGCCAAAATGTCCAGAAAAGCAATAGTTTAAACTAAAAAAATACATTTAGCGCTGTGCGCTAGATAGAACCGCAAGTTAATACCGACTAGGGAGACAAGGGTGACGACCATGGAAAACAGCATAAATTGAATTCCTCACCCTCTGCTTTTGGCCAAGTTACGTTTTTTTTATATTATCCTTAATTTCATATTTATGGGACAAGAAATTTAAAACATATTTCAATTTTGCCATGTGTTTTTTCTGCAAATGTTACGCTCAAATGTAACAGTTTCTTACATCCTTTCAGGAGACGCACTCATAAAATGGGAAAAGAGTCTCCGAGAGAACTAAGTCGTGGTTAATAAATCTTAAAAAATTGGCAGATTATTTTCAAGTTTGTACACTCCCCGTCTTACTCCATTCAATTCTTCTTGTCTTTCAATTGTTTGTCTACCAAACCAAAGTAATATTCCCAGGTTTTTTTTCCACTTACAGACGGTTCTCTAATCAAAATATTCAAGCATTGCGCTTTTAAGATAATTTTTCCTGAATATATTTGTCCTAACCAATCAATTCTTTCTAATGACACAGACGTCAGTGAATGTGCCAGCACAGCTATTAATTTAAAATATCTAAACATAAGAAAGTGGAGCTCCGTTTCTCCCAAGGTATGGAGCTCCGCGGGTAGCGGGTGAGTCTGCGGCGCTAATTCAACGTGTGTGGTGGATGGTAAAGTGCATCAAAATTCAGGATATAAGTCGTACATTTAGAGATCAAATTTTCTCCTAAGACGTGCGATATATGCAAAAAAAATTTTTAACGGAAGATAACCAATAAAATAAAACTAACTAACAAGTGTCAAGTTTAATGACCATTTTTTCCACATACAAATGAACCCTAAGAAGGCTTCAGAAGACTGAACAAACATGGTTCAGTGATTTGGTTTTTCTCAGTTCTGTGTGCAGAGAATCCTTGATAATAAATTGATGATCTCATTTCCATAGTTAATTAGTTAAGCCTCAGGTTTGCCCGTAACAATTTAGCCCTCACGGGCCGCCAAAATGGCATAAATTCTTTCAATAGAGTGTTTCCTTTCCACTCATAATCATTTAGAGGTAAGTTAAACAAAACTTTGTTTTAGTTACTTTTATTTTGAGCAAATGAAACTCGTCTCGACAGTTTTTCTTGCTACACTAAGCTTACGATTCTAATGAGTTCAAAGATTTCTGTGCTTTGCGTTTACTGTCGTGAACATTTCGAGAGAAGAATCTCGATGGATTGTTGTTCGTCTTAGTGTGAAAAGAAAATTGAAGTTCGTATTATCGCTTTTATTTGTGTGTAGAATTGGCGCTCGTTTTAACTAACTGTTGAAAATTAACGTCGTAAGTTTAATTGGTTGACTGAATCTAAATGACAACAGGTTCCGGCTAGACATGTTTGCTTTTAAGATCGCTCTTCCTTGAATCTTACCTGGTCGTTAACCGTTCTTTAACTGGTTACAAAATATTTACCTTTCCCTTTCGATTATGATTGAATTCATTTGAAAGCGGTTACCAGTGGCCTTATGTGCTGCACCCTAGAACTGACCTGGCAAAGCCAATGTTCGAGGTTCCTCATCCATATTAAACAGATTTAGGAAGTACAAGTTCAGGACCTCGTTATCAGACAACCGATCTAATCACCTTTGTTCAAAACCACCCTTGTTGAGTTGAAACGGAATCAATAACTCATGCTAAAATTAACATAATAGGATCACTGTTAAAAGGGAGATTACCAGAGTTCGACAATAACTTTCCTGTGAAGCTGACAAATACCACCATGAAAGGAAAAGCTAAGGAAAAAAAAGTTAAAATTTTGAGCTAACAGTCAGAAAAATGTTACCACAGCCCCTACAACTCCGGATTTTGCTGCCAAATGCTTTACCAGCTGACTCTCAGAAACAGCAAGATCAACTGACTAGGTTCATAACATGTCAAAACATGCCCTTTTCGCAACACTTCATAACAAAGTGACTTTCTCAAATGTTTTACAACAGGTTGTTCTTTTCACAAATAAACGAGGAAGATATGCTTAGGGAAAGCTGGCTGGGTGCTGTGGTGCTTCTTGTGATATTTTGTGGTGAGTAATGTAACTGCAGTGAAAAGAAGTAATACATTTAAAAGCCAACCTACGTATAGTAGATCATGATTGCTCTTAGCATCATGTCCATCCTACAAGATAAGATCAGTTCGGTCTTTTTTCGTTCCTTGTTATCAGCGTCCCGTATGCCATGAAAAAGTTTAATCGAAATGACCAGTGAAACTGATGCGATATTCAATTTTTTTCTTTTCTTAGTTGTTGGATTCGGCAACAAAGCACAAGGTACGTTTCCAAGTTTAATTAATTTGAATTTTAAGTGATGAAGAGGTTTGAAGCGGGAAGCTGTGCGTATCTCAGCTGAAATGTTTCTTAGAAAAACCACACAACCAGTAAAGATTTGTGCATGATATACGCTGTCGATTATTTAAATTCTCGACTTATTACTTTACTTCCTGTTCAGAAACTACAATAAATGTATTACCGCACCGAGCATTGCTGGCTCACAACAAATACCGTGCAGTGCACCATTCTCCTGCTCTGAACTGGTCAGAAGGCCTAGCTGCAGAGGCACGAGCTCTTGCACAAAACTTAGCGACACAGAGCTCGCTCTCTGCAAGAAAAGATTCAGCTATGGACTTAGGTCAAAACTTGGCAAAACTGGCAGGTATATGACAAAAATTCATACGATGCTCCAAGGAATGACATGATAATCTTTGATAGGCATGCTGCTGCGGCTGCATGCCATGCATGCACTCTCCGATTTAATATCTCAGAGGCGTTTCTCATTCAAGTGACATCTTGGATTTTAAACTCTTTTATATGCAAATTTATCTAACGTTCCTTTGTTAATAAAACACACCGATATTCAGGGTGGCCTATGTTTGTAAGAACAGGAAAACGTAACATTGCACGTGGTAAGGTAGTTTTCAAAAATATTACTAAGAATTAGGCCCCTGAAGCGTAAAGAAAATCATAACCAATCATTGAAATGTTGTTTACCATCTATATCATGCTGCTGCAAAAATAGTTCCTTCAAAATCGTGTTATGAATGGCTGAGAAAAATTGTGCTTTATGTGATTCATTTAACTTCCCTCTCCCATCATAAAGGTTCCATGGCATGTGAGGATGCCGGAGAAATCGCAACAAACTTGTGGTACAGCCAGGCTAACAATTACAGCTACTCTGATCCAAGACTCAACGCAGACACTGACACTTTCACACAGGTTAAACAATCAGCATATTTACAACGTTCTTTGAATAATTTTTGGTAGCATGATAATTTGAAGAAGACTGTATTTCGAAACAAAAGGAAACTTAATCGCGAGGGTTTATAAGAGAAAGTTAAATTTTACGAGGAGCCAGAGTGATCGCGTGAAAAACAAGCAAACTGCCAGAAGGGAGAGAAAACGCGAGTGACCAAGTCACCATTGATTTTAGTTTTTGATGGAATTGGTTGAAAAGAGTGAAAATTCCGGATCAATCAAAGAGCGAAGTTGAGCAAAAGCATTGCGGCTCGGGATGAAGCATGACACTCAGCTGAAAATAGCTTTAATATTCATTAATCGTTGATTGTGACAGTAGGGAAATTTAATACTTTTTAGCTTTCACGTTGTAAAGACTATGTTTTGTGTAATCTTGTTCAAGGATGTTGTTAATTTTGACTCACAGGTTGTGTGGAAAGGCACACAAGAACTTGGAATTGGTTGCGCTAGAAGTTCCGCTGCACCTTCGGGACCTTTGTACGTAGTGGCTTTATATAAGCCAGCGGGAAATATCCCAAAGCTATTACGCAAGAATGTCTTTGAGCCGGGTCCTCGCGGAGATGATCCAGATGTGTACTCAACATTATTTAGACGTCAATTCGAAGGAAGTAAAAGCCTCAGAAAAGTCAAAAGCGTGGGGCGAATTCAACGGAAAAGCCGTCAACTTCGATTAATAACTTGACAGGAATAACCGAACGAGCTGCAATGAATGCAATGCCACGGAGGACATTATCTAAAATTTCTGAATTTAGAATAAGCCGGGAGCTAACCTCGGTTTTATGACAGGATCCTGTAGTTATTCGAACTCTTTTCACATAGTTGACGTGAGAGTTTTTATCCCTCGATACTTTAACTCCAAATAAATAATGGACACGAATATATTTTTCTCTCTTAAAGATAAAAAAGTTAGCCTTCTTTTAAATTGCTGTATTACAACTCTATTACTACAGCTTGCCTTTATTTCTATAACCAGAGGCAGTCGGTAAACTACATTTTCTATATTTCCACTAATTTTACGCTTCAATCAAAAGAAGTAAACGTTTCTCAAATATCATTAACTCTAAAAGTTATGAAAATATCTACTAGAAGGTTATTTGTTTTGACTAAGTGAATAGACAGCATCAAACATTTCAGTGCCTTTGTTGCGGATATGCTGAAGAAACACCCTGATATAAGCAGTCATTTAAACTTGTACCATATTTTTTAAATCGTCTTTGGGACTGGTTTAATCTAAGAACACAAGAGTGTTCCTATAGCTTCACTTAACGTTGAAAACAATGCACAGCAACCTCAGGCCGAACATTATTCAGGGGTTATCAGACCTTAGAGATCTAAAGTTAACTTAAACTGGCAAATGTTCCCTTGACGTTAACAGGCGTGTCAATATTGATATTTACCAATGGATGATTCAATACGACACATTTTGATTAGTTGCCGTAATACACAAAAGTATTCACCAAAGTCAATCAGAACAAAGGTAAATAGCAGAAGGGACCAATAAACTCAACAGGAAATTGGCGCCTACAACGCGTGCGTCGGACTGATTTGCAATAAGTTGCAGCTTTGCATAACTTTAATTTAATTTGATCCGTTGAGTTATTCGGGAGTAAAAAGCAATCTTGAATTGTTTTCCACGCTGAATTTAACATTGCCCTAATACACTGTTTCATTAGTACATCACATTTATGACTACCATTTCTGTTACACAGGCAATTAAACATTAATAATCTAATTCATGCCTGCATAAAGTCACTAGTCAGTTTTAGGAGCTATTTCGGCTCTTCAGTTATTGCGGGTGTCAGTTACTTCTGGTCCCTCTGGATCGCGGTGGTCACCGCAAAATACACCTGCACAACGCGATCTGGTCTTTCTATAAATGTACCATGTCAAAGCAACAATAGGAACATAAGCCATGGCTTGAATAACAATTTCCAACTGTGCTTTGTGCCTCTTTGAGATGTTATCGTTTTCAGTGGCCGTAGCAAGAACTGCCATTAAGGAGAGATTTAAGAGGAGGATGGTATCTGACTTGTTTTCCCAAGCATGCTTTGGGTCGGCCTCACCTCCTTGCTTAGATCGCTTATAGGGTTTCACGTAGGTGAAGATGAACAGAACCGTAATACAGGTGATTTCTAGTAGGGACCTCTTTACAGGACCAGATGGGATATAAATGGAAATTACCAACACGACCAGGCGACAAACGAGGTAAAAAGCAGCAAAAGATCGATGTTGGTCTTTGAAACAGCTCTGAAGCACGTCAAAGAGTGGTTTAAAGCGATTCAAGTTGAACACCGGCTTGAGGAGACGTGTGAAGAAAGGCCGGCACATCAGCACGAGTGGAAATGGGATTACGAAAAAGAACATAAACAAAATGGCGATGCTTCCGTAAATAGCGTGCTTGCCTTGGAAGAATTCCGTGCTGCCACTGCTGAACAACACTATGTTGTGGCCAAATACCACAGGGTTCAGAAGGCCTAAGCATGCTGATGTGATGCCAGTGTAACAAAGGACAAGGATGGTACAGATTGCACGGAAAGGGCCCCTCACTCTCCGACTAAAACACCAATTTGGATACTTTCCCACTAATTTGGCCAGAAAGACGACCACGAGCAAGGTGAGGACAGAAATGGTCAGAGTAAAGAACAGCTTGTCTGCATAATCCAGATTAGATGAGAAGCAGAAGTAAGTTCCTATCCGAAGGCGAGAGTTGAGAAAATTGATCAAGAAGAACATGAAATGGTCTCTGAAGACGAACCGCTCTCCAACGATTTGCCACATGACTTGGTAGGAATACAAGAAGCCATTAAGAAAACCGGAAAACCAATCCACATCCAGGAGCATTGCCACCTTAACAAAGATTAAAATTTCCACCAAGTAGACTGGAATAACCGCCAAAAAGCCATATTTTCGACATTTGTGGCAGTTTGAGTGCCCAAACACTACACTGAGTCCTGGTTTACATTTCCCACACAAAATACTGCCTGGTTCTCTGCTGTTATCGCACATTTGCCCGACATTAAAGACACACTCGTCTTGTGCAATTAAAGTCACATTATCCCGTGAACATTTACAGAAATCTCGTGGACAAGGGTGAGTATAAAACGTTCCGTCCACCATACCACCCCAGTAACCGGCTTTAAGATAAACAGTCTTTCCGTTTTTGTCGCATCTCGAGATACCATCCAATTTATCCTGACAAACGCAGTTTTCTTCTTTTAGATAGAATCCGGGATTGCAAGGTTTAAGAAAAGGCACCGGTATGACTTTCCTGAGTACTTGTCGTCCAATGTGTTGAAGAACAACATTGAATTTCCTTCCAATGTGTCCTCCAACTTTGAGGTAAGAGATCTTTCCATGGGTAAGAAAAAGCGACGAATCTGTTTGTAAATAAACTGAAGATGAATTATCTTCCTGCTGGCTAGAGCTTTTCCCCATCAGGATTTTTATGGTACCATTGACAGAATTATTTTTCTCGTCTCGAAGGTGAACAGTGGGGCTAAAAACCTCACCAGGCGAAACAGACCAGTCCTGCGCATTGTACGTGATATCCACAGGGCTTGTGGCAATCTCTTTGGTATTTCTATTGAAATCATTACTCCAATGAAATCTTATAAACTTCCAGTCTAATACTGAGTTGTTTAAACGAGTTTCTCCCTGCATGCGGCATTTCTTAAGAGTAGTGGCGAAAACGGAATGTCCTGAGGAATCATCCGGAGCCTTATTCCGTTGAAAAATAACTTCCGTGTTCCACTGGTTGAAGCTTATTTGATCGTCTTCGTATGCAAAGAAGCAAATGTTCGGATTATTTTTACTTAAGCCGTAGCTTGTTCGTGGTGATCCAGGAGTCTGTATAAACATAGCTCCTCCTTTTTCCAAGCAAGAATTTTCCTTGAACAGAAGCCGAGATTCGTTCATCAATATTATTTGAGAATATCCGTACATTGCGATCGCTCCCCCACGGACTCCTTTATTTTCAACAAATTCGACATCGTCGTAAAGTTCTAATGTTCCCCCATCTAAGGCAAGGGCAGTAAAGGTGTTGTTCTTAATGATCGTTTTTCCTCGGAAGACAATCGATACACCGACGTTATAAATCGCCCCTTCCCCGATCTGAACATTTTCCTCCCGAATGACAATTGCGTTGTTCTCCACTCGACTGTCTACAAATTCTACATGGAAAGGCACTTCAGGACCGATGTTTTCTCTGTTTTGATTAAACAGAAAAGTATCGATGGCCGAGCCCACAATCGCCTTGTTAGCAAACCAGTGGCAAGACTGAAAACTGAAAATTTTCCTGCTATTGAAATCTTGCTTGCATTTGCAGAAGATTGAGGAGCCATACAGAGATACACCTCCTCCCCAATTTCCCTGGTTGCCCCTGAAGACAGAATCTACGAAACGAATTTTATTGTTTGGAACATAGACACCTTTTTTCCGCCAGTGGCCTACACGAGCCCCACCTCCAGCAGAATGTCCGATGTTACTTTGAAAAACGCTACTCTGAACGGTGAAGACGTTTTTGCTAGTGAGCTCAGAAAACTCAGCCTGTAGTCCCCCTCCCCAGTATGCCTGGTTGGCCAAAAATGTACAGTTCTGAATAAGCACCTTACTGCTTTTGGCTTTACCGACGAAAGATATTCCCAGACCACCTCCTCTGATAACGCTTCGCTGATCCAACGCGTGTCCTTGAAAATTGTCCTTGGGGGCCACTTCTCCAGAAATTCCGTTTCCAATAAAGCTACAGTTTGTGAATGTGTAACTGTTTCCTTGTATGTAAGATTCGTGACGAGCTCGCGTGACATTCACAAAATACGGCTGATTTCGAGTGTACTTGTTCAAAGTCACGAAAACTCCACCAACAGAATTAATGTAACCAACTACCTCAAGGGTTTGTTTATTACTCGTCGATATGTTCCGTAAGGTATCTGCGCTGACTGTGTTATTCTCAAACACGCAGTTTGTCACGTTCAGCACTCCACCGATTTCGTAAAAATTGGCCCCATGACCTTTGGAACCAACTATGTCCACGTTTCGCATCCAAATGTTTCTACAGTAATCAAAGTGAACGGCGGTCTTGAACTTGATAACTACAGCGTTTTGCTTCGAAATAGCACTTTCATGCCATCCTCCACAACTGACCATTTTCAGATCTTGAAGAGTGATATTATCACTTAAGAGGAAAGCCACGCTCACATTGGGTTCGCATATGATTTTGGCTTGATTATTTGACTCTAACGTATCACTGTTTACCCCAATTAAGCTCAGATCTTCCACTTTCGTAAAAACCATACTCTTCCGAAGACTGTACGTTCCTTTTTCAAGCAGCAAAGTTGTCGAGTTAAACCCGGAAGGCGACAACAGTTCGTAGACATGATCCAAAGTTTGACAGGGAACACTTTCGTTTCCACAAAACTTCGTGTCACTACCTATAGCTGATGAGATGAACAATTTGGATTTTTCAGCAGCAGCTGTGCCTGGAAAAATGAACACCGTCAAGAAAACAATGATTAAATATCTCATCGTGGGAGCGTTGATGTTTGAAGTATACATCTCTCTGTGGAATAAAATCATTCCAAAATCCATCTTAAATTTCAGGTCACGTGAAATTTGTGGAATTCTCAGAAAGCAAAGCGGAAAACGGAAACATTTTAATTTAATCAAGAATATCCTGACTTCTCATGAATGTTAAAATCGACTTTGTTCCATTCCGAAAGATTTTGGACCCATATTCGAGTCGCCCTCTGGCATCGTGTATTTCTCTTGCCTATTTTTCATCGTACATGATTCCCTTCCCCCTCGTATTTCCGGTCTTTCAAGAGAGCTGTTGCAGCGTTATTTCTGGAGAGGAATTGAATTATTTATTCATTTTTCTTAATATCCCCTTTTTATCTTTCAAAATCAGTCCCGCGGGTTTTATGATATCCCTCGAGTATAGTATAGTATACTTACAGAGAAACCCCTCTCCCTCAAGGGCGCGAGACAAGCCTATAGGGATTTGTTTTGTAACTTGGGGTGACTTTTTTCAGTATTGTTTTCTTTCATCCTTTTCTCACTGAGTGAAGAGGAAAAAGGGTGCTGTTTTTTGACTCAGTTCAGACAGTTTTACAACGAAATTTACCAATTTTTATCATCTCATTAAAATGAAATATCCATCTTTCTTACATCTACCTAAGTTCTTCCTAACCATTCAATATTTGTAATCGGTTCGGTGTTTTCTCAGCTGGGATCGTAAATTATTTAAGCAGGTGTCTGGGTGACAATGTTGCTATGGAAGAAGTCAACAACTTTCAAGGTTGAAGGTCTGTTTAAAACCCATAGTTAAGGTTTTAAAATTCCGATTTACGGATTGTACGACAAGAGCTTTCCTGATTGGGTTAGGAAGCTTTGAATCAGCTAGCAATAACCGTTGATATAAATTGTTTAGAGAAGACAAAAATTCCACCTATGTTTGAGACGTCGGGAGACTTTTCATGCATGCGTAATTGACGTCATCCGGGATTGTTACCAAAACAGTACGTGGCGCGACCGTGATGCATACTCTTTCTGAACTCGATCGTGCAAACCTTATTACCTAATACAATCGTGGCGATCTGACTAACAGTGTGGAGAATAACGCCGGTATTTCGTCATTCAGTTCGTTATTCTGATTTGTAAGGTCGTGGAGCGTCAAGTAACGCTTTGCTTCGTTAAAAGACTTTTCTAGAACAAGCGATCACTACTACTCTCTTTCGAAAGCTGAAGTCAAACATGGACGGTGGTGGAAGCGATTCGTTTGATCCATGTGAGTGTATATGCAGCCACGAAGGTGCAATGCGAAGACTTATTTCTTTGGTAAGTACTAATTATTTTTTTGTTATGGCTTGATCTAGTAAATATGTTTCTTTCTCGTAAGTTAAATTTTGTTCGCAAGGTATGTTAAATCTTGTGTGCTGAGATGTCCGGTTCATCTTTGCAGCTGAGATCCTCTCAGAGTTATTGTACAGATAACCAGTGCTTGCAAGAATGTAAGTTATCCTTTTTTTCTTGCTTGGGCTATTTGGGAATGAATAATGTATTTTAGAATCTCGACAAGGGTGATTGATTTCAGAAAAGGTCTGGTCGGTTGATGATTTATCTGCGAATTGGTAGCTCTTAATACTCGTTGACATACACGGAATAACGGTGTACCAGCAAGCAAACGAAGGAACAGTGTTTGTCATGATTATTCGGTGAACTACAAGTTTTAAAACGTAAAGTTGTGATAAATTTATATGTGCCCAAACCCTAAGAAGCAAGTGAATTGCTGTTGTCTTTACCCTTCATCCTTGAGCTTCAATTTGTTTTGAATTCTTCTGATAACAATTTGAAGCCGTTAGTGTTTTTCAAGGCAAATTAATTATTTATGGAAAATAAAGTCTCCTAAAAAGTTGGAAGTCAAGGGTCATTTCCTAAAAACTTTCTATTTGAGGAATCTGTCCACTGATATGCAAAACCATTGTTACTAAACGTACAAAGTGGAAATGTTTTCTAGTTGGAATTTTAAACTCTCACGTGATGTGCGTGTGCGAATAGAATTTTAAAATATAAGTATAATTTTTCAATATCACAAAGTATCTATGAGTTAGAGGATATCTCAAATTACCTAGTAATTATGCAGATGAGAAACATTAAGTTTCCATTCAAACAACTAAGTGGTCCCAACTTAAAATTATAGTGGAGCTTTATTCATTTGGCTTATATAAGTTGTTTCTCCTCTCATTTAGTCGTTCTATTTTATGATTAATTATAATTTATCATTAGTTTGTGATCCATAGTACTTATTTTTGTTCTAAGTTTGGTTTTCTTGTATGCCACGCAGTGCCAGGCCCACAGGGAAATGATACTGGAGGAGACAGTCACACTGCATTCTATATTATGATAGCCTGGTTGATTATTGCTTTTGTCTTGTATCTACTCAGGTAATAACTTCAGGTTTTATGTCTTAATGCATGATGAGAGTAATGTAATTTTTACATTACTTCCAGCTACATTTAGTCAATGTGTGAGAAGCAGAAAAATTGCATCATTAGTGGTGGTTGACCTACAAAAATCCAGTTTATAAGCAAACAAGATAGACTTGCATCAATGTAAATTGTTTTATCATTACTAAGGGGCATGATTACTTGTTTTCAGACCCCAGAGTATGAGACAAGGTCCAGAGAAACCAAGTCGCAGTGACGTAAGTTGAATAGTTAGCATTATACTCTATCAATCAACACTAAAAAAATTTACCCCAATTGATTTTCCCCTCATGTCCACCCTGATGAAAGCATTATTTTAAAATTTCATCTAAGATAAGGGAGAGTTTAGCTTTTGTTACAGGAGGGGCATGTTTGTTCATAAGGTTGTACTAGAGAACACTGTAAAGTTTATATCTCATGCAGCACACTGTAAGCTGTTCATAAAAAAAGTTTCCTTGGGGGAAAAAGATGCTCCTATTTTTGTCCTTGGACTTCATCTGTTCCTTGAAGCTTACATTTCTCCTTGAGCTTGACATTTAGTAAACTGTTTGCATCTCGGAACACATGTTTGCAGACAAATTTGGGGTCAAATGGAGACTACTATTTTTATATCTGTAATGGAAAGGTATTTTGATGTGTCTTTACAAGTTGTTCAAGTTATTGATTAAAATATATTTTCCAAATTTGTTAGGATCAGGGTCTAAGGTGAGGTGTTATTAGCGTTCAATTACGTATTGGTTGTCAATACCCCATACTTCCCAGGTATCCCTTTACACCTCTATTAGCTGAAGAATATACATAATTTTGAGAGATTTTCTACCCCAAATCAGAAAATGGGTGCACTCTGTCTGGTAATTTGGTTCTTATGACGACTGAAATCATACTTTAAAAGAAAACAGGCACAGATTGGAACTGGATTGAATTTTGGTTCTTATGTGGCACCAAGGGTTATCTTTCTCTCTCTTTTTTTTCAATTGTTGCAATTTTTATCTTTATTCTCATCATTTTCAGAGAGATCCTGGCCCTCAACCTCCAGCACCTCCTGTGCATTAGATGGACCACTCTCATTGACCTCTGATAACAAGGATTGACTTGTTACCATATAGTGACATTAATATTGGCAATTAGATTAGGCATAAACATGTAGTAAGCAAGATAATGTACAGGATGTGTTATTACCTTCAGTCAGATGAATTGTAAACTCAAGTTCTGTGTCTGAGAAGTGGGATTAAGGTTCATATGTAGTGATCCAAAGCACAATCTGTTATTAGCTGTAAGTTAAATGCTAAACAATTCTCTGAATATTTGTAAATAAGTGTTCCCCTCCTTAATGCAAGCCCAAGATGCATTTATTTAAATATGGGGACTGCTCAAGTTCATTATGTTAGTTTGAGTGAATCATTTTGTAGTTTCCTAGTTCCATAAGATGTGAATAGATGATAGATTGGATTGATAATTCTTTAGAAGTACTGAATTTTGTTTTGTGTAACATGGGGGGGATTGGACAGTACTTTGGGTAGGAGTGCAATATTATTGAAACTCTTGAAGAAACTTTAGAGGTTTATCCAAATGTTAAATGGTTTGTTTACTCAACTTGTTCCTCATGCTAATCAATGCACAAAAGCAAGGATTCATGGGGATTTTTGAACCAGTCATTGAACAGCACATGAATAAAAAGGAGGAATTGGTGGGAGGTTTGAAACAGAGAACAGAACACATACAAGTATCCATGCTGAAAAAGAAATTGTTTATCTGTGTAAATACTGAGATTATGGGTAAATAGTGGGATAACTGTATCAATAATAACAGTGCAAGTTATATTACAGAAGGCATTCTTTAAATTGGTACATGTAGATAAAAAATTAAACATTACCATTTAGGAATGTTATCTATTTATTGCTTTTCATAATGTAACATCATTCTTAAAGTGTAATTTTCAATTTGCTCTTTCTAACTTGTGTCTGCTGGGGTTAGTAACCCATCAACAAATTAAGAATTACTCCTGCAGTAAAAAAAATGGCAGTTTTATTATTATTACAATTGATTATTGATAAGTTATGCCAATGCCTACTAGTGTACAATTATTGTAATGCAAAAAAAAGAATAAAAAGTGTCATTTGATTTAAAATTGTGATGCTGTGCATTGTTTTTTATTTACTATTATTTTATCTTCCCTTTGTAGAAACCCTTCCTATGTAGACAGGCTAGTTATCAATCCTAATTATGATCTGGGCTCTGAAATTGTAGACTTCTGTCCAGGGATTGGTAAATTAAAGTAAATTCTTTGAAGATAGGTGTCAAATTTGCTATACCTGGCAAGTACCTTATTTTTCCAAACATACCAAAATACACATCAAAGTGTACATAATTAAGTCTAAAGGCACAATATTGAGAGTCAAGAGGCAGCTAAACAGAATTGTTTTTTTATTCCCTGTCAAGCACTCTAATTCATTGTTAAATCTGGTTGCTAGATGAGTTTTCAATTTGGATCAAAATTGGTTGATGTATCTTTTCCACATTGTAAAATATGCTTGTAATGACGAGTCATTCAAACTGAACCTTTCTGACCACATCAACAACCACTCAACAAGCAAATTCAAGTAAGAAGTCAACCAAAAAGATCTTAACATTAAATAAATATTTTAAAACCCAATTATTTTATAATCATTACAATAAGCACTTAGTTACCTTCATTATAAAAGAGCCTTGATTCACACTGCGCAAGTCAGTGACAACAAAGGATCATATTAGAAGAGCAACAAATTGTTGCAAAGTTTTGAAACAGTGTTAAAGTGTGTGAGCTGACAAAACAATTAAAAGTCTGAAAAGGTGGCTCCTGGCATTTATACACAGCACAAGAAGTTAACCAACAATTGAGGGAGAATTTGTCAGTGCTTGAACTCCCACTACCCAAGTAATGATGGTGATTTCTTCTATTCTTATCATCTGCTCCCTGAATGATGTATTGACATTGTAACAAGAAGTTACACATTGATCAGACGTGAGAGCTAGAAGGTTAAACCAAATATTGGCTGTGTATAAACAATTTTTGGAACATGAAAGTGAATTCACTGCAACCTGAAGTGTAAGAAAGCTCAGGAGATGAACCACAATAAATAGAACACTGGAAAGTGTCATCAATAATTGTCAAGAGGGAATGGATCATGTTCTGACCACATTGATCAAAAAAAAAAAAGAAAAAGCAATCACATTGTTCAAGGTTGAAAATTTCACTATCAAACAAGTTCAAAACTATATATGTGTCCATTGTCTGTCATCAAATATTTTGACAACCATTTCCAGAAACAATAAAAATTGATTAAAGGACTAAGAATTCCCTTAATTCTGTAACTAATAGACATGTTCAGTTACAAAAGAAATAATAATTTCAGTAATATAACACTTTACCAAGTGCACCCTTTCATTTCACATAAAATTGTGAACTTTCAAAGGTTCAAGCAAGGGCTGTCTAAATATGTTTGGACTGGGACTGCCTTCAAAACCTTCATTGATTAACTGGTAAATGACAAAATTCTACTTTCCCATCAACAAATGCATTTTAAAAAACATGTCCAACATAATTCAGTAGCAAAACAGGGAGCCTTTAAGCAGTTGTTGCACGTTTGGTGCAAACATGGGTGCAACTCTAGCTTGCATTAAGTTAAAATTGAGACACAAATAAATGTGCTTGTTTAATCCATCTCCAAAACTGCAGCTTGGTTGCTATTGAGCACATCCTGAGCTGTGTCATTCTGGGCTATTTTTTTCACTTCTGCAGATGTATCCCTGGATAGAAAAAAAATATATTAATACAAAACATTATTAAAGGGAGATAAAGAAGAAATGTCTTAAAATTCAGAGAAACTAAAATCAAGGTTTTAATAGGAGGCATAAACAAATATAATAATGGCAAAATTGGGCATTTCCTTAATTTATATTAGTGGTTCAGCCCTTCAACCACACAACAGATTAACATGTAATTTCTCTCTCCCATCTCATTATATATTATCCAGAACAAAGAGTAAGAAGAACACAAAAACTATCAGCTAGAAGGTTTTTTCTTTAAATGAGGCCATCAGTTTATTATAAACATGTATTGTATTCTAAAAAGAAATACAATAATAACATAAAGAGAGTTAAATGGCTAGGTAGTTACTACTGAAATCCATTTACAAACTGGGGAAGAAATTTGGGCAATGACAAGGATGATGCCATAGTGAAGTTCATTAAAATACAACATCTATTATTAGCATGTACATCTATTTCATGATACATGTATAAAAATATCAGTGGATATACTTTATGGGAGAAGTCCCAGAGGAAGGAACCCCCTGGAGACCGGATAGTATTCCCATCAGCTGCGAGATGTTTTCATCATCAGGTGGCAACACAGGGATCTGCAAAACCCAATAATTTTAAATACTGTTATTGTGTATACAGTAAAAAGCACATAAGGATGTCCTTTTTATAATCACTGGTTCAATACCTCTCTTTGGCTACAAACAAATGGTACTTTCCACTGTGAAAGGAACAACACTCCAGAATCTAGAACTTCAGTCCACAATTATCTAACATTACAAATAACCACAAAACATCTAGTCAAAAATTGCTGGGAACTTAAAAAGTTCCTACTCACCCCTGTAGATCTTTTGTTATCTCCATCTTTAGCTGTTCCTCTTCCTGAGATTTCATTTAACTTTTAAAAAACAAATGAGGATATTTCATACAAGCAGTTTGTTAAAAAAGCTAGCATATTTTCAATTCCAAAACAATCAATTTAGAAGTCTACAAATTGGGATTCACTGGACAAAAAGTTATTGTAACAATTGCCATCGTAAATGAATAATGTTAATTTGCAGAAATCTTTATAGAGAAAGAAATTTTCCCAACAGCAAGTAGGGCATATACAAAAATTAATCTGTTTTATGCTTATATCAGTGAAGCCATAAAATAAGTTAATAGGACTTGTTTTGGAAGCAACACAAACAGAACTCTTTGTTACAGAGATCTGTCACAGAAAGTATTCACATATAATGTGTGCTGACCTGAAGGAAATTAGTGATCTTTACCAGTTACCTTTTTCTGTATAAGAACAGCCTGCTGTGTGCAGTGCTTGAGATATTCCAAGCTCTCCTTAGTGCGACTGTCTGCTTCACCAAACTATGAAAATGAGAACCTTATTACCTGTTATTGCATACAGGGTGTGTATAAACAGCGACAGCACTCCAAAATATGCTTGAAACACCTCCAAACTTTTTCTCTCAAAATAGGAGTTGAGGAACATCTCAGGGAAGTTTGTATTTTAGAGGAATAACCTCCAGAGATACTGTTGCTTTGCATCTGTTCAATTACACCACTGACAACATCAAAATGTGTGAAGGACAAGATTTCCTTGGGCCTCAAGAAACTTTTTTTTTACATCCTTATCGACCAATACTCAACCAATGCAAGGCATTTTGTATCCAATTGTTTATACAATAAAGAGACAATTAATTGCTGATAATGATGTTTTCTACAAATCCTTTTTTCTAACAGGTCATAGTTTACTACCAGAAAGTAAATATCAACAGCATTAATTGCCCACATGAAAATACCTTGCTGTTGTAAATAGCAAAAGCAGTCTTTTCTGCAGTGAGTGCTGCTCTGTAATCATTCACACAGGCCTTTGCTCTTGCAACCAGGTGATAGCTGTAAAGTAAAAACATCTTGACATAAACTTTTGAGGTAAATTTCATTTGCTATGAAAAAGTTTCATTTTTAATTAAACTGCAGGTATGACTGTGGGACACATTAAAAATTCCTTTACAGATTCACACCCAAGATAGGCAAATATTATCAATAAAGGTCAGTGATGTTTCCTGTGCTGTCATGTGGCCATTATCAAATTGAATTGATTAGAAAAAAGGGAAGAAATGGTTCAGTTAAGTTGACATGATAGAAAATCACTAATGCAAAGTCACTCAAATCTGATTTGGTCTTTTAGTGCATGGTCGTTACAAACTAAACCTAATCAATTTTAAATGATCATCGTTTGTTGGCCAATAAAAAAAGAGGAAATGTGACTTATCCAAATCAGAGCACTTACCTCATTGCTGTATGAACACTTTCTGGGCCATGATACCTAGAAAGTCAACATAAAATTTCCAATTAATCACTTCAATTGCTACGACAGTTAAGGAAGCTGAATTGTATACCTGACACTGATAACAATTATTAATGTAAGATCCTTTGTAGATGTCTTGCCCACTTTCTTTGCCTAAAGTCTTCACCTTACTCAGGGGCAAAGAAACATTCATGCTGCAGTGCTAGTAAAGATGAGGGCCTATCCCTGGCTAGATATAATTTTCCCAGATAACATAATCAATGTTCTAACCATACTAGACATAAAACATGAAAGTTACTTCATTGCAATAAAATCCTGTTATAAACTCCATAAACTTTTATCAGTAAGGGGCTGATAAGTTGATTGGAAAGAAAAAGGAGAACACAGGGATGTGTATAGCTTACTTCAGTTGTACATCAAGAGCTTTCTCAAGAAATTTTTCAGATATCTTGAACTCCCGCTGTCCATGTAGGATGAGCCCAATGTTGCTCTGATCAAATGAGGAATGGGATAAAAATAAGTGTTAGAGGCTGTAAATGTAGAATAAATTACTGGTAGATCAGCCGACACAAACAAAATTACATGTGGGTAGGTCACCCTCATAGTAACTGGCTTTGTTAAGGGTGATGGATGCTCAAATCACTTATAGTGTACATGTACATGGTAAATTAATGATTATTGACTTGAACTATGTGCTGAGTGAGAATGTAGGCAGCTACACATTTGATAAAGGACTGTTAGAAAACATGATGCAATTATGCCACAAGTAAAATCAGCCCTTGATATTACAGAAACCATAAAATATTAGATTGGTAAGGTAGGAAAAAAGACCAATGTAGAAAATATCAACCCACAACAGTAAAAGATGGAAAAGAATGTTACAGATTACACATGAGCATATTGAAAAACTTCATAGCTTAAGTTTGGTTTTCTGGATAAGTTTTATATGGTATAGGAATCTCTATTTTTTGTGGAAGGCAAAACTGTTATGTTTAACTATTCAACTTTTGAAGTTGGGTAAATATTTACATCAAAGGTAGCCATATCAGGATGTCCTTCTCCATACACCAACACTGCCAGGTGTCTTGCACGATACATCAGCTTCAATGCCACAGATGCCAGTCCTGCATTGTGACAATACAGAGCCAAGTGGACCTGTCATGTGAATACAAAAAGGCAAATTAATTTGAAAAAGTAAACTAAAATAACCCCCAAGTAGTAAAACATGAATTTGTCAACTGCTTAACTGCAAAACAGGAACTAATTTTCCAATTTAGGAACTGATTTTTGTCTTACATAGGCAATAACTGTGTCTGGATGATCCACACCAAAAACTCTCTCACAAACTATCACAGCCTTCTTCTGATAACTGACAGCCTGCAAAATAAAGAAACAAAAATTACACAGTCAACTTAGCAGTAGTTGGCATTAGGCCTCATGAGCCTAATAACTGAAAGACAAATCAACTGGATAAAGGAGTATTGCTACTCCTCTCCAACTGAGTGAAAGTTTATTGAATGTAACTGCCTTGAATTCCACCAAATCTACCAGCAGTTTGCCAGTATCCATTTATACTCTAAGGTAGAGAGAAGAACTGTGAGTAAAGTATCTTGGCTATAGAAACAATGCAATCAATTAGTTACACTGGCTGGGTCTCAAACTCAACCACTTGATCCAGGGTCCAAAATGCTAACTGCTACATTACAGAACTTCTGACCATATTTATCATAAACTTGAATACGTAACACAACAATGTAACAAATAGTAAACACAAATCACAGTGGCTTACACTAACCTGAACAGCATCTTCAGCCAAGTAATGAAGCCTTGCAATTGCCCTATGGTTCAAAATAAATCCAATTTAAAAAAAGAAGGTGAAAAAATAAACCAAGAGCAAAATCATAAGAATTTTTGGGTTGATTAACAGACAGTATTTGTCACTGCTACAGGATCTAAAAAGAACTGTCATAGAAGCAAAATATTTGTAAAACCATTATCAAAAGCTGTCACAACATTTCCACTTAAATATTAGTCAAGCTTTAGTTATGTAACAATAAATACCTTTAAGATCCCTCCCAATCTTGCACCAAATGAAATAAGTGGCAGTGGACTTAACTACAGAGAAATATGAGTTATACCTGTAGCAAGTAGCAATATCAGCGTGTAATGGACCATACACTTGATGGAAAAGATTGAGAGCTTCTACCATGAGTTCATGTGCTTCACCAAGAAGACCTGAACCAGACAATAATACATATACAATAAGTTCAACCATGTTATATTTACACATCATGAAGTTTGAGTATATATCTTCTGTAAAATCTACCTCCTTGAAGGCGGCCTTGGGCTGCTTCAAATATTGCTGATGCATCATATGCCTGCAAACACATTGAAGAAGTATTATTTAACAGATTTAGTGCTTTGATTCTACATGTGACATAATCTTTCACCCCTTTGACTGTTGGAACACAAGAACAAAACATGTACCTCTTATACTGACCTTTGGATTGGTGTGTTTTACTATTGGAAACAAATTCATTATGTCATCCTCTGTGAAAGTTGGGTGTTTCCTGCTCTCAAAATCATAATCTCGCAATAATATCTGGACACCTGCAAAAGACAAACAGAAGCAATTAACAAGTGAATGATTCATTCTTTATTTCTCATCTATTACAGTTCACTATTGAAAGATGGAAACCTTGAGACATGCATTGCCATGATAATATCCTAGAGTCAATTTACCTGTTTTTAAGCAGAGTAACCTCAGCAGGGAAATTCTGTGTATGCGGTATGACAGGAGAACTTCATCACTGTTTTTGCTGCAAATAGGAAGCACAAGCAGATAATATTTTCAATTAACAATACCCAAAAATGACACCAAAAATATTGCACATGAATCCATACCATTTAAGCTCAAATCCAAATTGCTTTTCTGTGTCATCAACTATTGATTTCCAAAGTTCCTCTGGAGTAAGTGTCGCCCAGGCTACAGTGGATGCTAAAAAGGACATGAATAAACATAAAGAAAGGCCTCTAACGTTTGTCAGGAAAGTATGACAAAAATAAAGTCATGATGAAGATTTAGACCCTTGTCAGATACAAATCTGCAGTCATATTCTCTACCAACTGAACCACAAATTAGTTGTTGGCTTTGTAAGAAATATTTTAGGTTTAAAAGTGTTTAACATTCTTCACACTGTTAAGATCACCAATTCAAAATTTACAGAAACAAAAACAAAACAAAACCGTATGTAGAACTAAAACTATAGCAAAAATAGCAGTCACTGTCAGTGATACTTCATACTATATAAAAGAATCATTCTATTTTTTCATTTAATTTACCTCCATTTACTGATGTTTTCAGTGGTTTCCTTTTACTCTTTTTCTTCTTGTTTATAACCTTGAGGAGGAAATGAAATGATTAACAAAAGGCATGCATGTCAATTGGAAGGCTGCACCAGCCAGCATTCAAGTTAGTTTCCCTGACAATTTCCTAGTACCCATTTATATTCAGGAAGTGTGAGAGCTGCTTGCCTAACACTCAAAAAGACATTACCATGCCTCATCAGAAGTTTGATTAAACCCTTTTCCCTGTACTAGTCCACAATCCTTCTCACAAAGGAGTATGGGATCATTTCATTGACAGTGGCTGGTAACTGAGCCCAACACCAGGGGTTATGCTATAAACCTTCTCACCTCCAGTCTTGCAGGCTGATCATTAACTCAGGCCCCTTTAACTCCCACCACACAAAGCATATTGCCGTAAATTCTGAAAAAATTAACTTAACAGATAGCATACTGTACCTCTTCAGCTGGGAGATGAGGTTGAGGATTGGGATATACACCCTGAAAATAAAGAAATTTGTCTTTAAGACATGCATTTAAGCCACCATGTACTTGTGAATCAAGGAAAAGAACTTGTTTCCCTTATTTTTACCACAAATGAACCACTTGTCGGAAACCTGTCACACTGGTTTTCTGCATGAAAATTCCTCAACCCTGTCAAAGTGCTTTCCCAACCTTATAAGACCTGTTAAACCAAGTTGCAAAATTGTGACAAATATGATCTCTTAAGATCAAAGAATCCTGTCACTTACCAGGTAGCAATTCAAAAAGTGACTAACTGCAACTGAAAGTGTCCTCAAATTTGCTGTCAACAAAAAAAGAATGAAAGCAAAGGTCAGTAAAATTTCCGACTTGATATAACATGTCATCAAACACTTACCTATCAAACAAAAATGACCAGAACATTGTGGGACCATAGGGTCAAAACAGAAGACTTCTGATTGCTTTGATTTGAAAATTTTGAAGCATCAACAAAATAATACCATGAATTGTTGGTAATATTACAAAAAAAAAAAAACAATGTGAAACATTATAGATTTACCACTTTGCATGTGCAGTTTAAACAGTTGCTTCACAGTCCTGGTGATCATTTCCATTATTGCAATTTTCTAAATGAAACAAAAACAAAGAATTTTAATTGACAGTCCCTTGATCATTTCACAAAGGGATGCAGTTTTTTTGGGTAAAAAGTTGCTGTTGTTGACCCATCCACTCAGTGGATGATCATCTCAGTAGCAATCAAGTGCACTTACATATACATGTTCAAGATCTGCCCGCAGAGCCAAAATTGATGCAACTTTACCTAAGTACCTCATGTTTATGCCCCTATCAAAAGAAAACAATTCATACAAAATTTAAAAACATTAATTACCTTTACCTTACAAAAAGGATTGCTCTAACTAGGAGATCCCAAAATAAATAATATTTGAGACAACTGCTGAAAGATCACTTGCTCTTCCCCTTCCAGCTACCAAGGAGATACAGGGCCATAAAAAGGGTCACACTCTAACAGTCAATTTTTTTAAAAAAGGGGGGGGGGGGGAAGAGGGGGCAGTTTTGATGCTATTAAATTAAGACCTGAGTTGTTCCTCAAGGGTATACTTTAATGACAACTTACCTACTGTGCATAATCTCTGATAACTGTGAGCCATCAAGTGGTGTCTGGGATAAACTTATAAAATCTTCCACCTAAAATGGTATGTAAGAGTGTGACAGGGTTACACAAAATACACTTCAATCCATGCCTAGGTTAACATTATTTTAGGAAAGTATGAAGCAACTACTAACCATTTTTATAATGACTGTTTCTGCTAAAAAGTCAGATGCATCCTGTACTAATAGCCTGTCACATGACAATGCCGCCTCCTAGATTAAAAGAATAACATTAAGTAAATGAACTCCATATGTCATTGCCACACTCATTTAACAACCAATCGACATTTTTTTGCAGAATGTTGTGCACATTGATTGTAGAGCCATCAAATGTACAAATAATTATCCTTAGGAAGAAACAAACACTACCTCAGAAGGTGCATGCTTTATTCCAGGTGCGTAGATGTCAGGGTTAAATCTTACATCAAACTCTGTTGCAGAAAAACAACATCAGCTATGACTACAACTTTCTCTCATTTACTTTTAAAAGTCACAAAAAGAAGTAAAAAAAAAGATGAAGTGTTTTGCATAATGCCTAACCATAATTCAGGCTGTTAAATGATTCTATGTTAAAAAAAAGCACAGCTATCAGTGATGAAACATGCCAAAGTGCCAACCTGATTCACTAATTGAACCAACAGCTTTGGAGGCTGATTTAATTGCATCTGATGAAATGTCACCTGCATCTGAGAGAAATTAGGATTGCAAAACAATAATCCAAAAACTGATTTTACTCAGTCTTAACTGAGAACCAACAAAATATTCCGCCCAAATGTGACACCAGGTTTGGGGAATAGAATCAGGGCCCTAACATTGAAGGGTGATCACTCCTTCCAATGCATCATTCCTGCTCTGACACAAATCTGCTTCAAGTTTCCCCTGTTTAACAGTTAAAATCTCTTTGTTATTATTACTTGGTTTGCTTCTTTAACTAACCTGTGGAATTGTCAGATGATATAGATGTACTCTCCTCTGCCTCTTTCACAGCGTCTTCTAATTTGCTTCCACCCTCAACATTTCCTTCACTGATTTGTTTATTCTTGTATGGACACTCAATCTTCTCACCTTCCACATCATCCACAGGTTTTTCATCATTCTTGTTCTGCAATTAAATGAGGTTGAACAGTGAGTTTGTTCCATCTGTGGAACTGGGGAAGGGATATCTCCTTACTTGTACGCAACCCATTAACAAACTGCAAAACATGTATGTGCATTGATCTGGCAGTTTCTTTGCTGACAATTTTCCACGTGGTTTCCTTTCACACCTTTGTTTTGGCAAACAGAGGGCTTTATCAGTTGGTCAATTTGTCAGTTTTGTCACCCTGTTTGTCTTAAACTTCATTTACATTGTGGAAAAATACTTAGCTATGGACAGATATTTCCCATTTTGACAGTTACCTGCATTTCCTTCTGTTTAGCAGCTGACACATGCATGGCAACCAACTTCAGGAAAAGCACATAACGCAACCTATGAGAAAATTGATGAAAAAGCACTGGGTATCATTTAAATGACTACAACACGCTTTCAAAAACTCAATGTATTTTAAAGCACCAATACTTACGCAACAAATCCCTCAATAAGCTCCGGTCTCAAACAACAAAGTTTGTGCTTATATGGACGAGGAAACATGAACTTGTTCCCTTTTTCATCTTCATTATCACAGCTTTGTTTTCTCTCTAATAAAAGAAAAAAGATAGTTCAAATTTAATGCCTACAACTGTTGGAGAATACTCAAAATCCTTAGCATACACTGCTTACTAGACAGCAACAGATACTTTACAGTTTTCATCCCCTGCTAATCAACAATTAAAGAACATCAAAATCAATCACTTACCTCCCAAAAAGTTAGCATCTGGTGGAAAAGTTCTGAACAGATCCAATATATAATGTCGCCCATCAGACCCTATGATGCCCTGATTCAGAGATTTAGAGAGATGTTTAGTAAATCATCAACTTCCCAAACCAGAATCCTTTCCTACATGTCAGTTAGGGAAGAGGATCAGAGTTTACTCACTTTACATTCCACTGAAGAACAAAGTTCAACCTCCTCACCATCTGAGTTTAGAACCCTACCAAGCAATTCATATTAACAACTAATTGATATTGACAAATTAATCATCAGTACTGATAAAAAATAAATTTGTTGAGATAAATTATATCATTATAAAATGAGGTTTTGAGATTGTAAATTATAAGCACAACAGCTTGAGTAAGCTCCAAATCTAAGACAACACAGGCAATTAATTTTAATCTCGCTGCTGCACACTTGCACAGGGTGTGACTGTCAGAGGCCTCCATGCATAATCTACCCCTTTTACATTAAATAATGGATTAGCAATTGATAAAATATAATGAAGTTCAATTTTCCGGTAAAGAAACCAACTTGATTACTTCTATGTGCAATCCTAGTGTCTCTGTGTATGTTTTTGTTCTGCTTTTCTGTAATGACAGTTCTCATTTATCAGTGAACTCCTTTTTTAATCCAAGAGTCTGTAAAACCTAGCTTTGAAGTGCTGAGCCATCTGTTCCATTCTTTGCATTCATAGAAAAGAATACTTGAAACACATTGAATAGAATTTAAGAAATGAGAGGTTCCATACTTGTGAGGTCTTATTCGAATAGACTTGCCAGCATTGTGAAGCTGAAAGTGACATAAAACATTTAGTTATTATCATTAACCAAATAAACAGCTAAGTTCATTCTACATTAAACATTTTAGCAGTAATCCTTATACACAAAGGATGCCTGATGACCACTAAAACAGAAGAATAACACATTACTAAGTATGTGTTTGGTAATTCTCTCACCAGCTCCAAAAACTTCCCATGACTTGAGACATTTTTCCCTGAGTCCACTGAACCATAAATAACTGACTGCTCCTGTTCACGCTGGAGAATTCCTGAAGAATACAGACTTGATATATTTAATGAACAGATAAAATCACATGTGCACCAGGCAAACAAGGTCATACTGTTATTGTTCGCATGCTATAATTACTAAACAATAAATATTTCCCTGTTGTTAGAATGAGTGCTGACATATCCACAAAGTACATGACTCTTGGTCCTCTTATTCCAGGTTGATACAACAATTGAAGCATTTGTTTTAATGGAGAGAGTGAAACCACCGCACCTTTCAAAAAACTTTGAAAGCAGGGTGGAGAACAAACCACAAATTAGACCAACACATGACCCAATGTGAGAATAGATCATACTCAGACCACAGTGGTAAGGACACATCCTTGTTCCCCCAACACTAAGCCTAACAATCCTCAAATACAATTAAAATGAAAATTGAAATTTTACCTGGGATGATGGACTGACCAATGACCCTGTAGCCACGGTAATCTACTATAACTGTGCTAAGAGTGAAGAGACCCTGCAGAAAACAGACACCTATCTTGTATCAATCGGCCTGTTATAAAATTGTGTTAAACATAAACATATACTGATAGATCCATCAACTAAGGACAAGTACACTGTATTAACTATCCAAACTGAGAGAAACAAGCAACTTTTCTCTCTCTACTCTTTAAACAGAACTCTCAATGGCACCTACAGTTGTATCCTAAATCACAAACCTGTGTGTCCAATCTGTTATATGCCATAACTCCTCGGAGATCTCCTCCCTGTAGAAAATGTCATAAAATCACTTGCATGTTGTAATCCTCAAATAAATATCAAATGCTAGTTATAGAGTTATTACAAACTAAGCATACTCCCTTGATAAGTTGTAATACGAGAAGAGTAAGATTTTTAAACAAGCAAGTAATAGACAATAACTGAGAACTTACAGCAGCAGCATATGCAGCCTCATCACCTGACAAAAGTAATGAAATGAACAAAAGTTATTGAGGTTAAATTTAATTTTTTTTTTCATGCTCAGAGATTACAGTTTAATGACTTAATATTTTTCTTCCAGCAACTGGTTTTCTTTGTAAAGCTGTTTTTTATTCATTTGAATTTTCAAAGGATGCCATCTGACTGATTTCATTAAATAAATCTCACATTAAAAAAATAAACATTTTCTGAGGGATAAGAAAGTTGAATCTTTTCAGTGACAAAAGCTGAGAGAAAGGAAAACAAAAATCAAACTGATTCAATAACATTTCAACAAAAAAGCAAATTGAGCCACAAGAAATATATGCAATGTCTGAGTCACATTTTAAAAATACCAGTAGGAAGAAGTTTGGGCTGAATCTAAAAACATGAAATTATTTTGTTGCTTTGAATCCTAGTTTAATGTCCCTTTTAAACTGTCAGCTTACCTCCCACAGCCTCAAAATGGTCTCTGCTATCAAATGCATAACTGAAGAAAATGTTGTTCCAGATGAACATCCTTTTCCTACACAAATAACACATCCATGAGTTTTTAGTTAGCACAATAAAACTAGCTACTTACTCAAGACACTATGTTACTATGCATCCTTACATCACTAAAGATTGAAACTGATCAATCACGCACTCTGATAACAATGTCTCTTTGGGTTGTCAAAACATCAGTCAATGTCCCTGACAAACCCATTAAGGGCAACACTCACCCAGACCAGCAACCCTTGGGATTAACTGATCTTCTTTGATTCTGAACTCTGTTATGCTCTAATTTGTTTCCTACAGACCTATTAGGGTACTTGAAAAGTTCTATATCACTTAGTCTTTGAAGATTTTAGATATATGAAAATTCATATATTTGCACTGCAGTGGAGAGATGAAATTAAGAGATCCTTGCAGCTAAGAACACTATTATTTACAACTTAGTCTTTATCGTCATTAGGTTTTGAAACTTACTTCTCATCTTCTCCTGGGTTTATTGCCATGACATTACCATCAACAACAGCCATTGCACCTCTGGTTGCAGCAGAAACAAAATCACTTGTGATCTAAAAGCAAATGACAGAAAACCTCAATTGGCAAATTCAAAATACTGTGTAATGTGTTCACTCCATACTCATGGTATATTTTGGTTCTACAGCTTAGCAAAATTTTCTCTGAGGTATTTCTTGCATTCTAAATAGTCTCACATACCTTAAAAATTGCCCTGTCTCTTAGAAGACGCTGTTGTATGGTTTCCTTTGGCAATTCCCTAGCAGACTGGAGTTCTTCATTCCAGTCACGAAGCTGAAAAATTTTAAAAACAGAGGTTCAGTTCATGTAGCACAATTCATGCTTAGAATATTCACATAAAAAAGTCATAGAAGGTTAGCAATATTTTGTAAAGTGAAAGAACTATAATAAGGGTGTAAAAAGGGGCTAATAAGAGAATGAATGCCATTGACGTCCAGGACTCTTCATACGGACTCAAGCCCACTTTTATGGGCTCAGGTATGAAACCCTAGCTACTCCAATGTAAAATAGTGGTGTTTCATAAAATTGAGGAGTGGTGTGGTTTTCTGCTAAAGTTAGGAGGTAAACAAAAACATTCAAATTACAACAGACCATCTGTGAACTATACCTATAATAATTATTCTCACCTGTCCAGGCATGTGTTCTTCATATCCAATGCGAACTGCAGCGGCTGAAGAAGAAAAAAAAGTATTGGAATTGTACATATTAAATAATTCTTGGTATTAACATATTTCAATCAATGTGCTTTAGAAATCAAGGTCATTTGGTTATGGTTGGCTCAGCATGACTACCAGAAAATATGAGGAATTAAATTAAAATACCCACCATCTTCTGCCCTAAGAGTGTCACTGGTATGTTCTGTCTGAGGAACAGCCCAAGGAAACACTGAAAGGTAATAAAATGGTATTAGCAATGATTCACAGTGACATGTGTCTCTTGTAGTCACATGCACTTTTATATGCTAGGTGGCTTGTGCTGCAAATGCTCCTCAATGGGACTCCATTCCATTGCAGCCCCCCCCCTCCACCTCCTTCACAACAGTTTGTCTCATTTCCCCTCAGTATTCTTATACCTATCCATGCTCAGGATTGGGAGGTAAATAGCACTCGCTGAGTCAAATGTGCTTCCCACACCCTTAAATCTGCAGTACAGTACACAAAACAAAAGCCCACTGTGTCTACCATGTATAAGAGGCTTCTAAAGTAGAAACATAAAAGAAATGATTTAAATAAGAAATGTTTCACTGTTTCTTTATTAGAGAGTAACTGTGATAACTCTCTTGAAAAATCAAGCACAAAAGAGAGGAGTGGTGTCTGTGTAACTATACCTTGAAAAGGAGTTGGAATGACTTCAAGAGGATGTCTTTTTAAGCTGAAAAATTCACAGATAAATCAGTTATAGCTAGTTGTTTGATGTAGAAACTGTTAAATTCTAATTGACCTCTAAAAAAGGAGAGCAAAGTCTTCATACCTTGTCTTCTGCAAAAGGGCAAAGTTCTTCCTAAACATAGGACTTAACTGAAAAAGGGAAGAAAGTGATTTGAGATTAGAAAACCTACTGAAAATAACAATTTCAACATGCTGAAATGTATACTACCATCTGTGCTAATATTGTACCAATGATGTACTTAGTACCACAGTAAAACTTCCCAAAAGCAAGTACAAAAGGGAACAGAAAGAGTGTGTAGCCTACAAATCAGAATTTTAATTATCCCACTGACAACCTTTCCATCTTTTCTTTCTCACACTACCCCCTGATATTTTTCTCATAATAACAGTTTGTTTGAATGTTGATGGACATTTTAAGGGAAAATAAACTACTGATCACTCCTACAAGTTCAGAATTAAGAAAGACATTTATTTGCATGTTAAATCCATCAGTAGTTACTAAGTAATGTCAATATCTGATGGAGACTACTACTACAACTGCACACAGAAGCTTACCTGGTTTAAAAGTCCTACAAGTGTATGTGAACGACATGGCTCACTATGAGGTTGAGTATTAAATACTCCATCATGTGTTCTACAATAAATAAAGAAAACATACCCCTCAAATTCTCACACATGCAAATTAACATGATTCAACAACAACTTACAAGTGCAACATGTATCTAAGGGTTCATTCCTTTATCATTATCAACAAGTGCATTATCATCAGTATCATTACAGAGATTACCATGATTGTCATAATCATCATTATCATTACTATTTTTAGTTATTAGATACATAAGTAAAACTAACCTGTTCACAAAAAATCCACCCGTGGAAGCAGTAATGTTCACTTGAACATCTTCTAAAGTAACCACATCAATATATAGGAGGTCCCCTGATAGAAAATGCAGTTTAAACAACAACAGTCAGCACCATGAAAAAAATCACTTTAAATTTTTGAGGGGGCTAAGGAAATCAACAGAAACATTCCTTTCAAAAGGGAACAAGTCCAAGTACTTGAGCACATTAAGGCACAAAAGAAAAAGATGTATTGGGCAAGGAAACAAAAACTCTTGCTACAATCACTTTTAAAAATTAATCAGGGTTCCCCTTATGAATCAATAGAGTCTATCCTTTAACCCATTACTTGGTTTCTCCTTCAGTTGCACAAAGAGACTTTTAGCTCCTTGTTTCCTATAAGTATTCTGATTCTTTGTTTCCTTTCCAAGGCTGCATAAGGTCACCTTACATTCATGAGGGTGATAATGTGTCTCTAACCTGCAAGTCGTCTATTCCCAGGAGGAGGGTTCCATGCACTTGGAGATAACTGCTTCAAACATTGTGGAAGCTGAATATACAAACAAATAAATTGTAAATTGAACAGATAAATAAGGATGAGTAAAATTAACATAAAATAACGATAATTATAAACATTTATCAGGAACATGGGTTGCACAAAAGATCTGATTGATTCTGATAATTGACTAGCTACACCATAAAGTGTTCCAGGAATATGATATTGCTTGAACAACATTCACTTTCACTGTCATCCTATCAGCAAAGCAGTACTCCTTTGCTAGTTCAAGGAAACACTGTTACCACATGATAAAACATTTGAGAAATTGACCCTGAAAACCATGTTACATATATGTCTTGAAACTCTCAGCTTTCAAACTTTGATTACCTTTGGTTCTGCATTGGATGGGAACAAAGGTTCCATTAGACAAGGAATTTCATCTGATGCAAACACATGAGTGGGAGGTAGACATTCCTCTGTAGAAACAGTACCCACATTTTGTCCCTTAACACGTAAAACTTCCTCTGCAATCACATAAAGATACAAAACTTTAAAAAATTCAGGCATGTAAGTACACAGCAGCAACTGTGTATATAATCAGCAATTGTCAATTGTATGAAATATCAACTGCAGTTTTTTTATCATAACCAACCTGAAGTTTTATGATATGTAATATAATTTGATAGAATTTAAACCAAGATCTTGCATGTGAGAAAACCAGAAAAAAGGTGCAGCATATCCCCACATATTTCCTTAATGATTCAATTATTTTAAAAGTTAGCAGTTGCCAGAATCAAATTTCAAAATTTGGCATTCCTTCCAGCATAATAAGAAGCCTATGGAAGGCGACAACATCTCAACATTTATACAGTTACACAAGTCAGAATGGAGAAAGAGTCAGTGGAAAGTACAATTATATAACATTAAAAAACCTAATTGGGTTGGTAAGCTTTTGGTTTTTTTATCCACTTAATATCACATATGAAATAAAACTAAATTTTGAAATTTGATTCTGATGAAAACTGCTAGATATAGTAGGAATTTTGAATGGAAATATCCAGTCAATAAATCTGATCTGTGGATGTGTGCTAGACATAGTTTAACAGGCATATGTTAGATTCTCACTGAAGTAGTCAGTTCAAAATCACATGAATTTACCTTCTACATCAACACCAGCTACTGCAGACAGGAAGGATAAAGAAAGATGGTCTATTGCAGAATAGGCATTGACATGAAAATTGGTGCTGAGGAGATCTTTGATTCGTCGCAGATGTATGCGGGCTTCTCTTACAGAATATGGTTCTGTAATCAGAATATATTACACTTCTAAATTATCTTACATTGAGACATACTGACAGAGTACTCACAGTACTGTTACACTACTCACCAATAATAACTGTATTAAAAACCTCCACACATTGTCAAAAATTATACAATGTAACAAAACAAGTGAGGGAAAATATGACACACCGAGGCTCATAATCGAGGCTCAAAAAGAAAAGTCAAAATAGCTTGAAAATTCTTAGTCTAGCCTTGCACAGAAACCAGGATCAGCAAATAAAGGATATCCTAAAGTCTATGGCATAAAGCAACCAGAAGTATTATTCCTTCCACTGAATGGTCCATTGTCACCCCTGGTTTCCCAAACAGTTCATTCATTTTCACTAATAACATTATACTCTTGAGTGAAGCACCATGATAGTGAAGTGCTTTGCTCATGAACACATCACAATAACCCAAGCCATCACTTCAACTGGAAACCTTTAATATTCTATCCACTTTGCTGACAGGGATTTATCACAGTGCTGACAGAAGGAAACCAAAAGATAATGAAAACCTCAATGGTGACTGATCTGCAGTCTTTCATGGCCAATAAAGTGGATATTGTTAACTTGTATAATGTAATTAAATCATATGCATCATACCTTCTACAACCTTTACTGTAGCTTCATCCTTTAGGCCTTCAATCATGTTCAGTTCAGCAAAATCGTCTAGCCGTACACCATCTATTTGAAGTGAGAAACAAGTCCTATAACAGCTCTCTGGTCGATCAAGAACAATTTGTCTGAGGTCTTGAACATTGTCTTGTAAGGAAAACTGCAAAAAAAATTAGATACAGTAAATGGTTAGGTCCTCCCCTACTGACATTTCTTGTAACATATTGTTACACTAGATTGAGCTGTTGGTCACTTAATGTCAAATACATGTAAGATTGATGATCTTTCTTAACATATTCAGTACTTATTTGGTTTTCAAGAAATATTTTTCTGTCACTTAGTTCATTAATCAGCAATCTATACTTTAAGAGTATGTTGATTTATCTCATCTCTCCAATAACTGTAGATGTCTACTTACATAAATAATTCCAACCAAAACTCAACCTGAAACATACTGGTCCTGTACCTCTGTATTGTATCAAGGGTACAGAGAAAAAAACCTTTCCACACATCAAAATTTCAGAAAATTTAAGAGACAATAAAAAATAGGCACACTTTCAGAGTAAAACCCAAAACAGAGCTCTGTATAAAGATCAAAACAACAATAAACTCTTTGTTTTAACACAGTCCAAAGGTCATATATGAATTATTGAATAAACTATTTTTAATTATCTATTTATGTCAGTATGAAATATGTTACAAAAACCTATGGGATGTCCTTTGAAAATATGTCAAATAAGCACACTTAGATATCTTTACACCCACTTACTGTGGCTGTGATTGGTTCACTTGATCCAGGAATCAGAAAGTGTAAGTTGACTGTTCCAGTTTGTACAATTGTACCATCCTTTGTTCCTAAGAGTTCAGATGTTGAAAATATGAGCCAACTGGTCTAAATACAATGAAACATTATGACTAAAATCAAGTAATCAGGTTGCTAGAAATCTTGAATCAACTAAAAATTTAAAATCTCGGCTATTTTGAAATTTGTAATTTCCATTATGTTACATCTTAAGTAATTTATGCCCCAGATATCATATTTAAATTTACCCTTTAAAAAAAAAACAGCACAAATGGAAATTTGATGGTCCATAATTCAGAGGCTGGTAAGGAAGGCTTAGTAATTCTCAAGGGTAACTTTCTGGTGTCCATCAGTCCAAGTCAGAATGCAAAAATGGACAAGACATTTTTGCATGCTCACCCTATAGTCAGTTGGAAAGTTTCTCCACTATCAACTTATCCCCTTTAAGTTAACAATAAGAGAGTAATGAAACAATATGGTTCAGCTTAGTTCATATTAATAATTAAGAATGAGTATAGTAAACCGGCAAAAAAAAGCAACCAGAGTATCAATATTACTTTTTTTATAACAGAGAAATAAATCATATTAACAAATTTAAATATGCAGACAACTATTTGACAAAGACAGTGGTTTTCCGACATTTGAAAACAGAACTTTTATTCGAATATGCCCTAACATTTCACCAAGGCGAAAAGTTTTGGTTACATAATGTAATTCTATTAGACAAGAACGTAAGTTTGGCGCAATTTAAATAATTGCAGTGCTCAATACTGCGACTTTGGCACGATTCTCATGAGTTCCAAAGATTAAAATAAATAAACGCGTTTACGAGATGACAATTTTCAGTTTAAAGAATTGCTTAACAGTTAGACATAATAGTAATTTACAGTAACAAGGAATAAATCCAAACAAATCACTTTATGCAAATTGCCGAGGAGTTGAGATTTCATTAATACTGCATAGAAAGATTAATAAATCCTACCTGTTTCGTCCAGTTGAGTGGCCTGCTCTTTGATTTCTTTTTCCTTCTTTTCCTCTATGTGTGGTGTTTCATCGCTTTTCTCTCTCAGATGAGGACAAGGTAATTTTCCTGTGTTCTCTGTCATATTTACCTCTTCGATACGTCCGGTAACAGATGGCATAATGTATTCTTCAATGCTAATAGAACCAAATAAAAACACGGTAATTGAAATAATATTTCACCCTTGCATACTCAGTGAATAAAAAATACCAGAATAAATTTATTTACGTTGAGTAAGAATATCCTTTTGTCAGAGCAAGAAGTCACATTATATTGCATCATGACACTATTTAGAGGCAATCCTCCATGACCGGGTAACAAATATAACTCACTGGACGGCCACGTGAATTACATTTGCATATCCTTTCGTGGACATAATTGTTGGGTATTTTAAGATGGCAAGCAGTAGTCTTATGTTACCAATCATAAGATACACTAAAGATAGAGGGAATGACCTGGAAGCCTGAGTAACGCTAAGTAGTACGAACTTATCAGATCATTCATTACAAAACCTCTATCACTCCGAGCGAGATGTAAATCCTATGATGTAACTTTGAAATGCTCAGATGCCATTACTAGCTCACCAAAAATTAGCAGTGTTAAAATCAGAACGAAGAGACAGACAAGTGCCGGTTGTCGTGGTACATCAAGCCAGAAATCTCTACCCCAGTTGACGCACTCCGTGCCGTATATTCACCCTCGTGGTCCACTTGCCAACTAGTTAACTGCGTGGATTACGCAACAAGGGGGAGTGTCAGCGGTAGATTTAGGCTTCGTGTAAGTGGTGCTATTACTTCGTGCAAGTAGTGCTTACGTTGATATTATTTTGCTGGTAACAATCAGAAGGATTGGGGAAGATCTGTCTGGCAACTACACAGAAAATAGATGCACCATTTCAACTTATCTTGAGATAGTAGCCATCCAGTTACTGACTGTACCCTCTGTTGTACCATACGCACCCATCGGCATAGAGGGCCAGGATGGGGGTTTGCAACAAAATTTTGTCTCATAGACAGATGCATTGAAATAATATAGCGCCTAAAGCGGTAAAATGAGGCAAAATGAAGCAAAAAAGAAAAAAATTAGTTGAAGGAAATTTTAAAGAGTACTAATTCTTATTTGATAAGCCCACTTATCTAAATAAAATAACTGACAAACTTCCTTAAAAAGATAAATTCTGATTCAGCTGCTTCCTCCATCGACTAACGTTAAGAGAAGAAAAATAAGAAAAAAATTGAATCTCAAAAGCGACTGAAATAAATCAAAACTGATAAAGAACTGACAAAAATATTAATGAAAAGATAATAGATTTAGCAAAATTGACATAAGAATTGTTTCGGAGGAGGAACAACTGAGCCCCGCCAGTTCGAGAGTAATTCCAATTAACTCAGCAGGGGAGAAGTTGTTTTACCTGTCTTAGGTATAAACAAGAATCATTTGGGTCAATGAGAGTGATGTGCTCACAGACCTCTCAGCGTAAATAGGTGATTATTTATGCATGACTGGAAAGTGACTGTTCACTCGGATTGAATACTTGGTTAAAGAATACAACTTATCCTGGAGCGGTACAACTCTCAGTGTACTTTGACAAATGGCACTGATAAACCTGAGTAAAACGTTTTTTTCCCTTCAATAGGGCCAATTTTTCGAAAATTTTTAAAAGATTTGTTGACATCTCCTCAAGAAGAAAAACTCTCAGAAACACTCAGCAGGTATAGTTGGACGTGACAATGACTTCATGTTGGAAAGGATGGCCGCAAATACTAAAAAAATTGACTCTACTTTTTCCTCTTATTTTGATCCACGGTAAGGTGTTTGTTTGTTGTGATTTGGTGTTAAGCAAGTTTGTCTTCCCTTTTTTATCTTGTATCAGTATCTTCTTTCACACCAGCGCGTCAAAATAAATTAAGTTATCAACAGTCCAGACTGGTTTACCTTGAATAACCTTTTCTGACACGAGTGGCCAAAATATGTGCAAGTGGATCCAATTATGACAAATCTTACAAATCTGAGAGATCGGCTCTCAAAAGAAAATCAAATATCGCTTCATCCGTGGACTAGTATCTAATTAAAAAATTACCCAAAACAACACGCATGAAGATGCTACCTGCAGTTTTATCTTCCGGTGGGTTCACACAACATATGCAAGTCATACTCAGTAAACAGCCATTTTCAATTAAGCTTGACTGCTCTTTGCTTCCTTTAATTTTTCATATTTTGACTTCCTGTTTACGGAACGTTCTCGTTTTTGAACATACAACAAACCTCAAAGTTTCTCTGCTTTCCTGTTTTTCTTTCTCTTTCGTATTTTGGCTTCCTGTTGACGGAATGGTCACATTTGTGAACTTTTTACAAACCTCAGAAGCTACTCTGACTGTTAATCTTTATTTGATCTCTTACTTAACAACTGAATTGGTTGCTGCAGAGCTAATTTCTCCGATCTAGCTCCGGAGGGGTTAAGATAAGTAGTTCACAGGTTGCATAGTTAGGGATAATATGAATTCGAAAGGACTTTCATTACTCTCCCCTACGTTTTTAGGTAGTATCAATAACGCTAAAATATTCAGTGATATACAAGATGAATCACAGTAAAGCATTCGCAGCGCAGACTACTGAGCAAATATTTTTAACGGCACACTTTTTAACAACGTAACGAATGAAGGTTTTTGGGGCATGTGCATTGCGAATCGAGGGTACTGTGGCAGTAGCGGCAACATGGTGTGACTGTGGGTCCAGTACATCCGTATCGCTTGTACTTTCTACGAGGTGGGTTTCAATGGTGGAGCTGATTTTATTTCCTTTCCTCTGTTGTATTAAGGAATCAAGGATTGTACAGCACATGGGCCTCCATCGGAGGAAACAAGAAGAATGTTGCAAACGTCAGAAAATCCTATTCCACATCATGAAGAAAGTCGTATTCCTCACCCGGATACGATAAGTTTGAAAAAGTCATCAACATTAAATGGCCTGATTGACAGGTTTATCTGGTTAAACGAGAGGAGGCCAACCCAGCGTGCCACACCTCAGAAGCCCCGAGAGGAGATTGGAGTGGAGAAATCCAGAACAGCACAGAGACCTATTGAAAGCAGGAGAGGGCTCGTCGCAGTACATAACTCCATCGAGTCCATTTTGAATTTCAAAACCAATCCGAACTTGGAAGAAACGAAAGTCACTCTGCGAGGTAATGTATTTCCCAGAGTTCTTCGTGATCGAGACAAGATACTACATGGAAAGGGGGAATCGGTCTCGAAAAAGTTATCAATACCAAATAAATATTGGGAGACTTTTCAACGAGAAAAAAAATACCGTGATTTAATACCGCGCCCTAAAAGACAGGAAGCTGCCGCAAATTTTCCTGGAAGAAAACGCACATTAGATTCTTCGGAAGAAACTTCCACGATCTTAGGACGAAAAACCCTGTCGTACTCCGAGCCTACATACAGACCGAGCACTGGCACCCATTCAGGTGAAAAATTGTATACTGACCCACGGCGGCTAGTGTCGATCCTAGGCGACCCGTTACCGTATAAAAGAAGTAACATTGCCAATCAAAAGGCGCGTTCTGTGAGGTCTAAAAGGGTCCAGGTGAGCAGAAAGGAACGTAAAAGGAAGGCGCATAGAAAAAAGCACTTCAAAAAACCCTTTTTGCATAGCTGGCGCTTAGAAAGCTCAGATTGGAACAAACAAGACATGGACGAGTTTTATTCCCAGGATTTTGATTCCAATTATTTGGATGGAGAATTAACCAGGAGAGATAAAAGTGAACATAAAATGTTAGAGCGTCTCTTAGATGACTCCTCGCCGTCTTTCGGGACAAGAGATGAGAAACTCGAGGAAGAGTCTACAATAAAACAGATTGAGGACCTGAGTAGGCAGAGTACAGCTCTGTCTAAAGAATACGACTTCACAGATCTACCGTCACAATTCGCCAACATGGAGGTCTCTGAAGGAGACTTACCTTGGTATGATCAAATCAATGATGGTGGAGTAAATGTTCGAAAATCGCGAGTTACGCGAAGGAAAGATAAAAAGCACCACCATACGAGGGCAAACTTGCGATCTGAGAAGCGTTTTACCCAGAAACGAGGAAAGAGAGAAAACTCTGCTAGATTTGCACTCAGATCCCACCGATACTCGCGTCGGAATTTGAAAGGAAATTTTCCCATTAAGTTAGAGACTAGGTCTAGTTATCACCAGGCCACCTCATTATCTCTTCCCAGGCAACGGCGAGACAAACGTTCTTTTCATCATCATCGTTATTATCACCATCACTTATGGCCACCATCAGCTCTGCAAGTGAGAATGTTCCCTTATTATGATTATCCCTATGCGATGGATAACAGTGAGTCAGGTTTTACACATTTTCACAGATTCCCCACCTTACAACGATATCCTAGCCTGCAGCGTTGGCCAGAATCCCCAATGTCATCGATGGCAGAGCGTTTCATTCCTTTCCCACGTTTACCAAAGATAAGTGAATTCTCACCAGATCCGCTGGAAAGACTAGAACGATTACCACCCCCTACACCAATCCCACCGGCCATAATGGACCAAGAAGAAGCTGGGACTCGAGAGGACGAACCCATTGACGAGTTAACTCCCTTACCCGAGCCTATTCCTGAGCCGGAACCGCCTCCGATACCTGAGCTTGCCTCTATAAAAGAGATCCCCCCCATTTCAGAGCCTCAGGAAAAAGCTCCTGATAATCTGGACCCTAAGAAGACGTTTGATACCGGAGAAAGCAATGGCGGTGTCAAAAAGAGCACTTCTCGTCAATAAGCAGACGGACAACAGAAGAAACAGAAATGTTGACAAATAGATTTGACAAAAATATCTCAGGATCGACTAGGAAGACTCACTTTTCAGATAACAGTAGTCCTGAAAAGGTCTGTTTAACACGACAACGATTAATGTTTGGAAAAGCAGAGGAAGTCGTCAACAGAGTCAGGAAGAATCGTGAAAATAAAGAAAGTTCAGATTTACACAAAGACATGTTCAACGAGGGTGGTTTACGATAGTGACAAAGATTGTTTAGTATGTTTTCCAAAAATACACGAGTCTACTTCTTAGGCTCTTTTTTCATTCGCATTAAAAAAAACCGGTAATTGCTCTACAAAGATCAGTACTTTAGAAAAACAAGTGACAAGGAGGGCGAGAGAAGACTAGGGACCATAATCAAAGGAACAGTCTCATCGATTAAATAGGAAGCTTCGGGGGCTAGGGTTTCTAGTAAACCACACTGGAAGCGAAGGTTTGGGATAAGAGAACAATTGAAACTTAACTCGTTCCTGGTGGCATAAGGTGTCAGCCGTCTGTTCGCCCCAGTCCCTCATGAAGCTCCCAGGGATTAGGGGAAGAGATACCGGCGGCTGACGCTTCAGACAATGTTCCCGAGATCTTTGGCCATGAAATGAACGTTAGGCTCAGTGATACCTAAGAATGTCCCGACAGTAGGCTTGCGAAGTAGTAACCACTATAAAAGTTTTAAAGACTTTTATCGGAACTGAAACCAAGAGTCGGGATACGAGTTACAGGCTTCAAATAATGGGGATCGAAGGATAGTTCTTATCACGCAAAGTAACCACCATGTTTCGGAATTATCCCTTGCTCCTCACAGACTTCACTAACCATTTTGTAACTGCTAATTCTGTCATTATTTTCTCGATCCTGATGTCAATTAAAAATTGCTCCATAGTGTAATTAATCTAAATATACAGTTAAAATATTCTTATTAAAGTTCTGCCTGTGCTGTAACTGTTGTGCTCAAAGCTAAATGTCTAACTACCTATCATTAAGTGTTAGTCGCGCTTTCCAATCAGTGGGAATTTCTTATCACACCAACTCCTCAGTGGCTCAGACGGTCTTTCTCTGAAAGAAAAAAAAAAATATAAATTCAATGCAGTTTAGTAAGTTATAAAGAAGATTGTACGTTGCTCAGGGATATTTAGCATTTTAATTCGCGTACAGAGGTTATCCAAACGAAACAACTGAAGAAATGGACAAACAAGTCACCCACTGTGTGGGGCAATCGCCAGTCTGAGGAAGAGAACATTTCACTGAGGGCCCCCCGATTTTTCATAAACGTCCTTTTAAAATCCAGGGGCAGATCCTGAGTTTAGTGTGATATGCAGATAAAAACACCAAAAAAAAAAAATTATTTGACAACTGAACGTTACTCACCAGATCGTGTGTCCGATGTTCGACGTGCTTCATCTGTAGAAAACAAGAAGAGAAATTAAAATAACATCATTTTCTCTGTTATCCTGTTTCAATCAACGCCGCCAGAATTCGAACAAACCAAAGGCTCAGTTAGATAAATGATATTTTTATAAAATAAAATTTCTTGAGAAACTTACAATTCCAAAGGAATTCTTGTATTTTGGATGGAATCTCAATGCCTCGATTGTGTGCTTCGCTCACCTCTAAGTACACAAAGAGAAAGGAAAGTAAATGACACAATATCCGGTTCGCTATTTGCACTATCCTCGTAGCATTAATCGAGGTCAAATAAACTAAAAAAAAGCGCTGTGGTTTACATAGATGAACACATGTCTTACTTGACTTGAGCTTTTCCGCCAATAGGTCCGTAAGTAAACGCTTGCGCTTCTCTGTCTCTGTCAGTCCTGCAAAAAAAGTTAAACTTACAGTAGTTTTCCTTGTATTAACGCTGACTATGCAGCCTTCTCTCGTATTTTACTCGATGTCGACTAAATCAAAAGGAAGTCCTCGTCTATTATTTCAACGTGTGCTCGTACCTTCTTTACCACGGATCAGGTCTTCAGTCTCTTTATCGTCCATCTTTCCATGGAAGCTGTTGTATGACCGAGTATCGACATCTACAATGAGATAATCAGAAAAGGAGCTATAACTGCCTCCTCCCGAACGCTCTGACACAACTGGAATGTCTCGACTGAGAGTAACGAGCGAGAAGGGCGGGTGACTAGTGACAAGCAAGAAGGGCAAGCTACCATTATAAGATAAGAGAAATGACTCCTCCCTTGCCTGGTCACTGTTTCATAGGGAAGAGGCTTCTAGGTAGGACCAAGAGGGAGTAGGTATTCATTATTTTCCCTCAGAATGGGTGTTTCATGGAGGATTGCTGGCGAGCGTAATGAAATGAGATATGTTTTGGTGATGAATCGGCCGAGTAACGAAATCAACAATCACGCGACAATGTCTCTCTTCTCGTAACTTTATCTGAGCTACGTTTAATTCAGTCAATCAAGCTAACTCGAGCATTTGGATGTAATAAGAACTCGATCGTGAATCAACTTGAACAAACTAAGGACGACTGAAAACAGGCTAAGCATCTACGCTGAGGCCCAACATACTAAATCTTCCTACCTGGATAACTTGGGGGAGGCAGTATATGCGGAACTTTTACAGCCCGAGAACCTAAGTGAAAAGACAGTTTCAAAGCAAAACCACTTGATGATTTCTATCTATTTCGAATCGTCACAGCTGTTTCAAGTACCTATTACAACTAGAGTCCTACCTGGCAGCCATTTTCCGCCAGAAAGAAGCGCCATGCGTTCTGCTCTGGTCATGTCTAGGGAGAAATGAGAAGTAATAGTGAGCATTCGGTAGTTTTGTGAATGGGGGATGCGGCGGCTGGGAAATTTGCGCGCTGAAAACAAAACCAAATCAAGATGTTCAAGCTCCGGCAGGGTCATTGTGCTTTGTTTTCTTACTTCTTCGTTCTTACAGAAAAAAAAAGACCTTTATTTTCACAATACCTTCCTCCTCACTGAAACACAAGTAAGTACCTGAAAACTGTAAGGGGAGGTCGAAAAATTGCGACGGACAGGCACCTTATCGAGGAGAAAAAGCAGAAGTTATAGGCCTTTTCAGTCTTGACAGCAGACACAACCTTTATCGAGGAAAAAGCGCCTTTAAAGTAAATATGGTCTTACCGTATGGCATTCCTCTCATCCCTGCTGATTGGTCAGAATTTGATTCGAATCCAGTACGATCCCATGGCGCGTAGAGGTCCTCTGCATAAAATGAAGTGACACGTCAGGTATGATAGCTGAGCTCGCAGAGCGTAGCCCCATAATTATACAAAATAGTAGTAACCCATCAAGCCGAAAAAATTTGGATGTACGACCGAACGAACGACCGTACAAGGTGCTACTTTTGACATGCGTGGTCAACTGTACCGCGGGCACGCCAACGCCACGGCTTTGTCCGGTAGTTCGTGCATTGGGCTCCCGAGTTGGACGACCCGGGTTGTGGTCCTGGCCGGCGTTGTGCCCTTGAGACGTGCGGGGAAAAAAAAAATGCGAGCTCCGCTTTTAGGCTTGGCTAAATCTATATATTAGTCCATAATTTCAGGTATGAAATCAAGTCCAGTATCTTTAGCAGAAGCTCTTGCGAGATAACGCATGATTCCAGTTCCGCAGTCGCTTTTCTTCTCCAGTTTTACAAAGTCGATTCAACCTCTACCTCTTAGAGGGTAGGAATTGAAAGGAATTAAGATATGACTATCAATAACATACTTGTGGTCATGTGTATGTGAACGGTGTCTAAAACCTTCAACCAGGATTATAGACGTTGACGATTTACCATCTAAAGACTTCTTACTTACTTGGAATATAATCATACTTCTTACGATAGGTATCTAAAAAACAAAAACAACAATAAAATCAAATAAACAAGAGACGTATTAGGGTGTACCACACTTTACAATAAAGCTCTGTTGGTTTGAGTACACTAATACACCGCGCAGTTGTAAAATTTGTCATGAAATGAACGTTTAGAAGAAAATCTGGTGTTAAATTCTTGCAATTGTTCTGATGTAAATACTTATTAAGAAAATTAATTGTTGGGGAATGCGGGCGGTATAAAAAAATTGAGATTCATGTTAAAGGCAATGAAGAAAGAAGGTGAAGGAAATCAGTTACCATATGTTCTCCTGTGGGGAGCTTCGGGAAAATCTGTAAAGAAAGAAAAACATGAGGCCTCAAACGACCAAGAAGTAAAATAAAATAGTTGAGCCGGGGAATACATAGGTGCTAGAACGCATGGGGTTGTGTAAAAGCGTTGCAAAACAGACATTTGGTGCTATGTACAGAAAAAAGGAACACTAAGATAATTTTTAGAAATTAAACGGATATTACAGAAATTGAAAATACGTTGATGGTATTGTTGGAATTGGCGGATAAGGATTGGGATGGTTATACTCATTTTAAAAAGTTGAATTATCTCACAGAAGTAGGTCAGGACACTATTATCTGTTTACCTGTTGTAATTATTTTTGGTCTTCGTTAAAAAGTTATGAATAAAAATAGGTTTACCTATTTTTATTCATAACTTTTTAACTGAGACCCTAATATGCTATAATTTTAACATGGGTGAATCTTAATAAATGTAATTTATATGTTTCAGGACAGTACTAAAAACAAACACTGATAGAATGAACAAAAATCTTGAATATAAGAGATCCTCCCAGCTATGAACACTACTGTGCTAGTAGTTGAAAATAAGACCTGAAAAAAAAAATTCAGGCCCGTACAGGATTTGAACCCATGACCTCTGCGATACCAGTGCAGTGCTCTATCAACTGAGCTAGCAAGCCAACATTATGTTGGGTCCAAATAAACCATCCAAGTGATGAATAATGATTGTAGATATATGAACAAAAATCTATTAAACTAATTAGACATAAATTAAGTACCACATTCAGAGAGGCCATCTTTTAGCACAGTCTTTTGGATACTGAACCATAAAAAAACTTACTAGGTCTTTTAAAAGGTGGAGGAGGGTATTCATTATCATAGTCCTCACCTACAAGAAGAAACAACAAAATTATTAACTCTAACCATTGAAATTTCAATTCATAATGGAAAAAGGTCTTCATAATATCTCTTGGCCACTTACGTAGCTGAGACAACAATCGTGAATTTCTTGCTTCTGGAAAAACAAAGAAGGTAATTTTTAAGTTAGTAATAACATAAGAGAAATAGCAAACTTAGAGGACCACAGCATAATGTGTGGCTCTTGACAACCCCTCTCTTCCTGGTAGAAGTTCAAAAGAAGCTGTAGCTCACGGTTTGTTTATCTTGAAAAATTTACCCTTTATTCTTTTATAAGTTGTAACTTCAGTGCATCCCTAATGAAAACTTTTCCCTTTTTGTTTTCCCTTGCTTCCTTTGTATTTTTTTTAATTTCATAGTTTAATCTACTTCAGCAAGGGAATTATGTGACACAAAAATGTACATAAGTCTGTATTTTGTGACATAGAGGTGTGAACTTCAGAAAATACCCACCTATTAGTCTCCTGTAGGCTTCAGTATTTTTAAAATCTAGAGTCAGAATAAAACAGGATATTAGATTTGTTCAGAGGATCAATCTATATCAGAACCCACCAGTTTAGATACTTCGCCTAATTGCTTGAAAGAGAGAAGATTTTTGTACTCGACAGGTACCCTAAAAGTCCTTAATGTGATACATCTCATTCACTCTATAAATCAAGAGTAATTTTCATTGAGAGGAGAATGTAAACGTGTTGCATTGCTCTAACTTTGCTTGGGGTATTTACTTTTTCTGATCAGCTGTTGTGATATCTTAGGTTTTGGTTTTATAACACTCCCTCAAAATGTGATTGAACCACCAAATAAATGAGTACTGAGGTTAAATGTATCTTACCATATTTAGCAGCATCACGGTGAGGAATCTCTGGAGGACCTAATTCATAAAGTAACAATTAAAAGAAAAGGCTCAGTACTTCTTTATCAAAAGAGGAGTAATCAGTTAAAAAATTATAATGGGAAAACCAAACATCATTCCAGGCTTCCAAGTAGTAACCAGCTGAGTGCTACAAGGAATAGAAGCTATTACCATTTAAACGCCTTGAACAGGAACATTCTTAGGTTGAAAGAATTTTGAGAGATAATAGAGGAAAAGGGATGCAGTTTGTAGAAAGTTACCTGGTTTAACTGGTTTTCTTGGTGGTACCTCAAGATCTGTGGACAATATTAAGCACAATCAATGATTTGGTGATATTCACACTAAAACATATAGTTTTGGTTCACCATGTGAGCACTAAGACTGTAAGACTCAGGCACTATTCCATTTTAACTGATAACAGAAATCTAAACTGAGTTTCAAACCATTGTCACAAAAAGTTTCTGACAAAAACATGCCACAAAATAGGAGACACTTACAGTCAGATTTCTTTCTCTCAGTCTCTGCATCACTTTTCACCTCTTCTTCTTTCTTCTCTGTTGCATCTAGAGAACCTGCAAGTAAAAATTGGGTTTAGTGTAGGGTTCCCAATCATTTAGCCTAATCTTAAAAAATAAACTATTGGGAAAAAAAGTCATGGAACCCTCTGACAGACTATTTTGCTCTAACCACACTTACTTTTTATGAGACTTTCCTCACTGTTTGTCTCCTCCTTTGTAGCCACATCTGAAGAAAACAATAGTGATTTAAATCAAACTAATGAGCTGTTGTAAGTTCAAGTCAACAAGATGCTGCTAAAAAAGGCAGGCAGTCTTAGAAACTCAAAATTTTTGGGACATTGAGGTACAGTCAACTCTGATGGAAAAAAGGCCCTAAGAATTAAATAGAAGATTTGTATGGTTGAAGTTTGAAATTTACCAGACTTTGTCTCTTTGGGCGTGTCTGCTTGATCAGTCTTCTTTACTGTTGTCTCTGATCACATGAAAACAAATCAATAATCAGTCAAAATTGTTTACCACAGATCCCTATACTTCCCTGTAGCTCTGCAAAACTGTTTTTTTTTTCCTCAACAAGTGAAGGCAATCACAAGGGGCTCTAATGCTAGCCCGTCTGGCACCCTTTATATTTTGCTCCTTGCATGCCTTTATAGGCTACCCCTTGAGTGGGCAGTTTACCTTACAATCAAAACTAAGTTTAAGTTTACAAGAAGCTGATCTCAAGAACTAATTTGTAATTCCCCTTTGCAGCTGCTTTACGTACTTTACAGTTCTTTGTGAGTCAGTTCAGAGAACTTGGGGTTGTTCCAAGATAGCACACTCTAATCGATCAATTTGCCTTCTCTATTCCCTTCTTCTGTTCACATAATTTACATTTGGGAGTAAAATTAAAGGCAGTGAAATTACCTGAAGTATCATGTTCCTTTGCAGTTAACTCCTGAAGTTCTACAGAGAGAGAATTGACAATTAAGTTAAGCCAGGCATCCCTCATCATATCAAGCCAACAGGTACATTTTTAGCGAGCGAATGTCTGATTTCAGTGTTTCTTGACGAAATGTCTGACCGCCATGTTGAATTCTAAGAATTTTGGAAAGTTGGATAAAGAAACAAGACATGTACTAAGTGGGTGGGAGAGGGTAGTCAAAGGGCAGGGAGGCGATGAGAGGTTGAGAGAGAACAGAAAGACGACACCTTTCCTCACCCACTCATCCCTGCCCACTTTTTCTAAAAAGAATCTCACAGAAAAAAGGGTGCTGTACACGAACACTTTGCACATCCGCATTGAGAGTGCTATTTTATTTCTTTGAACACACTAATAACCGTGATTGGGTGTTTGCCTTACTCTTGAAAACGAAAACGCTATCGGCAGCAAAAAAGATTTGATGAATCGGAAAAATTTCATAGGGACGAAAAAAATGTCAAATGTATTTGTTAATCTGGAACAGTACTTCTATTGTGTTGATCCTAAAAGCTTCACTGTTTATAAAGACTTTTGAGGGGGCATCAAAAGATGGCAATCGTCTTAAGAAGACAGAGTTAAGATAAATTTCCTTTTTTTTTTTTCAGATGCAGCGCTCTAGGTAGCAGGTGTCTTATACCTTCCGAAAGAGGCAATTTGAACGCTTAAATATTTGCAATTTGTTTCCAAATGTTTTTGTTTTAATACTTCAGGAATGATGAGTGGACTTATCATACTTCGCAATGTGTGAGAAAAACATCATAATGGCTTACACGTATCCTATTTATCAGATAAAGGAATTCGCTTTGTTAATAAAAAAAAATCGTTTTATCTTTTGTTTTCCAACACTCCCAAAATCACGTCGCGTCTAAGCAAAACGATTTTAAGACTTTTGAAAGAATGAATATTGGAAAACACGGAAGCGAGCTTTAAACGGTTTCTGAATTTTAGGGAAGAAAATCTGTATCCTCTCTTAGACAAGCATCAAACTTAACTTGTTACTTGCTAACGCAATAAATGATTACGTGTTTCTGTGTGTTGTTGTTTACCTTGAGACACCAAAATCCCTTTATCATAAGGTTTTTTGTCACAATGAAAAAGTTCATCTTAACGTTCTTAATGAAAAATGATTTTGGTACTTTTCACAACGCACCCAAAACTACCGCAATAACATTATGAAAGACAATAATAATTAAACGAAACCAAAAATGTCTGGCATTGCCTCTGTTATCACTTTGCGCTAGATATTACTGAGGTCATAACTTCACTTACGGTGATTTTTTCAGACGGAACCCAAAGGGTAGATATTTCCTTTGTTTCCGAGTGTCCTGCCCGCTTACGAAACTTTTAATAAGTTTCATAACGTGTCGCAAAATCGTCCGAATCCTACCTTACTTGGGGAGGAAAGTTATAAAATATTCTGCAGACTCCAGAAATGCGCCGCGCCCAACCGTACCCATAAACAACACATTACTGCAACTGGATACTTAGTCTTTTGTTTCAGGTCAAAGGTGTTATACGTGAGAGAGGCAAATGAACAGACGAGCGAGATAGATAATAACTTTCATTTCTCCTCCTATTCTGTTTTAAATTTGGTTCTACTATGACTTATTATCAATGTTTGCCCAGTGATTAAGGACCTAACCTTGCAACATGAAAGTTTGAAATAAAAAAAAAGGTCATAAGTATGTTTCCCCCGCGCGGCTGAAATTGTCAAGAACCCTACCCGAAAATCAACCGCCGCATTGTTTCTTATTTTGTTCTGTTTTCCTCTCTGGCCTTGCAGAACTGTCAACTACAAAGCTAAATGCGTAAACACAACGACAGAAAATTTCATCAACTCCAGTTCGAGCTGTAATTTTTCTTTAAAGCTCGTAGATGGGTATAAAATTGGAACAATGGTATGTCGAGCTGTTACGTTAGAAAGATCAGGCTTCTTTACAACAAGCATGAATTCTATCAAATAGGGCTACGATCAACTGAACGAAAGGCGAGGGAATGAAAAGCATTACAGTGGAATAGTTGGCTGTACAAAATTTTGAAATAAGGAGAAATGCACATAAATACGAAAGCAAATTCGTTGAGCTATTTCAAGTCAGTTAACGACTGTACTCACCTTTCTCTATCTCTTGGAGGCTAATTTCTGGCACCGGTTTCGCAGAAACCAACCCAAGAATCAAAAGGAAAGTTAATCTTGTCCACATTCTCTTTACGATAGACCTATTGTAAATCAAAGGGAATGTTCTGGGTTGCTTGTTATGAAGTGAAAAATGTCTTCGATCACCGCCGTAAGCATCTAAAGCATATGTATTTATATCTAAATTTCGCATTCAACGGTTTCCGCGGCTCAGTCAACTAACCAATCAGTGGCCTTTCAATCCAACGATTATCGTGTGCCAAGAGTTAAATATCAATTAAATTAACTTCATAAACTTATCAAAATCTGGTCATTTGATATCCTAATCAGTTTTAAACCATTTCTTTGCTATAGAGATGTCGTTTGGTAGATGCTAAAATGTGGTCATTCCAGTACAACCATTTCTCTCCTAAATCCCTAAAGTTACGACACTTAACGTGATAAAATATAAAACGCACCCTGATAATACTGAAGTACTGGTTATTTTTTTAGTTACCTTTATTAATAAAGAGCTTGTCCGAAATATAAAATTTTGCAATTTATCGCAGAAGAACAGGAAACGAAAAAGAACAGGAAATTTTTGTTTTGGCCATTTGTGAAAACTTGGTGATTTGATATTCTCGCTTACCCTCTGAAAATCTATTGCTATTTTACGATAACACATTTCACCGTTTGCCTGCAAGTTGCAAGTAGTGAATTAGGGCTGGTTGACAAAGCATGGTAACAGCAAACATGATGAAAAAAATTTCCCAAAAATGTCGCACTATTTTAGAATATTTGAACTTTCGTGTGCTTTGACAATTACCTACATGAGTAAGTGAGATTGGTAACCAATCTGGCGACAAGAACCAATGGTATTCAGTGGGTCACGTAATCTTGCTAAATATTTGTTTGTTGAACTGTTTCATCCATAGAAACTGACCCGATTGGTCCTTACAATCATACAGATCTGCGGATCAGATTCCTAATTATTATAATGGATGGATATCTTAGAAAGATTTATTATCAAAATAGAATTTCTAAATAGCAGATGAAAGAAATTTCTGAATTGCGACCGATCTACCGTGCGGGTCAGGCCGCACATAATTTTTATGCGCGTACGGTGGGAAAAGTCCTGACTAATGCATTTGGAGACATTTTTTGAGCGGGATGTTGGTTGGATGTTGAAACACCTACCATCTGTTTGTTGTTATTTTGGTATCCAGTCTTAACGCCAGCTCAGCTTCATTGACGTCAACAGAAATATCGACCGGTACTTAACATAATGCCTACGCATTCACACGTATTTTCTTAAATGCAAAAGCCCCGTAAACCGCATTTTTCCTTTTTCTCATTTTTTCCGAACTAATTCTTCAGTTGGTACACGAGTGTGATCTTTGCTTGTTTGTTTGTTTCGCAGTAGGAGTCCGAACAACGTGTCATTTGTACAGCGGGTTCGTATGAAAAGAAAGATAGTAATAATAGAAGAAAAGCCACTCAAAGAATAAGTTGCACGTCCAAACACGGATTCTCGAACTAGTGAGAAAGTGAAGACTCTTTCAGTTTTCCACAATCTAATCTCTATCTAGTTTCTTAAGATGTACATTTAAAACTATGGATCGTCACCCTCAACGTCCCTACAAAGAAGAGCACATAATCAGAAAAGCGGTTTAAGGGGTCGCACGTCACAAAACGTTAAAACTATAACTATTACGTGACTCGTGGTACACCTTGAAAGCGAACCACGTAGATACCTCAAAATCGAAAGAAAATAATAAAATGAATAAGCTTGATTCGATCTCTGCTGTGCTCTATTTCACATCTCTAGAACGTGATGAGTCATTTTTAAGGGATCTTTTCAATTATTGTAACTACCCTGCACTGTAAATGAAGTTACTGAAGGTCATTTCTCACTTAGAACAGACTTTGGCCTTCAAACCGAGTTATAGAGGATAAGTTTCATATGTTGCCATTTGATATCATCGGAATCTAAAGGGCAAATGGCACACCACACTTCTCATTAACAAATTCTTAATTTTTATGTTAGTTTCTTGCGACTTTTATCTCCCAGGAAAAGAGAAATAATTTCAACGAATGGCTGAAAGGGGTAGGAGACCCTCCACCCCTCTTGCGATAAACATTCAATCCAAGAGGAAACTTAAGAGGAAACTTAAGGAGAAACTTAAGAACACCTACACAGGTCTACGGTTCAATTTAGCCCGCACAATCTTATCCTAATCCTCTCCTCTGGTTGCTTTGCATTTCCTTATCAACGGGTTAGATGAATTTGATATTACATCAAAGTAACCTCCTCTGTCTTCTGCCTTTGTCTATTTTCGTAATCTGTTTGTGAGATATCTTGTTTGAAATTATCAGGGATACTTTCATTCTGATTACGTCAAGCCCTCAAAGGGTGCATCCATATTAAAAATATAATATTTATCTTGGTTGTATCGTATGCCTTAACTCAAAGCTTCCTGTTAGTTCCTTTGTTTTATTACCGTCTGTTATTTTTCTTACGATCCGTCAGCCTGAATCTCTTTTTTTTCTTTTTATTCTGATTACCAATGATGTTTGGAATTTTGTCGATTAAAACTGGTTTTGTCAGGAAATCTTAATTCAGACCACGAACACTTAACTTGAGTTAATCCATTATATTGCGTCTTCATAATTAAAAAGGTCAGATACAGTAGAGTCTATGGTTGGCTTTGTTTATTCAGTGGATTGAACTGCAAACACTCAGACGGTCGAGCAGCATTCGGAAATATAACGCTTGGAAACTTAAAACTACCTGCACGAAACTTAAAGAGCATCCTAAAAACAATCAGGTAAGACTTGTTAAAATCCTGGCTCGAAATAATATGCTTCGTAAATATACTTAAGTTGTAATCGATGCAAGTGATATGAAATAAGGAAACTGCATGTGGTTTCATTGAATGGCTGATGTAAAGCTTATGACGAGGAAATCGTTCTAAGAAACGTTTCAATATTCAGTACCGCAGAATTCCTAGAACTGAAAAACAGATTGAAGACCAGTATAGGTGTTCTTAACAGCTACTGTAAGCCCACATAACGAAATCTGAAGAAACACTATAACCGAAACTCACAGCTTCTTCCGGTTAAAAAAAATTGTCTACAAATCCATTGAGAATCTTAGCAGAGTTTGTTATTGAAAGATAAGCAGGAAAAGATTACAAGCACTGAGAAAGATCTGCTGCTATCGACGATTTTTTCCTGATCCGAAAAGGATAAATATATGTTATTCTGATATAAGTCGTAATTTTAAGAACATATACTGAAGCGCATTCTCAACATATTTTGAGAATACTTAACACGAGAATGAGTCGTAAGATCGTCATTACAATATTTTGAATCACTCTTTCCGATAAGCAAAACTACATGATATCGGTTGGGGACCGAGATAGACAAATTCAAAAGCAGAAATAATAAAGCAAGGAGGAGAAAGACTGGTGAAGAGTTGGAAAAGATTGACTATAGCTGCAAATGTAAAACTTGAAAAACAAGGCTGAATTTTTCAAAATGTGAAAATTTTGACATAGAATGACAGGAATGTAGTAGTTTAAATTGAATTACGCTGTTTCAATGCATGGTGAGAATTTTGTGGTCTTATCATTTAAAACTGTAGATACTAAAGTGACTAATTTCACCCAAGCTCAACTCGATTTCTCCGCGTATACAAACAGCCATATTGAACAGATTGGCATTACGTTACCAGTGTTATTCAATAGATAAATAAATCGCTTATTTCTCCTCGATGTCATCAGCGAATTGTTTGTCATCTGAGATAATCCACTAATCCACTTACTGCTTTTCGTTCGATGTCGATGAGACGGGATCTTACAACCACACAAGACTCCTGACTTACAACCAAGAACTTTTTTTTTTTCACGCTTTTCCCATACGGAACTAGATATAGGGAAAAAAACACCAACTTCTGTAAATTTTTAGCTCAGAAATTTAACAAGCTGGCAGACGACACCTTCCTTTTAGGTAGTGAAAATCAAGGAAATATGCTCAGCGATGGAATGGTGATTTTTAAGGTCTTGAGTCACCCAGGCATATATTTTTTCGTGAGAAAATAATTTTTTTCGGTTAGCCTGCACGCACAGCCTCCCCTAGGAAGAAACTTGGAGAGGAGGCTAAGTTTTGGTCAAAAGCACTCGTCTAATTTGGACGACTTGCGGACCCCCAAGGCCAAGGGAAACTTGGGCTCGAGTTTGATACCAATTAGCTTTTGTGCCTTGCGTTCATTTTCTATCTCTATAACACAGCTGGATTTGCCTTTTTTCGTTCGTTATCGACCATTGTTTAATGTATTCACCTTCAAACAATAGTCTAGGAGAAATGTATTATCAAACTAATTGCAATATAATGAGATTGGTTGTTCGGAAGCGACCAATTGTTCTTAGTTATTATGCGGGAAAGTTATTGAGTCATCGAGTGTTTTTATTATGCAAAAGAGATACTTTGTCGCTTAGGTGTTCCATTTACCACAAGGAAAGTTATTTCAAGAGAAAAAGCATCAGCTTTAAGGTGAGTTGTTATAAATACGGTGTATAGAACATGATGTACAACATATTTCACGACTTAATTAGATTTTTTAGGAGCATGCCTTCTGCTTTCAATTCAAGGGTTGATTTTAATTTGAAGAGTATGTTAACCAACTCAAATATCTCGGAAAGCTTTGAAAAGTCAGTGTTTGAAATTCGTTAAAGATTTGAGGTCAATGACAGTCAGTAAAAGTTAGCAGAGTTTCAGTCTCCAAAAAATGATTCCTACATATTTTGTGTTGATTAACTTTCACAAAAGCTTTACCGGTGAACTTAAAATTTCCAATCTGTGTCGCTTTGCTCCTCATTTAGCTTTGGTTGACTTATTGTCATTGTTTGTGAAGGAATGCTCAAATAAAGCATTAAGAATCTTAACTGCTTGTCTTGTGAAATTATTTAGAGATGTCCTTTCGCGTTCTTAAGAAATGCCTGAGGATAATACTGCTTCCTCCATACAAGCATTTTCTTTTTATTTTCGATAACAGACAGATGGGATTGAATATCATAACAAATCCTTCGGCAGTGAAAAGACTTTCGTACCTTATGCGGATCTTTTTACTAATAACAGATACAGAATACAAGACAAAGATCGTCATTTTATGTTAATTGAACAAATTAAGGAATTTTTTGTTTAGCAGTAAGATAATTATGATAAACAATATAATAGCCTCATGTTCAATATATTATATGTATTACGTTGTCGTGATGAGTTTCACTCTTCAAGCTATAAGTGCTTGTGAGGTCCTTTTGAAATGGTTGTAGAATATGCTAGGAATTTGTCATACATGCCACAATGTAAAATGGCACACTCACAAAACTTGTCGTGATGGTCACGAGGAAGTGTGGCCAATATTTTTACATCAACATTGAATGTGGAATGAATTTAAAATTACTGAGCAGTAAAGTTATTTTTCCTGTTAGAGTGGTTGTATCAGTTTTGTTATTACTATTAATAGTAGTAATGGATTACCATGGTTAATGATTCTTATGCTTATTTTGTTGGTTTTGGTCAGATCTGCATCATATAAAGGATGAATAATTTGAGTTCAGGTAACAGGAAAGCCTCATTGAATCTGGGGCAGACAAATGCCAAGTGTGCAAGATGTGGAAAGACTGTGTACTTTGCTGAACAAGTTTTTGGTTGTGGAAAGAAATGGCACAAACAGTGTTTTAAGTGTGTGGCTTGTAGCAAAACTGTAAACAGTTCAACCATGCGAGATAAAGATGGTAAGAGTGTGCCTCATGTTTGAAATTGTCACTATCTTGGGTTAATTTTCTTCTGCACCATCACTATCTTGGGTTAATTTCCTTCTCCATCAGTAGGCTGCAAAGAACCTAAATTTTGAGTTGTGTTGCATCTTCCTTTGCTCTTTAGTTCCTCTGTTTTTGCCCAGGCGTTACCTTTCAACAATGGACAAATATTGTGTTGAAAACTCAAGTCTACTCCCTGTAGTTAAAGTTTCCTTGAATTATATTACCTCTCCTGTTTTGGAAAGGTTTTTATCAATTACTGAGACTTTTATTAATTGTATGTATCCTTATAAATGTATACAGTTTGGCTCTGAATCATAAAATTATTCTTCTATCCAGAGCATTCTCTTAAAAGAAAGTATTTTCAAAGAAAGACAAAAATAGTTCTGTGGGGAACCTGATTGTCTTGTTTTTTTTTTGTTTTTTTTTGTTTTTTTTAGCAGAGTGCTATTTTCACAATACCCCTTTCCATCCAAGGGTATAAAAGTGAGCCGTGAAACTGTCAGAAAACCAAGTATTATTAGCAGTTTTTATTTGATAGAGTGATACCCACACAGATGGGGTACAAATACATTCATATGCTTCATGTTGTAGAAACTAGGATTACCTTCAGCAGGTAATGAGCTAATACCAAGATTTAATGCTAATATATATTTGATGTTTACAGGTGAGCTGTACTGTGCCAGTTGTCACACCAGGTTGTTTGGTCCAAAGGGTTATGGTTATGGCGTTGGCAGTGGTGTGCTTAGTACTGACACTGGCAAGGCAGGGGAGACTGTTTCTACAGCTCCAAAAACTGCCCCCATCAATTCTGGTCTGTTGGGACAAGGGAAACTTTGTCCAAGATGCAGTCAAGTTGTGTATGATGCTGAAAAGGTTAGGGCAGTTGGAAAGGTAAGTGCTATGAGAGGCTGAGTCTCAGTACAGTATGGCACTCAATTCTGACTTTTGTATAGAGCATCTTCTTTAAATCGTGATATCTTGCCTCTTATCACCTGTTTGTTTGTCAATGTCTGAAAATAGTGTAGAATTAAATTGCTGGTCCCAAGTACGGGGATTGATCAATAATCTAATGTGACTGCTGATATTTAAATTTTCTTGTAGTTCCTCCTATATACCACAGTAATTGAGAATTTTTTTCTTTCTGAATAGTACATAAAAAGTGTGTTATCTTCATTAATTTTCTAAACATCTTGTATACAGGTTTTTCACAAGTTATGTTTCAAGTGTGTAACATGTAGCAAGGGTCTGACCCCAACAACCATGAGAGACCATGAGGAAGAAATCTACTGCAGAGGTATAATGGCATATCATTCTGCCAATACTTATCTTCAATTTCTTAACTAAAGTTAAGTAGCTGCCAGCAAGAGTTGATGTAAGACAGGATTTTGATGTCAGTTTGTTTGGCATAAATGGCTAGGATGTATGTTGGTCCATTGTAGGTTAGTTCCCCACCTCTTAGCAGTTGATAAGGTTTTCATGTTGGTTAATGCTGGTGTCTAGCAATATTCCTACGTGAAGAGAGGCACTGTGAGAGTAAACTTCCCTGCTACTACAAAATGCCTTAATATTGGGCTTAGACCCTCTTTATCTGGAGTTCACTATGCTAACACATCTCCCCACAATGTTCGTATTTATTGGTGGACAGATTTGACTGACATTCTATTTGTTTGGTACTTTCATTTTTTAGCCTGCTATGAAAAGAACTTTGCCCCAAAAGGATTTGGATTTGGTTCAGCTCTAATGAGGACATGAATATCACCTAAAAAATACCAAAAACACTATTTATCCTCTGTTTAAATGTCACAGGGTAAAATGAGTTACCACTTACAGCACTGACATTCCCACTAATTCTATTTTTTAAGTTTTCTTAAATTTTTTTTAACCTGAATGGCAATTATTTTTCTGAGATGATACTGTTAACTGTGTTTTGGAGAATAAGGTTTCCTATATCAGGACTGTAATATATTTTTCTCATATAGTTTTGTTAGCTTTGCTTTTATACTAAACTTCTGAGCCATCTTTTAATAGTCTTTATGAAAAAGGGATCAAAGTTGAAAATTTTAACAGAGAATGCATTGTCAACAAAAGCCTTGCAGATAATGGAGAGGTCTGCAAGGTTGATAGAAAGGTGATTCGAAGATTGAATTGGGGGTAGTTTTTAATGTAGTGTAATCAAGGGGTGCTACTTAAAACTATTTTTCTATCACTCCCTGGAAAATTTACCCATTATTTAAACAGTTTATGTCATAGCTATGTCTGGGCTTTTTCCAGTTTATAGAATAATATATTTGTCAACAGTTTCCAAAAATAGTTTTGCTGATCACTTAGTGTTCTACTAGACTTCTCTAATGCATCATGATGTCAGTGAGAAAGGGACGTTTTTTTTGTAATAAAATTCATGATAATCTTTTCAGTTACTACTTAATAGTTATTGGTGCCATGGTATGTCTGGTGCCTATCTAAGTAACTTCAAGGCTTGGGGTAGTTTTTTTAATACGCTTCAAACAGATGCGTTTCTATTGAATTACTACAATAAATGCAATACATCATTTGCTTTCATTTTTTTTGTGCGTAGGTCCCAAAAGGTACCTAAACATGGTACAATGTAATTTGGTTACACACTTCAGACTGTCTTTAAAAAAACTGAAATACTGAAGGTGCAGGTCAAACACCATGATTTGCAGTATGCCAATTTACTGTGTGACATCTTGTCATTGGTGGAATTAAAATTTCCAAAAGTTGGTTTTGTGTTTTATTCTGATTTTCTACTGATTTGCTTGTGTTAATCACTCGTCAAACGAGTACCAGGTGCGCGCGGCAGAAAAAATGGCGCGGCAGGGAACAGAACACTGGTCACTAGAGCGCGCAGATGATTATTAAATATTTATAGGTTATTAATCTTCCCTTTAGTTTTAATTAAGTGGATATGTTATGATACTCAGATCTGATCAAATATCACAAAGACGTGAATCACGGTTTTTACACGTCGAAGGAGGAGGCGAAGTCGTTAGATTGCACACTCATTGCCACGATGCAGCGAGAACTGACTAAGAACGCACCAAAAGTTGCACTGAAGTAAAAGACGAACGATGCGTCTCTGGTACCTGCTATTGGCTTTGATTTGCCAATTTTTGTTTTGCTGTAAAACTCAAGACAAAGGTTTGTAAACTATCCTATTGAAGTATCGTGTGAGAATTTCATACCCGGACAGTAGAAACTACCCAAGGTTTACACAAACACGTTTAACCGCCGAACTACAGTAAAATTTATACAGTCATAAGATCATCAGAGCATTTACAATAGTGGCTGAGAAATTAGAACAACTTTTCTATAGAAATTGACTTACTGCACATTAGTAGACTTTCAAGCGAGCCTGAGGAATTTAAATAGTTGCCATCAAAGGAAAGGTCAAATACTCTTAACATCTGAAAACACCTGACTTTCCCTGTGTACGTCTCCGAAACCGACAAAACCAGCTCCAAAATACACTCCCCAGAAGCTTGGCCACATTGCCCAAAGTTGTAGCTGAACAAAGAATGGAACATAACTTCTTGAGATAGTTGCTAAATAAACAGTGTTAAAGTAAAATCAACTCTATTTAAATCAAAATGAATATCTACCGCAGAGTAGTCGTGTTAATTTGTTACCGGTATCTGCTCGCGTCGGTCGCGAATAAATCTATATCCCTTTGGCTCTAAAATTTGTGAAAATATATTCCTCACTTACATTTCAAGAGAAGCACTTTTCAATTGAGTGTCGTCAAACCAAATCCAAAGAAAAAGACAACAGTTGATCAAGTGAAAGGTGAACATCATGCACATGGTAACAATCAATATTCAAATAAAATACATGCAAACTGCTGAAGCGCGGGAAAACGCGCCGTGTGTGACAAAGTTACCATCGGTTGAAGCCTTGCATCTGATTAATTGAAAAGATGTAACCAAGTTAACAAAATCATGGATAAGGCTAAGAGGAGTAAAACCCGAAATACTGTTGACATTCAAATCAAATAGGCTTATCTGTTTCTTTCACCATGACACACCTTTTTTAAGGGTTTTCAAATAGCTCTTCAGTATTCAACTTTCCCCTGATTATATTCTTTCCGAGTAAAAGAAAATAAGTTTTTCCTGTATGTATATTGTCCTATCAAAATGAAATTTTCTCTTGAATCTGATTATCGACACACAGGATCAACTACTGTGCAACAGGAAGCATCACTGCTAAAATTTTTCAAACTAAATGGCGATAACTACGTTGCAAGAAACACGGCAATCAACCTCACAAACAAGAACGAGACGTTCAACTATTCGCGAAACTGTAATCTCTTCATCAAGGGAATGTGCGTTCACAAACTCAAGAGTAAAAGTAACAATGTGAAAAAGTCGTTCCGCCCCAATGATTATGATGACGATGATTATGATGATGATGACGACGAAGCTCCCGACGACGAGGAATTTTCGGAGGGGACACGTGATCACGAAAAGTTATACGACAAGGAACCAGAGGATATTGAGGATTACGTGCCACGGCATGGCAGGCCTGGGTTCGAGGATGGTATAGACAACGATATGGACGCAGATTGGAACTGGGAGTCACAAAGACGATATTACGGAAGACATGGTAATGAACCCAAAATTGATTTATGCAAATGACCTCAAACGCAGGAAAGGTTGATGAAGAAGTCGTGACTGCTTTTATGTTTACAGATAATGAATTTGGAGGGTTTCGCGAGTTTTTTTAATCACAGAGTGCAATGGAACAAAACAAATCCTAGATTACTAAGAATTGCTTTGAGGTAGCAGGTAATTTAGTGTTAACAACTGGGTTGAAAACGTAAATTAGCCACCGTAAAGGGTAAAAAAGCTGACGAAGGGCTAATGCTCGAAACGTCAGCTTTTTTACCCTTTACGGTGGCTAATTTACGTTTTCAACCCAGTTGTCAACACTAAATTACCTGCTATACTCCCCCACCGACGCAGCACTACAGTTTCTTTAGAAACTTACCCCTTTATGCTTTGAGGTAGGTTTGATTACAAATCAAAATTATTTTATATCCCCACAGACAGGGAAAGATGGAGACTTCGTCACCCACCGGACTATGACGATGACTACTGGCCTATTTATTCCCCTTATTACTACCATTATCCAAGACACACTCATCATCATCATCGTCGTCGTCATCATTATCAAACTCCCGCACATGCGAACTACAGAACATTCAGCCACACGGTACCTTCTTGGTACACGTATCCTCAGGGATATCCGGGCGGTACTCCCATATCAACTCCACCTCTTTCCTCGTATGTTTCAAATTCCGCAGGCTCGGGTTGGATACAAGCTCCTGCCTCTTCTAATGTGGGGTGGCAGCCTCGATTTTATCTTTATCAGGGACCTGCAACGAATATGTTTAAAGCCCAACTTGCAGGAACCAGCAGCTGGGGCACTTATCAACAAAACGTGTACAACTATCCACACCGAGAATCCAACTCCTTTTTCATTCCACCATATTCTGCATCGTCAAATCCACATCTACAAGTTACGACGCAGAACAGCGTGCAATTTTCTCCTGCAAACTTTCTCCATGGCATAGCAACCTCTGTTACCCCACTATCTCGCCATATCTATCAATACCCTCGGGTAATTTATAGCTCTAGACATTTTGCTGGTCCATTTTCCAGATCATTCCCGAAGCATCGAGAGTTTTCTGACGCTGTACTTAACAGAATTAGAGATCAAAACCTTCACTAAGTAGATCAATGTACCCAACCCTTCCTTTTTGGACTGCGATGCTGGCAACAGAAATATTTAATAACAATACTTGCTACAACTGTGTCTCAAGGAAGGAACTTGAATTTGGCCTGACTTTTCTAAAAACTTGTTTAAAACTCTGACAATGCCACCACAAGAGACAACTGTTACGAATAAATCCTTCACCAAGTATGTGACACTATTAAATGTCGGGGAAAGCTAACTATCAAGCACGCTTTGCCCGGCGAACTTTGTGATATTTTTCTGCTTTCTTTAATCACTCGGTACTCGAGTACACAATTCCACTTACATCCAAGCTTATTTTATTATGTGTAACTCTGGCTAATCTCTCACACTTTGATTCTCACTGAATACTTCTTCTTAAACTGCAGAATTTTGACTCTACTCTACCGCGCACTGTCTACATTCTTCGAGTCTTTTCTTCTCCTATTCTCTCTACTCCTTTTTTCTCTCTACTGTCCACTCTCTTCTACGCAAACTATAAAGAACATGCTCATACATTCACTACTGACAGACTCGAGTGGGCATATCAACTGGCTGATATCGGGAGATCAAACATTTGTTGATACTGAGAACGTTAAACCCAACAATTTCACGGGACCTTTGAACTGAAGAACAAAGAACTCATTCATAATGCTTTCGATCAACTTCTGACTACGTTAGTTAAAACAAGAACTTTTATGTGGGTCCAAAGCAAGGTCAGTAAACAAACCAAGCACGTCCACTTGAGGAAGTTAGAAAAGGCTCTCACAATTCGGAAACTCATCACGACAGCTCAAACCTAAATAAAGTCGGAATTCGAATTCATACGTTAAATTCTAAATATGTATCATGCTGAACTGACTTACTAACTTTATTGTTTTTTACTTTATTGTTAATTAACTGAATACTTCATAACAGTACCATGCGAAATTAGAGGGAACCGCCCAAACCACAACAAAGCGTTTGTATGGAGGCGAACTTATAGATGAATGAGACGTTATTTTCTTTGACATTGTCGTAGAAAGACCGGGAAAAAAACAAACAAATAAAAATATAAGATATGATATAAGTATTTTCCCTCAAATCGCAAAGTTATTTTCAGAGCGAAAGAAACCAGCATATGTGATCAATTTTGATGTACTAAGATTGTCGTGAATTGCATTAACATCATACATGTATAAACATGTATGCAAATTTTTTTGATGAAGTAAAATATTTCGAGACTAGGTGTTCTCCTTTCGGTACTAAAACCCTGGCTATCAAAGTATTTATGTCCTGCTTCTAGCTTTGTACCCTTAGACGTAAACGTTTTTCGCGACGTGGTAACAAGCAGACTCAAAGCTAGGCGGATGAGGCACAGTTGGCTTCAAAATGGACGGAGTGGCCCCTGAGAACAGCTGTGCATGAGCTGGATTGATCATTTTAACATCCGCTGAGCAGGATGTGCTAAATATCGTAGATTCAGTAGGCCGCGTTGGTTGAATTGTAGAGCTTGAGATTGGCAACGAGGCTTTGGGATTTGGTTGTAGAAGAGGGTGCAGTAAGGGTGTAGACATAGCAGTCGTCCGGGGAAGCCCTGTCGAACCTGTTTGCATGGCAGATGGCGGAGATGACGCGTTACTCGTTAGACATTCTGTGGCAAAAATTAAGATATTAATGAACGGTGAACCTTTTAAAGTTCGCACGCAAACGGAAACTTCCACCGTGCACACATTTCTCTAATTAGTGAGAATTCTCCCCAGCGCTAGATGAATTTAAAGTGTACAGGTGTCTATCCGCTCTAATTTACATATCGAAATACAGCAGAACTTCAACAAAAAGCGTCCTGGGAGCAGAGTCGTCTCTTCGGTCAAGGTTACTGTAACAAATTTTGAGGGGTATTCGACTCAGTTGGGACCAAATGTTTGTTTCCCTTTAATGGAAGGGTCTTTTTAGGTACAGTGTCCCAATTGAGAGATTCTTCTCTAGAGTGTTGTTTTGGAGACCTGCTTTCTTTTGCTCCAGGCTCCATTCCAAACGGAACTTAACTCGGTCATGCGTGTCCGAAAGAAAATCATTGAGAGACAAAAAGGGAAATGATAAAGTTATCATTAATGATGATCATTTGGGAATCAAAGTTTTTAAAATAAGTGAGTTTTACTTACTGACAATATGAAGGCCCGGAAAACATAAAAAGACCACGGTTATAAAAACAAAGGCATGAAACTTTGCATCCATTCCACGTGTTTCAACGAGAACCAGTTTTGAATGACAAAGGCCCAGCTGGTACGACGAAACTATGAAATAACAATGAAGAACACAAAATTTGAAAGTTTCTCGTAAGTTTTGGCAAAATCTGAAATATTTCCTCTCTTAAGTTTCAAATCATCGATTTGATTATACTTACCGTAGTGTGTGTGCTGTGCCAAGTTCCGAGTTAGATATGGATCGTGATTTGTGTTAGACGCCCACGATATCTGTGTTTTGACCCAAAAAGTTATCAGGTTATCCGAGTTCTCCAGAAAAACCACCCTATAATACCTTGCGGGCCTTATCTTTTCTCAGTTCGTGCCCAGGATGCTTTTCTCAACTCGGTTGTAAATATTATTTTCCTTGATTGAGGGGCTGAGTTCCAGACTCAGCCACAAAACTAATTCTCACTGTTTCGATGTGATCGTCATGATTTATCTGGCAACCCGGTTTTCTGTAATTTTTATAATTTTTTTTTTTATGATTGAGTATAGCTCACTAATTTCTTTCATTTGTAACCTTTCTATCATATCATCCTTGTTCATGATGTAGAATATCGACCTTTTGTTAGAAAATATTTGTTATATGAGGTTGACATTTCTTTAAAACCTCAGCGAAGAAGAAAAGTAAAAACTCAAATAGGCAAAGAGCATTTTCTTTCGTGGTTTGACTAGTCTCATTCGACTCCTCTCTATATTCAAGCCCAGTATATAACGAATGTTTTTTTTTTTTTTTGCTTTGATTTATCCGACAGGCTTGTCGAGTATTGACAGGAGCAGTGGCCCAAAACTAGTGGTCTCTCGGCAAAAGCAGTGTGCCGTTACTAATAGGCCCCCATGACTCTCAGGGGGAAGGAAGATAGTGGTAACCAATATGCGGGTTTGTGTCACGTGACCTCCTGCGTGTTTCATAAAGTTTTTCCGTCATTATCTCGAAATCTCTTTATCGCATGTCTCCAAAGTCATCTTAAAGCCGCTCGGATTGAGACAAAACAGATTTCATTCCGTGAAATTTAAGAATTATTTATCATACACGTTTTCAGATCGACATCAAAGGTGAAAATAAACAGGACGCGAAATGGATTCAAATAAAGGGAAAGTGTTTACATTCTCTTTTGATTTAATGAATTGTTGATAGCGTTGGAGTTACCAGAAAGAGATTCGTGCTTCCGATGTAACAATCGAGTTAAATCGAAAAGGAAGGTTCATTTGACAAGATGATTTAATCATTTATGTTTAAAATGAACACTTGTAATTATCTATAAATGTTTTGTTAAAAAGATCACGCAAAAATACATCGAGTTCATAACTTGACTGCTAAACCCCAAAATCTCCACGTGCAAAACGGTTCCGAACAGCGGGACATCGATCTTGATAGCGAGATCACCGATTACACTAAAATGAAAAGATCGATTGAAACTAAAAAGGAAAAACCTCGCCTTTTTAAGATAAAAACGAAAAGGAAATGCATAAAAATCTTGATCATTATCCATCTTCATTGTATGAAAATTGGCTCGCTACACCACACTAGTCCAAGGAAAAATTGACTTTGATGTAAAGTCACTCATCTTTGGAAAGTGGCAGATTTTCTTGACTAGAATGAAATCACACGACAAAAGAAAGCTTTTGTTGCTCTTATAATTAGAGGATCAGATATAAACTCTTTTTCTATAAGCAAAGCGATAGAGTTTGCTGTGGACGTGAGGCTTGAACTTCCGGTTTAATGGTTCAAAATTTCCGGCTTGGTTTTAATATTGTAAGGATAGTAAGAATTCCTGTTTTCCACTCGCTTAGAATGGCGAGGTGCGTATGAGTGATAACCTACAACTGAAACAGCTTCTATTTTCTCAATTAGCGCCAACAGACAATAAGTCTCAGCCGAACATTGGCAGGCGACCTTCCAATCCCTATACCCCCTGCAGCGTGCCTCGATTCCCTGAGAGCGCTTGACCTGAAACTTGTGTTGTTATTTGGAGTGGGTGACTCGACAGTCAAGATGGCCTGCTGTCGAAAAATTCATTGTTGTCTCGTCTTCATTGCTTTACTGCCAGCTCTTGTTAGCTGTATTCGTCCGTTTAGAGTGCCAAGGAATCTTTTTCGGCAAGGTACATCATCACTAACTTTACCAGAGGGAGTACGCATAATACGGCGGGAAACAAGTGATGATCCAATTCTGGAAGCCACTCATGACTTGGAAGAACAACACATTAGAAGCCGCTTTCGTCGGAATTCGCAGCCTGACATAGATACTACAACCGTGAGTTTAAACTTTGATTTATAATTTCTGACCGGTTTACGTTTTTGATGAGTCATTTGCAATGGGCATCCCAATGAACCACCGTTTGCCCACTTAAATTAGTTAAGTTAATCCGTCATTGTCTTTTTTTTTTTACTATTTCTTTCAGCAAGCTCTAGGTACCTACGACAACATGTATATGTATTGGCCTGATCGTAAGGAACACGAACACTATGTGTTTTTGCTTGCCAAAGAGCCAAACCCTCCAATTAGTAAAGCTTCGAATCCTGTGTACGTGTCGACCAATTATGGAAGGAACTTTACCAAGAAAGAATTTATAAACTCGAACAATTCAACGGCTGTTATTGACCAGATATATTTCAGCAAAGTTGATCCTACCTTGGTAAGGGAAAGAATTTTCGCTCTTTTGATATCCTGTGTTTTGTTCATATTATGATAGTGTTGTTAAACTTTGTTGTGGTCTGACCACGTGTTATTTAGGACAGACATATGTTTGCTATGAGATGTCAATGGAGCTGCTATTTTTTTGCGGATTGCTGCGATCTGTAGACTACCTTCGTTCTTGTGTTTTGTTTTCGCGTATGTTTATTACCTCAAGTGCACTTTTTACATATCATTTGGACTGTGAAATTATTTTAAGTAGATGGTCGCATATGTGTAAGATGTACGTTCTTAATGTAACGATATCGTTGCGTGCTTTTCTTGATCTTCTTTTCCTTCAGCGAAGCATGTTTATTAATGTGAGAATTTTTTGATTCAGATACCTTTTCCCCTAAATACTTTCAAAACGTGTCTTTTCTTTTGCGATACGGGACTGTTTTACCATTGATGTTATTTATTTCGTCACTTATACGCAATAGACAATTGTTCTACTTCGTGCTGTTTATGTACACAATCTCCCATGCTGTTGGTATTCAAAGCAGCTCCAATGTATATTTCTCTTCAGCTCAGAGGTAGAGGAAGTCTTTACAATAATAGTTTTGGTATGCGTGGAAGACGTAGGAGTCCACCGTAACCACAATTTCCATAGTGTTAATAATTGGTCTTATTATGTGGACATGGCGTGATGTGCTGTTTGCATAATTAACTAACCTTAATCTTCGTCTTTTAACTTATCAAGAATCTCTCTGTGATTCTAACACGTGTACATTTAACAGTTCTTTGATAAATGCAAGCGCGTTTGACAGTTTTATGATAAAATTGGAGATTTTCCAAGATATAACAGATGCCTTTATCACAAGTCACAATTAAAATTTAAATTTGTGCATAAATAGTTTTTGGTGTTTTATCTGTAGCATAAACAAGTTTTGACTTGTTTTGTTTCTTGCTTCCAATTTTTTGAGATTTCACAATGTTCCCTGATTTTGGACAAATAATTAGTGTAATTTAGTGTATGACTGGCTCCCAACTATTTGAATGGATGCAACTGTTGTCACAAATCTATGTTTATATCCTTCAGGCAAATAATTAACCTTCAAACCACAATAGCGACAAAAATAGTAACTTTTTGCTGTTATTTTAGACCTACTGTCAGCTCTGGGAATTTCGAAAATGAAGTCAATGAAATAGATTTGGCTTTACATGAAAAACTTTTATTTTTAGTTATACAAGCAGTCCAAGAAGGAAAATTAGCCGGTAGACAATATGGAGCCATATTACATAATAAAGAGTTAATCTGCGCCAGCTGGAATATCAGATGTCAACATAAATAATATCTTTTGTTATTCTGCTTTGATGACTTTGTCTATTCTTTTCTTTGTGCTTTATCATGATGTTGTCTTTTCAAGAATGATTTATACCACTTCAAAATTGCTTTCAATTGGCTGCTCTTGACTAAATATTCAAATGATAATTTTCTGCCAATAATGTCTCCTCTACTTTTTCGCTTTGGGCTTAAAATGTGCTACAAAAAAGGATATATTGAAATACCTCTCCCACTTCCTATCTAGAAAAAAGAATTAAAAAATTTAAAAAATTTAAAAAAAAGAACAGAAGAAAAAAGACATGCTGGCATTTGCTAGTCAGTCAAGTTAAAACTTAATTGAAGCGTGTCAATATATTAGTCAGAGAAATTTTTATTGACTTACTGTATGAATTTTGATATGTTAGTTATGCCCATGAGGAGGGGCATCAAGAATTTTCTGGAACTTTTCTTTTGGCAGTAATAATTTTTTTAAAAGGATGAATTTGGTGTGCTGCAAGGTTTAGCGTCTGATATTTTAACACACTAGCAGGCTGAGATGCAGTTATTTAGATGAGTTTGATGATAGTAATTTTGAAAGGTATAAGCTTAGAGCCAACTTTGAACTGCTTGGCATAAGCAAATACAGAAAAATTTTTCACTTTAGTCAAAAGGAATTCCTGTAAGCTTCCTTTAAGTGCCTATGACATAAATTTTTTTTGTGTGTATTTACTTAGCTTATCATGTAGTAGTGTAGTTTGATCGTCCAGGTGAGTGTAGTCCTGAGAAGGACTGTTGTTGGTAGTGGTGACTGACGTTTCGACAACCTGAGCGGAAGTCATCGTCAGAGTCAAGTGAAAGGTTGTTGTCAGTTGAATGTACTTAGTCCACTTTGTGTACACTGATTGATCAGTTTTGCCGTGATGTTATTGGCTGTAAGACTCAAGTGGCATAGGTCAGTCGTGATTGGTTGGTTTGGATCCGTTAGTGAAGTTAGGTTGTTCTGTTCATTTCGTTTGTAATGTTAATGTCGTGGATGAGTCGTTTGTACGGTGCTGGTAGTGGTTGACACCTGTTGAGGGGAGTCTGTTCCAAGTTAGTAAACCAGCTTTCCAGGGTCAGTTGTTGAAAGTAGTTGGTGCTGTAGGTTAGGCATTGCGCAGAGTCCCAGTCAATTGTGTGGTTTGTAAGTCAGTGATGTTCAGCAATGTGATTGTTGACATCGCCTTTCCTCGCTGCTTGTTTGTGTTCAGTCAGTCCAGTTGCAAGGTTTCTGCCAGTCTCACTGATGTAGGAGGCGTGGCAGTCGGAGCAATTGATCTTATATACCGCTCCTTGTCTGTTCCTCAGTTTCTCTGTCTTTGATGTAAGTCAATAACTGAGGTAGTGTGGTAATAGGTTTGTGAGTGAGGAGCCAGACAAGACAAGGAGCAGTATATAATTGATTCAAATTTCAGATACAGCCATCAACCAGAAAATGCCAAAAAAAAATTGTCATAGGCCCTTAAATATGTGTTAAGGCATGAATGGAAATTTGTTGTAAGATAAATAAAAATCCAATGCATAATGATCAAAATCCCATTTCTCTTTGCGTTTTGTGAATCTCTAAAGGTCATGTAGTTTCACTCAAATTTGTTACATGACTTTTCAAGAACAGTGGAAGAATTTGGATGTAGTTGCCTTTTGGGCACTTTTTTGTGTTTGTGCAAGATATTTTGTGTAATATATCAAACATGAGGAAGAGTATTTCATCTGATATCTAAACACCGAGAAGTGGTTAAAAAAAACAAGGTGCAGCAGAGTTTTTTTTTAACCAACTTCAAGGTGTTTGGATATTGGATGAAACAGCCTTTTGAATGTTTGATATAGCTTCTCAAACTATTAATAATTCTTGGAGAAAATTAAAGCAAAAGTTTGCCAAATTTTATGATAAGTAAGATCACGTATCCAAACCTCCTTCATGGTTGTAATTTCCTTTGTTTTCTCAGCATGAATTATTAATAAGTTTGAGAAGTTTATTTGAACATGCCTCAATAATAACACTATGATTTATTGTACCCTTGACACCTTTGCAAGAACATCACAAGCATCAAAATAGAATAGATTTTAAATATAAGGTTACCTAACTAGCTCCCTGAAATAACTATAATGAGTTGGAGCTAATATGAACTTACAAGGAACAGTTGATTATTTTACTCTGATGTTTTGATCTGATGTAGCTGGTTACATCACATTTAGTGTGATGTTACCAACATGGAGATGGTAGCACCTATAGGACATGTTTCTAATTTCAATTCAAGAAGGAAAAAGACATTTGAACAGATTCATGTATTAACTATGTATTTACTTGGTTTAATTGCTAATTAATTAAAATCATTTTTTTCCAATTTTCCATCAGGCTATTTTCACAGATGTCATAAACAAGGTTCTTCACAGAACAGATGACTTACAGACATTTAACAACTCTAACATCCCTTGGGTGCCAACATATATCACTTTTCATCCATGGAATCCTAAGTATGTTATGGGATATGATAACACAACTGAGAAGGTACAACACAATGTTATAGCATTGTTTGAATTTTATAAGCAATTGTGAGCTCACCACTGTTGATACCTGTGATTCTTGTTGAGAAGCTGTCTTCAGTATTTGGTTTTATACTTCAACAGATATTGATAATCATGATATAAATTATCTAACAGGAGTTTATTGATGGTTTGATGTCTGTTTTTTGCCTAGGGCAATTACCCAAACTTAATGAATAATGTCCTCTGTCTCAGCCAGCCAGTATTTTCTTCTTTAAGTTGTAAGGATTTGTATCAATCAGAAAGTGCTTTGAAATAAATGATTTTTCACCCCTGGGTTTTTTTGAAATGAGATTTTTAGTTTATGTTTAGCATATCATAAAGCATATCAAAAGTATTGTCTGCTTTTGGTTGTTCAGGTCTGATATTATAGTATACTAGTTATAGTTCTCACTAGAGCTGCCCCCGCCCTACAGTACCATTTTCTTTTGTTTTTTTTTTTAGTTGGGCTTGTTGTTTACAGTTGTGTAATTTTTCTGTTATGTTGTTACGGAATTGTGGCTCAATACTTTGGTTTTAGTAATTTTGGATCTCAAAATACTACTAGTGTACAAAATGTAGTTTTGCGAAGTGCTTGGGATGTTTTTTTTTGCTGTAATTTACAATTACAACCAGTAATTTCCTTTCTTTGACTACTGTTTCCTTTCAGTTGTGCTGCGAGTCCTTCGCGCCCAATAACAGACTTGCCTCTGACAAATCCAGAAATTGCCGAGTCTTTCGGCTTTGTGCAATAAGCTTGATTTGCGGCGGACAAATCGGAGTTAACCGAGTCTTTCGCTCAAAATGCTAAACTTACACTGTCTTCTGAGCATCGGTGAAATTATTTCTGTATTAACTTCTGTATAACACAAATGAGTCAAGACAGCTTTTAAGCACAAAACAGCACTCTCCGCGCCTTTCACACTTTGATGGTCGTGTGGACTCCGACCGAAGAAACTCTAAAACTCTGAGAATAATCCAACATCAAAGCAAACGAGTTAGAAGCTCAACTTTTTCATGTATTTGATATCTGGTTATACTTTAATTATGCTGCAAGTTCTTTGCTTTAAGTTCTCACGTTAGCTGACTGAGCTGTGGACCCTCCGCCGCCTTCGATCGAGACTTCACACAACCGTTTCTCTTTTGACGGATTCTGATCACCTTTTAAACTCAAAACTACCTTTAATTGTTAGAAAGATGCTATACACAATTACCGTTGGACTTGGAAACGCTTCTCGACGCGGACGCTTAACTCGAAATCTCGACAAGGACAAAGCTCGTGTCAAAGACGCCGATCCCAAAAGTCCTCGCGCGCGCGTCTTTTTGCTGGCCGCCCATGACCATTTGCGGGAAAAACGTTGACACCTTGCGGCCGTGCAAGCGATCAAATCGAGATTTTTTCTGGTTATGATCTACTGAAAATACCCACATTCTCTCTTCTCAAGTCTTCCTCTATATTACGCGGGGAGTCCTAAGGTGCCTCCTCGGGTTTTGGCCCTCTGGGGTCAAAAAACCCTGCGGGGGCAAATAGCAAAAACTGTGAACATGGATATTGACACAAGTTCAACTAAAGTTAGCTTTTAGTAGTGAAGAGATTAATTTTTCATTGTTCACTTTCTTTTCTGCACTTTTTTATGGTACTTTGAAGGCTCACATTGTAATGTTGTCTTTTGAAACATATTTGACAGCTCTATGTGTCATCAGACGAGGGAAAATCCTTCAGTGAAATACAAGGAGGAGGAAATGTTAAGTCATTCAATTGGTAAGTATGGAACCAGTACCTATTCATGCTCTCCCATGATTGGTTGGGGGAAGGGGAAAGGTATATTTCAGATATGGCCAATTGTCAGTAACTTCCTTTTTTGTTTCAACTTAAAACAGGGGAGTGGAACATATTGATGCAGTAGATGTGATTTTTGTCGAGCAATTTCAAAGGTCTCTGCAAGAGCGATGTGAGTGTATGGTTTTTGTAATAGTTGTGAGCACTGAATCACTGGTGAAGAAAATTATTCAGTTTAGTCTTAGTCTTCTCTTGGCTTCTTTTTTAACTATATCAAGCATTCTACATGCTTTGTAATATGTACACGGGAAGTTTTTGTAATTCTGCCTTCCTAAGACCATATTCTCTCTTGCAGTAGGTGGTTTAATATATTCCTAATTTAATTCTTATCTATGGGTCAGCTTTACCAGATTTAGTTGTGAAAATATTGAACTAGTAAGTTTTATTTTCTTTGAATTTCATTTCAAGACAGTAATGTGTTGTTTCTCATTTGCTTGCAGTGAAAACAAAGGATAACAGAACCAAAGTTACCAAAATGTACATAGACGGGAAAAATACACCATCGAAAGTGATTGCAACAAATGTGGATGAATTTGAAATGATGAAAAACTATCAGTTTTACACCACCAAATTGGTTCGCAAGTTTTGTTTTGAAATAAAATAACTCTTAAGGATATAAGCAATTTTTGATAAATTAAAGATCAATCCCACTTACCTGAGGTGATTATTTTTCCCTTTGTGAGATTAGGTTATAGAATATTATCATTTTTTTTACTATCCATAAGTTAACTGAAACTCCTAGCAAATCACCTTTTTTCATCAACATTCAAGTCACCTGTTCATGACTTTTAAAAAATGAAATTAATTGCTATTAATCAATGGAAAGGTTAATTTTACAAACAAAAGCTTCTCTGGAGGAAACTGGAATAAGAGTCAATCCAAGTGGCCTCTCCTCAAATATTACAAAGTCACTGTTAACTGTAAGTTTACTTTACTCTTTTCTAGAAATCTAGTGATAAGAATCCTGTCTTGAAAGTTTCTAAAGAGCGTAGGGACTTTAAGTTGGCAACATTCCCTAGTAATGAAGAGAGCAGAGTGAGTAAATGGCGTCTTTTTACAGTACTGATGATATGTCAGATGCTTTTGACAGTTATTAAATTGTTGACTTCAACAGTATCACCTTCATGCTGAAAGTCTTGCCAGCTTGTTTGGGGCATTTCCATCTTCAGTAATGTTATCATCCTCGTGGTCATTTTGACTGTGTTTATTTTTTATTGTGTTAATTGTAGTGATTGTATGGAGTCATAATAATACAGTTGTTTGTAGACAGTATTCCAGGTTGAGTTGTGTTGTGTTGTTAGACAGAACACTTCACCCTGACAGCTTCCTTTCCACCCAGGAATGAAAATGATGTGCAGTAATATATGTGGGAAAATAAAAGAATTGCCCAAAGTGTATTTGCAACAATACACATTGTTACTTCACACTTTGGAAATAACTTAGATCAAGCTGTCACAGCAGTGGTTGCTATATTTAGCTAAGCTATTGAAATGATTTTATAAGTTGTTTGTTTGAATGGATTTATGTGTATTTAAGATAATATTAATTCATAGACATGGTTGCAGTCGTAACAATTACATGATCATTCAACCATTTGATATAGCCATTTATTTATGGTTTTGCAGGACTTTTTTGTGTTTGATGTGGTGGAAGATCGTGTTTTTGTAGTCATCAACCACTTGAGAAATCTCTCCAATATGTATCAGTCTGATTCATTGGGTGTCAGGTACCAGTTATCCTTACCGAGAGTTCTGTATCACAACCCATATACTGATGTTTCGTCTGCTTGGCTTAGGTAAGATCAAAATTCACTACGAAATAATAGTAATAATAATTAAAAGTGACTGGAGTACAATTTGGTTTATAATCATACCAATGAGTTAAAAAATCACTTATTAACAGATGACTGCCAAGTGAGAGTCTGATTGTTAATCACATGACAATAGGATCACAGACCTAATTGAATGATACAAAATTTGATTCAAAGTATTATTTTGTGCACTTCTTATCGTCAACTTTTGTTTTGTTTTGTTTTTACCTCTTGTAGAACTGTAGTGCCATATGCTTTTGTTGATGTGGATAGAATCAAATCTGTGAGGGGTGTTTATGTTGCCACTCAGTTGACGCCAGGCCCAGTGGGTAGGAGACATCTTCTCTCTCTTATCACATACAACAATGGTGGAAAGTGGCAGCGGATACGTTCTCCAACTGTGGATAACCGTGGTGTCAAAATAAATTGTTATCTGGTAAATATCATGATATTGTTTGTGATAGTGATATTATATCATCTGATTGATGGGAAGCTTGGAGAGATGTGATAGGCTAATGGTGAGCAGGCAAGACCAGGGCTGGTAGAAGGCAAACAAGAAATAATTGTGTGATTTTTTTGTCAGCAATTATGGTTAAAAATGAGGTGAAAATAGTGTACTAAAGAAGGCAGACTAACTGGAAGTTTTTGGTCGCCATGGCAGCTCTTACTGACTGTACAGGAGTGGAGTATACACTCTGATTGAAAGTCTGTTTTTTGAACCTCTCATGGCTAGAATTTCTTATTGTGTTGTTGCAAGACACTTAACTTTCATCAATCCTCTCTCTAACCAGAGGAATAGAATGGGTACCTTCTAAGAGGACAACCTAATGCAAAGGGAAGTAATGGGTGGGGCATTCAATTTCACTAGGAGAAGCAATGCTCTTATATGTAGTTGCATTTTTGTGGCAATAACATTGATAAGTTCTGATAACATTTAATGTCCTTTTGAATTAATCCAGAAAGCATTTTATTTTTTTATATCAAGGCACCACACTCTTGTTGATAAGTTGATGTAATCTCATCACCTGTCTGGTAAATGATTTATTGAGAATGTGAGGAGAAATTATAATTTAATAACTCACTTTTTGAGGAAAAGGAGAGTCACTATATTTGTGGAAAACCCTGTAGCTGCATAAATAATTGTCAAAACACAACTTGGATCTTTTACTCAGCTGTTCAAGTAATTAAAATCTATTTTGACTTGGCAGCCAAGCTGTTCCATTCATGTGAATCTACTCTATGGTGCTGTCTATCGTGTTTCTCCATCAGAGCGTTTGCTCTCCAGTGAGTCAGCCCCTGGTTTGGTGTTAGCTTTAGGTATGCAATAACTCTGTGTTTATATAACTATTTTATAAACTTTAAAATGATTGAACCCATGATTTAAAGCCGTTAGTGTGAGTGATAGTTTATACAAGGGTATAGTCCTGAGAGGGATTTTACTTGTTGCCCAAAATTTGACTATTTGTAGGGCAGATGTCATCAATGTTAATTAGAGAGTTGTAGGTTTTTAACTGTGTTATGTGTCAGGTTCATAATTAGTTAGCTTTGGCTTTATTATTATTTTCCATGAGATTTTTCTAATTAGATGGAGAAAGAAGTATCAAAAGTTAATGTCGTGATTCTAAACCTTCTTTGGGTCTAGTGTGTAGCAACTACACTGTAGACACCTTACAAAAGCAGAAGAGATAGCTTATTAAGTGCTTCATATCAGGCAACAAATAATATAAATAAATGCTGTCATGGTTTCTGTGAATTTACATTATGTAACAAGCTACATGTAATTCATCTTAAGCTACTTCTAATGTTCTATGTACATTATGTTAGGTGTGGCTAGCACTAATCTTAAGATATATCCGGATGTGTTTGTGTCTTCGGATGGTGGAGTGGTTTGGAACAGGGTAAGACTTGATTTATAGAATGTATGATTTAAAATTTTGTGACATCTCCAAAGATCTTAGTTAATACAGTACATTTTTTGACATAGTACTGGCTTCTTAGAGACTTGAGTTATTTCCTGTTAGATGAAGTTTATCAAAAAGTTCCTTTTTCAAACTGTTAGGTAAACAATTCATATGTAATGCTGTTAGATTTATGGTCATCCTTGTTACATATGGTATTAATTGATGATTGACAGTAAGTATTGTGTGGTTATATCTAGAGCAATGTAGAAACATATTTATTGATGTCCTATTTGATCAGGCTCTACGGGGGAAACACTTGTTTACGTATGGAGATCATGGAGGAGTTATTGTTGCTGTGCCATACAGACGTTATACAAGGTCACTTAAGTAAGTCAACATGGAATGTTTTGATTTTGCTAGGATGTCATCAGCAGCAACAAAATGTTTGGACCTTGCATTTGTAGTTTTGATTCAATCATGTATTTCATGAACTAAAGAGTTTTATCTGCTCTAATTTATCCTATGATCCTAGATAAACAGGATAGTCATACATTACATTTTGCCACATTGCTATAGTAGGGACTTTTCTTTCTAAAGACAGCTTTTGCTTAAGTTACAGCTCCTATGGCTAGAGGTGCTTAAAAATGTTTTTTGATCAGTAAGAGAAAAATAATTTTTCACTTGTCTGTTGCTGGAGAAAATGGCCTATTGGCCTTTCCTTCATACAAGTTTGTTCCAACTTTGATAAACAGTTGGTTTGCTGGACTGATTAAAACAATCAGTGAGACAGGTACATAGAAAGTTGAGAGTTAGTCAGTTAGATTTATAACTGGAACATCAGACAGACAGAGAGACAGCCAGAAATGATAGGTAGGTGAGTAATATAAAGACACGCACACCCACACAGACAGTCAGTTGGAAGAAGGAATGCGGAAGGAAGAAAGACAGATAGTTAGATAGGACAGATGGACAGAAAGAGACACAAATACAGACAACACAACCAAGCGCATGAGATTCTAAAGTTTGATCATTTGCAAGTTGTACCTTTTACACTGCGATTAAATCATGTCACAGGTACAGTATTGATGGTGGGTTTACATGGACAACACATGTCTTCAGTCCTGATATGGCCATCCTAGCACGCGACATTGTCACTCAGCCTGGAGAACGACTCCCAGTCTTTGTAGTTCTTGCAAGTCGCTATGGCCGTAACCGTGTTCAAAACTGGATGGTGTTTTATCTCAACATGACAAACATTATGGGTTAGTAGTAAACATTAGATTGTATGGTAAAATTTTAAGAGGCTTTGCCAGTCAGGTTTTGTTGATGATATATTCAGATAAAGAGACATCTCGTGTTTCAGCTGGTTTTTGCTCACAGTTTTTTGCTAACTATTTTCCAAAAACTGTAGGTGTGCTCTTTTCAGGATTTTCTTATTTAAAGTCAGAATCACAGAGAGTGCCTCTTAAAACAGAGCACAAGCCACCAGATAGTGTCTCACTACCAAACAAAAGCTAAAACACAGCAGTGGTATATTTAAGAAAGTGAACACAGAAAATGTTAACAATTTTTGGGTTATATTTTGTTTTTAAATAACTCTATTAATAATAAAGCCTGTTTTATCAAGACAGCTGAAATTTGTGCTCGTTCTCTTTGGGATATTCATGGATCTAAACTATGTTTTGGTCAATACTAAAACACAGCAACATGGAGTGAATATCCAAGCCAGTAAATAACGTGCTTGATCAATACTTTGTGTCTGACTTTTTTCTCAGGTCCAGTTTGTACTTCTTCTGCTTTCTCCACCTTCAAGGATGGATGTATTTTGGGCCAGCAACAGGAGTTTGAGACCAGGAATTGGACTATACACTGCCAAATGGGTAGAGACTACAATCGATCTACATATATAAGGAGTTGTCCATGTAGTAGAGATGATTTTACATGGTAAGGAACTTGGAATAATGTCAAATCACTACAGTCACAGTAGTAATAGTAACTGCATGTATATAACCCCAACTTAAGTCTTTCTTAAAAGAATCACTGAAATTTGATGATTTTGATATTTTCCTTATCTTTTTTTTAACATAGGTTTCATTGCGATGAAATTTTTTTATGAAGTTGTAGCCAATGTTTTTCTATCCTGGCAGTTCTCTTGTGTTTAGCAACCAACATACATTTAACTGCCAATCTTGATGAGCTTTTGATCTGTAGTATTAGGCAACCAGGAATTAATGTGTTACCTCTAAGAATGAAATGCTTTTACCACTAGTACATCAATGCATATAATTTTTAACACAAGTCTTAAAATTGTTTGTTTCTTCTTCTTAAAATATCCACTGCAGAACAACAACAGTCCTTCCTGAATTAAAAGTTAATTTGTTTCTTTCATTGTATGTAGTGACTATGGTTTTCAAAGAAAGAATTTTGATGAAGAGTGTACACCTATCAGACCTAATGACCTCAATAATGAACTTATTCCAAAGGAATGCCCAGAGGGATCATTCTACAACAGAACCCGAGGGTAGGAATTTCTGTAGAGTTAAACTCATATTTATTCCAATATTCTAACCATGGTTTACTCTAAAAAAGTAATTTTAGTTGAAGACAATTCTTAATTAATTCTCATCTGTGCTCTATGATGTCTGCTGTGTAAAATCAAACAAAACTGTTTTTTGCATTTTATTTATTCTTTGCATCAGGCTAACAATTTGCCATGTTTCTTTCTCTAATCAGTGTGTTGTGTGAAGTCTGATCCTTTATATATATATATATATAAGTACCAATTTTTTTAAGGGATGTTCACCATATAACTCTCTCTACCTTCCATTGTGCAGGTTCTTTTAAAGTTGTTTCTTCTTTCTATTTTCATTCTTCTAGTTTTCGAAAGATAGAGGGCAATAAATGTGTAAATGGAACCGAGAAGGACTTTTTTCCAGTGCGAACACCCTGTCCTGTGCAAGGTAAAGGATGCACCACATGCATGTATTGTGTATATAACGGCTGAATGAATCACTTGATGAATTCTAGGTGGATATTTGGTCTAATAAAATAAAAAAGACGTGGTACATTTTGAGCTGGGTTGTATGTTAGAGACAGTTGTAATTGTTTTGTCAGGAGCACAATAAAAAGAGTTAAATTTTATGGTTTGATGCTCCTAATTGCTAAGCTGTAGAAATTGGGTCTGAATGATAAACTATTACAAGGTTACTATGAACTGAGAAAAGTCCTGTTTACCAATTCAAGTGTTGTGTAGGATGTGTGTCTCACATATCTAGAAAATAGCCTCTAGTAAATTTTCCCTGTAACTTGGTGGTAGAGCATCATATCTTGAATTCTGTGAAACAGCTATCAAAGAGACTGTGTAATATAACCATGCAAGGTTTTTTTCTCACACAAATAGGTTACTGGAAACATAATGTAAAATTTGTCAGTGAAAGGTGAGATTTAAAAAACTGATGGAGTTGTGCCATTGTTTTACAGAGCTGGAAAATTTTACATTAAGTAGTCCTAATGTGACAGATGATGGTATAGTCGCAGTGGAGACTGGAGGCACTGTGTTTTTCAACACAACTTTTGTCAAAGGAAATCAGGCAAATGTAAATTACAAGTGAGTGGTATTTAACATGAATGGAGGCAAAAAAAAATGCTGATTGGTTCCAAGTCATTGAACTGCATAAAAAGTGGATTTCTGAGGGTCAGTTACATTTGTTACATATTTGTATCAGAGCAGGAATCAGGTCATGAATTACTTCGAGCAATTTTCTTTGAGAGAAATTTTATATTCATCAGAAGAAGAAACCTGTCTTAGAATTTAGTGTTGAGCAGAAAACAAAAAAACACACTCTATGACCATGGAGAAGAAATGGCTTATATTATAATTATGGTCATGATAGGCTATGAAAGGGATAATCATGATATGCAAATGCAAAGGCTCATTGTGAAGTTCACAGGGTTTGCCAGGCAGGCTTTCCACAGTTACTTGGTTGCATTCAAGCATAAGGATATTCTTCCATCAGATCATCCCATAAGATAAAAGATCCCTGCCAATGCTTTCACTTTGTGCTTGAACTAATTGGTGTCTCTGTTATATAGGCTTTGGAGGTAGTGATTTTAAAATATTTCCTAGGTGGTACTTTGGAGATGAACATGGTGATAAAGGTGATGGAGTACAATTTGCCAGTCGGAGCCACTTGTATCATAAGTAAGAAAAATTGTCTCCTTAACCCTTTACATCATAACATCAGTTTGCCTGTGCTCCATACTGTTCTCTATACATTACCCATGATGCTTACAAGGAGAATTTGTCAAACCATCAAGAAGTTGAGTTGTGATCATATCGTTTATTCTCATAACCCTACATGTAATGTTTGATTCAGAGTTGATACAGTTAGGAGAAATTAGATGCTAATCACTCTTAGGGGTTAAAAGGTTGAATTATCCTTTAACCACTGAAACTCTTAAGAGAATTAAATAATTTATAAAGGCAGTGGGAAAGAAATATTATTTTTATGTAGTATATTTGCAAATGTCTTAAAATTAAAACTGAAAACTAGAAGATGATTACGAGCTGTTACAAGGTTGTGCTTCTTTTTTAGTACGGTTTTTTGGTGAAGTCTGCATACATCATTTTAGGCCATGTGACCTCTGATCTGAGTGGAATAAGGGAATGTGAGAATAAAATGCCTCATCCGATCACACAACAGGATGACTTGGCAGATTTTAAATTGTGCACCTTTCAATCAGAAGTTTGGCATGTAATAATTGTTAGACTCCTAACTCCTCAGACTTCCCGTATGGACTGGTAATTTAGATTTTATTTGAATTGTATTATATTTTTAACCTGTCATCATTTTTTCAGGGCTGGAAGGTACCATGTGGTAGTGGTAGCACACAATGAGCGGAGCACTTTGGTGGAGAAAATGGAAGTGTATGTTCAAGGTAACTTGATATCTGTGAGTTAAGGTTTCTTCCCACCTTTGTGGGTGTCCATGCAGATTACGATAAAAATATAATTTAAGTGACTTTTCTTTGAAGGAAGTGTCAAGAGCCAGTAAGGCATGAAATGACTGAAGCTTCTTCTATTGAATTTATTGGGTATAGCACAAGCAAAATGGCTGCACAGTCTCATTCACAAGGCATCATTCAAAAAAAGTGTGTCAAGCTTTTTCAATATTATGATTGGTTGTGTAGATATTGGCATCTAGAGTTGGAGTAGCTAAAAATATGCAAGTTGTGTTGTATAAAAGGATGCCACAGGACAAATATTTCAAATATCAAAATTTCCCAACACACTTTGGTTTGTCATTATTCCTAGGACGTTTCGGCTATCTGTCTATATACCCTATAAGTTTGCTCAAAGTAGTGGTATTCCTCCCAAAATCAAATGGGAGATTTAGCTCATAAAAGTCCGCAAACAACTCGTGCCACGCCAGGAGATTACCTCGCCCCATGAAACTGCAACCCAATAGGAAAATGGGACCTCCTGGCATCAATGATGATGGATCAAGATTTCCCAGTAAAAGTAGCCCATTGTGGACATGTTTTTTTTTTTTTTTTTTTTTTTTTTTTTTTTTTTTAATCTTGATTGCTCAGTGGAGCTTTGAGGAGGACGACACAATAATGAGCAAAGTTGTCAAAGGCAAAGGCAAAGGCAAAGGAAAAACCTTTGGCAAAAATTAAAAACTGCAAAGCTGAGGAGCAAGACAATAAATGGACATAAAGCTTTCAAAATTATGATTTGAGGTGATTTTTAGTGTTTTCGTATCAAGGCTGGTACTTGCATAAAAGGAAACTTTTTAACATCAAGTATGGCAAATTTTGGTTGGATGGCGACTTCTTTGTTCTAAATCTGGGCACCAGCGTTTTTCTGCCTCTGAAGGTGGGAAGTAACCTTAAAGTGTAAGTTCTCCATCCATGTGGAATTTACCTTTTGCTACCTTGCCAGATTCGAAGTGTGAAATAGCACTCATTTATCCAGCATATAAAACTCACAGACTCAGAAAGGTTATGCAAAGAATATTGATGGTCAATGGGCTAACCTGTGTAGGTGGTTCAATTCACCCAAAGTTACTTTTGTCAGTGCAATTTTTTTTAATTGATGAATTTTTATCTCTTGAAGATAAACTTGTGGATGATAGAGTATCAGTCAACTTCCATCCTAAAAATCCTGGCATGGATGAGGACGTCATATTTTCCTTAAACTTGAATTACTCAGTGGTAAGGATCATTTGCTGAATTTAGTATGGTTTCATGGGCCAGGAAAAGCAATGCAACTCAAATCAGTGAAAATATAACATTTGCAAATGTACCCTTGGACCCAGAGTTTGGACATGGTTTGTGAATTATTAATTTAGTAGCCATGTAGATTTCATCAAGTTCATTTGGATATTCTTACTTCCAACTGATAATTTTCAGGGAGACTTTGGAAAAGTTAAGTATAAATGGAAATATGATACTCAAGAAATTGACAGTTGGCAACAAGTTGTTACTCTTGGCTTTAATAAAGCTCAGAAGTAAGTAAGCAGGATAACGATTGATTCTCTTATCTCACTATTTTGAAATATATATTTTGATTGCATTGCATTGTTATCATTTTCAACTCCAAACCCAGCACATGATTAATGATACATCTGTTGGTTTTAAGGTATGATGTTAACATCACAGCAATGAATCTTGTGAGTTCTGTTACGAAGGTGGTTCATATTGAAGTCATAAACAAAGGTTTGTTTTGTTTTTAACTTTGGGGCTTTGTGCAGTTGTGTGTTTTTTATAATTCCTTTTGATAAGAATGTGACTATATATTTAAAAGTACTTAAATACATATTATTTAATGCAATTGGTCTATTCTTACAGTACATATCAGCAAGACAGTTTTTGCTCAAAATTGATAGTTCACAATATTTGAAGGTCTCTAAGTAATTATTTGCAGGAAGAAATTTTCCAAAGAGGTAAAGGACAATAGGTGACCCTGAAGTTTGGCAACAGCAATTTTCCTCTGTCTTAGCCATCTTTGTCTGTGTGCTTTGAAATTGTCTCAAGTAAAGATGTATAACAAGTAATGTATGCTTGAATGTGAAACATCAGCTTAAGTCAATCATCTTCTTTCTTAATTTCTCCCAACAGATGTTGTACCACAGAATGTTGCTGCAAGATTTCTTGGGCCTACAAAAATAAAAATTACTTGGAAACATGCTGGAAAGACTGGCAGTTATGTCATAAGACACAAAGTTTTTATGAGGTAAATAGTTTTTCCTTAAAATGATTTCATATTTAATGAAAGGAGATGGATTTGGCACTCAGCTCAGTTTGATGAAATCTGCATGCTTCTATTAGTTTTATTAGTTCTATTTTAAACCTCTGCGTGGATAATTGGCCATAATGCTCAGTAGCACCCTAAGATTGTTTATCATGATACTGGCAATGATGAAGATAATGATGACGACAATCAAATGATAATGATGTTGATAATGGCCATGATGATGATAATGATGATGTGCAATGATGAAGATAATGATGATGACAATCAAATGATAATGATGTTGATAATGGCCATGATGATGATGATGATGATGTGGATGGATGAATGTCAATGATTTTTGCTTGATTCTGTTTTAGTTCCTCAGGCAATACTGGCTTCAGAAATATTACATGTGCATCTTTTACAGCACTATCGTGTATAGTGGGCAATTTATTACCAGCTACCACTTATTACTTCAAAGTTTCATCAGTTACTGCAGATAAAGAATCTCAAATGTCAAACATTGCATTTGCCACAACTAACACAAGTGGTAAGTCACAATTTCCACCTTTTCTATACAAGTGATATCAAACTTAGGTAGATTTTTCATGATTATTTTCTGATTTACTGGGTGATCATAATCAAAATTGCAGAAAAACATGATGTTTATGACACAGCAGCATTTTTATTGATTTTGTGTAATTTTGATTTTTACTCAGCTCCTGGAGCACCAAGGGATTTGCGAGTTTACCCTGTAAATTCTTCAGCCATCCAAGTGTCATGGATACCTCCAGAATACCCTAATGGAAAAATCACAAGTTACACAGTAAGACACCAAAAAAAATTAGGACATTATTAGTAATGCAGCAAAATATTAATAAAATTTGCCTCTGCCGTTTACCTTCCTTTATCAACTTACCATCCTATAACATACCAACTGTGTTAATTTACATCATGAGAGTTACTAAGATTATCGTTTGCAAGGAGATAAGTTGCGGATGCAGGTACCTGCTACAATTACTTTGTATTTCTTGCAAGTAAGATAGTCTAAGAGTCACTCACTATCTCACTGTGACTTTGATTTTGTCACTTTTTTGGCCAGAACATTTTTTCATGGCTGGGACAGAGATCTTCACAGAGACTCTCCTTGTAATATAAAGAGAGTTGTCATTGCCACTGGCTGGGCATAGAGTAAAGGGCATCTTAAAAAGGAAAAAAATTTGTTTTGTTTTTTTGTTGAGGCTCAGCCAGCTTGTTCAATTGCAGTAATGAAATTTGGTTTGAAATTTGTCAGATAAATAAATACACTGAAATACCTAATTTTTTTCTATGAATTTTAGTGCAGTTGTTTTGGATTGATTACAGCACAATAATTACTGGTACTTTTGTTGAGGTGCTGAGTTTTAAAGTATTTTCCTTTTTAGATCAGATATTGGCCCTACACTAATACCAAAGTGCAGTCTATTGATAATGGTCTTAAGGAAACAAAACTGCTTACTGGCTTAGCACAGGACACTGTATATTTCTTTGAGGTAAGTTATACTTTGCAGTATGCATGGGTCATCATTGTTTGATCAGGAATGAATATCAGAATGAAATATTGCATTATTTAATAGTATGTAAAGCATTTATGCTAGGACTTCGCACCCCACTAAACACTTAACTTTTCTGCTTAATGCTTTGACCCTTAAAGAGTGACTATGGCATCTAGTTTTTTTCCTTTCAATATCACCCACTGAATCTTACATTAAGGTAACAAGAAAAAAGGAACTGATCACCAGCTTAAGAAGTGTTTTATTGTTAACTCTTTAACTCCTGTGGGTGACCAAGACAGAATTTCTCCATACTTTATCTGTACAATATCATGCAAACAAGTGATGAGAATAAAGAAAAATATAAATTATGGGATTATTAATGATCCAATACCAAATTCTCCAAACTAACATAATGAGAATCAATCTGAAGACAGTAAGGAGAATTAGTAATGAGGTCTTGGGAATTAATAATGGTAATTGAGCTGAGTGGAATGTAATTTGGGCTGAAATCATACGTGTGATTTCAAAATTGAACAAGTGCACAGCATGAGTTTGATTTGAAATCACAAGTATGATTTCAGACCAAAATTGCACGACACAAGGTTCAATTACCACTTTATTAAATCCATTTTGAAATCACCCAAATACAGGACTGAAATTAAATTCAGCCAGTCTGAAATTAAATTCATCCATTTTTGGAGGGGGGAAAGTAATAGTTTTAGAAACAAAAGTTGCTAAATTTGCCACATGATACTCTTTGTCTTTCATGTTCCTGCAATTTGATTGGCTACTTTAAACAAGCCTTGAAATCTGATTAATTGTTTTGTTTTTAATGTAGCCTCATTGGCTGGGAAAAAGATGCGATTTAAAGCAAAAAATGGTGCGATTTTTGAATAAATCGCATTAATTTGAGCCAATCAGATTACAGGGACCACAAGTGATTTCAAAATGGGGGTAATAAAAGGGTTAAACAAACTTTTGTTGTCAGCACCCTTAGAAATGTTTGGAGAACAGTTTGGAAAATATGCCTACTGATGTTAGGGTATAAAGGGTTAAGTAATTGCAAAAGTAGATGTTGATATGCCTGAATGAGTATTGCTGCAAATTTTTTCCATCTGTTTTTTTTCATGTAAATGTTTGATGTGCAAAAGGAGGAAACCAGGCATATCAGGAGAATAAATCAATCAATTATTCAAATCTGAATGTTACTTCCTTCCACCATTCATTGCAGGTTTACGCAAACAGTGGATCTGGTCGTAGCATAGCTGCAGGTCCAAAGCAAGCACTGACAAAACTGTCTAGTAAGTATTGAGAACTATCAACCTGGTAAAGAAATAAACATAATCTGTGGTGGGAGTTTTTGGAAGACATGGTAACCTAACTGGCACTGGACTTTGGGTCAAGAGGTTTAGGTTGGAGATCTGGATGGGTTATAAAGTCTTGTTCTTGGGCAAGATACCCTATTCTTACAATGTCTTTCCCCACCAAGGGGTGTAAATGAGTAATAGTGACCTGTTAGGAGAACCTGGCAAAGTGGTGGGGGTTAAACCTGCAATGAAGAAGCAAACCATCCAGGGGGGAATAGCGGTACTTGCCTTTAGTCTAAATTACTGACTCTTTCCTCTCTTGTTGGAGTAAACCCCTAGGATCCTGTGATCTAATCAACACTCAACATCATTCCCTTAGAACCAGTCCTTCCACCTCAGAACATTCAAATGATTTCTGACAATGGAACATGTGCATGGATGCGATGGAGCCCACCTAACATATCAGCAATTGATCAGAGGCCATTTCCAGCCAAGGTGAACAAACTAAAACCAATCATGGTTTGGTGATCATATTTGTATGTTACCCCTGCATTGAAGTTAGTTTTTTTTTTTCGTTGGACTTTTTGCAAGCCATCTCCATAATTTTCTGAAATTAAGGGTGGCTAATGAAGCAAGCTGTGTTGTGTACGAATTGCAGGGTTACAAAGTGCAGCGTCAAGACAAGCATCTCATTGATGTAGGATCAAGCTTTTCATTGATCTGCGGTCTAACTCCAGGACAAAAGTCAGAAATAACAATTTGGGCTTACTCAGAAGCTGGTGAAGGACCAAAGGCAACAGTTCACATAACCACGCAAGTTACAAGTAAGTTAGTGATTTGATTAATAAATAAATTAATGGAAATGGATAAGGATTCTATTTGTGAGAACAAGCATAAGAACAAGCTCTAGTTTAAAAGGAGTATTACATATGAACCAAGTAGTGGCCTGCCTCACTGCTAAGTTTTTGTCTGACAGAACCTGGTGCTCCTCGAAACTTGAAGGCTTCAGCCATCTCCTCTGCTGCAATAAAGTTAACATGGGAACCACCTTTACAGCATGGTAGAATCACTGGATATATAATTAATCAGGTATAAAATCATGATTTATACTATAGTGGCTTCCATTAACATAGTAACTGTAAGGGTTGGAGCCATACTTGTGCCTTTTATTTGATACTGCTGTCAGTTGCTGCAGTGGACACCTTAAAGCAGAAACTGCACCCTGAGCACATTTGAATGTGATAGAATTTTATATTTTTATTAAATATGGAAGTAACCACATACTCCCCATTTATTTTACCTCTTGAATTAAACAAACCAAGGTTAAAACAGTTACTACATGTTCATATTTGAAAGCAAAGATTTGCTGTTCTTGTATTGGTAACAGCTTTGCCTTGAGATGCAACAAAGTAGCTTTCATAGTCAATTGTTTAAAAAAGTTTAGTTGGTTCACTGAACTTATGTCATATTTTCAGCTGAGCCCTTTCCCAGATACTAAGCCTATTGAAGTTGGTCCAGGCGCAACCAATACTGTTGTTAAGGAACTGGAGGCATACGTTATTTACAAGTTTGTCATTTCTGCTAAAAACCAGCAAGGGTCAAGTGTGAAGAGCTCCCCAGCATCAGCAACAACTCATGAAAAAAGTAAGATACCTTTTGTGTTGCAACAAATGAGAGAATTCTGTTAGTTAATTTTTCATAATTTTTCTGTTGCATGTGACTCTTTTGTTCCTTGGAGAATGAAATTCAGCCATTAGTTCTCATGGCTGACAGTCTTGGTACTGATTGCTTTTCTTAAGGTCCTGGTATTGTGGAGTATGTGACGACAGAAACCATTCCACCTACCTCGGCAAGTATCAAAGTCACATGGTCCAAACCGTCCAAACCAAATGGAAAAATTACTTACTACAAGGTAGTCTTTTTTACATTTATATGGTTAGGTGGTTGTTTTGTCTGTCTATCAACTGTCAATTTATTATTCTGTTTAGCTAGTTGCTTATTTAGTCTGTTAGCCCTTTATCAGTCAGTGAATCAAGTCACTTGTCACTCAGTTTGTCTGTTATTTAGTCAATTTCAGATGGTTTAATTTTATTAATGTATCAGCCAGTTGGACCATCTTATTGTCAATTAGTCAATGTTTGTTAGTCAGCTATTTTTTTATGAGTCTGTCAGTTCAGCTGTCAGTCGATCAGTTGTTCAACCAATAGGTTCATAAGTCAGTCGTGGCAATCATCAAGAAGTCTGTCAGTTAATTATTTTGTTATTTTAGGTGGTTAGATTTATTGTTCTTAATCAATAAGGAATTGATGGCAGACCAAGCTAGCTTTGAAATTCAGTGGTGTCCATTGTGTTTGGTTTTCAGATTAGGTGGGGAAAAACTGTTGTGGAAAGCATTGAAAATACTCTAGGAGATCCAATCGAGCCTCTAGAAAAATTAGTGGAAGCCAGTCACACAGCATACACATTTAAACATCTATCCAACAATACATACTATTCCTTTGTTGTGATTGCTGGAAATGCAGCTGGAGAGGGTATCAAGCATATAAATCCACAGAGGCAACGGACAGATGCTGGTAGGCACAATGGACATTTCTTTTCCCTTTCTTGCTTTATTTTGCTTTCCTTTTCTACCCTTCTATTATACTTGGTTTTGGAGTTGATTTCAAAATAGCTGCTTTAATTGGCAGAATTTTTGGCATGTCTAAAGGCAATTTCTGAAGGATTGGATCATTTTTGTTGTCTCAAATGCAATTATTTTGAATTTTTTTAATACAGTTTTAAGTAGTGGAGATAATTATTAGATTTATGGTTTCTGAAGCATTTAATTGCTCTTTTGAAGTCCATCATAATTGTTTCTCCTCATTTTATAGCCATTTATGGCACAGAAAGACTGAAAATGATCATTGAAGGTGCAGTCATGACTGGTGATGAAGCCATAAAGATTTTTACTCCAAAGTTTTATTCAGAGGCCAGTCGGATTGCAAACATTGCAGAGTAAGTAATCTTCTTCTATAAGAGATTCAACAATTGAAACAAGTTGTTTCTCCGAACTTTTTATACAAATTTGCTCTGCATGAAAATTCAAACAAAGTGAAGTTTTTGTGTGCTTTCTGTCATAACTTGCATGTACCTCACTTTTGCCAATAGTCAGAATTCACCTGAACTTGACAAAACAGGGTAGTAACACATCAGATACAATGGCATTGTTGACCAAGAGTGAGGTCAAGATGGCTAGACATTGGCAGAGTTCTTTTTCTACATTTTTATGGGCCCAGATGAAGTCAAGGTACATAAAAAATGCAAAAAAAGCAAAAAAAAAAACAAAACAAAAAAAACAAAAGAAATAGAGGCCATCTCACTCACCCATGTATATTGATATTTCCCACTGCTGGGTGCTGCCAGCTATATGATTTGAGAACAGACTTGAACGGACTTGAACATGGCAAGTAGCAACTAATCAATCACAAGACTTGTTTTTGTTATGTTCTTTTCGTTTGATTTGAAAAACTGAGTTGCTTGCAACTTATTCTAAACATTTGGTAACCCAGAGCATATGTCTGAAGTGTGCTGAGTTAAGTTGGTTACTTGCTGGTCATGTGTGGTGATGTTCTTGACAATCTATTCATTTAATAAGCATTCCATAAGGCACATGAAAAGTGGAGGACTGTATTCCTTTTTGTACATTTTTTGCATGACACTTTGAAAATATTCTATTCTAGTGATCGCATCGCTGATGTTGTTGTCAAAGAAAGAGGAAGTGAAATTGCAGTTTACTTTGATCTCATTCCACGCTTTAACAAGTCCGGTGAGAAGTCATTTGAAAGGAGTGAATATTATGTCAAAACACATTTCAGTGTTTTAAGTAATGCCCAGTAATATTTTCAGATAATTCTATGAATTGTGGATTATAGATTTATTGGTCTGACAAAATGTGGTCTGCCAGGATTTTAATTAGCAATAACTATATTAGAAATGGAATTTTAATTAATCATCAAATTTTGCTTTTATAAATGTGGTCTGCCAGGATTATAATTAACAATAACTATATTAGAAAAAGAATTTTAATTGATCATCAATTTTTACTTTTATACTGTCGACCTTAGTCATGGCAATCCATCAAGATAACCAAAGAAAAATTTTTTTTTTTTTGCTTTGCATGTAGGTGTTCCATTAGAAACTGCCAAGGAATCTATTAATAAAGGATTCAAGATAGATGATTGGTTACTTGCCAGTGGTTCATTGAGGTATATTTCTGGTTAAATGTGTGGTGTTAGAGTAGATGCCTGATGTATGAATAACAAGCCCTGTCACTGTTTATCTTAAAATGGTGTTTTTTTTTTCTTAGTCTTGTGAGTAAAGTGGAAAAAAAAACACGACCAACAGGGGAGCCATCAGTTCGTGCCCGCAAAGGTGGCCAAGCTGAGGATGCTCAAAGCAAAGTATCTCTGGCTGTTTTGATTCCCCTTGTTATAATAGGTAAGAACAGCATTCTACTGTTAAGTTATTACCTTGGTTTTTGCCAAAGCAAGTGGGGCACAGCTGCTACAATCACTGACATGGTGAATTTAGTGATAAATCCACATTTTTTAAAACACACATACGTTCTAATTGTTTCTTATTGTGTCTGTTAAAACCTAGTTGATCACTTTGCTGTCCTGTTCAAGAAAACATAATCCACTCACAGGAATGAGAACAACAATGAGAACAATCTTTCTACATTTCCATGCTGATCAAAGCACCTATTTAAGTAGCTTTTATCAAAAAAGAACTCTGACTTTGTTGGGAAGTGTAAGGATATCAACAGTAGTTGCCTGATTGAGACTGAGCTAATAATTTTTGAGCTAATATTTCCCTTTGTGACTTACACTAACTGGTTTCACATGCAATCAGTTTTATTTCCCTTGTTTCCATTTACCAAAATATATAGATATTATTATCCTCTCTAAACTCACACCTTTCTTGTGACATATCTTTTATTAGTAAATGTCTTTTACTGAAGGCAATTGCTGTTCAATAAAAAATAGATCAAAGGATGAAAGATGAAAGGAAAAACCTACAATATTTTGTTGATATAGCATTATGTATGCTCTTGGTTTTGCTTTACAGGGTTACTTTTGGGAGCTGGTTTGCTGTTCTTCTTCGTGAAATACAAGAACCTCCAAAAGAATTTCAGCAAATTGCATGAGAAAGAGCATGATGAGGATGAAATGACAGTTTACCATGAGGACATGCAAGCAGGTAACATGACATGTTTGACTAGTTCAGACTCCTGTTGTAAGATATTAGCAATTACCAGCACCTTACAAATGCCTTGTCCACTACATAGCAAAGGAATCAAGCAGAAGAACCTGATTCTAAACAAGGACAGATCAAAACTGACCAATCACAAAGTTCTAAATTATGTCGCTTGAGTATAACAACCAATGATATCAGGAAAAAACTTGATAATCAGAATTCTCTGTATAGTATGCAGATGACTTCATTCATATCATGGAGACTGAAATCCACATTTTCTTTGATTTGTACCTTTTAACTCGACTTTTCATAAAGCTTTCGATATGCATGAGCAATTTTTTTTTATTTTTTAAACCTTTCTAAATATGGGTGAGGTTCAGTTTAAAAAAAAAAAGATTAATATTTGGGGTTTTTTTTTTTTTTTGGCAGACTCTCCAGATGTCATTTTCAGTGATCGTTCAAGAAAAGGAAAGAAGTTTTACAAGGATTCAGAGAAAGTTCCCCTTGGTGATCATGATGAGCTGTCCATGATTTAAGGCTTCAGTTCTTTACATTCTCTTCCTTTTCTTTTGTTTTGATGTGTTACAAATAGTTCATATTTTAAACTTGTTAGTTTTGTGTAATGTGTGTAGCAAGTAAATTCTTTGTGAAGCAGCTCAGGGGTTGTGTAAGCTTTCTGTACTTTTTTTTATCATTCTCTAATTGGGAGAAGCCTTTCTGAAGAAAACTTTATCTTACTTCATCACATGTCTTCATATGCTGATTATTAGAATCTGGAAAGGAAAAAAGGTGAATCAATCACCCTGAGAAACTTGTGATCTCATCCTAAAATTCTTTTTTCCACCCAAAAGCCAAGTCTTTTCACTTTTCTATTATCAGGAGAAGTTGAATTCTGATACTTTAATGTACATTTTTCATTTGTATGCTATGTTGTGATGAGGGCAAAATTTTGCTGTGTTACTAAGTAAACCAAACATGGTTATGATAAAGACATCCATTGTGGTGATTCATGCATTTATTTTGTTATACTAAACGGGGAAAAACCATTTTAAACTTTTCTGTCGATAAGGCAGAGCTTTTGTTTGATGTTGTAATCTTCTTGTTTCAACTTTGGAAGCATCTGTGGAAGTTTTGCTTTAATTCAGGCAATTTTTGTAGTTAATGCAGAATGCACTGGAAATGCAGTTTTTGCAACTGTTTCATGTCAGTAGCCTCTTTGAGTACTTGTGCAAGAAAAACAGCAAAACAGAAAGTAGTCTTTGTCATGAGGAAATGGTTAGTACAGGTGGGTACAAAGGATCTTTAACTGCTTATACATTGTTGCTTTAGTAAACCATTGTATCAGGTAAATAAATAGTTTTTTCAGTCTAGATCTTGCAGTTTGTTATATCTAGTCCAGTGAAAGGAGCAAGGTGGTATCTGATACCTTTTTTAATGGTAGAACTTTGTTAGTTGCAATTGTAGCTTAATTGTTTTTGTAGTTGTGTAAAGCTTATGAGCTTAGGTCTTTAAGGCACATGTTTTTCTCTGTAAGCAACTGTTATGAAAAAAATGCTGGAGTGTGTTTGTCCACTCATTTGCTGACAAGAAAAATGCTATGCTTAATTTTTATAGCAAGATGTAATTAGTGGTGTATTTACTAGATTTGGAACAGGGCATGTGGGATACATTTTGGGTTGCACTGTGTTTTTCTGGAAAAAAGAAAAATATTAAATAAACCATTAGGTGTTGTAACACGAAGACCCACCTAAGTGAGTAACTGTAGTTTTCATTGTGTGTTTGTTTGGCAAAGGTGCAATAAATAGGTTTTGCTATAAAGCTTTGAAATTGGTTAACTTTCAATAAAGTATGTTTGTACATGTAGTTCCTGTGAGTGTCTCATATTCAGATATTATTAATTTAATGAGATTAACACAATTACAAATCTGAGTTTCCCTAAAAGATTCAAACCTCAATCTAATAGTTCCTGCCCACCAAATCTGAAAACCCTTCTAGAGGACTCAGTTTTTCTTTGGTTGGGCTAAATGTTCATCCCCTTTTTAATTTTTTCTAGTGAATATGCAAAGCATGTAACAAGTAATGTGGGGGTTTGCATGACTTTAGGAGTCTGGGTAGAGTGTGCATCTTATTAAAGGTAGCAGACTAAATATTGAATCAAGTGGATTGTTTAGGGAGGGCTGTTGCTAGGACGATGGTTCAATTCTTTTCCTTTGAATCACAGGATCACTGGCTTTTAGTAAATCACTGTAATCTAATTGTACTCTTCCAAGTAGATCCACTAGTTCACCACAGTGTTACTTAGATTGTACATTATTTTTTTTGTACATTTGGTTTCCATGAAATAAAAACTGACCCAGGGAACACTGGGGAGGACATTGACACATGTGTGCTCTGTGTGAAATTAACTAAAAACATGATCCTTTCCTGCAATTTCAGAATTCTTTTAATCAGTCATTTCTAAATGTTAAATAATCAAAGCCTCAAAATGCAATAGTAAGTACTTTACATGGCAAGTAGGAGTATCATAGAAAACATCTAGATTTAGAGTGGAAGCTAAAATATGCCACTATACACACAAAGTTTTTTGAAGTAGAAACAAGGAAACATATCTTTCATCTGCAGACAACTATTCTGCCCTGAGAGTTCTATCTAAAGATAAAGGAGTTTAAGAGGCCTGCATTTGTTTAAAGTTAAAGCACTAGAAGTTTAATAGCTTGGGTGAGCTGTGTCAGCATATTTCATATTTTTTCACTTATGATACAAGCCTGTTTTTGAATGTAAAATCTTCTTTGTTTTGCTTACTCTCAATAAGTTTCTTGTTGTTGCTTCATGATAAAGTACAAATTTAAAACATTTAGATGACACAATACTGATAAATGAGCATAACAGTTTCCAAAGGCAATCCAGAAAATTGAAAAATAGGGGGTTGAAATATCTTGTTGAGGGCACAACCTTATTCCATACCAACAACACATAAACATCTCAAGTTATAAGACCAAAACTTGCAAACTAAAAAAAATAAGCAGGGTATTTAAGCACCTTTGGTAACACTCTAAATCTGCACATGGTTGTTACAACAGCAAGAAACATCAAATGTCAGCCATGCCATATGACATATATGAAATTATTCAAGTGTAGGCTTCATGCAAGATTTCTTCTTAGCAAATGTTTTTGTAAGTCCTGAATTTATCTGAGTGGATTTTGACAATAGTTGCATGAGATTATCCCTTGGTAAATGAAAACATTTACGAACTACTTGCAAATCCTTGGTATTTCCTAACAGGCAATATGGTGGAATTTGACATTTACAGCACATTTAACCCATTAACTCCCAAGATCTGCTCAGTAATTCTTCTAACTGTCTGCCATTCAGTTCTTGTGAGGTTAGTTTGGAGAATTTGGTATTGGATCAACTTATAATCCCTAATTGATATTTTTCTTTATTCTCATCACTTGTCTGCTTGATATTGTACTGATACTGTAAGGAGAAATTCTGTCTTGGTCACTCACGGGAGTAAAAGGGTTAAGTAACATGGCCTGGCTACAAAGGCAGAGGGAGATAAAAGAAATAGAGGTTCTGTCATCCTCAACTTCACATCTTCCATGAACTTATTGTGAAATAACTGTTTTTGTAACACTAACAAAACAGATAACTTCAAAAAGCACATGCTTATAAATATTGTTAAATGATGTGAATCTGTCAGTATATCCTTGCACAATAACAGCAACTAAGTTTGAAAACTGTTTACTTAACTGTAAAGTGAGCTGGTGTATCAAGTAAACTTAATTACCGTCTTGACTGCAAGCAGAGAAGATTGATGTTTGTCAGAATATCTGAATTTTGTCAGACCTCAATCTTCCTTAATTGAAAAAGTGAGGCTGATACTTCATTAACTCACCTCCCACTAAGGGAAATTCAATACAATTTTCTTGGAAGAAATTGTAATAAGTTCAAACTCCAAATGACAGATCTCTGAAATTTTCAGCAGCAGTTAGTTCACCGAATCAACTTCAAGTTGAGAATCATTCATTTCCTTATATGACGTCTTACTGATTTCTTTCTAATGCCCTCTCCTGACTGTTCCTATGCTAGGAAAAGTTGATTCAAAGTTAATTATCAGCTACAGGCTTTTAGCCTGAATCATGTACTCCATGCCTGCAATAAGCTGATGCATGCTTTACAACTCTATCTTAAAATATACAAGTGTTTCTTACTGTATTTAAGCTATTCAGGATAATCTGCATAATTTGTAGTGTCCATGACAAAGAAGTCCTCTAAACGCCACTGAAGAGTCTCAAATGTTGGCCTTGACATGGGATCTGCTTTCCAGCAATCCATCATTATTGTGTACAGACTTGGTGGACAGTTTGATGGGCAAGGCATGCGGTAGCCTCTTTCAACCTGAGCTAACACCTCTGCATTACCCATCCCTGGATAGGGGACACGTCCATAGGTGACCAGCTCTGTTAACAGAATTCCAAAAGCCCATACATCAGATTTGATGGTAAATTTATTGAACAAAGCTGCCTCTGGAGCTGTCCATTTGATGGGAAATTTGGCTCCAGCCCTTGCATTGTATTCACCCTCATCAATAATTCTTGAAAGACCAAAGTCACAAATCTTAACTACATTCTTTTTTCCTACTAGAATATTTCTAGCTGCTAAGTCACGATGTATGTAATTGTTTATTTCTAAATAAGCCATTCCAGCAGCAATTTGTGCAGCCATGTAAATCAACTCTGGAAGTTGAAGCTCTCGTCCAGCAGAACTTTTCAAGATATCCAAGAGGCTTCCATTCTCCATTAACTCAGTTACTATATAAATTGGTTCTTCCTGCGTGCACACTGCATAAAGTTGTACCAGGTTATCATGGCGAAGTCTTTTCATAATTTGCGCCTCTGAAAGGAATGCTTTTGGTGACATTGTTGCGGGACGTAATGTTTTCACGGCAACAGGAGTGGTGTTATTCCACAGTCCCATCCATACTTCTCCAAACTGCCCTTGGCCTAGTTTATTAACCAATCGAATTGATTCACGTGGAATTTCCCATTTGTCTTTTGTATTGTAAGCAAGGTCCTTAGGGGCAGGAGCCTGTAATGTGGGACAAGGTTTATCAAGTTTGATGACCAGTCCATCAGAATTTTCTTGGTAATGCTCGACAAGCTCACTAAGTGTTGGAAACTTAGCTCTGTGAGCAATATAGTAACCTCCACTATCCATGGATCGAATGCGGTAGTGTTTCACAATTTCCCCATCTCTCAGTGAAAGAGAGAAATCTCCTGGTTTACTTTCACTTTCTCGAATCAAAAATGATCCACTATCTCCATGCATTAGGAGCATTTTTTCTGCATCCACTCTTTTAATTGGGCCAAAAAACCAGCTAAAATAAGAAAATTACAAGTTAGATATAAACTAAGTACAATTAAAAATGTGTTTTAAATGGAAAAAATTGTTAGCTTTTCTGAACATGCAAAATGAACTTCATTCAATGATCTTGTACTTTTAGTTCATTCCAGAATAAATCTAATATACATTTGTCATTTAACACTGGTATCAAATCATCCTTCTGCTTGCATGGAACAGTGACCTTTTGTTTTAGACAAAGGTCAAAGTCCTGTCTTAGCAAAAAGAGTGCCAATAATTCAAAATAAAAAAATTCTTTCTTATTCAAAATCATTAAAAAAAAAAAAAAATGTCTCTGCCTGGAATTATTTAAGGTATCACCAGCCCTTTATTTCCAAAAAGGTTAATCAAAGATCCAACCTTTGCAGTCAAGCAGATAATTTTACAAGAATAGCAAACAAAATTATAGGGATAAAATCTACAGCTGTCAAGAGGTTTATTAACCTTCCACTAACATAACCAGCCATTCATAAAGCATTTATAGATCCATGTACATCTGTCTACGAGCAAGAGGCTTGGTGTGTGTCCATAATCTTGTTTACCCAAAACTATGTGTATTGTAAAGTAAATAAACCTTATCACAACCAATCATTACAAAATTGAATTTATGCACAATATTGGGTAATTGGAGACCATTGAATTCTGGCAATGGAGTGAGAGGTAAATAATGAACGACCGCATTGTTATTTTTGAGACTTAGTAACGGAAACTGTGGTCCGCGCTGGTTAGAATTCATCATTCCTTTTTCTAGCTTATAAAGGTTTTACCAGTGTAATTGAATTAGCATATTTTCCGAGTCACGCAAAATTGGATGATGGGGTTTTAATTTCTTTTTTTTTTTTTCACGAGATGTATCGTATCTCTCTATCCAAGGCATACATTTCTTTTAGGTATTAAAAAGAAAACAAATACCAATGAACTTGTTCAGGAGTGGTCGGTTGATGTACGTTTCGATGAAATTACCCTCTGTGTTCCTTTTCGAAGTTTTAAGACAATGGTGCCGTCAGCAAATCAGTGCTAGTTTCGTCTGACTCTATTTGGCAGACTAAGTCCTTCCTAATACTCATAAATTGAGTTTTAAAGATTTAAGTTGACACAACGGCTTAGAAATAACAAATCTGTCTGTCATTCAAGTAAAGAAAGCGCTGTCCAACGCGCAAATTCTTATCGAGTTTCCGAAGAAATTGATCCTTCCGAAAGTATCTTAGCAAACGAATTTTTTGAATAAATTGTTGCGTGGAAAAAGAAAGTCTACAATTAGTTTTTTCTTAAGAAGAAAAATGTCAGATCTTTTGTTGTCCGAATTGGAACCATAAATTAAATAATTGCAGACCGCTATGTGATTGAGAGGAGTTTGTAAATGTGCATTTCCGCAGCTGTAAATTAACGTGCACTTACTCTTCGCTTTTCAGAGAAGCCGCTGGAGCAACATAGTTGCTAGGAATATATCCAACAGCATCTGTGACCAGAGAACGTGCCTGCCACCAATCCGCTCCGTTGATAGCATCATTGCCATTAATCACTTCGAGTTTCTCTCCTTTCCTGAAGCTAAGGTCTTCTGATGTGCGTGCTTCATAGTCGTACAGCGCCACATAAACGAGTTTCGGTTCGACCTGCTGCTGAGGGATTTCAGGCAGGTCAGGTAGAGCTGGTAAAGTTTGATTATTCCCTGTTTCCCTTTTCATCAGCGTTCACATTATCAAAGCTCTGAGCTTTTTTCGAGGAAGTCTTAAAGTTCCCGTTTGCTTCTTGTCTTTTTCGTTTGCTGCAAACACAGCCCATGCCATCGACTAACTATTTTGCGAATCTTTCTTATTAGAACTTCACTTTAAAGCAAATGTTATGAATTCAACAAAGCCTCAAGTGCCCCTCGTGTAAAGCAATATAAATTCAGAGTTTCCTTTCTTTTTCTGCGCCGAACTCAGTCGATTGAAGATCAACATTACATAGGAAACTTCTCCGAGCGAGGCGGCTCCCATTACGTCATTGCCGATAATTTTCCGAATAAAAGTCGTTACCGCCGGAGGCAACGATTACGCCCGATTAATTCTCTCATCCAGACTCTCTCGGCCGTTTCATCACCATTTTCTCAAACATGGCGGAAAGAGGTGGCTCTTCCTTTTCAAATTCAAGTTTGTCTGGGTCTTCAAGTCGAATCGATAGTGTTCAAGTTGAAGGACTGGTACGTGTCGACAAGAAAATTGTTTCTATGGATTTATCACAGACTAATCATCTTGATATGAAGGGGAAATTCATAAACTTTTGACACACGTGATCGGGCAATTCTGCTTTTCTATTAAGAAATAATTTAAGTCTCAGCGCATTGTTTTCCTCGTCTTCGTTGATTGTCAAGACATTGTCAACAGATCGCTCTTTTTCTCTCTCTTCTAAAGGGAATTCTCTTTGAAGACGTATTTAAGAACAGTCAAATGTTTGACTGCTGTCAACAATAATTGGTAACAAGAATATATTGATTGGCAAAAGTGAAGAAAAACAGGTGTTCTTGTCATCTCTACCTGATGTTTAATTAACGTTCGGCACCATTTCTAAGAACTACCATTGGTATACTGACTCCTCTAAAGAGATATGAATGACTTCATTTTCTATCACTGTTTACTAATATACTTATTTACTTTGTAGTGTGACCATTGCATGGAACCTGTCTTTACCAATGGTTCAAAACTGAACATTTACAACTGCTTACTGTTATTTGAGTCTTACTTACGGACATAATCACAAAACTGACCAATCAGCTTTCATGAAGTGGACATGTAATTATTTTATTTGAGTGGCCGACAACTGGGCCCTCAACTCTGAAGACTTTCAGTTCAGAACTAACCAAACATGTAGAGTTTTCATTGAAAGGTTAATGTTACCAGGTAAAAACCTATTGGTATCATATTAATACACATGTAGACTTGAATGTTTCTGAAATAACTTCCTTAAACTTTGAGAGTTAAAGTAATATTTCCTGTCAAAGTATCTTGCTATTAACTTGGTATGAATTCTTTCAGGTTGTGTTGAAAATTATCAAACACTGCCAAGATGAAAGATCAGCTGGCGAGGTTGTTCAAGGAGTTTTACTTGGATTGATTCAGAATAACAAACTTGAGATCACAAACTGCTTCCCTTTCCCCTCTTCGAGAGCTGGTGATGATGATGATGAGGATGATGGTGAGAATCAGCTGACAAGTTTCTTGTTAAATGTTGTTGTGAAACTGACTTGATGATAACCCTGGATTGTACTGGTTTTGCTGTTCTTTAGTTGGGATTTGTCCTGGCACATCACACCACCTCTCACCCTATCAAAAGTTTAAAATGAAATCAATCAAGATGTGGTCTCCTGTACATTTCTGTGCCTATGTTTTGGTTTACTTCACTCTGTAATTTATTGTGAGAACTTGTGCTAACCTCTGAACCAATATACCAGATACAAAACTGAGACCAGTTGTAAGTTGTTAATTCATATGTTCTAGCACTGAAGGGAATTTTGTTTTGAATTTGAGTTTTGATCAACTTTTAATATCTTCCTTTGATTTTATTTGCCTTGCTATTATTTTCAGTGATAAATTTGATGTTGCACTGTACTTTTTGGCACTCCTTCAAAATGTGTTTTTCACTGTTATAGATACTTTAGTTTAGTACTGGACATTTACTGACATAGTGAATGACACAGGCTTGCTCTGTAGTCAAACCTAGGATCTAACTCTTTACTTCTTTCTCTCTTGATAGTAAACTACCAAATGGAGATGATGCGTCGGCTACGGGCTGTAAATGTGGACCATTTGCATGTTGGATGGTATCAATCAACATACCTTGGCTCATTTATCAATAGAAATTTACTTGACTCTCAGTTCAGTTATCAGAGTTCAATTGAAGAATCTGTTGTACTTATCTATGGTAAGATCAGACTGATCTGTTTTTTTTCCCTTATTAAAATGTTACAGCCACAACAATAAATTTCGTAGTGAGAGTAGTGGTTAGAGAGGAATTGTTTGTATCTCTTGATTAAGATGTTAACTAAGTAGGAGTTACAGGTTGTATTATTTTACAAGAAATGCTGATTAACAATGCTTAACTTTTGTTATTAATGCCACTGTGTTCATCGTTAGATCCACTTAAGACTTCACAAGGAATGTTGTCTCTCAAAGTATTCCGTTTGTCTGACAAAATGATGTCAATGTATAAAGATGAAGAATTTAGTGCTGAAAAGTAAGAGAATTTTCACTGAAATTTAAGTGGGGTATATATGGTTGTTAATTTACTTTTAACCTTTTGACCCCTGAGAGTGAGTAGCTTCTAACAGTCTCAATATGAGCAGAAATTCTGAGAATCGATGTTTTGTAAGGTTCATAGATAATTAGGTTACTGTAAAGGGTTTATTAAGCTGAGGTTTTTAGAGTTAGCCTTTTTTTGTTTTGCTCTGATGAAGGGCTAACATTTGTAAGGTCAGCTTTAGAAACTCTCTACAGCGGCTAATGTACAATTTATCAACTCAGTTATAAAACCAAAGTATCCCATAGTACCCCTCCACCAATGCTGCACCACAGTTTCTTTACAAACTCTTCCCTTTTGTTGTTTGTGAGGTTCAAAGTTTACCTGGATTAGTATGAGTTGCCCTGAACTCAGTTGATGACAGATGATGGTCTTAAAACAACTCGAACTTCTTAATGCCCAAATATTGCCTAGGGGACCAGAATTATAGGATTGATTTTTCCAGGTGGATTCAAGTCACACTGATTCCAATTTCTTTTTAGGCTTGCAAAGAGTGGTCTTAGTTTTGAAGCCATGTTTGAAGAGATTCCTCTTGTGATAAGGAATTCTTCCCTCATCAATTCTCTGTTGTGTGAAGTCGAGGTATTATCACCTCACACGCAAACAGACAATTTTCTGAGCCTCTCTACAGGGTATGGTAGTTTTGAATTTATTTTTAGTTGATATTAATTGGTCTAAAAACAAAAATGAAAACAAAATGTAACCATGAATAGTGGCAGCCCCACCAGGTTACCTAATTAATTTTTTTTACTTTTTCTTTATGTTGATGAAAGGGGTGGATAAGTAAAACAATATCTTTATGCACCCCCACCCACCCCTCCCCATCTTTCTCCTTAATCTGGCCCTTTTCCAGCTTTCCTTATCAGGTTTCTGGTTTACATTAATTTTCTAGTTTCATGTTGCTGGGTGAAGTAGTCTTCACCAATGGCACTCTTTCAATAGATTACAAGAAATACTTCCTTCAGGGTATGCCAATGGTGTGTTCCATTTTTTCTTGAAATAGTTCCTATTTAGAAAAGAATGTTCGGCTGCTCATGGCAACTGTAGACGAACTTTGTCAAGATGCCAATAAATTCAACAATCATCTGCGAAATGTAGCAAGGCAACAACAACAGAAAGAAGCTTACATTCAGAGAAGGGTAATTTGCTTATGTTGTGTTGTAAACAGATGAGAGTAAAACATTTCCCTCTTCCAGAGGCCCTCTGGTTTTTTTGAGGCAGTTGTTTGGTCATATGTTACTGAAGTGTCCTACTTAAACACACTACAACCAGGGATGCAAGGGGCCTGAGCCCTGTAAAAGCTGCAGCTCTTTTCTTAGGCTCAATATTCTGAAACAGCTTAAAGTGCGTAATAAATTGCAACAGTGAACAATTCAAGTGAATCAGTGTCAAAAAAAGGGTTTCCTTTTATGTCAAGATGTGCATGATGACAACTTTCTTTGTCCTTTTCAGCAAGGGGAAAATGTTCAGAGGAATTCTCGGGGAGACCCTCCCTTACCAGAGGAAGATTTGTCAAAGATATTTAAACCACTGCAGTCACCATCTCGACTTGATTACCTTCTGTTATCTCAACAAGTTAACACATACAGTAAACAAGTGAATCAGTTTGCCACTCACAGCTTTGGTAAGCTGTTTCTTGCACAAGCTCTGCAGGATAATGAAAAATAGATCTTGTATGGACTGAACTGGAAAATAAAAACCTACTTGTACCTCCATTACCTATAATTTTTGTCTGTCAAGGGATAAACTTACAAGTAAAAAAGTAATTAAGTCATAATCTTCAGTTAATGAGGGTAAACACATAGTTACAGACTTGGAAACTTATGGCCTTTAAAATAATTTAAGGCTATGATTATGATATAATACAGATTAATGGTACTAAATATGATCGGTTCCTATATAGGACAAATGTCTTCTTTAATTTGATGAAATAATATTTAAAAACTACATGTATGCTGAAGTTTGATCTCACAAACACAATGTTTTCTTAAAAAAAAAAATAAACAAAATACTGGGTTAACAAACATCTTTCGGGCTTCCACATGCTCTTAGTAGTTCTTTCTGATAAAAGTTGGCCATGAAAAAGATCCAGACCAGTTTTCCATCCCCCTCATGTCTTTCCATCCTGTGACAAAAGAGCACAGTTAACTCTCGCTCAGCAGACACCTCACTAATGTGGATACCCCACTATTGTGGACAAGAGCTCCCTGGCAAAATGCATAAAGAAATAGTAAAAACAAAAGAGCACAGTTAACTCTCGCTCAGCAGACACCTCACTAATGTGGATACCCCACTATTGTGGACAAGAGCTCCCTGGCAAAATGCATAAAGAAATGGTAAAAACAAATTCCCATTATTGCAGAATCTGCTGAAAGCTTCATGCCTCTCCAGTACGACATTTCACTTGTTTTTCTCCTGCCATGGTGGACACTTAAGTACTTCATCCAACATTACAACAAAGAAAAATAAGAAACCATTCTTCAATTAGGTGTGAACATGAGTATTTCCTGCTTGTGGCCAAATCTTTTCACAGCCTTATATTTGTTTAGTCACACATTATTTCATGTGTTTAGAGTGTCAGCTATTACAAACTCTGGCCATTGTGGACACTAAATCTCCCTCCCCAGGGTGTCCTTGAATAATAAGAGGCTGCTGTACTCATTACAGGAAATTGACACTTGTTTTAATCAGTGACTTGCAGTTGCAAATACCAGTACTTGTGTTGTATCTTGAGCTTAAAATTACTTTGAAAATTAAACAATGTAACAATTTGACACTGTCTGATAGATTATATATTCTCTGAATCACTTTAACAAAAGAAATGCTTTACAACTACTAACACTTGTATTTGTCAGTGTACCTTAGTCATGATACTGACTGCCATATACACTGTTTCTGTGTAAATATTCATACATGAGTACTAATATAACTGGCTATAAACATGCTGTAGTGTTTTGGTGTATGCCTCATGTTCATCTGGTGTCATTTGTTTTAACATTTCCTCAGTAACATCATGCACTGGCACCATTTTGTCTCCTATTTTAATTTCATGTGCTTCTTCATCCTCCTGATCACTTTCTGAGTGAATCTCCATGGATTCTGTTACTTCACTTTCTTTTGTGGCAGGCCCTGGAGTTGGTGTCTCAAAGTCTGATTCATCACTTCCAGAGTCACTATCATCATCTCCCCCCTCACCAAGGGCTTCATTGATGTCTAGGCGTGGTTTCTTGTTCACTGACTCATGCACTAATAATTCAGCAAGGATTTCATCATCTTTACCAGAACCAATCCGTTTTTTGTTCTGTAATTCACCAGGATGGGTTTGTCCACTAGCAACTGTCTCGTTCTTAGCACCTGAAGCTGGTAATACTGTGCTCTGTGTAATCCATATTGGTGCCTCTTTAGTCCGTGGTTTAACATTTCCTAAATCTTCATCACCCTTCTCTCCCATGATGTCTATCTTGATACCTGGTCCACTAACATCACTACCTCCTGCTGCATCATTTGCCCAAGATGGTTTACTCCCACGGTGACCTGATGGGCGAGACACATGGCTCCCACCAGTAAACTGGGCAGCCTGTGGTTCTGGCTCTAGAATGGCTGGCGCCAGATTGATGTGTTCGCATTCCCTCAGCAGTTGAAAAACTGGCTCCATTTGTTCATTAAAGCGAGCCAAATTGGTTCGTGATGTATTACTTTGTTTAATCATGGCAGAATCTTCTTCCACAAGTCCCTCGCAGAGAGTGCACTTTAATTGACCTGTCTCTAAATCGAACAAGCGATCAACCTCTAGATCAGAATACTTTTTCGAGCACTGTGTGCATAGAAATGACGGACGATTTTTGGCTTGCTTTTCTTCGCTTTCAATCTTCTTCCTCACGTGGTCAAGCTTGTATTTAACAACATTTACAAACACCTTGTAGTTAATAAAGTAGTAGTTGAAACTAATGAGAGCCCCTGTTTCTGGATTCTTTTCCTTGTGAACTCTTTGCTTTATGAGTTTTTCATTCTTTAAACGTACCAAACTTTGGCGAAGCTGCTTCTTGTCAAAGCTAAGCAGTCGGATCAAATCGTCTTCATGTAAACATGGATATTGCGAGTTAGTTAATACATTGATAATAGCCACGTGTTCACTCTCGTAGAACCCTCGCACGACCTTTTTACAGAGCCGTTTGAGTTCTGGAGGAACCTCAGTCAGTAATTCTTGCTCGTCAATAGTTGATCCATTCATATTTTCTAAAATACTTTCCCTTGCCCTTTGCTCTTCCGAGGGAACTTGGTAGCCAGGCCTTATAGGAGATTTTTTTTTTTTTTTTTTTTTTTTTAGTTCTCAGACCTCCTTTATATCCTTTAGCAGACCAGGTGGTGAAACCATTCATATAACCATATGGTAATTTGTTAGAAAAAAACATATGTATTGTCTTTTGTTTGTTTGCACTTCTTTTTCACTTGGTAATCTTTTCGGGATCCTACTGTTATCTTGCCAAAATCCTGCCAGGGTCTGATGTCCCCCTATACCCCCACCCGGATACCATCGGTCTCTTTTTGAGATCCATCCGATATCTACACAAGATCTCTGCATACGAAAAACATATTCGTCTGATGAAGGGCTAACACTCGAAACGTCAGCTTTAAAACTCTTTACGGTGGCCAATTTACGTTTTTAACTCAGTTTATAATACTAAATTACCCTGTTATACTCTCTCACCGACGCAGCACCTCAGTTTCTTTAAAAACTTACCCCTCCCCCCCCCTCCCCTTTATTCATCTACGAAAGGAAGGTTTATTATGTTCCATTGACGGCTTTCTTGTAATGATTATGTCCGCCCATTTCTATGTACCACCTGTTACTTTCTTTTGCCACCAGCAAGTATCAACTCCGCTGGTTATTCTTTATTTGTCCGTCGTCGCCTACACCAATTACCTCATTGTTAAGCACGAGTTAGGTGATATGATCTCGCCAGACCCTTGAAAGTGATTTTCAATATTTGCTATTTAACTCTTAATTGAATTTATTACTTGAGGTAATTTATCTGAGTCAATTTACCAGTTGTAATACTTTCAAGGCAAGGACAGAAAGTCGTATCTAGGTGAGTTTCCTCTGATTTATCGTTTATAATCGCTTCATCTAGCAAAGTCGAGAGTTATCATATATTCCTGGTGTTCGCATTTTTGATTTGCCGGTCTTTAGACAATCACGCGGCAGTAGATCTCGTCCTGCTATGAAGCTTCCTGTTTTCAAGTATCTTTCAGTCGTTGCCCTGTTTGAAACTTTTTTTTTTAAGTTTTCGCTTTCATTACTGATATGCGACTTGGATGATTTTGCTTGCACCTGTTTATTTAATTGAAATAGTTTCATTTTTTTTATTTTAAACATCATTTGTCCGGGTTTTGAATTTGATATTGATTACGTTTAAGCTAAATAGAGACAGTAAAAATTCTGCCATAATTTTCTTCATCACTTCTCAATCAAAGATCTCTTGTTTCTATTTTTCAATGAAAATGCTTTATTTCATACGACATTAGCTTTATGTGTTTAATTAGACACTAAAAGATCAATTTCGGTCACGGAGGTAAATTTTAGTGCTTTGAGACCTTTTAACTCATCAGTGGTCATAAATGTTTTTACTTTTAAAGAAACGATACACTCGTTTTAGTCAGCCGATACGAAAATCTATGAAAAATTTTTGCCACTCCAGCTGCTTATGTTATCTTTCAATAGTCATGACCCGTTTAGGACCACCAGTTGGTTTCTGATTGACGTTTTCTGTTGCAAAAACTTACATTTTCGGAAGAAAATCAAATCGATCCAATTTGAATTCTTGATTATGTCCTTATGCTATTTAAAAGCTAATTATATTCTTCATTTCGTCAAGAAAGCCTGAATCTTAGGTCCATTTCAGATGTTATGATTCTCCTAGGGCTTCGTAACTTCTGCCAAACGAACGCAATTTGAGTTCAAATTGGGTCTAAAGAGCTGCAAAATAGAAACATAAAGAAAGATGTTTAAAAACATCTTGCATAAGCTTTGAAAGCAGGAAAATCCCCGTCCCCCTACCAAGTTTTATTTAAGCGATCAGCCCCTCCATCAATTAAATTATTATTATTATTATGAGCCAAGCCATAGAGATTTTGTACTTAGTTCATATGAAACAATCGTCCTGCGTACCGTTAGGATCAGCAACATCTTAAGCCTTTGTTTTGGAGATGAGTGAGAAATATGATATAAGCATGTTTAAATGTTTGTCTTTGTTTTCTCCACAGCGTAAGACGTTTTGTTGATATTAGAATACTGATGAGGGTCACGTAAGAAATCTACTTCACCATGAGCTGTACGCGGGTTGTTTTTGTTTCCTTCGTTTATCTGGCGGTCCTTCTTGGGCCGGTTGAGTCTGGTGGAAAATTTATGCTGAAAAAGAACAACGATGGAACATATCTGCTTGTACCAGCGCCTGCCAACGCCAGTACAGAATCGACTGTAGATCTTAACAACCTTCCTCCCATTGCAGTGGCGAGTAGTACCCCTATGGAGGCCCCTGGAGTAAATTCTCAGTCGCCTCCTGTACCCGGGCGGCAAAACAGCCCGGCCACACCGGTGCCTGCAGGAGTTAAGGTTGGTCTGTTTCCGTATCATGTCCTGTGTTTTGGTCAGATGGATGCCCAATAAAAATCCATGTTTCCAGCGGTTTATTACCGAAAATACTTGCTTCTAACCTGCTTAGGTAGTTCGTTACTCATGGCAACTTATTCTGGCAGTTTCTTTAACAAATGGACGTGCAGGACAAAAAAGCATATAGAGACAAAGTAGTCATTTTAGACAAAATCTGACCAACTTCTCCCATACAAGATTTATTTCGGCAAGCAACACTAACATACTTCATATGAGATTGTAACACTTTTGCTGATAGTTTCTGTATTTTGTTAGCCACCAGCACAACCAGCTCCCTCGCCACCTTCCCCTGTTGGATGTATCAGTGGCTCTCAGTGTAAAGTGAAGGTCTCACAGGTTGGTAGTGAACATCTTTATTGTTGTCCTAGATCTGTATTTTATTTAGCGGCTTTTAATCAATACCGAATGGACGGCGCTTACTGTTACTCCTCCTGTTTTGTATTCTGTTTTTAGAATATGATGACTCTTGCTCTGAAGGGAAGAGACGGGGCGAGTGGAAAACCTGGTTCGAAGGTTTGCATTTTTAAGAGCTATAAAAGGCTGAATTGCTCATAGCTTGTTGATAGTGTGGTCCCAAAAGGGTGCACTTTTTGTCTCTTCCTCTCCCAGACTACTACGAGACCGAATGAAACCTTCAGTTTTCAACCATTCGCTGTTTTGATAATTAATAGATTTAGACAGGCCTTGAATTTCCCTAAGGTTTACCTCCATTTAGTTAAATTTTACTGGCCTTCACTATTCGAAATAACCCGGCCAGGGAATGGAATGGTTCACTTAGAATGAATCCAGGAAAAATCGTTAATACATGAGCGATGTATCGCACGCAGAGATTCACACAGACGGAACATACCGGCCAAGTTTCTCTGCCCGTAAGGATTACACTTCTTTAAGTATGGGTCTCCGCTTTTGCGCCTTCCTCTCACGACGTTCCCTATGAGTTGCCCAACTACACTTGTGCATATTTGAACGTACGCAACAAGTCCAGCTAAACTGATCGCGTGCTTTAAACCATAGGGAGCCCAAGGATCACCCGGACCTCCTGGACCAGCAGGACCTAAGGTGAGTGGAATAGCTTTTACTTCCATGTACATGAAACAGGAAACAGTTTTCCCAAAGCACGATAATCGAGGACGCAAACTCATACCATGGGATCGTATTTTTTTATTTTGGTGGTCGCACTTTTGGATGAGAGTATAAACAAACGACTTCATAATTTAGTAAAATACACGTTCAAGTCCTCTTAGTCAATGACGATGTTAAAACTGCATATATACAATTAATTAATGACCAGATCAGGATTAGCAAGTATATCACAATACTGAACGTGTTTTTTGTTCACTTTTTATATTATATTCTTTCTAAAATCATTTTAGGGCCCAAATGGTGAACCAGGTGTCTGTGCACCATCTCCGGTTAGTTTCTGTGGTGCCATTTTTGTCTGTTTTAATTTTTGTTCTCTCTGTTTTCCGTGCTGTTTTTACCATTTTAGGCGTTATTTCTAAAATGCACACTTCTGCTTTAACTAACAAGCTTATCCGGTACCTTTCCCATCAGTTTCAGTGTTCTCCTGGCGTGATAGCCACTCTTCAAAAAAAGATCATGGAGCTGGAAAAGATGTGCAAGGTATGTTCTTTGCATACGCTTAGTGAGATCTAACCTTCGTGATTGATACGTTTGCGTCGTGAAGCCAAATCGATCGTAATCACAACGGAAAATTAGAGTTAAGAATTTTTGGGTTTACACATCAGCGAAGGAATAATCACTGAATAGAGGTGGAGCCAAGATGGGTGCCAAGATCCGTATACTGACATGATACTACACTTATTACCAACAGAAGGGCGGCTCAGGCGGACCTGGTCACCCGGACAAACCAAAGTGTGGCTTGGGAAGATGGTAGGTTTATGATGCAAAAGTTCTTCCATTTATTATTAGAAATTAGGGAAATGTTTAGCCCATAAAGGTCTTCTTTACGTACACATTTACAAGCATCAAAAGTATTTCTTAACCATCGGCAAATCTAAAGAAATTTAGCAGTAATATTAAGTGACAACTTCACCTCTCGTGCCGCCAGAAACACTGGTGCATCGACTAATCTTGTAGAACAGGAGACTCGTCCCAAGCTTGCTGAAATTAAGTGTCCCTCTTTAGCCTTAGTTTCTAGGGCAATTCTGAACCCCCTTAGGTTGTTTCCTAGATCATTCCTGTCTCTAGATGTCCGAACAGGATCTCAAGAAACCCAAACATCTTAAGTTAAAAAGCAATTTAGGGACGTCAACCTTTGGAATTAGGTTTGATGGAAGATTAAAAGTCTCTAGGCTAATTCCTCTCTTGAAAGACAACAGATCTATGACTTAGACCAGCTGTGTGGTATTTTCAGTGCTGATAATCCAGCGACCAACTGCCAGGAGATATACACAAAGGACCGTGGGGCTGTAAGCGGGGCTTATTGGATAAAGGGCAAATCAAAACCCTTTCAGGTCAGTAAAAAATTACATTTGAACTGGTCCATCTTGACCATGTGTTAGGATTGTGCGGCCAGTTTTACAACCAACAGGGAGGAACCTTTGACCACGTTCATTTCCATTTCAATCGAACAGCTGAAGTATGATTTTCCTGAATGTCATAGCCGCACAAATATCAGCCAATGACATTTCTGAATTTCGTTCAGCCCTTGAAGTGTGAATTACAAAGAAGAGAATGTCATTCAGGGGATGTGCTTCTCTTGCCTAAACAAAGCGAAACGGTCGGTAAATTATCGATCATCCACTTTTCTGAATACTGTAAGTTGTATCTAAATTTCAGACCCACTGTGAGATTGAACCAATGGCGGTTCGTGGTTGGACTCTCGTTGCTCGGGTTCCGGGAAGTTCTAACGAGTTTTCTCCAGTCAGCAATACCTGGGCAACCGACAGCGTCATCAACGACGAAACTGCACCGGATACCAACACTCAAAAAGTTATGAAAAACGTGGGTTGGGCTGATTTACGCAGTAATATTCTTCGAGTCTGCTTCGATGGTCCGAATACACATTGTGCAACATTCACGCACGATCGTAACATGTCTCTTGCGGAACTGTTTAATAATCAGTTTGGTGTGACTGTAGGTGAGAGATACACAATGGATAATTTATCGCGCGTGTTTGGAAAGAGTTGCGATCTGAGGCGCATGGCAAAACAGTGGTGTGGCTTGAATACTGCCAGTGTATGCCACCCACAAGACATCAACCCAAATCTGAATCCAACCAATCATATTGCAAGGATTGGCTGCCTAGGTGACCTGTTGAAGACTTGTGGACCGAACGATTATGCGCTTGGTATCGGTGTAACAAGCTGTTATGATGGCTACGGATGCTCTAAAGTTGGGCCGATGACACCAAATTTGCATTACGCATGCGTGCCGAGCTATGGCGCGTTTAATCAAACGTCATTTCTCTATGTCCTCTAGACTGAGGAGTTTTGTATTCTGTTTGTTACAAATGACATCTCATCGTTAGCGGACGCTTCAGGTTTGCCCAGTTATTGCTGACGGGATGGAAATCATCGCTAAAAATATCGTCTTTGGCAAAGCCGAAGGTAAAGATTTTATCTAAAAAAATGACTACAAATTCGCAGGAAAATTACCCAAGTTAAACAGGGGGTATACGGCGAAAGCGTCGAAAGTGAGTAGACCTGCTCACTTACATTTAGGATTTGTGATCGGATGAATAATGAACACTGTTCATTTACTTGCAGACTCATTGTGAAATGATTCGTGTGGAGCCAAAAGGAGACATTCTCAATCCAGATAAACCGGCCACAGCGCTGGGAGGCTGGACCTTGGTAGCTCGGATTAACGGTGGCAAAGACGAATTTTCTCCCGTCAGTGATAACTGGGCAAATACAAAAACGTTCAATGCTGAAAGTTCACCCGACACGACTCAAAAGACATCGATGAAAAACGAAGGCTGGTCAACAGTGACCTGTAACAAGATACTGGTATGCTTATCAGGTCCCACAACAAGCTGCGCACCGTTCACTCACAACAAAAACATGTCTCTGACACATCTGTTCAAAACACAGTTTGGCGTTGTTCCATCGGAGCAGTATACCTTCGCCACTCTTTTAAAAGCTTTTGGTAAAAGTTGCGACTTGTCCGTTCTTAGGCAAGGCTGGTGTGGGTTAAATTTAGCCAATACCTGTAATCCTCAGAAGGACAACCCTAACATCACTCCTGTTAAGACAACCCATATTGCCAGGATAGGTTGCATTGGCGACCAACAGGCTACATGCTTTCCTGATGATTTTGCTTTCGGTGTCGGAGTCAGCTCGTGCAAGGATGGCTATGGTTGCTCAGCGGTCGGAAAATCAAAAAATCTTCATTATCGTTGTAATTACGTTCATGGAACATTGATGGAGACCGCTTATCTTTATGTTCAATAATTGTTCTTCGCGCAAATTTCGCGTGAGTTTCTAATACGTGCGTGACTTGCTGATAGTTGCGTTACAAAGGGATATTGAGGATGGCGTGCTAGAAGTAGAATTCTGAGCTTTAGCAAATTCGCTTTTTTACCGCAACTCGAGGAAATCTCAATGGACACAACAGTTTTTGTAAAGATAAAGTAGTTACATAGCAAGTAAACGTTCTCATAGAATGTATATATATATCGCATAATAAGCAGTGTTGAATTCTCGTAGTTTCCAGTTTTATAAAGACTTGTACTTTTTCACGTCAACGTCGTATTGTCCGCATGGATACAAAAAGTATTTAAAGAATAAAGTATTTAAAAAATACCCACAGTGAGACTCTTTTTTATCAAGGGAATTTAAGTTATATTTTTGTTCAAGAATGTATCTTTTCATCCAAGCGGAAGACAGGTAATATAGTCTGACACATGGACGCCAGAAGGGATTATGGTTTAATTGAACCTAACCATAGAGATTCGGCCACGCCTAAAATTGAAGTTGCGGTTGGGTAATTGTTAAATTCTTCATTCATGTTCACCAGGAACAAGAAGATTTGAGAGAGAACAACTCACACAAATGAATGAGGAGAAAGCGTCGTCGAATGCTAAGCAGGTCGGTCGGACTCGCAATATGGAAGTTATGAGTTTGAGTTCGAACCATTGTGCAGAGTAGTACAAAGTACAAATCCTGGCTGTTAATCTGCATTTACCAACATTTGAAAGAAAAAAGCAGGTAGAACATGTACTAAAGTTTCTGTTTAATCCCTCAGGTCCTAGATAGGAAATACACAAGATACAGAAATATGGTCTACATTAACACTCCTAGTTATTAAATGAACAAGTTCAATCTGTTTTACTTTTTAGGAAAATATGCCATTGAATTGCTTCATTGAAATTCTTGGAATATATTATAATTGCTACAAAACTAGACCCTCAAAGTTTCCCCACATTTATTATTTGTAAGTTAATTCTCTGATATTGAATAGTGCCACATGATTTTGATATGCTTATTTCAAATTGATCAAATTCATAATGACCAGGTAATACAAGTGTCAGTATTGTCAACATTGTGGATAACAGCTTCCCATGTATGGTCCCATGTGATGTGCTTTAACAGTAACATCATAATCATCAATCTCCACTTGTACATCTTCACCTTCTCCTGCCAGGTAACAGACAGTGTACAATGCCATCTCAAATTCAGGACTGGTGCCGATAAAACTACTGCCGATTGGCTTCACATCACCTTTCCAACTAAACTGAATTGTGATAAGCTGGTTTTTACTCTCCTCTTCAGGGCTAACATGCCGCTTCTGTTTTTAAATAGAAACAATGTATGATTGTGTCAGTCCTGACTGTAAAAACTGTCTGTTAAGTCTATGCTCTTCCTCTCATGGGTGAAACTCACTGAGATTCTATAGAAATAGGTGACACTAGAGGTAGTGCTAAGTGAAAAGACTAACTGCAACTCTCCCCTGAATGAAATGTTTAATCTTCAGCATTTTGTCAAGTTTCCCTGACAGGCACTCATTTTTACACAAAAGTGGACAAAGAAGGAATGGAGTGCCTTGCCCATGGACCCAACATTATGACCTGCTTAGGCTTTAACACAGCCCTCTTGACATGAAGTTTGAATAGAAAATGGAAAAGAATGAAAGAAAGAAAAATAAAAGAAAAGAAGTGTATGGCCAAAGGGTGGAGTCCTAGGATACATGTGAAGCATTTAACTCAAAGAATGTATTATATCTGAAGATGGACCTTATTGCCAAGCTTACCCTTCGACTAGGGAAAAAGCCTTTATAGTCAACAAAGCCTCGTTTCTCTTGTAAGTAGAACTGTATCCAGTTGTGGAATCCAATCACTTCAGTCTTGTTTCTTGTCTCACCCACAAAGACATGTTCAAATCCAGAAGAGTCCAATTTCCTAGAAGGAATTTTCAATGTTACATGTACACAAATGACCTGATCAAGAAACTCTGATCTTCACACCTTTTCAACTGACCATTGTCACTCAATTCATCATTTTCTTTGAGATGTCATTATGGGCATCCATATCATAAACATCTCATTAATTTATGTTATTTTTTTCAAGAGGTGTTTCCTACTTTTTCGGTAAACAAATGCCTGAAAAGCATTACATCAGCTTAAAATGCTGATCAAACCAACCATTTGGCAGGATACATGCACAGTGACAACACTCTGTCATCTTATAATCCTCCAAGGTATAGCCAAGGAGGTTTCCTAAGAGTGTGAGACACCTTCTTTGTTGTGGAAAATTAATAATTCATAACAGTAAAGCATCATGACATGCCTCCATATTTTGGTGGGATGTTTGTGCCAGACACCTTTTTAGGAACATCCTGCTAAAATTATGTCCTATATTATTAATATTACTAGTATGTTGAGTATCTTCAACACAAGTGAACACTACAATACATCTTTTCTAACACACCTTACTCCCTTTGTTCTTTGGAACATCTGAAACCAAATCTTGTAAAGTTCTCTCTTAAACTGTCCTCTGTCTTTAGGCATGAGACCTTTGTCAGCCAGGTATTCATGGGCAATTTTCATTGGCTCAGTTTCCATAATAGCATCAATGAAACACTGGTTTTCTCTAATTTCGTGTGGAGTGACAACTTCTCCCTGTCCACCTTCACTTTCATAGTTGTCCAGTAAAGCTATGAATCCTAAGCAAAAACAGACTTAAGTTTGACTTTTTGGCCATAAAAATTAGCATGACTGATGATCCATTACTGCTGAAACTTCTTGCAGTCTCTCTAACAAAAAGCAACTTAGAGCATTGCTACTCTTGTTGTATGGAATGCCAAGTTCATCTCTGATTAAATCTGTTTAATAGCTTTTCCAGACAGTTTTCCACTTACTCAATCATATCCTGAGAAATAAAATGTTTTGCCCAATATCTAGAAGCAAAAACAAAAAAAAACAACAACAAAATAATCCAGGTCTATTAGAACTGGACCTGTCATCAAATAACACCAATTTTCTCACTGATTTGACCTGCTGTCACTTAAGTTAAATAGACCATGTAAAATTTTGAACTTGTTCAGCTTCAAAAATTTGCGAGATTGAGGAAAAAAAAGCATGCAAATTGATCTGAAATTTTTAAAAAACAAACTCAAATAACCAATGTTACAAAGGAACACAACAAGAAAGACAAAAACAGCCAGAATTTGCAGATATGCTAAATTCTGATCAATAAAATAACTGTATTATTTCTCAAGATCAAGGTTTCACTTTATCACAAATTCTTACTTCTAAATGTGACACGCTGAAAAACTTCTTCTTTAACAAAAGTAAAGAGAGGATCCCTGGCACGATCTTCACGTGAATGGTAGCGGGTTTTGCCTTGAGGATCGATTTCGTAATCAACTCCTGGTTCAAGACGATTTTCATCAGCATCCCACAATCTCTGGCATAATGAAGATAGTTCGGGATGAGGGTTAAAGCTATGATTGAAGGAAATTATTAAAAAGGTAAAAGAAGATTAAAAAAATATTGAATAAAATTGTAACAGCTATTTAAAAAAATCATTTTTTCATTCATCTTCCATCACCTTACCCATGTAGTTTCTAACGGGTCAAAGCGGTAAGCACCTAATTAAAACGGATCACGTACAAGATCTATTCACTAATTAAAACACCCAGGGGAAACACGCAAGGCATCAAAAAAAAGTTAAGACCGATCTCTTTCCAAAGTACACCATCTTTCCCTCTGTAGCAATGAGCAATAATTTTTTTTATCAAAATTGTTCGGAAAAGAACTCATGGAATAACCTAGAAAAATTCGTGACTAGGGTTCCACCCTTCGGTCGAAAGCCACGTACTCATCAACAGTTTGAAATTATGGAGATTTGGCTTTACAAACTTCTCTCATGGTACCTATAACATTAGACTACTTCATTGCAGAATGTATAAGGTTTCGTGTACAGAAGAATTGCGCGCAGTAAGAAAAATAGGCATCAAATGTGCAGAAGAGTGAAGTAATACTCACCGTCTGGAAGCCATGTTTGAAAGTTTGAAAGCGAGGGAGACTGGGACGTGCCTCGTATTCGTGTATTTAGAAAAAAACCCGGGAAAACTTTCAAGATGGCGGGAGCACCAAGGCAAGAAAAAAGATCTGCGAATTTCTATCGTTTCCACAATGATTTCCCAGTTCTTTGAGCACACACTCCCTTACTCTCCCTTTCATAACTTTCCACAGAAACCTCGAAGAAGTCAACCGTGTGGCTGATGCTGCAGGCCTTGTCAACAGAACAGGACCTGTACAAGTGCTGTATTTCTCTTCCACCTGCAACACTAACAAATATCAACTTTTAGAACTTCCACCAGGATTACTTGACACCCTTCAGGTTGGAAATAGGTATGATACTTGTTTAATTTACTTGGGACTTTGGTTTCATGAGTTAAGTGAAGTACAATTCGAGAACTTACCCCTATTTCTGTTACATGAAATATCTCGGAATTTATGTATATATTATTTGGTGATATTTTGGTGTGAATATCCACAGTGTTGTTATTAGAGGCGACAAGGAAGACGATGCTGTCCTGTGTACAGATAGAGTAACCTTTGACCTGCGATTAGCTGATACATCAAACTCTCTTCTTTTAGTTCCTCAGTGCAGCCTATCCAACGATGAAGGTATCATTTGTAGTATTTTAACTGCCTGTCTTGTCTCTAATTTGTGTGTGTTTTTTTCATCACTGACCTCATTAAGCTTAACGAAACAGAAATCCATCAACTATTTTGATTAATCAAGTAAAGATTAACAGCCCTATTTTGGTATTAAGAGTGCAACGCGATAAATCTGAATTACCGCAAGTTTCGGGCTAATAACCCAGGAAACTCTGGCTATTGCTTATTGCCATGTGGCTTGAAATAGTCAGTCTGGACAGTTTGTACATATTGAAGGAAAAATTGCCTTTTGCTTTCTAGAATCTGTAATGTTTGTAGTAATTATTTTGATTTAGAAATTTGATATTTCATGTCCTAATTGCTTATTCCCATGTGGCTTGAAATAGTCAGTCTGGACAGTTTGTACATATTGAAGGAAAAATTGCCTTTTGCTTTCTAGAATCTGTATGTTTGTAGTAATTATTTTGATTTAGAAATTTGATATTTCATGTCCTAATTGCTTATTCCCATGTGGCTTGAAATAGTCAGTCTGGACAGTTTGCATATACTGAAGGAAAAATTGCTTTTTGCTTTCTAGAATCTGTATGTTTGTAGTAATTATTTTGATTTAGAAATTTGATATTTCATGTCCTAAACAGTTATTGTATTGCGAATTTGAATTAGTCTTTATGGGATATTTTGCATTTACAGGTTCTCTTTTTCATTTTATTCTTTGGTCATATGTTATGCATTGCAGAATTCAAGGCAGAAGTTTCTCCATTGGTTCTTCGAGAGGTGAGTAAGTCACGATCATAAGGTAGGAAAACATGTCTAAGTATGAAGTTTAAATTCTAGTGTGTAACAAAGCAGAATATCTGTTTCAGTAGTGATGAGTCAGTGGGCTTTTAAGACTTACCATTATTGAAAACCTTACTCTTAATATAGGATATTCACAATGTGATAAGCTAGTTCATTTGTTTTACAGGTGGCCAGTTCTCACACAAAATATTTTGAAGTCAAACATTGTAGGCCACGTTTGGAAAGGCTTAGGCATCTGCTTGCTGAAACTTTGTATAAAGGAACTGAAAATGAAGTGGATCTCAATGATGAGACAGAAGGCAACATTACAAAGAGGAAAGATGTGGTGTGTTACTTAGGAAAAAATTGATAGGGCAGGTGTAAAAAGGGGGGTTTGTGCAATTTGGGTTCCATATTCTTAAAGCTAAGACTATAAGTAGAGAATAGTCACAGACAAGAGAATTCACATTTAGGTCCTGGAAGTGAAAGGTTTAATGAAATGCACACAATTGTTGGCCATCATTTTTGAGAGAAAAACATCTGCCCACCTTTTTTTCCCTGCAAAGTTCTTTGAGATCAACATTTTAATTTGTAGATGCATGTAAGACAATCCCTGTCCTCATAGATGCATCCTTGTCACTTAATCAAAGTATATTTTAATTATGCATTAGCTGAACATTAATTTTTTTCAATTTTCCAGTACACTTTTGTAGACCTACTCTCTTTAGTGCAAGCAAGTGAATCTGAACTTTGTGAAGGATTAAGGAATATTGGTGCTATAGAAATCAATGGTGGGTTTCAACTGCTAAAACCAATCTTGACACCATGCAACAACTGCAAGTGACAAACAATTTTTTTTTTTACGGAGGCTTGCAAGAAATGTATTGCTGAGGTATTGAGGTTTGTTACTGAGACCACTGGTGTGGTTAGAATAGGAAAAATAATATCTAATTCTTAACAGTGAAAGGGTCTAACATTTTAGGATTCCCAAGGTAATTGTCAGTTTTACTGACATTATCATCTATTTTATTTAAGGAGTTTGACCAATCTAGAGACCTGATTTAATGGGAAGAAGACTTTATTTCTTTATTGAAATTTATTGTCTTAACCAAGTCAGCAATATTATTCTTTGAAGGGCGCTGGCGGCTGCTTGATGCAGATTACAGAGAAAAAGTTGTAGTAAGGATTTTGACTTTACTTGAAGAGATGGACTGGAGTTATGAAGCAGTGCCATTGAAGGAATGCTGTGACATATTGGAGGAACTTGAGCCAAGGTTTGATATAAAACAGCAGCAAGATTATAGTATAGTTCAGGGTTTTCTTTAAGATTTGAATTATGCAGATTTGGTTGGAAAGTAGATGTCACTGGTTATCAAGCTTCACAGTCTGTTCACTTGTATATTATCTTCTCAGTTTGTATCTTGAGTTGGGCACTGAATTAAGGAGTCATCAAAATCCCTGTGCATTAGCTTGCAGAGTCTACTGGTTGCTAGTCCTGAAGTACTATTCATAAGTTTGCAGAGTTTTTAGAAGCCAACTTAATATAGGTTTGAATTTTGAGGAGCACTTTCACATGGAAATAGAGAATCAAGTCATTTACATGTTCTGTTTCACAGAACATTCCTATTTTTTTAACTGAATTAATTCTTTCATAGAAACATTCTTGAGCACTGTCTCAATTGTTATGGTGAGATAACAAGTATGGACACTGACTCAGGTTAGTTCTTTATCATGCTCTTACTTTTTTATTTCTAATAATGATAATTTGTCATCGTTACAAGTCATGTATGACCTTTCCTGTGGCAGTTACTTCTCTGTGTTCTAGTAAATTTACTCTAGAGAATATTTTATCAAGGATGTAACAGCCTATAGTGCTTTTGGAGCTGCACTTTAGGTTAAGAGGTTTGGAATTGAGTTCCAGCACCTTTCCAGTAGGATTAGGAATACTTCTGGTCATTTTGTATGTGGACACCAACTCCATGCAGCAATAAGAGCCCCAAGGTTCACAATTCTTAACCTTACCTTCACACTTTGATATACTGAGCAGGTCAGGTCACTATGTTTTTTTTTCAGAGTAAGTAAAGAAGACTAAGAAAGAAAGATTTAAGAAAAATTTGCTTGCAAACTGCTATATTACTTTTAGGTGACAATGCCATTCACTACAGGCTTTCAGAAGACAAAATTTGTAGATTTTATGCAGAATATCTCCTGAGACAAGCTGGGAAGGTAAAAAGATAATGTAATTCTAGCAAGATGCAAAATGATGACCAGTTTGGTGATCCCCATAAAATTTCTGGTGCATGTTTAATTAATAAGTTATCTCTAGCAGATATGGAGATGCATGTGTTCTGATCAGATGTAGATTGTATCCTATCTAGCAGTAACCATTCTGTAATTTTTTGTGTAACCAGCTGTGAAAGATTGATAACCTTTACAGTTTTAAAGAGGCATTGCTCTATTCCAACATCATGACTCTTCTCTTTTCCTTAGTTTAATTACAATGAATTTATGGATTCCTGGTGTCAAAGTGTTCCAGAGGGAATGACCACAAAGTCTGAACACTTATCTGTAAGTATTCAATGTAGGTCCCTGACAATAGCTTTTATGCACCTCACATACCACAACATATCTATGGCTAGAGCAGAGAAACACCAAAAGGGTCAGAAAAGAAGAAACCAAAAAAAACACGAAGATGGGATGGTGAAGCTTTACACAGATTTTAAGCCAAAAGACATGAAAAATTTCAGCTGGGGACATGTGTTGACTGAGTCAGATATCAATACTATCTCAAAAATATATGTGAACAATCCAGTAGTGGTCATCAGATTTATTTTGTTGTCAGGGTATTGCCTTGATGGACTTGAAAAGTCTCCCACCAGTCATATGGCATTTTCCTGCTTCTGAGCTTTCAAATGACCCTGAATTACGGTAAGGTGACAACTAAATCCTCTTTTCTACTTGCTATATATTTTTTTGTAACTGGTTAATTAAGAGAATGTAATGTTTTATTGAGATGAAACTCTGCAGCTCATAGGTTTGTTCATTCATTGTGTGTCAACTTTTAACAAGTGAGGCAAGGTCAAGAGGCCCAAAAAATGAAGCTAAAAATTTGTTAGTGAATAAAAGAATGACTTGTATTCTTCTTGTTTCTGATGAACTAAGGTACAAGAAGTCAGTGAAATATATCTATACTATTAAAAGTGTTTCTTCATCAAGGGTCAGCAACATGTAAGTTAATAATGTTTACTTATAGGTTTGGTGAACTTTTTAAAGTGAGAGCAAAGTGGACATTTGATGAAATACAGCCTTATTTAAGGTTAGTTTTCGATTGAAGGTGTGGGGATGTGTTGCACAGATGCATGCTTGTAAAAATCTGGCAAATTCCTTGTCATATCAACTAAATGTTTTTACTTTATATTTCTTATTGTTTAGAGACCTAGTGGCACCTGGACTGTCACTCAATGCTCTCCTTATGAAGTACTCTAGGTCCTCAATGGACGCCTCAGGCGTCAAGATCTATAACTCGAAAAAGCCCCTCTGAGCAAATTCAATTGCAGTTTTGTGGTTAGAACTAGAAGCTTTTCTGACATGCAGAAATGATCACAGTTTTAACATTTCTCTCAAGTACTTCAGAAGATACTTCACACAGTGGAAACTAAGACACTAGCAAAGAGAATATCACAGCTTAGACTCTTGTTCATAACTGTGATGTGTTGAAAGCCTTGGTTGTTGTAAAAGATTGGTCAGTTTTGTCATTTTAATTTGACACAACTTTTATTACCTTGGTTCAAGCTAAAAACTCTTGAATACTGAAGATGTGCTTAAGGCAAACATTGCAAATTAACTGAAACATTATAGAACTGAACTGTTGTAAGGACAGTCTACTTAGAATTGATGTTATGCCACTCTTGAACAGAAGGGTTAACTCATGCAGCTGGAGATATTTTTGTGGGTGTGTATGAGAAAAGTAAAGTAAACACACTGAAGTTAATCCTTGATCAAGAACTTTTATTACCACTGACAATTTTAACTGCAACATTTGCCTTAAATCAATAAAGTACCAAATTGTACATCTTACAATATCCTGTAACTTTTTCAAATGAAAAGATCCTGATCATAGGCAGAACTCTATTAAAGAGTTAGGATGTAACAATTACCACTAGCACCAAGAGTATTTAATATATTAAAACTCTCATTTATTTGACTAGCAGCAAATTAAACTAGTTCATGTAAAGAAAATCCATTTCAGATGATCAGTTTAATTGCGAGGTCTTTACGGGACCATGAAAGTTGAAGCTGATTTAACACCAAACTCTCATAACTTATTACCGCGAAATTGTGTAGTAGCAAGAGGGGAGAATCAATTATCAGATCTTGGGATTTAAAGGGTTGAATGAAAAGATAACTTATATTTACCCAAAAAACTACTTACACCCAGTTATATTTCATAAGTCAAGAATTATGTCTACCAGATACATTTTTTTTACAGAATTTTTTACAGATATATGTTAAATAAATGAATGATTTGGTATCAAGGAAAAATTTAAAAAGAAATAATTTTCCCTTTAATAAATGGATAGCTACAAAGATAACCTGTATCTCTTTAGAACTGAAGATTTTCACCTTTCACCATGCTTTGGGAAGAATTTTCAATAAAATAACTGAATTATATCCTGCTGGAAATAGTGCAATGTTTAGAACCCTGTTCTGTACTGTTCATGTATCTTGCAAACAAATAAATGATTCAATAATTTGAAGCTTTTTTCTGCCTTTGAGATGTCACAATTCCCCTAGGTAACACATAGCTGTATGAGGATTTAAAGGAAGTTTCCTAAGAAGGTTTACAAGAAAGCAATAAGAAAAAGTGCAAGAAAGATGAAACAAGACTTTGCTTCTTGAAAAAAATTCAACAGAACAGTATGTTGATCTACTCTGCTGCTTCTAGTGGCTCCTTGATCTGCATTTAGCCCCCCCCCCCCACTTTCAGTTTGTTTTCTGTGATTGTATAATATCAAATTGAGAAAGTAAGGTATTGTAGCAAACTGCAGTAAATTCTACAGTACTAGTACTCCCTTAAAAGTGGTTGCATGAATGTCATGTGACAATTACTTTTGTAGGGGGTTGTACCATCTAATGTTGACTTGTCTGTGTTTAGGATCCCTACTTAATGAATATTATATATACTGAGACTACCTCACCTGCACATTGTCAAAAGATTTTTTCTACAGTACAACAAAGCAGTATTCAGCTCTAATTGAGCTGAGAATAGAAATCCACAAGGATGTCTCAGGGAAGATGCAGGAAATCTTACAAGGTTGTATTTGTAAGGTTCGTAATTCCAATTTATCTCATCTATTTTGTGAGAGAGAAACAGCTGATGTTGAGGTGATTACACAGTTCACGAACCTAAAGTAAAAAGAAAACACTACTAAGTTAAAAATTGAAAGTGGTTACACATTAAGAGAAAGCAGAAATGGAGCAGAAATAGGAAAAGCATGATGAATTTAGATTTTATTTTCAATTTATAGGTTGCTGACATTGACTAGTAAGGGTAAAGATAAGAGAACACATGGAAAGTCCACTTTTTTGAAAGTGGATGTTTAATTTCACAGTCTTATTGGTGTTTAATTTCTGGTAATCATTTTGAGTCATCTAGAAAGGATATTTTTCCACTTGCAAGTACATCTTTCAGAGGGCAGTGAAACATTCTCAAGGCTTTACTTCTTCCAGTTTTAATAACCAAGCTGTGACAATTTCTACTCACCAAAACAATTCCATAATGCAGGTGACAAATAGCTACAACCCCAGTGTAGAGACTGAGAATTCCCACCTCCATGTCAACTGATTTGGTAAAAGGTACAATGAATGTCAAGGCAAACAGAGGAAGTAACATGGCATTGATAGCTTGGCATCTCTGGCTGGTCATTGTACTCACAATCAGTCGGCACTAAAACAAATTGACAGTGTAAATTAAATCAATAATGTTACTGAGACTGAAAAAGAAGGGGTAAAAGGCTGTGATCACAAAATGTTATTTAACCTGTATTGCTACCTTTGAGCTAAAAAACTTTAATTTATGTGTATATTAATATCTCCACTAAAAGTTTGTCTGGCTGACAAGGGTAACAAATGAAAAGGTCAAGAGATCAGATACAGTGTGGGACTTTCAGCATCACTGGGCAGGGGAGAAGGACATTGGGTTTTAAAAGGGCATGTAGTGTGTGAATACCACCAACATTGACCTCTCAATTGATTCTCCAGTGTGCCAGACATTAGGCAGCACATCTCTCACTTTTGGAAATGAAGTGTAACAGTTTTCAACCACTACATGTGAAGCACCTTACCGTCACATTAGAGAACACAATTCCAGTAGCTGTAAAAAATAGACGTGGTTGGATTTCAAGGATGTTGGCAGGAGAAAGAATGGCCCATGTGTAGAAGAGGAAAATCATCAGAAAGAATGACAACAGAGGGAGAAGTCCTTCAAATAATGAAAAACCTCGGTCTGTCTTAGAAACACGAGCCCTATGGAAAGAAAAACATGGTAAGCTAAGGGATTCACAATCTAGCCCAACTCAGAAGCACAGGAAAGATCAACAAGTGAGACTTAAAAAGATTGACTCAGATGTCCCTTTTTTCCAATGAGCAATTATGATGACTTTGGGATTGGTTTTACATCACATGATCAAGAACTGCTCCAACATTAAAAATGTACTTACTGGTACATATTGTACAATGTCATTGCCAGAGTGAGTACAATTGATGATCCTGGAAGACCAATAAATAACTCATATTTAGTTCCTGTCTGTTGCCCAGACTTTAAAAAAAATTACAACTGGCGTAAAAGAGGTTTGTTCTAGGGTGCTTTCGACCCTTTATTTTCCAGGGAAAAGTGATACTCAAAATTAATTAAAAAACAACAACAACAACAAAACAGGTAAACCCCCATTACCAGTAAGAAACCCCCCACAAAAAAAGAATCTCTTTTACAACCCTATATAATAAATCACTTCAGACTAGTTGAAAAAAAATCTTTCAAAGTACCTCCATGCATGATAACAGGAGTCAGTAACAATAACATCAAAAGAAATATAGGGTCATGCAACTAAAAGGAATTGACTGTTGTTAGCTTCAATGAGGAAGTGGAGGGGAAAATACAGATTCAGAAGTGAACATGCCATAAAAATTTTGCAAACCACTTATTTTGTATACTATAAACAAGTATTTTATTCAGTTCATGTATCTCATCAGTGCTAAAGGTCTACTTCAAAGGCTCCTTTTAAAACCTGAGGCATGATTCTACCTGTAATGTGCTACTATCAATTATAATGTTATGGACAAATACATACCATAAACTGTGAAACGGAATACGAAGCATAGAGGAAAACCTTCTATTATTTGAAATTTCCACATGTCTACTCCAAAATAAAATGTTAGGAGGTACACAAATGAAATTGCCTACAAGAAGTCAAAATAAATTTAGTTATTAGTTTTCAGTTATCTCTGAAGTCCAATGTTGTCTGCTGTTCAATGACTATTTTACATAACAACTGTCAACCTGTTAAAAATAAACTTAATTATGGCTTTCATTGAAAAAAACTTATGAGTGCATTTCCCCCTCCCGCTTTCTGTCACCAACAACTTGCTATGTGGGGTGTGGCATAGAAATAATTACCTCATAGCTGACACCCAGTTGACTCTAACTTAAAGCCCACAGCACGGTAAAAAAAACTCACTATTTGACTGGCATCATAAGTCCATGGCAAGAACAATGTCCCAGTGTTGTATTTTTCCCAATGAGCCAGGTAAAATCCCAGCAAACAGGCCAACATCAGTTGATAAAGTTCCCACAATGTAACACTGTGAGGGCCATGACCAAAGAGTGAAAACAAACTTATAGGAATAAGAAATGCTGCTGAACTGTCCAGACCGTGGTCAAACAATTCGCCCAGTGGAGAGCTGAAAATGAATAGAAGAAGATTGATGATACAATTATGGATCTATAGCTGCACAATAATCAAATAACTGCCCTGAAATAGACATACCAGAAGAAAATCACACATTTCTTATATACAAAAAATTTTTAAAAAAACTTGTACCAGTTGATTTTGGAAAACTCCACAGTGATATTTAGAACATTGTGAAAGGTCTATCAATATTATCTTGAAATCCTCAAAGATTTAAAAATTATCTCCTCAAGAATCTAAACAAAAGTCAATTTTCTTGTTTGATGTAGGTTCTCTATTTGTATTTGTTTTATAAATTTTTTTAAATTCACCTGCTGCTTGTTCTTCGAGCCTGTTTGCCATCACAACCATCAAGGGTGTGAGCTGCAAAGTTTAACACAGCAAAGACAAGCCACCATATTGATGGAATTTGTTTACTCTTGTCCTTTTCACCTGCTGCTGTAAAGTGGGGGTCGTAATAACACGTAACAGCATAGATCATGAACAGGGACAACCAGCCACTGAAGGTGAGCACATTGGGTGCAAGCCATCTGGGAAAAAACTGAGACAAAACAGAAAAAAACCACAGTCACCTCATTTATGATAACATAGTAACAAATTCTGATTATGTACTGTCTACAGTTTTTGTCACAATTATGAAGGGGAGTCCAGAAAAATGTTTCCTTTTGTAGAGATTATAATTGACAAGATAGCAATCTAGTGAGAAATTTAACTGTTCTGTGGGCATATAGCATTGAAACTACATCATTTGACATCAGTCATTCTCTTGCATTGCCAGTCTTTAATATTCAACAAGAGACTAACTGACTTTACCTAAACAATCCTTTCACACTCAGTGTATCATGCATGTGTTATCATCAAAAGTTTTGCTCAGATTTCAAAATCAGCTTGTTCAAATGTCAGTCTCGCCCACCTTCCTGTCTACCTTGCCCAAGTCTTCTTTCAATATGGCCACTTAAAGATTTCAGATATGATGATCAATGTTTGACACAAGTCTTTTGCCATTTTTTATATCTAAACTCTAAGAGGTGGGCAAGTTGTCAAGAAAAGCAAATGAGTTGACCAAGGATGTGGGCACATTTACTTAACCTGTGGGTGAGTTGTCTATAGACAAGTTGACAAATGGCAAGAATGATCGTAATTCATGTAAGGAATATTGACACAGTGTAAAATACTCAAATATCATATGTGAGAAGTTGTCTAGTTATACTTGAAAATTTCAGCATCAACTCAAGGTCTCTATTGGAAATGCCAGTTTCAAAAATTTACTGCAGTTTTATATTTTTGGGAATATGATCTAAAATATTTTATTATGCCTTCAAAATGTCTGCCAATTAGAAGTAAACTTCAACTGAGCAAAGGAGATCATTTCCCAGATAACTGAAAAAGAAATTACCAAGTTCAAAAAAGATAACCATTTGTTTAATAAACAATCCCAAGATTTAGAAGCAGCTGACAGGTTAGCAAACATCCCTGACCAGCCCCCCTAAGGATTAACTATGCAAACATGCCACTCCCCCCCATGACAAAGATTAGCATGAATGCCATCATTTGCTTTCAACAATATTGACTTGTCTTTTTTTTATTTCCACCATCTGAGGTCACTAATTCCTTATGAAAAAACCATTACTAACCTTGAGCTCTAAAAACCAATTGATTTGTCATTGTTTATTACCGGCGTGAAATAAGAGAACTGAATTTTCATGCTTGCTCGAACAAAAACCCTACGGAATAACACATTGTCCACAATCCAATGCCTACCTCAACGACGAAATTCCAAAATGGATGAGTTATGTAGTTTGAAAGAGGCGAAGTATCTTCTGATTTGTACTAAATTAAAGAGAGATCAAAAAGTTATGTGATTGCAACAGATTTACGATAACTGTCGATCAACAAGCCTGCATCAAAAGGGAGTTACCTTATATTTGTCAAAGCCCCTAAGCTCTTCTTCTCCAAGATAAATCCCCTTCATTCTGTCTAGATCTGTAGCATGTAATCTATGAACCGAAGGAGACTTGTCCTTTGAAGAGGGCAGATCTTTCGAATCAGGTGGCATTTTCCCTTGCTCGAAGGCTGAGCTACTTCAGGATGTGCTGATTGATTGAGTTGGGCACTGGGACCTAACACCACATTACGCCGGTCATACCACAATACACGCGTGAACACGCGTGTTTCCCTAGAGTCCAGAAAATTTCCACTTCAGTCGCTTATTTCGCCCTCTAATTTTATTCCTAAATACTTTTCAACGTGTTTGAGGATTCTACATGCGAAACCTTATCGAAAATACCTCTTTTGTCTCACGTTTAATGAACGCCGTGGATCACGATAAAATTTACAAAGAAATCCTAAACTGAGTCCGCATTACATAGATACAGCAGAAATACCAAAACAAAGAAGCTCCCGCGCATCTTTGCCCGCGAGTTTTGTGCCGCACACTTCGAGATCCAAAATTTTATCCACACTAGAGCACAGCTTATCCTCGTGGTCGCGGACCCATTCTTTATTTACCGAATTTCCAAGATACCATGGGTGCCTATCTGGCTAAACCAAAAACAGAGAAGATTTCTGAAGGCAGTGAAAATGGAAATGTTAGTTATGGAGTGTCCTGTATGCAAGGATGGCGTGTAACTATGGAGGTACAGTACAGCTGAACTAGCTGACCTTCGACGGGAAATCATATGCATGAGATAAATAAGCGTGTTTTAAACAAGGAATGTAAAAAGTTGATCATGTAGCCTACTGGTATATTGTTCTAGTCATTTTAGCTTTCTTCAGCTAGAGCCAATGGCATTTATTAAATAAGATTACAATCGGCCACTATGAAAATCAGCCAACGAAATTTAACTTGAAACCATTTGAAGCCTACGAGACAGAAAATGCGATGGTTTTGTTTATTTGAAAAGCAAACTTTAAATTAACTAAATCTAAAGTAAGTCGCATCTCTGCAGCTTCTTTTTTACTTGACTTCGACCGCTGAACTGGTTTGAAATGAAAATGAACCGCTGTCTTTCCATGTAACATTGATCGAGCGAGATTGGTTTTAATTTCAGAGAGAACCAAACATAACAAAATTTATATTTCGTTCGATAAAATCAATTGTATCCTTGATGCAGAGGTTTTTAGTCAATTAATATATTATTTAAGTAGCTTGGATGGCGATTCTTTGTGTGAAAAAAGGCACGTAGTGTGTAATTTGAACATTGAAACAATGTTGCAGAAATGCACAAATGAACATATGGTTTCACTGAATGTATGCTATATAAATGACAGGAATTCTGAACTCAGCATCAACTGTAGCCGTGGATATTAGTGTTGATCAGGAATTCTTTTTGTTGTACAGGATGCCCACACATGTATGCTTGATTTTGATGAAAACTCCACACTGTTTGCTGTTTATGATGGCCATGGAGGTAAAATACATCCTAAAATCTGTGGTGTAAGCCCTCCTGGCTTATACCTATTCCATGTTATGAAGGACTCCAGAAGGTTATCTTTAGGGTGAGGGAGCTGATAAAAAGGAAGGGGGGGGGGGGTTGAGGTGAAAGGAATAAAAGAACCTCATGGAACAAAATAATAATTTTGTTAGTTATTTCACTACAAGAGAAACCTCAAACCTTCTCTTAAATTGTGACTGGAGTATGACAAAGCAATATTGGACTTTGATCTCAGTTTTGCTTTCAACAGTGATGAGTTTTATTGTTATTTTCTATGGGTTATAAATGGGTTACTTGTTATTAGAGGAGCACCTTTCTCATGGTTGTGTGAAAAGAAACAGGGATATATTTTAAGGGTCATTTGTTATTGGGATTTTGCAAGATGATGACAATTTTTTTGTGAAATTGTTTTCTACGGATGGTTTTATTCATAGGTTATACATACTGCTTAACTTTTATTTTGTTTCTTGGTTAGGGTCTGAGGTAGCACAGTACGTAGCAAAGCACTTCCCAGAAGTACTGAAAAGAATGGGAACTTACAAGAAAGGAGAAATTAAACAGTCAATGATTGATTCATTTTTGGAAATGGATCAACAAATCATCAGCGAGGAGGTTGGTAAAAAAAAATCAGTTAGGCAGTTAGAACTTCATCTCTTTGATAATATTGAAGAACATGTTAGAATTTTATTGTAATAACTGGAATATTTTACTGTAATATAAGTATTTCATCGAACGTATTGTATGTATTGCAAGTAACTGTATGTTCAGCAAGTAATGGAAGTAGGGTATTGCATTGTTAATAGTTTGAGTAGCCCATAATGCAAGTAATTGTATTTTCTGCAAATGATTTATTCAGTTACTGTATTTTATTGCCAGCATAAGTAACCGTATCGTAAGTAATGTAAATATTGTTCTGTAAGTAGAATATTGTAACGAGACCTGCATTGTTAGTAGGGTAATTGTGTTTTGTAGATTGAAATTGTTAAAAAAAAACAATAAAATTAATAAATAAACATAATCAGTTCTTATAAGATCAGTGCTTTTCAAGTTACTTTTCTTTCAGAAATATCATCTTTACAAAAATGCTAGGATTATTTTGAGAGGATGTCAGCCTCAGCTAAAATTCCCCTACCTAGTTAACATACCATGTAAAGGTTTCCTTACCTGACTGGTGTTTGGAGATTGTTTTCATATGAGTTTTGTTCATTTTCAGGGTCTTGCAGAACTGAAAGAACTAGCAGGGCTTGATAAGGACCTTGATGAGGAAGAAGATCTTGGAATGTTAGAAAAAGAAGCAACGATGCCATTGCGTGAATTGCTGCTGAAAATGAAAGAGGTTGGTAAAAATAAATACAATATTTAATGGAAAAGTAATGAATGTAAGTGTTTTTTCTTCTATAAGTGTCTAGTTCTTTTTGTCCTCGTTGGTGTGTCGGTGATAACTCGTCAGCCTCATAACTGTCCTTACTAAACAAAACCTTAAAGTTTGTAAAGCATTTATATCATGTGAATGTGGCTTATTTAGTTGAGTGTGGCTTATTCATAATGTCATTACATTGTCCTGCACTAATTTTTTTTGTTGTTGCCAACACAACAGATTAAGAAAGCAGGAGGTGCTAATGAAGATGATGAAGATGTTGAATACTGGACAGAAAGTAGCGAAAAAGATGCAGATGAAGAACATGATAATCAGACTGATGCAAAGAGTGGAAATGGTAAATAGCATTTGAAAATGGTAAATGGTAAATGGAAATGATAAATAGCATTTCTTATTTTTCATGAATAATTGTGGACAAAGTTTTTGACATAGTTAAGTTTTTCAAGGTTTGACAGGTTGTTTCTTTTGACCTGAAATTTGCAGCGATTGGCCTTGGCTGCTCTCTACTGGGAACTAATCTAAAGAGTCAAGACTTAGCTAAGAGACCCACACTGCCTGAGATTATCTCAGTTTCTATAGCATGAAGGGACTTGAAGTGTTACTACTCCCAGTCAGTTATTCAGGTGGTCCATCAGTCAATCAGTCAGTCTATCAGTCTGTCTCTCTGTTAGTAAGTCAGAATCTGTTAGCTTTATCCAGGAAGATTATTAAAATTCTATTTCAAGGTCATTTCTTGTTTTCAAGAGGAAAATTTCAGCTTTCTTGTCTAACTGTTTCTTCAGAGGAAGGAGAAGATAAGGTTAAAGAAAATGGCTCACAGAATGGAGAAGAAGGCTCCATGTCTAGCACAAATTCTACTCAAGATGTTGCTAACAATGATAAGGAGAAGGAAAAAAGAGATTTGGATAATGAGAGTAAGAATGAGGAACAACCTGAACAAGAAGAAGCTGAAAACAAGTGTTCAAGTATGGATGGGAATAGTCACAATGAAAAAGAATTTGCTGGTGCATCAGCTGGGACTGAAGATAATAATGACGATGACAGTGATGATGATGATGATGATGATGATGACGAGGATGACGAGGAGGAGGATGATTCTAATGATGATGAAGATGATGCAGATGATGGCAATGAAGTTCCTCCAGGCTCAGATGAGGTGAATAGAGGTTGTTTTTATCATTTTCCCCAAGGGCTAAAGGTGACTTCCTACCAAGAATCAGAAGGAGTCTCTATCCCTTCATCCCTGCCCCCACTCTCTCGGGGGAAGGCAGGTACAGCTAGACCCTTCAATGGAGAAGGAGAAACTCTTAAGAACTCTTTTTGACACAGCTGCTATGTAACTTAAACCAGCGTTTTTGACGAACCACTGGTTGTTTAGACATATCTGCTTCTTTTTTTTTAGGTTGGATATGACAGTGGCACTACAGCAATTGTAGCTTTCTTACAGGAGAATCAATTAACTGTTGCCAACGTTGGTGATTCACGTTGTGTTTTGTGTAGAAATGGTAGGGCTTTAGAAATGTCCATGGACCACAAACCCGAGGATGAACATGAACTTAATAGAATCCACAAAGCAGGCGGAAAAGTAACTTGTGAAGGAAGAGTCAATGGAGGGTTAAATCTGTCCAGAGCATTAGGTTTGTTGAGAGAATACCCTGTGTAATTCTGTAATTGAAGGAGCTGAATTCATTTTACTGAGTTCTGTGGTTGGTCAAGAAAATTTGCACAATGCTCTGGACCTAGGAGATGCAAAACTAAACCCAATAGCCATTTGATCACTGGCATTCATCTTGCTTGTGGCAACTGGCTTGTGTTTACTTTGAGTTCCCACTGGCTGCTTGTCATGTTTACTTTTGTTCTGATTGATTTTTGTAATTAAGAAGTATTTGGTGTAGAGATATTCTGTCTTCTTCAGCTAATTACAAAGCATTTGGTGTAGAGACACTTGGTCTCCTTCAGCTACAAGGTGACTGTGAAAAAGGGCTCTTAAGGTGTATGCAACCAGACATAAACTATTGGACTAAGTAGAACTTTGAACTGTAGTGTACACAGTTGTGTCAGACTGACAATTGATTAGGTGATATGGAAGTCCAAGTTTTTGAACAACTCACAACCTTGCAGTCTTTAATATTGAATTTAGAAAAAAAAAAAAAAAGATGCAAAACATTTCTTAGTTTTTTTTGTTTTTGTTTTTTTTGAGGTTTTATTATTTTTTTTGTTTGTTTTGTTTCAGGTGATCATAGTTATAAACTACAAACAGAATTATCCGCACATGAACAGCAAATCACTGCAATGCCTGATGTCAAACAAACACAGTTAACTGAGTAAGGGCTTTGCTAAACTATAAAGTATATTATGTATAATTCTTTTACCTGCTCAATTTTCTTTAGTTGTTACTGATTTGAGACACTTTTCTTTCAGAGCTGATGAGTTTATGGTAATCGCTTGTGATGGAATATGGTAAGTAATACTACTGTCCATATTACTAGTGCACTAGACTCTAGATTGATAAGTCTGTGTTTAAACCTTGAGCTAAGGGTAGACAAGGTAGCTTAACGCTTAGTGTACTGGACTCCAGATTGAGAGATTCGGGTTAGACACGTGGCGGGTTATTTTGGGGTGTCCTTACGCGAGACACTGTACTCTCTACAGCTAGGAGTATAAGTGTTAGAGGTGAATTGTCAGGAAGCCTTGTTAAATTTTTAAGGAGTAACATTGCTATGGATCAGTATCCCATTTAGAGAAAGTACAAAAATACTACGTGTCGCTTCATGCTACAGAAACTGAGGTAAGCTCTGCATGGATGGGATACTGCGCTCACTTGCAGACTTAATTAACATTCACATTGAGCCTCTAGCCCTTTCCGCGTGTTGTGTTCCTGAGCAAAACACTCTTTTTCCCAAAGTGCTTCTCTCCACCCAGAAGTATACATGGACTCTAACGAGTAGTCAGAGAATGGATGCAATAGATTAGCACTCCGTCCAGACAGAGAAGCAACATTTCTAGAACACTTCATTCTTTCGATTCTTTCTTCAACCTCCACAGACGGGCTTCTAGGCGTGCAAAACGTACCTAACTTGTGTACCCTTTGTAACAAATGTAAGTTTTGAGTTAAGATGATTCCTTCAAGGCCTAATTTTTTTGTCCTCTAGGAATGTGAAAGGAAGTCAAGAAGTGGTAGATTTTGTGTCAGACAGATTACGAGAACAGAGGAAGAACGGTAAACCAAACCTTACACAGATTTGTGAAGAGGTAAACCTACCTGTTTATTCACTAAAGGGTTTGAAGCGAGGGGGGAACCAGCTAGTCCTGAGAAAGACTGGTGTCGGTAGCAATGACTGACAACCTAAAGTTATTACCTCGTAGTTGAGTGTATTGAGTCAGCTTTACATTTAAAAAAATGATTGGTCAGTTATATGGGCAAGTTAGACTTGATTGGCATAAATTTGTTATGATTTATTAATGGTAATCCTTCGGTGGAGATAGGGTACTCTGCATCATTGACAACTATTCAGAACGCTCTGCTCCAAGGCAGCAAACTAGTTTTCTAAGATCAGTCGTGTGGTCCGAGTCTCAATCAATGCTGTATATGCGTATAGTCAGCCGTGTGATCGTTCTATGGACGTAGCTTTGTAGAGTTGTAGGATCAGCGAGGTGGTTTCGGACACGCCCTTTATGAAGGGCATAGTCCTTGTATTCTTAGAAGTTTCGTTGACGTTCGTTTTAGAAATTTCAGTAAGTTTCTAGTCTGATGGAGTCTTTGTAGTTCTTGGAAGAGACACAGAAAGGTATCCGGTGAGTTGCCTGCTCATTGTCGATTGAAAATATCCTTGGCATCATATGTGTGGCTTGAGAGTGCGTTTTACCTCACAATTACTTTTATTGCACTTTTTTTTCAGTTACTCGATTCTTGTTTGGCATCAGATACCGCAGGGGACGGGTCAGGGTGTGATAACATGACCACCATTATAGTGCTTTTTAACTCTGCTGGTAAAACAGATCAAAACAGTAAAAAGAGGAAACTGCAGAGCGAAACGACCGACGAGGATTCCGTGGACAAGCGACTCAAGACGGACGACTCATGATTCATACGTAACCGTACACAAAGTTTTCAAACTACACAGGGGTTCTTTTGTCACCTTTCACATTCACAGACAGTTGGTGGTCGAGTATGTGGAGTGTTATTTCGCCAGATGGGAACATGTGCTTGGAACCGATTGGGATTCACACGGTCTGGGATCAATGGAGCAAGAATTGGATTACAAAATTGCCCGTTTTCCTGAGAAGTTTACTCACTAAAAACCCATTAAAAATATAACACTTTTGGGAGCATAAGGTTTAAATCAAACAGTTAGTTAACCGAAATATCGCTTCTTACATGGGCTAAATGCGCGTACCATTGAATGTACATGGCAATGTAAACTTAGTCCACAAAGTCGTGAGATTTCTCTGAAACTTTTTGCAAGTATATTTTGTTTCCATTTTCAACTGCCAAGAAAACTGGGGAGGAGATTCGAAACCCCCACGAGAAACTCCTCCCTCAGCTTGTCTTGTTCCCTAGGATGTTTTGAAATCTGATTTATTAGTCCCTCCAGGGCTTTCTTAAAAATGACAAGGGCTGGAGAAATTTAGAGCTAATGACCGAAGCTCAAAAATGTGATCGTACAGTAACTGCTCTATTTCAGAGCGGCGTTTTAGCATTTGCATTTTGACTTAACAATTAATCAGTGTTCTTCGTAGCTTTGATATTCGTCTAATATCCGATGGGGATTACTCTTCTCAATCTGTTACTTTTATATTATACTTTTAAAACCTTTTCTAATGGTTGTGTTCTCTCAGTTAAACCTTAGTTTGTTCTCCTGAAAAGATGAACCTGAATTGTTTAAGTTCCTTATTTGTCACTAGCAACGAAAGAACTCGCTTTCATGAGAAAGTATTTATAAGTTAACTTTCGCTGGTGCTTTGTACATCATTCATCATTTCTGTTGCATGACGAGTGAAGGAGACCCAGCCTCCATTAATTCCCTCATTCTCTGACTGTTGCACTGGTTTTACTTATAAAAAGCAAACATGTCTTTCGTTTTTGACTAGCTTGAAAATGTCAGTATTTTATGTTGCGTAGTTATTTCTTATTGTGCATTAAGCATTGCTCAAAATTTATAGTTCACCTGGTAAGTGAAACAGTTATTCTCGCCGATACCCACAAGCTATCTTGCGTTAAAAAATTCCTTGACATTTCCAGAAAGTTACCTCTGGCGCTGAAATCGGACCTACCCCCTTAAAAAATCAAACCATAAAATTCTTGACGAGATGTGTGTTTAATTTAATCAACCATTCAAAGTACAGACCCTAACGTCTTGAAATAAAAACCACTAATTATGAAAAAAACAAATTTATACCAGCGCCTAAATATGGGCATCCTTTATTTATTTATCTTACAATGTTTTATTCGTTGAATTTTTTTTGTCTCAGAGGTGAATTCCAAAGATGATAAAGTAACATCTCTGTATGACTGGTGACATCTGTCAAACCTCCAGTCATACAAACCTCTCTTTTTATGAACAATTTCAAATTGTCCTCTCTCCGATAATTTAAGTTGCAATAGCTTGAAAGTCTTCGGAAGGTTTACTTGGACTATTTTAAGTGTTGCTCTTTTTGGAGAATGGTTCAGTCCGCAACATGCCGGTTGCAACATGAAATTAACAGCGACTAACAGCCACAATAAACCATAATATTTAGCGTTTGAATTTCAGTCCTTGCTGAGCCTTAAATATATTTCATACACAACAGCAATAATATTGTGATACTAATTCGTCATGTGTACAATCCCCCCTCCCACCCCTCCTTGTCAGTTTTTGTCAGATATCATTGTGTCAAGACAGTATCGTCAATCTTGGCTCTGTTCTATGATTATAATATATTCTATACACGTTTATAGTCCTGGGACGGAAGCTTCGTAAGCCCATCTGTAATAATACACTATCTAAACTAGGAGATGGATACAAATTCTATTTCTTTTTTCTTCTAAATATACAGTGAATAATATTTATCTGTTGACTCAGGGCTCGCCGTTTTTGACAATATTTTGATTTCTACTTCCGGTACTGACGCCGTTTCCTTCATGGAATTTAAGCAGTTCTCCTAGGTAAGCTTGAAAGGCATTCATGGCCGCGTTTATCGCCGGTGAACCAAAACCGTGGGTCACTAAGCCAAACTGGTTAAGACTACGTAATATGGAATCTGGTAGGTTACTGTTGGGTAACCTGGTCTTAGGATAGGGGTCCTGTGCAAGAATATCTTGTAGTTCCTTTGTCAATTGTCTACAAAAGAGAGAAAATAACGTCAATCAGACATCTTCCTCATGTCTCTTAAGTCATGATATCATCTAGAGAATGAATGAATTTAAATGTGACTTGCACCTATTTATATAGGAAGCCATTTTAAGGTCGAGTCATTTGAACTTTGGCATTAGCTTTGTTCTAATTCCTGTTCGCTTGTTTCGCGCTTTGCCAGTTTCGTACTTCTTTCTGGCCTGCGTGAAATATTTCGTTTTCCGTTCTATGAAAAACACAAAGCGAAACGCGAAACAGAAAGCACGCGCTTCAAGGTGCGTTGACAAATATTTGGCCTAACATACCTTAAAACTTCGTATAAATCACTAAAATCAGTGAGAAAGACCCTCAGTGGTACGTGAGACGTTATTCTCTTAGTATGTATATATTAGTTTCATTGGAAAGGCAACATTGAGGTAGAAAACTACATGGTGAACTAGGAACACACTACATGTATTTTATTTGAACTACGAAGTCTCGGTTAACAAAGTGTTACGTACTTTGCTGCAAGAATTGCGTTTTTTCTTGCTTGCTGTTCTGATGGTTCTGAATGTTGTCTGTACTGTCGCTCGGCCAGCTGAGCTGCGGGAAATTCTGATTCACACACGTAATCAAAATCAGCAGCTAAATGAGCTGCTTCACCTGTGACAAGGAAACAGAAATTACATAAAAAATAGGGCGGAAATGAAAAAAAAAAATGTAGGCACATAGAAACAGAAAGTTAACGAAGCATATTTTGTTCAATAGTTATTTAAAATGAGATCCAACATTCAAAAAATGCGTCTTTGCGATAGTTTTTGGTGGAAGTTTTGGTCAATAACCGCTGTGTGCAATGTATAACAAAACTAAACTACAGTAGTCACAACAGCAATCATGAAAATAGCCTCAGGTGCTTTAGCTAACTCAAAGTACTACGAGAAATCTGTCTGTAGCGTAAGCATACAGAAGGCTGAGTCGCGATTGGTTTTAGTTTTATATCTGATTTTCCGACGAGTCATAGAGTGTAGTTGATCAGTTTTCAATTGATTGTCGAAAAACTGGAACTTAAGAGATCGCAAGGGCCAACTAATGGCCAATCATAACTAGGGATAACATAATCATTAGCCAATGAGAACTCATGGTAAAAACAAGCAAACTACCAAAAGCGCGGGAAAACGCGGGTGATCTATACACGACTGGTATCCGTTTTACGTCTGATTGGTTGAGGATGGCGCTAGTTTTCTGAACCAATCACAGAGCAAGGTAAAGCAAAATGAAAGTAATCCCGGATTGTTTCAACAATTAACAGAAAGTTCTCGCAACAAATTTAAAACTAGGTTATACATATTTGACTAAATTTAGTAAGTTCACTAATTTTCCAAAATTACCTTCTACAAGTGACGTAAGTAGCGTTACTTGAGCTGCTTTTCTTCTTCCAGCCGGAAGTGACAAACCGATCTTTTCTAACTTGTCACGCAGACTTTTACCACCATTCTTAGACTTCGCCCTTATTCAAAAATAAAACATGTTGGAGTTACTTTTAAGTTCTACTGAAAATATAGGTAGAGATAAAAGTACCTGTCTATCTTAAGTAATCCTAATCGTAACCTCTGTATCTTAAACAATTCGGCCCAACAAAAAAATTTCAAATTTGTCGTTGGTTATCCGAATTTACCTCCTAAGCACGCCACCCAACAGCGAAGCATTCAAACATTCGGGATGAGAAAGTCGCCGACGTATCTCTCCTACAGTGACTTTGTATTTTGAGGTGGAACTTAGAAGGGACAATCGGCCTGGAACACAACAGAACACGTCGGAAGGATGGACAGGACTGTCGGAGTCTGCTTCCTCACGGGAATCACGCTCAATGTGCTTTGCTTTATTGCTGTGACCTAAAGAAAAGATAACGGAAATCATGAGTGGAAGATATTCAAACCACGTTTTCATCATTAAGCTTTCCTTCGTATGCTTTCACCTGTAGTGTAAATGGAAGATTCCTATCAGTTTATGTAAAAATTATGAACAAGTAGATTTGTCAGGAAAAAAAACTAGTACAGAAAGAACATGATGGTTTACAAGACTTGACAAATAATCTTAACAAGGTTAGTTGTGAAGGGCTTAAGACAAATTCTATTCCAGACAAGTGTCCAAGTATCCTTTGCTAAGTGCTTTTACAAGCAAAGCTTGCGGCGGTTTATAGCTCAAATTAAATTTGAACAGGCTCTGAAAATTATTGCCACCTTGCATCGTTGTGTGAGTTTTAACATGGGGGACACCGATTATCACCCAAAAAGTGTATGGGAAAAATCTTATGCTGTTTTAAGATCATGTTGAAAAATAAAAATCACTGATTTACGAGTGAATGTATTTAGGGCTTCAGCTTTAATTACAAGAATCCAGGACCCCCAAATTGCTAATTTTGCTTTAAAACCGTTTGGCAAGCCCATTTCTACATCATGTGAAATTCTAATGATTCCACCCACTCTTTCAGCATAAATGTAAGATTTTTCTCTCATTATTACATCTCAACTCTAATCCCGCTTTAAGTGAAATTCGTTTTTTTGCTTGCGTTCCCATTTCACTCACGTTTTATCGTACCATGGTAAACATCCCATTTCACGTGATGTTATCAGTATAGCGTTTTCGATTAGTTCTTCCAACTCTTTTTTGTTTTTGTTTGCTTGAATTGAAATTCGCGTTTTTTTGCGCTCCAAGTGTCGTTTTTTTTTTTTTTACATTTGCTCGATACTTACTTATCTTCAATTTTTCATTGCTGTAAAGCAAACTACATGAATACAACTCACGTTCTTGAACACTTTTTATTGTGGCTACTAACTTTTTGCAGGCTTCGTTTTCACGTTCTTTAATACGATTCACGTTTTTTACATCGGAATATTTTGTTTTTGTCCATTTTCCTTCTTAAAGAAACACCTTGAAGGTGCTTCTTTGAAACAATAAACACCTAATTAATCCTAAATTTTAAGTGAGGAAGCTTTTCCATGTGTTTTGAGCTGAGAACGCGGAAAAATGACTGGAACCAAGCGAAAAGTGATCGACTATGAAAAAAACATACGTACCATGTTTTTTAAATAAAGTAAAGTATGGCTGGAGGGAAAGTTAGAAAAATCAGGTGGAATCTGTAGCTGTTATTTCTTTAACATCAGGTTTATTTCAATATTTTTAATGATTTAAGATGCTTTAGGAACAAAGGCTGGTTACGCCTCTTCAATGTAATGGTGGCTTTTAAATCTAGAAAATATTGTCCGGCGGTGAGATTAAAGCCCTGTTTTAATATCCATAGGCTTTCACATATTACACTGTGTTTTTAATAAAGTTTTATAAAATAACGATCATTTGTAAGCCTGAGTCTGAGCTTAAAGAATAAAGCCCTCGGAACCGGTATTGATCAAAACAAACGACAAACACTCATCAACAACGAATTATACAGTTGTTGGTTTGACACAAATGGATAAACTCGGATGTATAGCAAAAAATTTATGGATTAGACTTTTTATTAGAAGGGCTATAGTTCGCTAGATTATTGATTTTTTTAATTCGTTTTTCTTAGTTTTTGAAGGAAATGAAAGGTAATGCGCCTGAAAGGAATAAAACAGTTCCGAAATCACAGTTTTATTCTGTAAAATGATTCCCGCATTTTTTCTAAACTGTGGTTCCAAACAACCAATAGTGATTTGTGAAATGTTCCCTCCTACTCCCTTAGGCCGTACTGCCCGATATTAATCTTTCAGAGAACTTGTATAAGAGACATAACTGACCCAAGACTGTCGTGATCGGTATTATATCAATCTCACTTGCACTGATGGAAACTAGTTAAAATGAACACATACTGAATGTGCACCTCAGATAAAAAATTGCAACGTATATGATAAAAATTGAAATAAAATGGAAAATAATGCTACAGGCATTTTGTGGAAAATTATTTTATCGAGTCATGATTGGAACTTTCTCTAAAATCATTCGTTTGGAAATGTGTCGGGGAATGATGTCAAAACGCAGACTGGCAGAAGACAATGACACATGTAAAACCGGCGAGGTTCAC